TTGAATCGGTGTTATTTGAAAAAATTATTACAGTGTCATATATGTTTTATAAGAATATATCATGTATTCTTAGTGTTTATATTGTATTTGTATTATATTAATATTAATAGTATACTATTTAAACTTTTAATTAATATTATTGAAAAAAAATCAACACCTTAATCAAATCGTTTTTAAAAAGTCATCGTGATTGTATAGTAAAAAGTTAAAACAAAACTCCAAAGGAACTTATGTTTTTTTTATTTAAATATTAATTTAATATGATATTTTACAGAATTAATGATAATATATTTTTATAAAAAAATAATAATAGATGCATAATAAAATATTAAAGTACTCAAACTTTAGAGTTGTTAAACTTTTTTAAAAAATTCGAGTATTAATTATTTAAATTTGATCGACTCGAGCATACTATCGATATAGATTCAACTAGGCTCGTTTAACATTCGAGTTAAAATAGTAATTTAAGCTTGACTCGTGTATCCAATTTTAACCTTGAGATTGAACTCGCAAAGCTTGACCTCGAGTTCGACTCGGATTTCATAAAGATAATATGTATTTATTATATACATTAAATAAATAAAATTTATTATAATAAAAATTTTAAATTTTGTTAATAATTGTAAGTTTTGACATAAACAATATATTATATTAAAATATATAATAATAAAAATATATCATTACTAATAAGCTCAAATTTTAATTGAATTATACATGGACCACGAGAATTATTATTTCTATAAACAAGTTGAGCTCAAGCTCGACTCATTTATTTTAATGATATGTTTGTTTGGAAGTTCGAATTTTTAGTTTGAGTTTTATATAATAAAATTTTGAGTTCGAATAAATATTTATATGATATAAATAAGTATAAAAGTATAATACTTTAAATGTAGAATTTAATTTCTAATATAATTAAAAAAAATAAAAATGTTTGACTGGATCTTTTAGAGAACTAATAAAAATCTTTCAAATATTACACATTATTAGATTTGATAAAATGTATACTCAAAGCGCACTTGAATAATAACCACGATATATCCCTGCATAGTAAAATAAATAAATTATTCTCTCCGTTCTATTGAAAAATTATCATTTTTTATTTTCGTAAATCCCAAAATAAGGTTACTATTTCATAATTTAATAATTGTACTATTTATCTAACATAATGAATGCTCTTCCAATTTACAATATATTACACAAATATCATTACTCTTATATTACACTATACTAATAGAAGTATTTTTATCTTTTTTACTACAATCCAATATAATACTAATATTAAAAATTTTACGTACAAAAAACAAACGCCTCTTTCACCTGGACGAAGGGAGCATATGAATAAGTTGGGTGTGTTTGATTGGAAATTTGATGTTGAATTTACTATTTCTTTAAATATTAAATTAAATACTAAATTTTTTATATATTATATTAAAAATTAATTTTATATTTAAAATATAATATTTATATTTATTTATATATAATTTTAGTATTATATGGATTTATCGTGGAGTATTTCTTCAATATTTGTTGTTATAATTTAAATTGGCATCTAGAGGTGACTACATGTGGTCAATGGATTCATTATGTGCAGGAAAATCGACGGTCCAGATTAAGTATATCGCAATCAAAGGCCACGATTTTGTGGCTACCGTAAATCTGAGATCTAAGGAGATTTCGAACCACACGCGACTAACTCGAATGTGAACTTCACTCGCTCTGAATAGACACGTGGCTTTCAGAGAAAGCGCGTGTTCGAAAACATTTACAGCGTTGCCGACTTTTTTTTTTCTTTTTTTTTTCTAATTTAAATAAATATATTTGCTATATTACTCCCTCCATTCCACGTAGAGTAGAAATGAATATAAAAAAATTAATATCATTTGTGTAATATATATAAAGTGGAAGGTTATTTGTAATATTAGGTAGATGATACAATTATAAAAAAAATTGATACTTTATTATGAGACGGACCAAAATAGAAAAATAGATAGATTGTTTAGGGATGGAGGGGGTATTTCTCCCTCGTTTAAATTTGTACTCCTTCCGTCCCAAAATATTGTCTAATTGTGTTGGATACAGAATTTAAGGAATATTAATATTATATTGATAATTAGTAAAAAAAATAAGGATAGATAATTTTTTTATCTTGTGAGTATATTAGTGTAAAAAATAATGACAATTGTATAATAATAATGAAAAAATAGGGATAATTTTATGATGATATAGTTATTCAATAAGATTATTATTTTGGGACGAATAAAAATGATAAACAAAATATTGTATTGAGACGAATAGAGTAATTATTTTTATAATTTTTTTTGATAAAAATTTCCGTCATAAAAAACTGTGTTCAATTTTTTTTGTGTTTTTTATATTTTTTTTAAAAATTGAAATATAAATTTGAATGACAAAAATAATATTATTTATTTATTTATTTATTTATTTTATTCTAAACGACCAAAATAGATTTATAAATAAATTGAGTTTATAATTTTCAAGTACTTTTGGAAGTGTTTTTTTTAGAAATGTGTTTGTTTTAAGATTCGAGTTTTAAATATAAAATTAGTGAATTTAAATCATTATTTAATATTTATTTCGTCTCAATAAAAATGTTATTTTATTATTATTTTTTACTTAATTTAAAAGTATTTATTTCATACGTCACAATTCAAAATATATTTGTTACCATTTTCGTCTGTTCAATCAAAAATATTATTTTTTTATTTTTAAAAAATAATTATACATAAATAGCAAAATATATATATCACTACACATGTAATTACTTATTACAAATAATGTATATATATTGAAAATTATAACAATTTGAATAATGATAATTTTAATTTAAAATACCAAATACTTCTTTGATATAATATGGAGTGCTATAAAATGTAAATTGGATGTAATATTTTGAAACAAATATTTTTAATAAAATATTTTAATTTAAAAAAAAATATATTTTTTGATGAATAATACAAATATAAATTAAATGTAACTAAAACAAAAATTTAAATTGATACTCCCTCCGTCCTACATAATTTGTCTCTATTTTCTATTTTCGTCCGTCCCACATAATTTGTCCTTTCTATTTTTTTAAATATAATTATGCACTTTAATCGCATTTAAAATTTAAAATTTTATAATTTTCTTAATTTTAATTAAACTATTTACCTATCTTAATCTATAATTATTTTTACTAAATAATAATTATTATTTTTACTAATACATTTCTTAATTATTTACTAATTATATTTTACCTAAATTCTTGTATCTACACTAATACACTCATGAGGAGGGGGTAATAATAATTTTGGAGAAATACCCTAATCATTATATTTTAAATGCAATTTTTTTTTTAAAGTTTGATATTGTTCATTAATAAAAATATATATTTTTAAAACATAATAATTTTTTATTTATTTGTACAAATATTACATTTAATAATCAATTTTTAAATTTAATTTTTTGTTTTTTTTTTTTTTTACAATTAGAATTTTTAAAACAGTAACCTAAATAGAACCTAAAATATGTTCAAAGTTATTTTAATAATAATAATAATTCACTACTTTATGTTCAATAATATTTTTATTGTACACTACAAAAAAAAAATATATATTAAGTAGATATGAAAAAATAACATTAAATTATTATAAAATTTTATTAAAAAATTAATAATAAAAAATTTTAATTGGTTAAAAAAATATTTTTAAAATGGTAATTTATTTATTAAAATAAAAAAATTATGAATAAATAAAATAGCTTATATAAATAAACTATGTGCAATTATATAAATTCAATGAAAACAATTTTGACAAACGCAAAAAGTAATATCTTTATTATCTTATTATAATTTTTGTGACGTTATACGCGTATATTTGATATTGTGTTAGATAATTGGATAATATGCTAGCTAGTTAAGTCGGTCGAAGAAAATATAAGATAAAAAAAGCTTACTTTAAATATTGATGGAAAATTAAAAGTTACAAAAATATATAAAATGAGATTCGAATAGTTATTTTACATAAATTAGATTTTTTTAATTATTATTATTTTTCAATAATTTTACTTATAACCATATTAGATATTTGGATAATATTTATGGAATATGGCAACAAAAGTAAAGTATTCAACGAAAAAATAAGATTATTTAATTTAAAAGTTAAAAAAAAACATATAAAATGAGATCCAAATAGTTATTTTAGAATCACTTAAATGAGAAAAAATGAGATATAAAAAATTACTGTCTCCGTCCCACATACTATTTTCATGTTGCCGTTTCTGTCCGTCCTATGTACGCTGTCACTTTTTTTTTTTTTGAAAATGATTACACACTTTAATCTTATTTTAAATTTTTTATTTTTTTAAAATTTTTTTAATTAAACTAATTAAATATTTTAATCTTAATTTATAATTATTTATATTATAGAATAATTATTTTCACTAATACATTATTAATTATCTACTAATTATATCCCTCCTAAAATATCGTGTCTACAGTACAGCAACACGACACGGTACTTACGACGGAGGTAGTTCTTTATAAAAATCAATTAAAGGGTTTTTTTTTTAATTATACAATTACCATAATTTTCTGTAAAAGTATTTTTTTTACACTTAAAAGACATCATATTTCTTTAAAAAAAAGTCAAAATCTCGGAAAATAAGATCTAAGTTTTTATTTTACATAAATAAATTATTAAAATATTTCATAATTTTAATTTAAAAAAATGGTACTCAAAATTAAATTACAATATTGTAGTGAAATAATAATAATAAAATATATATAAATATAAATATAAATATATATAAATGGTAATGGTGAGGAGAGATAAAAAACCAAATTACTGCTGACCACTAAAAATGGGCCAAAAGTTAAAAAAGGTAAAGGAGAAATGGTTGAAAATGAAATGACACCCTTCCTTGGGCCATCCTCTAACATACGCCGTAGGCGCACTGCGCACGTTACCCCACCCCCTTCTTCTCCCCCCTTCCATCTCCATCTCCATCTCCATCTTCTTCCTCTCTCTCTCTCTCTCTCTACGTTCCATCACTGCACTTTCACTCTCACTGGCCATTTTTCTCTCCTTTATATCAACCCCATACTCCTCAATCTCACTCTGCTCACTTCCTACATTCTCTGTTCATATAGGGTTGCTGGATAACGCCGCAATTGTTTGCAGGCGGTGAAGAAATCAGAAAAATGGATCCGCCATTGGTAAACGAGGCATCCTTCACTGCGGCGTCGAATCCGTCGTCGTACAGCCTTGCTGGACTGTTGTCGTTCCCGACAAGTGTCGGGGAAGGCGGAGTGTTGGGGCTTAGAATGGGGAGTTTGGGCGGCGGAGGAGGCAGAGGAGATGGCTCGTTGGAGGAGTCGACGGTGACGGAGCACAGCGGGAATGGGAATGGGAAGAGGAGGAGAGATTCTAGAACCTCCTGCGACGATAATAGCTCTTCCAAGCTCGTCTCCACCAGCAGCGCTAATCACGATTTGGTGGGACATTGACTCTGTTTCTCGAAGATTTGATTGATTTTCCTCTTCTTATTGTTGATTTAAAGCTGTTTGTCAAAATATTTGGTTGAAATTCAACAATCGATTCTCGATTTAGAAGCAATTGTTTGATGCAGAATTGTTATTGGAGTTTGAATTCAGATTCAGTTGTTTAATCATTCATTTACAATTGTTGATTAATTGCACCAGAACGAGCTGGATCTCAAACGGATGAAGCCGTCAGGATCGAAATCGGAAGCTGAAGCTAATTCAGGGACGAATTCGAAGCCGATTGAGGAGAAGACCAAACCAGAGCCACCAAAGGACTACATTCATGTCAGAGCACGAAGGGGACAGGCAACTGATAGCCATAGTCTTGCTGAAAGAGTAATTCTCATCTCGATTCAACAAATGCTCAATTCTTCTGTACTGTAGCTCACTATTGCTTCGATTAATTCTTCGTTTTCAGGCTCGGAGGGAGAAGATCAGCGAGAGGATGAAAATCCTTCAGGATTTGGTTCCGGGATGTAACAAGGTGAGTCAATTTGCTCGAACCTTTTCGCCATAATTGGATCATGTATAGATTGTTGTTTTGCATCATTTGGATTCATTAATGGTTGAAGTGTAAAGAGGATGAATCTGATGTTCAATTATTTTAGGTCATCGGAAAAGCTCTTGTTCTTGATGAAATCATCAATTATATTCAGTCGCTGCAGCACCAAGTCGAGGTATAGATCGTGTGGGCTTTCATTTCTGAGTGATAAATTGTTGCCGAAACATTTCTGTTGTATTCAAATCATGTGTTCTTCGATGGCTGCTCCAGTTTTTGTCGATGAAGCTTGAAGCCGTTAATTCGAGGCTGACTCCTGCAGTCGAAGGGTTTCCTCCTTCCAAAGATGTAAGTCGCAATCGCATATGATCAAGTAAATTTATTCTAATGATTATGCCGTGTTCCTTGTTCGTAAATTTTGGTTCATTATGTCTGATTGCTCGTTTTGGTTTAATTGAGCTTGTTCTTTTTTCTTGCTGCGTAGAAAAGTATCGAAATCATTAACAAAATGTTGACATTGATGGTTCTTTAGAGAAGTGGAACAACTAATTAGGTTCGATTCTTCGACTTAGAAAATGGCTGGAAAATGACTGAACATAATGGCTAAAACTTTTGTGCCTAATCATCTTTATTTTGTCGAATTCGTACCACCATTAACCTTCCTCACATCTCTTTCGGGAATAATTTGGTTTTGAATTAGACGTTAAAAGTGCACTTTCCTAAGATTCTGTCGGAATCGTTTTTTGGCATTATGAGAATACTTGGATTATATCATTTACATCGCTTAAAATGTAGAGACAAGAACTTGAGTATATGCCAGGATTGCTCGATGCTTTAAGACAAAATGGTGAAGTAACTTATTCGGAGATAGATTCTTTAATAAGTCTCGTAATAATTCTTTATAGCCTACAATGTGAAGAAATATGAACTAATTGCCGAAATCGCCAAATCTAAGGTTAGTAAAGTTCGCCCTCGAAGAATCAATTTTTGTTTATGATAAGTGATACACGGGAATGATCCATTGTCCTTCCGAACATATATGATAGATTGTTTGCGCTTGATGCTATAGACTTCATATATGTTATTTTGGTGCAAATCTTTTTGGTTCTTAGAAAGAAACAGTTCAAAAAAGGTTCAATTGGCTGAAATAAATTTGTAGACTTGCGGATTTATCAATATCAGGCTCGTAAAAATAAGAAATTTGGTTATTTTTATTTTCGAACATATGAAGCCATCGTTCCAATGCACGCCGATTTTATCCTTCTCGAACATATATGATAGATCGTTGGGCTTGATGCTATAGACTTTTTACTTTCGAACATATGAAGCCATGGTTCCAATGCGCCCCGATTATCGCCAATTATTATTACATTCAATATCCATAAATTCATTTCGCGGTTTTTGCAATAAGTGGACATCTATAATTTTCATTTTAACTTAATGGCTACTTTAAAACTTGCTGATATTTGAAATCGACTTGCAAACTCTATCTACATATTGTCACTTGAAAACATGTTCTTGCAGCTAGCGCCGCCGCCGTTTGATCCCAGCGGATTGATATTCGGGCCACAAACGCCGAGGGATTTTGCCCGGGGATCGCAAGCAGAGTGGCTCCAAATGCACATCGGCAGTGGCTTCGAAAGATCGTCGTGACCCCACCGACGCCGAAAACTCGGAAAAATATATTCTGGTATGAAGGCAGGATCCTTAGAAGTTGATTTAGCAGAGCAGAGGATATAACATTGGATAGGTTGGTTATGTATTGTCGTAATTTTAAGCAGTCTTCTTGTAAGAAGAGTAGTTTGCTGTTATTCCAAATATATTATGCTTTTTTAGAAAAAAAGAATTATTTAAAAAAAACTAATTTGTAAGAACGGTGCTGAAATTCTGTGACATTTTTATGTGCAAAATTGATATGTGTTAGGGTAAAGTTACTTCTTTTGGTCCCATAAAAAGAGCCGAATCGAGCCGAGTTTTTTCACATTTTTGGGTTGTTCGTTTGTTAAGAGATACGAGTTGAATTTTTTTATTTAGCGAGAAGTATTTTTTTGTTTGTGTTAGGGTAAAGTTATTGCTTTTGGTCCCGTAAACAAAGCCTAATTTAGCCAAGTTTTTTTTTTTTTTTATGTTTTAGTTCGGGTTGTGTTCGTTTGCTAAAAGATACGAGCTGAATTTTTTGTTTGAGTTTGAGTTGTTGATTTAGTTTTTGACGAAATTATCTATAATTCACTTGTAATTTGGAATTTTCAAGGGTGTGTTTGTTCGGAGGTTTGGATTTTGAGTTGAGATTTGAATAATAAAAATTTTGAATTTGATTAGTTATACGATGTGATATAAATAAGTATTGATGTGATATAAATAGGTATTGATGTGATGTTTTGAATGTAAAATTGATTTTTAATATAATATAAAAAATAAAAAATAAGTATTTGATTTCATATGTTTTAGAAAAAAAATAGGATAAATAGTGTATTTGGGGAAAAATTTTCCAAACAAAGTAATTCTTTCATGTGATTTAAAAATTGGATAATACTTCATCATAATTTTCAAAATATTGCATTAAACTTTCCTATCGTCTACACTTAAAAAAGCATAAGTGACACGGGTATGTGAATGCCAAAGTTGACACACTTCATCGAAACAACATTATTGACGAGTATTACATACACTCTATTAAACTACAGATGGATTTTGGACAATTTTCTCTATATTAACTATTTGTTTTATTTTATTTTATTTAAGAGTATTTAATAATTAGTTGTTAGATGTTAATTGATTCTATTAGTTAGTTTGACTAACTGATTATATTAACAGTTTGTACTAAGATCCGATGCAAGATAGAAATCAAATACTCCCTCCGTCAAGCTAGAAAGTATACATGTTTCTATTTTGGGACGACCAATTACAAAGTAACAATTTCATTAAATACCCAATTTTTTCCACAAATATTCCTACTTTACATCACATCGTTACTTTTATACCAAAAAAGTAAAGGCAAAAATGTCATTTCACTACTTTTACCTACCCACTGTAATTAAAATACTATTATTCTTTAATCTCCGCGCTAAAAGTAAATGTATACTTATTTTGTGGACGGAGTGAGTACATCAATAAATTCATACAATCAATAAACATGAACACAAACTATTAAAAAGAAAAAAAATTCACATCCAATTATAGAATCAAACTTTAATTGCAAAAGAGCTCTCCATTTAATAAAACAACTCACAAAAAAATCAATCAACCCGATTTAAAAGAATCCAAACAACTAAATTAGTGAAGATTCATCGATATTTGAAGACATCTAAGATGATGAAGATAGTTGATCCGACTGAGTTGAAAAAAAAAAATCATATCTTGCATGTTTGTTTAATGTGATTTGTCTAATTATCATCGGGTCTAATTTGTACGCTATTAGATTAGATCATAATTTATCCAAAACGTACTCGAATAATAGCAGTTACGAATTTCCATTATAAAAGAAATATGGGCTCAAACCTTTTTGAATTCTAACAAATTGTAGGGTCTCTAACACATAAGAAAAACCCAGTCTAATAATTTTTTAATTTTGAATAATAAAATTTTTAATTAAAATATTTATTTGATATGATAAAAAAAGAGAAAGTATTGATATAATATTTTAATATTAGATTAACATTAAAATATTATAAAAATATAAGTTTGCTTTAATTATTATTTTTTAAAAAATTATTGAATAGTAAAATTCAAATTAATAATTCACAAACGTACAGCTTAGTATAATCAAAATAATATAAATTAGTATATGATGCAAATATGTAAAATAAATCAATTTATATAGGCACGTCTCAACTTGTAATTATTTGAAATTTTTGACAAATATATAAAATAAGTATTTTTCCTTGATAATTTCAAGCATGTGACAAGATATTAGTAAATATTTTGTCAATGAACTTGTTTTATCTTATAATTTTCGCATACCATTTGTCCTATCTCTTGTAGTTCATAAATTAACTTTTAATACAAGTAATGAATTGCCAAGTAAGGGTTGGTATCTTGGCTTGTGACCGCAAGTTTATTGGTTCAAATTCCGCAAACATATTTTTAGTCAAGTTTGTTTCATAGGATTTGTTAAGAATGTCAATGGATCGAGTATGAATCAGGTCTAGATGTGATAAGCACGCTAGAAGGACTTTGTGCTTGTGGGTAGCCTAATTATGGTACGTCCGGTTTGCGTGGCTTATAGGCCAGGATATTACAAATCGAATACAAGACATGAATCAGACTTGACTATACCCGATCTGACTCGAGATATACTCGATAAAATTCGATGGATCCAAAAATATATTTACAATTCTTAAAAATTCAACTCAAAATTGAACGTAAACCTTACCCGGACCCACATATATAAAAATTTATGTGTTTTATTAAAAAAATATTATAATAAAATAATAAAAGAAATAAGACAAATAAAAAAAATATTTATAATATCATTATATTGTTAGAATTTTTTTTTCTTACATATCATTAAAATATTAATTAATCGGGTCCGAATCCAAATAAAGTCTATCCTTATACAATGAACCCGATTAAGACATGCAATACCCGATTAAGTCATTGGTTTCTTTGGTTTTTTCATATTAACCATGTTTTTATTCTCAAAATGAATGTATATTTTTTTAGAGTCTAAGATTTTTGCAGCCCTAAATGATTTCGGATGAACAAAATAATATCATTTGTTGGTCTGTTTGGTCATTTCACATTAACCGTAATTCTGAATCTAAAGCTGAGTATATGTTTTTTAGTATTAGGGTCCTAAATGATCTTAGATGAACAAACTAATAACGATGGTTGGTTTGTTTAGTCATTTTAGATGAAGCAAATTCTCAAATTCTTAGTCTAAAAACGGATTTACGTTTTTTTTTTAAATTTATATATCTAAGCGTTTTAGGATCATAAACGAACATTTATTACTCTTGTCTTTTAATTGTCACATTGACAAAATATATTCCACAATTGTCACTTTTTTACGATTTTTTCCCCCATAGCATAATTTGCACGTGAGATTGTATCAGTCGTTAACTTGATGCGCGGCCTTGCGAAAAAGTGACACCTGCAACATATATTTTGCCGATTAAAAAGACAATAGTGATAATTGACCTTTAGTACGAGATATTTATTGCAAGTTTTTCGAAAGTTTTGTATTCTTGTCATCCCTAATCTTCGTTCCCAAATCATGAATATTTTCTGTGCTCTTTGCTTCTAAATCCATTATATATGTCATGCACCGAATCAGTTTTGAGGTTTTGAATCGTAACCATTCATTCCTAATCTTCCTTCCCAAATTCAGTGTTTGTTTCTCTTAGTGAGTTCTACTCCTCGAGTTCTTGGCTCGAGGTTTCCAACCATCTAAAATTGATGTTGGAGCTTAATTACGATATTACTTGAGAATTATTTAATATTAGTTTTGTGATCGAATAATAAAGTGTGATATATATTTTGTATTAAAATATGATTGAGTGAATATTGAATAATAAATTAGTGATATATATTATGCTTATCCATTATACATATTTATATATTGTAATAGTTTTTGTATATAATAATAATCAAGAAATAAAGAGTATTTTCATTGTCAATTCCTCCACATTATTTTTGTTATTTTCTGTTAGTTGATACTCGTAATGGCTGAGTCTTCTTATTTATAATATGTGATTTGTGTTACACAAACTCTGTGCGACAGTTTCGACATAATTTGAATTCATCACCTCACGACCATACTTGATTCTCTTGTTGTACACTTTCTTTGATTTGTTCTTTCAGGTTTATTAGTCAATAAATATTACAATACCTAACTAAATATAATACTTTCAACTTGTGGAATCAAAGGCTGTATATTTACTAAACCGTGTTGATTGAGTGTTACTTTCTTTTCCTTTTTGTTTTTTTATGACGATTGATTGAGTGTTACATTGATTGCTGAGTCTATGACATAGGAATAAATAAACAAGTTTTTATAAAGAAATCAATAATAAATGACAAGTTGGCTGAATACTGAATACTGATAAAAGTATTAAGATCACTATATAATTACATCCACATTACTTCTCTTCCATCCAAATTGGAGAAACTCTCACTGAGTTAATTTTGCTGAAAAGAACAATATACACATTAATAATTAGGCATGGCTGTTGTTGCTTATGCATCCTTGGTTTCTCTAACTCATGTCCTCGACAATCTCCACTATCGTGCCCACTTTAATCTCCCTCGTGCCGACATCAAACAAGTCGAAGCACTCAAGGAAAATGTCAATTTTTTGCTGCAATTTCTCGAGCTTCATTCCACAGGGAAGAGCCCTGAGCTTCAAGGTTTGTGGAGGCAAATGACTGAGGCTGCCACCGGGGCGGAAAGTGCCATCAATTTCCATGTAGGTAATCTACTAAATTTGAGATATCGAGGAGAAAAAAGTGATGCTTCAGGCTTCTCAGCTTTGTGTGAAGAAATGGAGACACTGATTGAAAAGCTTTGCTCCATCAAAAAAGAATTGCCGGTGATTGAAGAAGACGGGGAGGATAATGAAGCTCAAAAGCAATCCAATGCTTTTATTAGTGCCGGTGGTTCGTCTGAAGGTTCTTCATATGTCAGCAATGTCATTGTGGGACTAGAAGAGCACGTGGATAAGATCAGGGACAAGCTCATCAGAGGTAGTTTTGATCTCCAAATCCTCCCAATTGTTGGCATGGGGGGCATTGGTAAGACTACTTTGGCTAAAAGTGTTTTTGATGATTCATTTGTTGTCAATCACTTTGATTTACGAATTTGGCTTTCCATATCTCAACAATATAGTGTGGAACAAATTCTTAAAGTTGGTCTTGACGAAAAAGTAGGAGAAAATAGAACACGTGAAAGTTTAGATGAGTTGGGAACTAGATTCTATAAAAAATTATTCGGTAGAAGGTATTTGATTGTTATGGATGACATGTGGACAACTGAAGCGTGGGATGATTTACGGAGGTACTGTCCCAACAATAAAGATGGAAGTCGTATTTTGTTGACAACTAGACTCTCAGACATGGCTGCTTCTTTGAGATCTTATGATCCTTATCATTTAATCTTTTTAGATCAGAATGAAAGTTGGAGTTTATTTTGTCAAAATGCTTTCTCACTAAGGGGTTGTCCATATGGTCACTTGGAGAAGTTTGCAAAGGATATCGCAAAAAGTTGCAGAGGCCTTCCTTTAGAAATTGTTGTTGTTGGCCGTTTGCTTGCAAATTCTGATATGACTCTAAAACATTGGGAGAATGTTGCGAGAAATATTAGTTCACTTGTTGATTTGGGAGACGACGATCATTGTATGAGTATCCTATCTTTAAGTTATGAGAATTTGCCCATTGATCTCAAATTATGCTTTTTATACATGCGAGTATTTCCTGAAGATAGGATGATTTTCGTCTCGGAGCTAATTCACTTATGGATTGTTGAAGGATTCATTAAACCAGTCCATGGTAGAAATTTAGAAGATATTGGGAGTGAGTACGTAAAAGGTCTTATCGATAGAAATCTTATATTTAGGAGTGGTGATGATAAATGTGGTATTCATGATCTTTTGCGGGATCTTTGTTTAAAAGAGTCTAACAAAGAACATTTTCTCCGGTTTCCAAGAGTACAAAGTGTTGATGAATGGTTAGTAAAAGGCATTGTTTGTAATCATTGTTGTAAGAAAGTCAAGGACAGCGAAAGGTTGCATGTTTTGAAACCATCTTATATCTTTGAATCGTCGTCACGAGTTAATCCTTCTATTTGTGATGCTTGTAACGTGACGTACTCGCATATTACAAGACATTGTTTTGTAAGGATAGCAATTTACGACGAAGAAGAAATTTTGCAGCCAATAGAATTACGGCATGTTAATTTAGATGCAAAAGAATTGTTGTCTCCTTCAACAATACATTTACTTTGGAATCTTCAATATTTAAGGATAGATTTAGACTCTACACTTGTAGTTTTGCGGTCAGATATTTGGGAGATGCCACAACTTAGAGTGATTCGATCTTCGGATCAATTATTTTTACCAAATCCTATAACAACTGATATTGAGGGGAAAGATTTTCTTATCCTAAATGAGCTTCACACGATTGATGAGATGCGTAATGTGAAGTTTACCAAGGAAATCATTGATCGAATCCCAAATTTGAAGAACTTGAGTGTTGTATATGACTATGACAATGAGGAGGGAATGGAAAAATCGAACTTTTCTCTATGTAATCTTGACCAACTACAAAAGCTTGAATCACTATCATTAAGCTTTTCCTCGGAGAACATGAGCTTCCCTAATTCACTCAAAAATTTGTCTTTGACGAATTGTGAAATGTCATGGGAAGATATGTCGAATGCTGGTTTATTGCCTAATCTCGAAACACTTGAGATATATGGTCCCATAAAAGGATTGAAGTGGAAGCCGGGGGTCGGGGAATTTCTTCGCCTGAAAAAACTGAAAATGCAACGTAATTATTTAGTGCATTGGAGAGTTGGCGCCGCAAGCTTTCCCAAACTTGAGAAGCTTCGACTTACTAGTTTGAAGTCATTGAAGAAGATCCCTTCAAGTGTTGGAGATATACACACATTACAATCAATTGTGCTGGATGATTGCAGCCACTCTGCCATTGATTCGGTGAAGAAACTTTGGGAGGAGCAATTTGAGGTAGGAAATGAAATTACTATTCGTGTTATTAATCTAGGCGACGTCTCATATACAGTTGGTACTTGTACGGCAAGAATGACGGCAGCTGCTTGTGAATCTTTGGCTACTTTAAAATATCTTCAGCAAAAGACTCGAGGAGGTTGCTCGACTTGGCTGCGATTCTCTAGACAAAAAACAAATAGAAGCTTTGAAAGAAGACATTGATTTCTTGCAGCACTTTATCAAAGTATTTCATCCAAATAAAAGCCAAGAAATGGAAAATTTGTCGCGAGAAATAGCTCAGGCTGTCCATAAAGCAATGGTTGTGGTTCACAGGCTACATTTGGAAACTTTGACGCCTATATTCGATAACATCATCCTCGAAGATGTGGGGAGATTGTTGGAGCTAATAGACTTCATTAAGAGGGAGTTATCGGTAGCTAAAGAGGAAGAGAAAGAAGCGAACAAGCCGAGAGTTTTCAAATTGATGTTATCGATAATGATGTCGAATCACTGAGAATCATTTTGGAGAGGCCTGTTACTGATGAAGATTTGAGAGAGTATCGAATTAATTCTGTGACCGCGACAATGGCAGAGGCTGCTAGTTTACTTTGGTCTGAATTAGCTTGCATCCTGGAGCTCCTAAAGAAGGCTTATGAACTCAGCCGCCGTCATCTGAACATAAAGCAAATGCAAAATGTCGATGAATCCATCCGTTTTTTGCAGGATGTTGTCGAAGTTCATCCTGAAAGACAAATCCAAGAACTCGAGAGTTTATCATGGAAATTCGGCACTAGCTTTGATGTAGCAAACTATCTGCATTTCAAACATTGGCGGCAATCTCTTGACAATGTAGACGATGAAGATCTCGAATTCATCTTGAGAGACGTGGAAGGGATGGCAAACAACATATGCTTAATGATATTGTTCGCACAAAAAAGGGAAATCGATACTGATGAAGAAGAAGACTGTATTTCTGTTGACGATGAAGAAGGAGAAGACTGTACTGTTTATGATCAAGAAGATTATGATTCTGATAAAGATGAATAAGGTATATTTGTGAAAAAGGCTGATTTCTTTCCTGAAAATTTTACTTTCGTACTTACAAGGGTTTTACTTTAACATGTATATATACTTGTGCGTATTCTCTTCAAATTATTATTAAAGAAATATATTAGTAAAAATATTGACTGCCCCTCAAACGTAGATTCGTCAAACTCATCATCAAATTCTCAATTATCATGTGTATGTATCTTGTTTTCATTTAATTTTGTTATAGGAATTGATCGGCATGTGGAAATGATGGGTAAGACCACTAGTACGACTAAAAGTTTCTATGATTTTTTTGCTTCTTGTTGACCATTTTGATTTATGCATATATATTAAGAAACAATAGGAGAAAATGGATCATTAATTTTTCTGTGTTGTTCAAAATTTAATCCTGTATTTGAACTATTGAAGTTGGATAATTTCTCCAAACATGTTTAAGGTTGTTTTTATTAGGGGTGGGCAAAACAATCGAACCGGACTGCCGAACTGTTGAACCGAACTGAATCGAACTGGATTTTTGGTTAACAGAGCAAATTCGGTTCGAATACAAATATTGAATATTTGATATTTGCTCGGTTCGGTTCGGTTTCGGTTTTTGATATTTTTTTCGGTTCGGTAACCAAACCGAATATATTTATATATTTATGTTATTATATTTTAAATTTTATATTAATAGTTATATTCGATTCGGTTTCGGTTCGGTTACTGTTCGGTTTCGGTTCGGATATTTGAAATATTTGCAAATATTTTGATTTAATTAGAATTTTAATTAATTTTTAATATATTATTTTTTAATTTCAGTTCGGTTGGAATAATTTACAAATATTGCAAACATTTTCGGTTAACCGAAATTTTCAGTTCGAATACGGTTCACGGCTTCGGGTATTTGTTCGGTTCGGTTCGGATATCAAATACCTGCATATTTGCATATATCCAAATCGTGTCCACCCCTAGTTTTTATGATTCATTGATAATGGATGGTTTGTCAAGGTCGAATCCCTTTGGGGACAATACTTCTCCTAAAAGTTTAAACTGGTTGGGATACAAATTATTTATTTATTTATATATTTAAATATTATAGAGCCAATCAATAGTTTTCTTGTATATTTATGACAATTTCTCATTATACTAGATGATATTGTTATATATATTGTATGGACTTTTCAATGCAATGAAGAATATAGAAATTTTGTCCCAAAGTGTTGCATTCTTGTTGTTCCTATTCTTCCTTCCCAAATTGTAAATATTTTGTGTGTTTTTTGCTTCTAAATCCATTATAGATGTTTTGGGATTTCGATGCTTAGATTGAAATAATAATCAAGAAATAAAAGAATTTCATTTTACATATTTATGTATTGTAATAGTTTTGTATATAATAATAATCAAGAAATAAAGATCATTTTATTGCCGAATCCTCTACATTTTTTTTGTTAATTTTCTATTAGTTGATACGGGTTAATTATGGCAAGTCTTTTTTCTTTGTAATTTTTAATTTGTGATTTGTGTTAAACAAACTCTCTATGACAGGTTCAACTGAGAAGACCTCGACATAATTTGAATTCATGACCTTACGGTTATAAATTTGCCCACCCCACACCAACTTGGCCACACTTGGTTTTCTTGATATACACTTTCTTTGATTTGTTCTTTCAGGGTTTACTAGTTAATAAACATAACAATACCTAACTATTAATACTCCTAGTCCTAACTTGTGAAATTAATCAAAAGCTGTATTATTTACTAAACCGTGTTGATTTGTTGTTACATTGATTGTAAAGTCTACGACATATGAATTCTTAAATAAATAAAAGTTTGATGAAAAAATCAATGATAAATGACAAGTGGGGTGAATGCTGAATAATGGCAAAAGTATTAAGATCATTTACATCCATTTGATTTGTGATAAACATTGACCACACCTCCAAATTACTTCTCTTCAATCCAAATCAGAGAATCAATCTCTCACTGAGTTTTGCTGCAAAAACAATATCCACAGCTTTGATTAGACATGGCTGTTGCTGCTTATGCATCCTTGGTTTCTCTCACTCATGTCCTCGACAATCTCCACTACCGCGCCCGATTTAATATCCCTCGTGCTGACATCAACCAAGTTGAAGCTCTCCAGAAAAATGTCAATTCCTTGCTGGAATTTGTTGAGCTTCATTCCCAAAGGAAGATCCCTGAGCTTCGAGGTTTGTGGAGGAAAATGGCTGAGGCTGCCGCTGAAGCAGAAAGTGACATCAACTTCCATGTAGCCAATCTACTCTATGCCAAATCTCAAGGAGAAACGAGTGATACTTCAAGCTTCTCAGCTTTCTGTGATGAAATGGAGACACTGATCCAAAAGTTTTGTTCCATTGAAAAAGAGTTTCCGGTGATTGAAGAAGTCGGGGAAGATGCTCCAGCTCAAAAGCAATCCAATTATGCTTCTGTTGCTGCTGGTGGTTCGCCTGCAGCTACATCATATGTCAGCAGTGTTGTGGTTGGACTGGATGAGCATGTGAACACGATCAGGGACAAGCTCGTCAGAGGTAGATCTAAGCTCGAAATCCTCCCAATTGTCGGCATGGGAGGTATTGGTAAGACCACTCTCGCTAAAAGTCTCTATGATGATTCATTTGTTGTCGACCACTTTGATTTGCGCATCTGGCTTACTATATCTCAAGAATATAGTGCTGAACAAATCCTTAAAGTTGGTCTTGAAGGAAATGCAGGAGAAAACGAACGTTTAAATGAGTTGGGAACTAGATTCTACCAAAAATTATTCGGTAGAAGGTACTTGATTGTTATGGATGACATGTGGTCAACTGGACCTTGGGATGAGTTACGGAGGTATTTTCCAGATAATGAGGACGGAAGCCGTATTTTGTTGACGACTAGACTCTCAAACATGGCTGCTTCTTTGGGTTCTCATGATCCTTATCGATTAACATTTTTAGATGAGAATGAAAGTTGGAGTTTATTATGTCAAAATGCATTTTCTCCAACTGGTTGTCCGGGTCATTTAGAGAAGCTTGCACAGAAAATTGCAAAATGTTGCAGAGGGCTTCCTTTAGAAATTGTTGTTGTGGGCCGGTTGCTTGCCAATTCTGACATGACGGTGAAACATTTGGAGAATGTTGCAAATCATATTAGCTCACTCGCTAATTTGGAAGATAAAGAGCATTGTAAAAAAATACTATCTTTAAGTTACGAGAGTTTATCCATTCATCTCAAACTATGTTTTTTGTATTTGAGAGTTTATCCTGAAGATAGTGAAATTGAAGTCTCAGAGCTAATTGAGTCTTGGATATCTGAAGGATTCATTAAATCAACGAGTAATAGAAGTTTAGAAGCTATTGCAAAGGAGTATGTAAAAAGCCTCATTGATAGGAATCTAATATTTGATCGGGATGAAAATGGATGCGGCATTCACGATCTTTTACGGGATCTTTGTTTAAGAGAGTCCGCCGATGAATGTTTTCTCCAATTTCCTAGAAGGCAACATGTTGAAACATGGTCTAGAAGAGTTTTGCACTGTACTCTTTGTCAAAAAAGACTCGAGGACAAAGAAGGAACGCATATAGTGCAACCATGTCATATATTTGGATTATCGTCACAAGTTAATCCTCTTGTATGCGATGGTTGTACTATGTTGTATTCCCATATTAAAAGACATAATTTGGTGGAGATTGTGAATTACGATGGTGGTTTTGACTTGAAACATTTTCCGCCAATAGAATTACGTTGTATTTATATATCGTGGATGAAATCATTTTCTCATTCAACATTAAAGTTACTTTGGAATCTTCAAACTTTCTTCATTTCGTACTCATCAATTAAGGATTTTCCTCCAGAGATATGGGAGATGCCACAACTAAGAGAGATTGGATGTTCATACAGACTCGAAGTTCATCTACCTGATCCTATAGCCACTGATATTAATGGAAGAGATTTCATTGTCCTGAATGACCTTCACACCGTACATGGAATCTGTAATTTCAATTGTTCCAAACAAATCATTGATCGGATCCCATATTTGAAGGAATTGAACGTTTATTATAAAGATGGATCTGAGGGCGATGTGAAACAGATGAACTATTCTCTATGTAATCTTGAGCAGCTACAGAAACTTGAAACTCTAGTTATAACAGATTCTTCGGAGAAGATGGCCTTCCCTAATTAGCTCAAACATTTGCCTTTAAAGAATTGTAGAATGGTTTGGGAAGATATGTCGGTTTGCTGCCGAGTCTTGAAACACTTAGGATATCCGGTGGCGTGCAGGGGTCAGAGTGGGAGCCTGTTCGAGGGGAATTTCGTCGCCTGAAAGAATTGGACATTAGCAATAATGATTTAGTGTGTTGGAGAGCTGAATCGGTGCACTTCCCTATTCTTGAGAGGCTTCGACTTACAAATTTACGTTTATTGGAGGAGATCCCTTCCGGCATTGGAGATATACTAACACTGAAATCGATTATTGTGAAGGATTGCAGTGAGTCTGTCATTGATTCGGCAAAGGAAATATGGGAGGAGCAACACGAGTTCGGAAATGAGATTAGAATTGATGTTACTGATAGAGAACATGAGGTCGAATATCAAATTGGTACTTTCACAGCAAGAATGACAGGAGCTGCATGTCGATCAATGGCTTATTTAATATATCTTCATAAAACACTCGAGAAAGTTTCTCAGCATGGCCGCCACTCTCTAAACACAGAACAAATGGGAGCTGCGGACGAAGCCATCCATTTTTTCAAGGACTTTGTTAAAGTTTTTCACCCAAGAAAAAGCCAAGAAATCGAAAGCTTGCTAAGCATAATAGCCCTGGCTACCAATAAAGCAAATGCTGTGATCCGCAGGCTACACTCGGAAACTTTGATGCCTATACTTGGTAAATGTGTCCGTGAAGATGTGGAAAGACTGTTGGAAAAGATAGATTTCAAAAGAAAGGCATTGTCGAAAGTCAAAGAAGACGAGCAAATTGATGATGTTGCCGATGATGACGCCACATCCTATGATATCAACTCACTGAAAATTCGAGGGGAACTTCCTAACAGGGATGAAGATTTGAGAGAATATCAAATTGGTTCTGTCACGGCAACAATGACGGAGGCTGCTAGTTTAATCTGGTCTGATTTAGCATGCAACCTGGAGGTTCTCCGAAAGGCTTCTGAGCTCGGCCATCGTCATTTAAACAAAAAGCTAAAGGAAAATGTCGAGGAATCCATCCATTTCCTGCAAGATGTTGTTGAAGTTCATCCTCAAATTACACTCCAAGAAATCAATGTTGTTCACAGTTTTCACTTGAGAAATCTTCTCATACCAGCTGAGCATCTGAATTCGAAGCATCTTTGGCGACGATCTCTGGAAGATGCAACTGATGAAGAAATTTTGTCCTTCTCTAAGGATGTGAAATATGTTTCGACATATTTAGAATATAGCAAAGGAATTTTAGTAATGCCTCAAAATTGAAGAAGATAGAGTCACTCAATCATAAGGTATTTATTTTTCTGAGAAACACACATTCACAGTAACACACAATCTTGTTTTCATTTTCCAATTATTCCTATTTAATTTTTCATCATATTCATACAATATTTTTTGTCTCTATTTGTCCGAAGAATTAACTGATGAAAGAAATACTAGTCAGCAAAATTAGGCACGAACATTCCATCTGAATCCGACACGAAAAAAAATATGTTTGGGCCTCAAAAAATAAGCTTGAATTATTTGGATCGTGTCTAGTCCGAGACGCAAATTAAACGGGCCGTGCCCAAGCCCATGGAAATCGAACCATTCATCGTTGGACCCAGTTTATTAAATTTAATGTTTAAATTTTAATATATTTATATATATATAATAACCAAATAATTAATTACAAAAATTAAAGTGTAGTATGATGGTAAAGCTCTTGAGTTGCTTGGATTTGGTCGTGGGTTAAATTTCAGCTTACACGTACAAATTTTATTAAATTAATTTGAAATTAAAAAACAAAATAATAAGTTTTAAATAAAAATTGGGCTGGCCCGACCCAGCCCGGTTCAGATAACGGACTGAAAAAATAGGTTCAGTCGGAATTGCCATCCTTAATAAATATAATTTGCACAAGATAGTGATTGTAATATATCTTTGGTTTGTTAGTAATATTTTTTCAGTTGGAATCATACCCTAAAAAAAAAAAAAAAAACATTCTTATTATGATCAAACCCTTATTCTTTTATTTAAAATGTTAATATTTTAAACACGGCTAAACAAAATAATTAGAATTCAAATCATCCACATCATGCTAACCAATAGATACTTCCACATGTGTACATGTACCTAACCAAACAAAATATTTTCAACTTGTATGATTCCCGAGTCTTGATGAACATATTTTTATGTACAAATCAATAATATATTGGCAAGTGGAGTCAATAATAAAAAAAGTACCAACCCCAATGATTAATCTTAACATAAAACTTAATTTCAGATCTGAACATTTTTGTTGCAGAAACAATATCGAGAGCTTTTAGTCAGACATGGCTGTTGCTGCTTATGCATCATTGGTTTCTCTTACTCATGTCCTAAATAATCTCCACTATCGCGCCCGCTTTAATCTCCCTCAAGCTGACATCAAACAAGTCGAAGCTCTTCAAAAAAATGTCGATTCCTTGCTGCAATTTGTCGAGCTTCATTCAGAAAGGAAGATCCCCGAGCTTCGAGGTTTGTGGAGACAAATGGCTGAGCTTGCATTCGAAGCAGAAGGTTCTATCAATTTCCATGTGGTCCATCTACTCCATGAAAGATCTCAAGGAGAAACGAGTGATGCTTCGAACTTCTTAGCTTTCTGTGAAGAAATGGAGACACTGATCCAAAACTTTTGTTCCATCGAAAAAGACTTGCCGGTGCTTGAAGAAGAAGGGGAGGATAATCAAGCTCAAAAGAAATCCAATGTTTTTGTTCCTTCTGGTGGTTCGCCTGCGGCTTCGTCATATGTCAGCAATGTTGTGGTTGGACTGGATGAGCATGTGAACACGATCAGGGACAAGCTCGTCAGAGGTAGATCTAAGCTCGAAATTCTCCCAATTGTCGGCATGGGAGGTATTGGTAAGACCACTCTCGCTAAAAGTCTCTATGATGATTCATTTGTTGTCAACCACTTTGATTTGCGCATCTGGCTTACTATATCTCAAGAATATAGTGCTGAACAAATCCTTAAAGTTGGTCTTGAAGGAAAGGCAAGAGAAAACGAAAGTTTAGATGAGTTGGGAACTAGATTCTACCAAAAATTATTCGGTAGAAGGTACTTGATTGTTATGGATGACATGTGGTCAACTGGAGCTTGGGATGAGTTATGGAGGTTTTTTCCAAACGATGAGAATGGAAGTCGTATTATGTTGACGACTAGATTCTCAAACATCGGTGCTTTTTTGGGTTCTTATGATCCTTACTCATTGAATTTTCTAGATGAGAACGAAAGTTGGGATTTATTTTGTCAAAATGCCTTTTCACGAAAGGGTTGTCCATATCGTCATTTAGAGAGTTTTGCAAAGGAGATCACAAAATGTTGTCGAGGGCTTCCTTTAGAAATTGTTGTTGTTAGTCGTTTGCTTGCTAATTCTGACATGACCGCAAAATATTGGGAGAATGTTGGAAAAAATATTAGTATGCTTGCTAGTTTGGGAGATGACGACCATTGTATGAGAATTTTATCTTTAAGTTACCAGAGTTTACCTATCCATCTCAAACCATGTTTTTTATATTTGAGAGCTTTTCCTGAAGATAGTCGGATTAATGTCTCAGAGCTAGCCGACTTATGGATTGCGGAAGGATTCATTAAAGCAAAAAGGAGTAGAAGTTTGGAAGATATTGCAATGGAGTATGTCAAAAGTCTCATTGATAGAAATCTAATATTTTGGAGGAATACAAATCGATGTGGCATTCATGATCTTTTACGGGATCTTTGTTTAAGAGAGTTTGACAAAGAATGTTTTCTCCGATTTCCTAGGAGGCAAAGTGTTGACATAGTATCAAGATATGGCATGCATTGTAATCTTTGTTTTAAAAGACTCGAGGATAAAGAAGGAATGGATGTTTCGAAACCATTTTACGTATTTGGATCAACATCACAAGTTAATCTTTTTGTTTGCCGAGCTTGTAAAATGGTTTATTCTCGTATTAAGAGGCCTAGTTTGGTGAAGGCTGTAAGTTACATAGATAGTTTTGACAAAGATATTTTTCATCCGATAGAGTTGCGTCGAGCTAGTTTAGATTATGCAAAAGTATTGTCTCCTTCAACATTACACTTACTTTGGAATCTTCGAAGTTTAAAATATAGTTTAGGTTCTTCACATGTTGTTCTACCACGAGAGATTTGGGAGATGCCGCAACTCAGAGATATTCAATCATCGGGTGATGTTGTTTTACCTAATCCTATAGCCATTGATATCGAGGAGAAAGATGTTCTTGTCCTAAAAGACCTTCACACCATAGATGGAATAAAAAATCTCATGTGTACAAAGGAAATCATTGCTCGAATCCCGAATTTGAAGAAATTGAAGGTTCATTATAGTCATGAATATAAAAAGAGAGCGCAACGATCGAACTATTCTCTATGTAATCTTGCGCGACTACAAAAACTCGAATCTTTATTTATAGGTGGTAGCTCGGTGTGCACGACCTTCCCTAAGTCACTCAAGGAATTGTCGTTGTGGTTCTACAGAATGACGTGGGAAGATATGTCGATTGTTGGTTCATTGCCTAGTCTTGAAAAACTTTCAATATGTGGTGGCATCCGAGGATCCGAATGGGACTTGGTTGAAGGACAATTTCGTCGTCTGAAAAAACTAGCCGTCGCATATAATGATTTAGTGTGTTGGCGAGCTGAGGCAGCGCACTTCCCGGTTCTTGAAATGCTTACGCTTCAAAGACTACGTTTCTTGGAGGAGATCCCTTCGAGCATTGGCGATATACTAACGTTGCAAACAATTATGTTGGACAGCTGCCGCGACTCGGTTATTGATTCGGCGAAGCAAATATGGGAGGAACAATACGAGGCGGGAAATGAGATTCGAATTGAAGTTATTGATAATGTTCGCGACGTCTCATACAAAATTGGTACTCATACTGCAAGAATGACAGGGGCTGCTTGCGAATCTTTGGCATATTTAAAATGTCTCAATGATAGACTCGAGAAGATCGCTGAAAATGGCCGCCACTCTCTAAACCGAAAACAAATAGAAGGTGTCGAGGAAGATATACATTTCTTGCGGGAATTTTTGAAACATTTTCACCTAAGTAAAAGCGAAACAATCGAAGGTGTGTCGAGGGAAATAATGGCTCAGGCTGTCCGTAAAGCAGAGGTTGTAATCCGTAGGCTACGTTTGGAAACTTTGACGCCTATATTTGGTAAGAACATCCTCGAGGATGTCGCAAGATTGTTGGAAAAAACAGAGTCGATAAAAAATGAGCTAAGGGTGACTAAAGAAGGAAAAGAAGAAGATGGCGAGGCTGGATACGAAAGAGTTCAAATTGATATCGACTCGCTTAGAATTCGACAGGTAGCGCCTGTTAATGATGAAGATTTGCGAGAATATCAAATTGGTAGTGTCGTCGCGACAATGACAGAGAATGTTAGTTTAGCTTGGTCTGAATTAGCATGTGTCCGGGAGGTTCTCCGGAAGGCGTATGAACTCGGACACCATTGTCTAAACATGAAACTAATGGAAAAGGTCGAGGAATCCATCGATTTCTTGGGGGATGTCGTCGAAGTTGATCCTGAAAATAAAATCCCAAAGATTAAGAGTTTCTTGGTGATAAGCTCTCCTCTCTCTGAAGCAGAAGTTATGAATTCGAAGTATCTATGGCGGGAATCTTTGGAAGATGTAAGTGATGAAGAAATCTTATCCTTCTCGAAACTTTTGGAAACATTAACAAACCAGACAAAGCTTATAAAGGGGAGACTAATGGGGAAAAAAGAAGACAATGCTACTCTAATTAAGGTATATTTCATTCATGAAATTTTTGGTTTATTATCATTACATTTTTTTTTTTTCATCTATTTGTATTTGATTCATTCATCGAGCTATATTTATAGTGATGTACTGCCTGTCGGTTGACTCCCGTTAGTAAATAAATAAATAATATGTATGTGAGTCGATCATTTACATCATTTAACATGGTATCATAGCCGATATATATAAAAGTATTTTATCTGTTTAGTCTTATACCTTTGGAAAAATTAAAATGATATTCACATATATATATAATGATATTTTTTATAAAACACATGCAGAATAGCATAAAACCTATACGTGGTTTATAAAAATTACGTAAAATCCATTGTTTTAAAGTTGCATGAGACTTCTTTATAGTTTAAAGAATTCTATGTTTAACCCTTTCTTTCGTCAACAGAGGCTTAGTAGTTACCATTTCTTAAATTATCTTCACAGTTAAAGCGCGTGTAGAATAATCGCCTAATTAATGACAAAATGCGATTAAACATACAATTTTTGAAACTATTCTAATGCAGTTTTTAAAAATTAGGAAGTTTGGCGCAATTTTCATAAACCATTTATTTACGATTTTCCCTGTATGATATGCTTCGGAACTATAACAATAAATTTATATCAATCAATTATTACTACGTATGTACGTAATATGTGTCAACTCATCAATAATATAGAGAAATCGATAATAATAACACAATTATTCTATGCAGGAATCAAACGCGGATGACAATTCACAATCTTCATCTTGACATAGGATCTATTCTCTAAGTATAATATAGAGATCTTCGGTACGTAAAACTTAAATCTATTTGCATGGATAAACTTCTCCTCTATCTTCCTGTTGATCTTTTGGTCGATGAAAATATGAAATTATTATGCTGCTGCATTTTATATAATATCTCGTTGACAGGTTGAGGAGGTAACCGATTTTTATTTGGCGACATGGAAGATTGAGACAAGAAGAATGGAATCACTCCTAATTCTTCTTCTTCATCATATGCAATATTCGTAAATTTCTTTACTCTTCATATTCATTTTTGTTAAGATATAGATTTGAAAAATATATTTATGATTGTTACTAGTTGTTATCTTCGTTGGATTTTGGTTGATCTCAGCAGATTGTCTGGACGTCTGATGGACTTCTATTGAAGACTGGGCCTTCGTTATTTCAGCTCAAATGTTATGGAGGCCCATTTAGCCTATGTCTCAGAAACCGCTTGAATACGACGATTGTGGTTCAGGTGATGACATGATGAAAAATTTTCTCGCAAATATATGATGTTCATATATCTCAAAGTTCCGATAATTTTGATAGTGGATTACGTTTGAGTTGGAATCCTCAGATGTAGGCTGGCGCAGCCGATCTGGATTAACATTCGTAGTCTGCCCCAGGAGCAAACAACTAACTTGTGATTTGTGTATTTACTAGTTTATTGTTCATCTAAGTGTTTGGTGTTGCTGTTTGTGAGTTGCTCGATTTTGGGGCAACAATAATTATGGTATTTGTCTTATTTAATAAATTCGTAGAACTTTTGCTTGGTTAGAAGATTTGTATGCCGCTATCATACTAGGCCCGACAAAAATATTAGCCGTTTGCTTGCTAACATAAAACGGTCGTGAAGGAAGGCGAACATTTCTTGCGGGAACTTGTGAAACATTATGACGTGAGTAAAATCGAAGCAGTCGAAAGTCTGGCACCTATATTCGCTAAGAACATCCTTAAAGACATCGAAAGATTGCTCGAAAAAATAGTCAACAAAAAGATTGCTATTGGTCGCGAAAGAAGACGAGGCTGGGTACGAAAGCTTTCAAATTGATCGCTATTGGTCGCTATCGGTTGTCATCATCTAAGCGAAATCTTATCGTTCTCTAGGGATGTCGAAAGAGTGACAGGAATTGTAGACAGGATAAAACATAGTCTACACGATGATGCTATTGATGACTCTATTTAAGGTATGTTTCATTTTTCGAATTTGTTATTTATTGTCCTTTGCCGACAGTAATAGACTGTAAATTACGCCAATAATACACACATAAAAAATATTTGATTTTCATTTAAAATATCACATCAAACACCTATTAATATAGCATTAAATCCAGATTCAAACAAGAAATACACCCTAAAGTACCTTAGATATTCACGATCCCTTGATTTGGCTTCACAAAGTCATCAATTGTTTCTTCTTCTTCCGTTAGCTCGTTGCTCGAATTACACATCGTACTTTCGGATCTTGAGAGGTGAACTTTCATATCCATCACCAATAACATTCCAAACATCAAAGAAATCAAGAAATCCCCGTCTTGTTGCTCCATAATCACAGCATAGAGTATGAGCAGACGAAATCTTCGAGATTTGATAATAACCTATTGCTCTGATACCAAATTTAGGAGGACAGAAGTGATCTCTCAAATCTTGTTCATAGAGTAAACATAAGTTTGCTAATCCAAGAGCAAATTGAATGCCTAGTTTACTAATACTTCCTAAATCATCATGATACGGCTTCTTATCGTGCACATAATGCAATCCATGACCATTTTAAACATAATAATTACCTGCGACAAGTGGCTGCGATGGGGTTGTAAGTAGTCATTGAACTTCATGGTTTACGGAGACGATCGCGCCATGAGCCTTGCTGCTTCATCAGAATCTGCCGAGGCAATCCAAAATGTAGCAGAATTAAATTATCACTTTGTGGATCACTCATATTAGTCGCTTATAGGCTGAATATTCAGATATATGGTTTAGATTCTGCCAAATCCGAAATTTTGTAAAAAATTAATCCAAGCCAAACTAAATTGTTTGAAATTCAAATTTCCAAAACACGAAATATAAAATCCAAATTGCATAATATATTCAAAATTCCAAAAATCCATTTAAAAAAAAAAAATAGATAGATTCATTAATATATATATAACGTCCAACAAATCAAAAAACAAACACAGGTAAATATGTTCCACATGCGATTTTAGTTGCTAATAAATGCATATCATTGCCTTTAGCCATATTATGAACAGAGAAACAGATTTAAGTAACATACAGAATTTTCACCTGGTCACTTAGGAGACTAGCAGCAGGAGGGGCAGTTTCAATGCTTTGTTTGCCGGGGCTCTCTTCTTCTGCTTCCTCGACTGTTTCTGGAGGTAGCGGATATGAAGAGCCTCCAAACATTGCTTCGTCATGAGCAACCTTAACTGTTTCTTCTCGTTTTGCCTATACAAAATTAAAACAAAATTTGACTCTAAAACAAATGGCTTCTTATAAAACAAACTCTAAAATACCTCAACAGCCGAGAAACGAAAGCTTTGACCAATGCGCTTGACAACTTCTGAGTCATCATCCACAGCTGCCAATAGGTGATAAACAATGTCATTGCACTACTCAACAAAAAAAATCGAAGAAAAAAAAAAGCTTGTCAGAACGATCCTTTAAGTAAATGTATTTGTTTTCTTTATATGAGGGAAAAAGAAAATAAAATGTTTTCTAAGATAGCAATGAAGAAGTAAAATGTTCAATATAATGTGTTCATTAGCACAGCCAATCAGGGAAACATAATTGTTTTGGGATGCATATTAAAGTTAACCTTCAACTTCCTCGTCGTCAAGAGGGGCATCCTTGTTGAATTCAAATCGCTCCCACCCTGTGCCCTGGCCAATTGCTTCATCATTTTCGGCTGTAACAGCAACACGTTGATATTTCCATTAACAAGAAAAATGCCCGAGCTAAAGGACTACTCGATTTCCAAGGAAAATACTAAAGAATTGAATGAGGGTAGATACCAGTTTTCGACAGCTGAAGCTTCATCTTGGCTTTGACTCTTTCGGCCGGTGTCTATTACAACAAAAAAACTCGGCCATCACCAAAATTCGAGATAGCTAACCAGTAATAACTAGTTGAATTCACATGATTGATCCACCTTAAACAAGTACTTTTTTAATCTTTGGGGTAGACAGATTACAGATTTCTTCTTTGCTCAACAAAAATCCCAAATCGAAAATTGATTCATACTAACAATCACATTGTTCAAAGGGGTAGCCATTCAACAACTAGAATCTCAAACACAGTATTGCAGCTCCAATCGACAACAAATTGTAATGCATCAAGCGAGATAAACAATCGATCCATTGCCAAAATGCTAAACGAAAACTCAGTCCATGAAATGAATGTTGTAGAAGATCTACACTGTTTACATAAACACCTTTGGAAGTTTTAACAATATTCATCAAAAATAACTTTTCAAGAAACCTCATATCAAATAACTATTTTCGCTCACGACACATCAAATCAAATACTCCCATTTTTTAATGTTCTCAACATTTCTAAAAGCTACAAAAACTTCTATTCCAAAAATTATCTGAAACTCCAAAACATCACATCAAATTAACAATTGGTATGGCACTAAATGAACAGATGAAACAAACAAAACCTTCAGATCAGTTGTACTCTTTTATGGATTTTTCAAGATTTTTCATTCTTCAATTAATTTCTACAGCTTCAATTTCACAGATTATCTCAAAAATGTGCAGAATCCAGTAAAGAACTCAAATTTCAAAGCACAGAGTCATCAATTTCATTCAATTGAAAGCAAGAATGCAGAATAATCAAATTCCCCAAATCAGAAAATTACCATATTGTCATAACCTTCGATTAATTTGGGGTAATCAATTGCAGCACCGCCGCCCTTTTTACTCTTCTCCGGCCTCCTTCCCGCCGGCGACGGTCTCCTTCCACTCCTCTCTTTGTTCCGTTCTCCGCTCCTGCTTCTACTCCTGGACCGATTTTTCCGCCTGGAGTCATATTCCCGGCTCCGGCTCCGGCTCCTCTTCCTCGACCTCCTATCGCGGCTCCGGCTACGTCTCGAATGCCTATCGCGGCTCCTACTTCGACGCCTCGACCGCTTCTCCTTATGCTTATCTCGGCTAGGACTACGGCTCCGGCTCCGGCTTCGGCTCCGTTTGCGGCTAGGGCTACGGCTTCGCTCCTTTTCTACGGGCTTCTTACCGAGCTTCTTCTGGATCGATTGGAGCTGCGATTCCTTTTCGAATTCGGCGGTTTTGGAAGGACTCGATGCTTTGACGAAGCTACTAAGAAAAGACGAGGTTGTTGGGAGCGCGGAGCCTCTGGCGGGAACGACATCGTCGGAAGATGGTGTAGCTGACGAGAAACCAAGTCCTTGCTTAAATCGGGCGGCGCCGCCGCCTCTCCGTGTCAGGTCGTCGTAGTAGGCGGCGAGCTTCTCGTCCTCCATGATCTGCGGCAGCGCAGATTCGGCGGTGACGAAATCGCCGTAGGGAAAGGCAAAAATAAAATTATTATTATTATTATTATTATTATTATTAAAATAAAATAATTAATTGAATGGGCCTGCAACGATAAGTTAGTTAAGATAATTGGGCCCTGTAATGATGGGCTCAGATAAATGTAAATGGGCAACATAACAGTCTAATTACTATAGTGTGTTTGTTTGGGCTTTCTTGAAAAAATTTAATTATTCATAATTATTTTTCTAAAAAATATTCAAATATCAGTTTTTTAATATTTATTAAAATAAAATAAATTTAAATTTAAGAGATGGTACAAGTACTTATTTATATCATATATAAAAAACTACTTAAGCTCTAATATTTATTATTAAAATTTAAAATTATGTTTTAATGTGATTTGAAATTGTTAAAAAATAAAATGTTAATATTTGAATTTTTATCAAAATAGTATTCTAAAGTGTATTTTACGAGAAAAAAAAATATATTATTATTAAAAATTATATAAATAAATAGTATTAATTTTAATTTTAAATTATAACCAAATATATAGTGAACTCAAAATTCAATCTTTCAAACAAATATACCTAAGTTTGTTTGCATTAAAGGTATATTTATTTTGTAAAATAATTTGAAAATAAATTTTTATTTTATGTAAAATATGGAGAACTGTCAAAAAAATAAATATATAATAATAATGATAAATATATATGATATATTAATATTTTTTAAAAAAAAAATATTTTATATATTTTTTTTGTTAAAAGAACAAGCCCGAAGAATTACGGAGTAGGTTTGAAATTTAAGAATCTTGGGTGTGTTTGTTTACGCTCCAAATTCATATTTCTATTATTTATATTCTAAATTTTTTAAATTTTTTATAAAATATTATATTATACATTATTTTAATATCAAATATAAATAAAAAAAATTTCAATGGACACATAAGTTTTTATTGATGCTCTTAACAAAATAAATAAATTTAAATCAATATATTGAATGGAGGATTTGACTTTACTAAAGATTACACATTGCTTTTCTTTCATGTCTTATCATATCTTTTCATATACAAAAATCTAAAATTACATAAAATAAAATTTAAAAAAAAAAACTAATAAAATTATTTTGGGTTTTATTTTTGTATTTTAATTTTATATTTTAATTCAAATATACTCCCTCCGTCCCATATAACATGGGTGTATTATTATAGACACGGAAATTTAGGTAAAATATAATTAGTAAGTAATTAAGAAGTGTATTAGTAAAAATAATTATTATTTAGTAAAAATAATTATAGATTAAGATTAAGATAAGTAAATAGTTTAATTAAAATTAGAAAAATTATAAAATTTTAAATTTAAAATGCGATTAAAGTGTATAATTATATTTTTAAAAATAGAAATGACAAGTTATGTGTGACGAACGAAAATAAAAAATATGGACAAATTATGTGGGACGGAAGGAATAATATTTTTAAAATAAACTAAGATATTAAAATAAAAAAGTGTAAGATTGAATGATAAAAATAATAAATAAATAAATAATCAAACTTCAAATAAACAAAATTATGTTTACTAGGGAATGTTTCAAAGGTTTATTTGTGCAGTTTTCAATAGAAAAAAAAAAAAAAAATTATTTGTCAATGAAAGTTTATAAGAGTTTTTTATTTTTTTATTTTTTATTTATTTTTATATATAAAATAATAATATTCGCAATTTAAATAAACGTTGATATAATTTTTTGAATGTAAAATTGATTTTTATTATAATATATAAAATAAAAAAATAAGTATTTAATTTTATACTTTTTTTTAAAAAAAAAAATTGATTAATATTGAATATTTTACAAAATATCTTAAACAAACACACTCTAACTATCTCTAAATTTGGAGAAGTGATGTAACGCCACGTGTTATTTTCAGAAAGAGAAAAAAAGAAAACAAATCGCATAAAAATAAATGCGTCTGAAGAGTGATACGCCGTATGGGACAGGCAAAACATCAGGATCTTGTTTGATTTATATTTACTTGGAATTTCGAGATATTATTGTCATTTCATTTTAATGACTCTATTCATTTATTTTTTTTTAAAAAAAAAAACAATAATATTCCAATAATAATAAAATAAATTAAAATATTCTTCCACGTTATTAGTAAGGGTGTTTTTCTTTTTTGGTTAAATTTAAAAAATTTTGATTTGAGTTTGATACTTAAAAAAAAAAATATATATTTAATGGAATATTTTATGAAATAAAAAAGTACTTCCTCTGTCCTAAATATAGTGCAATATTTTTTTTTTCCAAATTCACTGCAATATTTTTAAATTTATAAATAATTAATAATATTTTTATACATATATTAATATACACTTCATTTTATCCTATCACATCACTCAGATAAAAAAAAAACAAATAATAATTTATCTTTCCAATCACATCACTTAATATCTAGATTATCTCAAATTACCATACTTAATATTCCCCGCCTAAATTCTTGTGCCAAATACAAATATTGCACGGTGTTTGAAACGGAGAGAATACATTTTTTTTCAAAAAATACGGAATCAAAATAGTAAAATTTGAAAAAATTGGTTTAAAGAAACAAACCATAAGTTTCTTATTTGATCTTTTATATAAATTAAAACAAATTAGTATTTTATAGATATATATATATATAATAAAGTAGTACAATGACTATTTTATCGTTTACATTAGGGTGTGTTTGTTTGGAGTTTGGATTTTGAGTTGAGATTTGAATTAGTAAAAATTTTGAATTTGAATAGTTGTATAATGTAATATAAATAGGTGTTGATGTGATCTTTTGAATTTAAAATTAATTTTTAGTATAATATGAAAATGAAAAATAGGTGTTTGATTTTATATTTTTTGGGGGGAAAAAATTGGATAAATAGTGTAAATCCAATCAAATCCCCCAAACAAACACACCATAATGTGAAAAATAAATTGTATAAATATTTTGGTATTTAATTAAAAGTTTTTTTTTTATGAAAAAAATAAATGTAAAATTTTTATTTGAATAAACTAAAATGATAGAATAAAAACAGTAAATGGACGGAGAAAGTAAAATTTTAAAATGACAAATTATGTGAGACAAAATAGAAAATATGGACATTTATGTTGGATGAAGGGAGTACTAAAATCAATTTTATATTCAAATTATTACAGCCTATTTATATTGTATTATATAACTATTCTAATTTAAAAATTTTTATATTCAAATCTCGTCAAAAAAATCAAACGGCAAAACAAACACACCCTTACATTTGGCAGTGATTTGATGAATCGGTCATTTCGGTGCTGTCAACTTTTCCTCTTTCGGATTCTTTCCACCTGCCCTTCCGGTCTAAATAAAAATAAGATAATAATTTATTTCTAAAAATTATAAAATAAATAAATAATTATTTTAAAATTTATTTAAGATATTTTTTTGTATTTTTTTTAATAAAACTTGTATTATAATTTAGATTTTTATTTAGAATAAAATATTAATTTTTAAATAAAAATAATATTTTATATAAACTTTACATTAATATAAAAAAATTTCACGTAATAAATAAAACACATAATATTTTTATTATATAATTTACTTAAATTTTCAAAGTTATACCAACATTATGTAATAAAAAAAACTCAAAATAACTGGGGGCGAAGACCCTTGAGCACTACTAGCTTCGATCAAGAATTCATATGGCATATCCTGCCACACACATAGTTCGTCTAATATGACTTTTTCGTCGGATCTAGTTTGTAGGATATTAGGTTCGGCCGGAGATTTACCCAGTACACACTTTCGAGTAGCGGTTGCGGATTTCTACGTAAAAAAAAAAAAAAAAAAAAAAAATCATATAGCATATGTTCTGTAAAAGTGGAGCATGTGCTATATTTAAAAGGTTTGTTTTTAATACTCTTGATTAGTATTATTTAGATTTTTTTTAATAAATTTTATTTGAAAAAATCATTATGGCATCGTATGTTTTATAAGAATATATCCGTTTTTGTATTACATTTGTATTATATGAAAATAAATGATGTGTTATCTAAATAATAATCTATATTTTTCTAAAATCTTGAATTATTATTCAAATAAAAAGATGAGGAACTAAATGAAATACTAATATTTATTCAAAATATTTTCATTTAATCAAAACACCCTCTTACACGACGCATTATTTTCTTCTTATCGATTTTTCATCGCTTTCTATCTAGCAATACATTGTCCCTTATAGATCTATTCGTCTAGATCATTATATTTTATTTATATTTTTCAACTTAATTCTCTATTTTATGCAATAAAATAATCCATTCTTAATTCTTTATTAATTTTTTTTCTACATTTTTTGTTTTTATTATTTGTCTAGGGTCTTATTTTTTTGTTTGAATTTGAATAATAGCTTGAATTTTATGTTATATTTGAAATTTTTATGTATGTAATTATGATTTCAAGACTATGTTTATATAAAAAAAAAATAAAATAAAAGCCAAAATTTATTATTTAAAATTGGTAATTTGATTTTTAGTTGAATATAATATTTTAGTTTGATATATTGAAAAAAATATATATACTTTTAATGAGAAATATATGGTGATCGAATAATAAAAAATCTAGGGTGTGTTTTGTTAGGAATTTGAATTTTATGTTCGAATTTTTTCTAAGAAAAAATTGAATTTAAATAACTATATGATGTATTTATTATAAATAAATGTTTAATTTATATTTTGAATATAAAATTAATTTTAAATATATGTTTAATTTATTTTTATTTTTTTGAAAAAAAAAATCTAATAAGTATAGTAGAATTTTTGGGCAAAATTTTACGACTTGGAAAACCCAAAAAGACGTAATTCCTGTCGTTGGTCAATTTGTTTTCCCATCAACATTTATTACTATACTCGTTTTATTTGATGATATATTTTGAGGAATTCAATAATCAAATAGTTAAATTAAGGTACAACAGATTTCAGCACAATGTACAAACGTAATGAAGCGTGAGAATTTTAAAGTTGGTCAAAGTTTGAATCTTGTAGGAAATGGTTTTCTAACCAAGTGGGAAAAGAAAAAAACATCCTCCCTCCGGCCCGTTGGAATCGTGACGTTTGTTTTTTCACGTAGATTTTTAAATATTAGTATTATATTAGATTGTAGTAAAAAAAACAAAAATACCCTTATTAATATGGTGTAATATAAAAGTAATGATATTTGTGTAATATATTGTAAGTTGAAAGGGTATTTATTATGTGAAGTATGCAGTAAAATTAATTAGGAAATAGTAACCTTATTTTGGGACGAACGAAAATTAAAAATTGTAACTTTTCAATGAGATTGAGAGAATAATATTAATAATAATAATAATAATAATAATAATAATAATAATAATAACTTGTCAATAATCTAATTTTGATTTTATATAATGACCAAGTCAACTTGAAAATGACAAACATTGGTAATAATTAAGCCCCATTTGTTTTTATATAAAAATATTATATTATTTATTTTATAATTTATTCTTATTTTAAAATTGCAATAAAAGATATATATATATAATACATGTCTAAAAATAATTGTTGAATTTGTGTATTTCATACATAATGCTCATATATTTTTCTTATATTGATTATTTTTACTATAAGAATAGAGAAAATTAAATAAAACAATGAAAATAATAAAATAAATTCATTGAGTTGGAATGCGAAAAATATAATTTTTAATAAAAGAAAAATTGCAGAAACATGTTTTCAGTAGAAACTAAAAAATACAAATACAAATTTAAATGACAAATGAATTACTATATTTTGTAATATTTTTTATTTATTTATTTTACATATCTTAAATATTTTTAAAATATAAAATAATTAACTATACTTTATCACATCACATTATTTAAATAAAAAATTAAATAAATATAATTTTTTTTTTCTTATCACACACCTAATTTTCAATCTATTTATTTAATACTATCTATTTAAATTCTTATATGGAAAAATAAATGTTTCACTATATACGAGAATAAAAGAATATTACTTTCTCCATCTCAATTCAAAGTACTATTTTTAATTCATATTCTATTATAGAAAAAATTATAATACATTAAAATTAAAATACCCGTGATTTTTACTTATATTATAAATAAATCATTATATATACAATTATTTTATACATACAATTGAAAGATAAAGTTGTCAAAATTTCTTACCCACAAACTCCAAAGAATACATTCATTTGGAAAGGAGGAGGTATATAATTACAATTTTATTAGGGGTGTGTTCGTCTACGGGATTTTTTCAAAATTCTACAATTTTCGTCTTAAGTAAAGTGTTCGTGTTACCGTAGACATAAAAATTTAGATAAAATATAATTAGTAGGTAAATAAAAATAATTATTATATAATAAAAATAATTATAAATTAAAATTAAAAAAAATTAAATTATAAAATTTAAAATATGATTAAAATGTTTAATTATATTTTTTTAAAAAAAATAATAGGACGAACAAACTAAAATGAAAAGAATAGACACTTTAAGTGAAAAGGACAAAATACTATTCATTATTTTTTTTAATTCAAAAACATTACATCACAAATATATATATATATTTTCTCTGTTCCATTGAAATTGTGGCATTTGTTTTTTTCAAATAGATTTTTTAATATTAGTATTATATTGGATTGTAGTAAAAAAAACAAAAATACTCCTATTAGTATGGTGTAATATAAAAGTAATGATATTTGTGTAATATATTGTAAGTTGAAAAAATATTTATTATGTTAGGTAAGTAGTAGAATTACTAAATTAGTAAATAATAACGTTGTTTTGAGACGGATGAAAATAGAAAATGGTAACATTTCAATGAGACAGATGGAGTATATTTTTATATTTTATTAAAAATTAATTTTATAATAAAAAATTCAAAATATCACATCAACATTTATCTATATCAAAACTTCTAGACAAACACACCGATAAACTTAAATAAAATAAGGGTGTGTTTGTTTGGGGGATTGGATTGGATTTACACTATTCATCCAATTTTTTTCCCAAAAAACATCAAATTAAATACCTATTTTTCATTTTTTATAGTATACTAAAAATCAATTTTACATTCAAAATATCACATTAACACCTATTTATATCACGTCATACAACTATTCAAATTCAAAATTTTTACTATTCAAATCCCATCTCAAAATCCAAACCCCAAACAAACATACTTAGATTGAAGTATATAAATAAAATAAAATAAAATAAAATGGAGCATAATATTAATAATAGGAGTATTTATTATCGAGGAAAGAGGTAGGGGATTGTCAAAATCTTTTAGTGGGGCCAAATCTAATGCATTAGATTCTGTTGTGTGCCTTGTTTGGTTACAATATTTCAAGTGGTCCCTATCTTGCTTTCGCCGGCCTTTCCTCTCCGCCCGCCGCCCTCTCTTGCCAAACACGCCATATCTCATTTCTCAATTTTCATATCTTTTACTTTTACTTTTACTCACTCCCCCCTATCTATTTTTTTTTTTTTTAAAAATATTTTGACCGTTGGGTCAACCGAAAGGGACTTTCTTCCATCTAATTTAAATTAAATTGAATTGTTGTTTGAACCATTCCTATGAACTATTAAAATAAATTGATTTATTATTTTATTACAAAATAAAATCTACTTTTTGTTTATTTAGTTTTCCAACTAGTTTTTTTGTTACTAATATTTTATATTTAATAATTAATGTTTTCCGTAAATAAAATAAATCATATACTACATTATATTCTCTCTGCCTTAACCATTTATTTATTTTTCTATTTTGATCCGTCATATAACAAAATATTTGTTTTTTTAGTTTACAATATATTACACAAATATTATTATTTTTATATCATGCAATACTAATAAAATTAATTTAGTCTTTTTACTTTTATTTCTATTTTATTTTAATATAATATTAATATTTTTAAAATTTTGTGTAAAAAAAAATGAATATATAGATATGAAAAAAAGGGAGTATTATAAATCAGAAACACAATCCAACAAGAATTAATTTTTTTTGTTAAAAAAATAATTAAAACCCAAAAAATAAAATAAAAAACAAATGCATAGAGCAGTCAATCAAATCAGCTCAAGATCCAATGCTAGTCAACCCACCCTGATCTACTGCACCGCTCCACATTGAATGACTACTCCCCATTTACCCCTCCTCAATCTCTCGACTCCGAGGACTCCAGCACCCGAACAATCCCCACCATTCCTCAACCCAATCCAACGGTCCAAATCCACCATATCCAACACTCCTCCAAACCCCACCAACCCCACCCCCAACGCGACGAACGAACAGACAGAATCAAATCTGAAGAAATCACAATTCGCAAAGATTTATTACATCCAACAGTACCACGTTGTCTGCCATTAAAATCATCGAAAAAAAAAAATTTACACCAAATGCAATCGATTATTCATTTTTATATATATATGAAACTGTCGGATAAAGCGACAAGTCGGATATAATGCGGAGTAGATTTGCGAAGATTTCGCCTTTTCGTTTCCCTAAAGCAGATCTTCGATTGCTCCTTTCTCTCTCTGTAATCTTCTAACAAATATATTTATATATATATATATATAGTACAAGAAAAGCTTATAGGGCATTTCTCCATTCTGTTCTTACAACAGTTAATCGAATCGAATGGGTAGCGATTGTTCTTACAGCGGAGCTCAGGAATTCCATGTTCTTGCCGTGGACGATAGCCTTGTTGACAGGAAAGTCATCGAGAGATTGCTCAGGATTTCTTGCTGTAAAGGTTTGCCCTAAATTTTCAATTTTTTTATTTCGATTTGAAAAATTAGGGTTTGGGAGTTTTTCTGATTTGGGGATTTTTGCAGTGACGGCTGTGGAGAGTGGGAGAAGAGCTCTGCAGTATTTGGGTTTGGATGGAGAAAGAGGGACCGTTGGATTTGATGTAAGATGAAGATTTTGGACCGTTGGATGATGGATTTCTTGTTTCTATATATATATATATGTATGTATTGAATTTTGGTTTTGATTTTGATGTTTAGGAATCGAAGATTAATCTGATAATGACGGATTATTCCATGCCTGGAATGACTGGTTATGAGCTTTTGAAGAAGATTAAGGTTTTTGATCTGTCAAGATTTGTGATATCTTGATTTTTGGAATTATTAAGGTTTGTGATTTATTGAGTTTGTGATTTCCGGCAGGGTTCGTCGAAGCTGAGGAATATTCCGGTGGTGGTTATGTCGTCGGAGAAAGTTCTGGCAAGAATTGATAGGTATAAATATATATATACATATATATATGTGTGTATTTTTATGTCTGAAGTTGTCTTGATCGATGCATCATTTAAAATTTGGACATAACATGTTCCGATTTTTTTAGAAATTATTTTTGAAAACAGAGTTTTGGGTTCTCTGTTATTAGCATTGCCCGAAAAATTAAATATTTTGTTGTTGGATAATCGGGTTTCGATTTTGAAAATTTTGAGGTGAAAATGGACATGTAATGTTTGGAATAGAGAATATTCGGTTAATGTAATTTTTGGGAAGTTAATGTGATTTGTAGTTTCTGCTTTATTTCGAGAATTCGGAAACTAGAATCTTTGCGGCGTTGGTAAAAGTTTGTTCGACAAGTTATGTTGGTGTTTTTTCCGAAAGGTCGATGATTGTTTGTAGCTTTTTTTGATCTAATCTCGAATTTGGGAAGTTTATTCGGCTCGTTAATTGTTCTCTTTATAGATCTTTATGTATTCGCTACGGCAAAATTTGATGAAAAGATCGATTTACCGAACTTGCTTATTGTTCTATTTATAGATCTTTTCATATTCGCTACGCCGAAATTTTATAAAAAGATCCGATTCACCCAACTTGTGGTTTGTTGTTCCTTTTCTAAAATTCGCTATGCCGAATTTTGATGAAAAGCTCGATTTGTCCCACTCGCCTTTTGTTCTTTTTTATAGATATTTACATATTTGCTACGAAAAATTTGGATAAAAAGCTCGACTTAGTTCATCTTGTTAATTGTTCGTTTATATATCTTTACACATTTGCTACACCAAAATTTGATAAAAAAACGCGGCTCATCCTAGCTCATTAATTGTATTTTTTAATAGATCTTTACATATTTGCTACATGACAAATTTTGATGAAAAGCTCGACTCTGTTTGACTCATTAATTGCCCCTTTTATAAATCTTTACATATTTGCTAAACTAAATTTTGATGAAAAGCTCGACGAATTCTGTTTCATTAATTGTATATATTTTTTTTTTATAGATCTTTACACAATTGCGCTGAGGAATTTTGATGAAAAAGCTCGACTCAGTCTGACTCATTAATTTTTTCTTTTATAAATTTCTACTTATTCGCTAAGCCAAATTTTGATGAAATGCTCGACTCAATTTAGCTCATTAATTGTTCATTTTATAAATCTTTACTTATTCGCTGCATCAAATCTTGAAATGACGAAAACTTGGTTAATATTGATTTACAGTTGTTTAGAGGAAGGCGCTGAAGAGTTTCTTGTAAAGCCCGTGAAGCTCTCCGATGTCGAGAGATTGAGAAATTTTATGTCAAAAGGCGCGGAAAAGATCGTAGAGGAAGTTTCAACCCGAAAAAGAAAAAATTGTGAAATCCCGGATTTACCCTTGCACTCTTCACCTTCATCTTCTTCATCAACATCATCATTGCCATTGTCATCGTCGCCATCATCGCTTAGTTGTGACCATCATCAACAAAATATCTCGAAGCATCCGAGGCTTCTAGAAGCCGAGTGACATCCCGGAAACTTTTTTTTTTTTTTGGCGATGTAATGTAACCGCGATAGGCTAGAAATGTATATATATGGTTACTTGACGACGACTATGACAATATAATTATACGAGCAAGGTTTGTTCGAAGCCGATTTTTGAAATATTTATGCCACATAGGTCGTGGTCGAATATTTTTGGTGAAGTATATATGTATCACTTATTTTTTTTATTTCATAGCACCCTATTTGTTATTGAAAATTTTCATTCTCTCTCTGTCCAGCTAGAAAATATATATATTTCTATTTTGGGACGTCCAATTACAAAGTAAATACAGTAAATATCATACTTTTTTTCACAAATATGTTTACTTTACATCATATCATTATTTTTATACCAAAAAATAAGGGTAAAAATGTCGTTACATTACTTTTAGCTATTCATTATAATTAAAATATTATTATTTCTTAAACACCGTGCCAAAAGTAAATGTTATTTTTATTTTGAAATATTACGTATAAATATATATTTATTATAAAATATTTTATATAAAAAATATTTCAATAATTGATTTTCTTTTTGTTATACTCTCTCCGTCCCACATAATTTGTCCTTATTTTTTATTTTCGTGTCCATTTCTTTTTTAGAAATATAATTATACACTTTAATCTCATTTTAAATTTTAAATTTTATAATTTTTTTTAATCTTATAAACTATTTAGTTATCTTAATCTTAATCCACAATATTTTGTATTATAGGATAATTAATTTTACTAATACACTTTTTAATTACTTACTAATCATATTTTACCTAAATTATCGTATCTACGGTAATAGACCCATAATACATGGGACAGAGGGAGTATATAATTGACAAATTCTATGTAGTAGTATAATCTAACTTATAAAAATGCGGAGTTACAAATATACCCCTAACTGCGGTAAAAACACTAATGGCAATATGGTCATTTAATATTTTTAATAAAAATATTTATACTGCTATTAATACAAGCCAACAACTACCAGCCATTAACCTCTATTGAAACTGTCAACGGCCAGCAACTCTAATTACAAGCTCTCAGGACCAGAGAACCGGATGTATCTCCACCATTCATTAGTAGTATCCACGATAAAATCCTATCCAGTCTTCAAGTCCCCGGACCTCTCAGGGTCAGTCCCTTGATCCAAGTTTACAACATATGCCATCGAATTCTCCATTCTCTCTCAAGAAAAAACCCTAACAAAGATTTGGGGCACTTTATTATTTTTTTTTTTTCAGATTTAAATAATTATTCAATTTGCACGGTTTAATAATTTTTTTTTTTAATTTATTCATAAAATATTAATTTAAACAAAAACTAAAATTAATATTTTATTTTAAGGGTGTGTTTGTTTGAGAGTTTGGATTTTGAATTGGGATTTGAATAATAAAAATTTTGAATTTGAATTGTCGTATGATGTAATGTTTTGAATATAAAATTGATTTTTAGTATAATATAAAAAATAAAAAATAGGTGTTTGATTTGATATTTTTAGGGAAAAAAAAGAGATGAATAGTGTCCAATCCCCCAAACAAACACACCCTAAATAAATTTTAAACTACATCCAAATAAATCTAATCTCACTCAAAATTAATACTTCATAATTTTTTGAATGTGTGTTTTAGTTGGTGATTTTTTGCAATTTAATTTTAGTGTTTGGTTCGAATAATAGTTTGGTATAGACAAAATGGTTTGAAAAATTTGTACAATTTTCTATCATGAATTTAAATTTATATTTTTGTGTTTAAGAAAATATTGTACGTAATTGCCTAAATATTGCACACGATTTCTTAAAAAATTATGTACAATATTTCTAAAACACAAAAAAGTTTCACGTAATTTTAAAATGCTACACAAAAACTTCGTATCTAATATAAAAAAATGCATTCATTAAAAAATATAAAGTGAACAACACTATTTAGCCTACGTTCCCATAAAAATACAATATGTTTTCCCTAACATAAATCACCGTACTATTTAAATCAAAATTCGAATAAAATATTAACTTAATTTCAAATCCAAATCAATCAAACAAATTAAAGGATAAATGTATGTTTGAGTATTGTATGCAGCACATTTGATTATTTTGGTCATTTGATGAAGTTTGTACAAAAATACACATATCTAATTTGCAATAGTTAAAAATGTCATTCCAACAAAAATATTACCATGTGGTAATTTTAGCACAAAATGTTGATGTATTTTTTTTAGTTACAATTTTTCAAAGTTTACTATTTTGATTTTATGTGTGTGTATGTTTTTTTTTTTTTTTAAAAAAAATTATTTTATAAAATATCATATCATATCAAACATTGTTAAACACAAATTTTTTTATTTAAAAAAAACCCCAAATCCAAACCGACAAAAACAAATATTTTGTTGAAACCTTACTTCGAGCTTACTATAGTATCAACAATCTTGTATTGCATAAGTAAGATTCTTTTAATGTGAAGTTATTTGAAGAATGTCCCTACACCGTCCAAATTTCGTATTTGTTCGTGTGTAAATAGATTCCTAAATTCTATTCTGAAATACAAATCCAAACATATACTCCACTATAAATAACTCAAAATACATGTAATTTAAATTTTTATTCTACTTATCCAACAATCAAATAAAAAATTCACAGAAAACTCAGTATCATTATCAATCTTGTGACTATGATTGTTCGGAATTAACCTTCGAAAAGCACTAAATTTAATGCCGCAACATCAACTTTCATTCACCTTTGATAGGATTTTGAATATATTCTAGAGCATATACCAAAGGCTTTTGATCACTACTTTCACTTAAGAACTTAATTGAACTTCACTTTCTAATTTTAGTGTCACTGAAGGACTTTCTCATTTGATGTAGATATTCGGTAAATTTTGATCTAACTCTAAAATCGATTCGTCATTCTTGTCTAACATATAGATCTAATATCGATATAAAGTTTCAGTTAAAAACAATCTTTTTGAATAATTTAAATAATACACTACAACACGTTCAATTGATCGCAACATCACAACATACACATTTTTTAAATAACTTGATCGCAACATACACATCCGATTCTAACATCACAAGCTAACGAGATTAAGCTGATTTTAACACGTTGCGACGACATATATACATTGAATGGGCTTGTAAGGAAGATGGAAGGGTTTGGGAAGAGTAGGAAGAAGAACTTAATGTAACAAGGGTCGAAGAAACTACAACGAATTTTCAAATAGGAGATTGTTAGGACAAAGACGGGACATGTTCAATTGTTTGCAATAGTTAAGAATTTCTTATTTATGTTAAGTTGATCGAATATGTATAGAAGTTTAAGCGAGGGTGATGAAGATGAGAGTGATGGTGGCGATAACTTGTGGTTCTTCGTCGTTGTTGTCTCCGTTGTTACCTATAGAAAAAATCATTGATTATACTTCGCCCACGGCTATGTTGCTAAATTTTACTCTTTTCGTCCCAAAACTATAATCTGGGTTATGTTTGACACGAGATTTAAGAAATATTGATATTATATTGATAGTGGATAAAAAGTACGAGTAAAAGACTTTTTTGTTTTAGTATAATAAGTAGTAACAATTGTGTAATAGTAATGAAAAAGTAAAGGTAGTTTTATAGCGATATGATATTTTATAGAAACGAGACTATTGTTTTGGGTCAGACAAAAATGGTAAACAAAACTATTGTATTGGGACGGAGGAAGTATAATTTAACATTGTGCTAATAACACGTAATGTAATTGATAAACTATATACTTTCTTTGTTCAAATTTAATATATATATATATTTTTATTTCTCACACTAAAAAATATATTTCATCAGTCCTATATAATTTGTTTTTAATTTATATTTTTGTTCGTCCCACATAATTTGTCAGTTTTTTTTTTCTAAAAATATGATTATACACTTTAATCACACTTTAAATTTTAAATTTTATAATTTTTTTAATTTTAATTAAACTATTTACTTATCTTAATCTTAATTTATAATTAATTCTATGAAATAATAATTATTTTTACTAATATATTTTTTAATTATTTACTAATTATATTTTACCTAAATTTTTATTTATAGTAATAACTAAAAATTATATGAGATGGAGGAAGTAGTATTTTATACTTTAAAAATATATTCAATTTTTTTGGATAAAAAATTATGAAAATTAAAATCACAGATAATAACCACTCACAAATCCTTTTGTATCGATTTAAAAAAAAAAATGATAATTATAATTGGTACGGCCTAACTTATAGTATTCCACAATGACATGACGTGATGGGACCCATTAAGAGGCGATTATTTTGACCGTTTCTCGGAAGATCACTACCGTCCATTCCATTCATTATTGAACGGTAAAGATCAACTCACAACTCCAACTCACCGTCGGAGCCAATTGGATATTGTTTCGATAATATCTCCGTCATAATTCGTTTTAGACTTCCAAAATTTTTTCTCAAATATTTTCTCAAGATATTACTGCCACTGTCCAAGATGCTATGTCCACATTGTCGTTTTTGTCGGTCCTATGTACCATATTACTTTCATTTTAAATTTTTAAATTATATATATTTTTTAAATTTTAATTAAACTAATTAATTATTTTAATTTTAATTTATAATTATTTATATTATAGGATAATTATTTTCACTAATACATTCTTAATTATCTACTAATTACACATCTCCTAAAATACCGTATCTACAGTGTAGCAGACACGTTATCCGGGACGGAGGGAATAATATTTTACTATCTTTTTATTATTTTTTTCAATCAAAATTTTTTATATATATGAACTGTTTTATAAATTATCTTATACTAATATAAATATTATTACTAATTTAAAGTGGTTTTTTTCGAAAAAAATATATTTTTTTCTCTCACAAAACAACCCATCAAACATTATTTTCATACTAAATCTAAATCAATTTTTTTCCAAACTCATCAAAAGAAACACACATTGTACCGACTAATTACTATCTTCTATGTATATTTAAATTTTTTATTTTATGAATTCTTTTGTTTTAAACATACCCATAACATGACGAATCGTGATTAATCAATATAAGAGAAGTACAACAATACATTGGGTAGAGTAACTGAACCCACTCGTCCAAAATAAGGGAATTTTCAATAAAAAATTTAAAATAATATTGTATAACGAAGTTCTTTAATAAATAATATTCTCACTTTCAAATCTATTACTATCTCTTATAATTTATAATATATTAATTTTTTGTAATATTTTTATCTATATTATGTGAACTATTATCGTGTACTATTACACAAAAATATCATTTTTGTAATGAGATTTTTTCGTCTTTAAATTCACTTTTTCCGTTACTAATGATATTAGAGACGGAATTAATGATGGAATTACGTTAGCTACGTGATCTTTAGTGACGGAATTCCGTTACAAATATACTATTTTTTTTTCTGTAGCAATCATATGATATTACTATAGTTTGTATACTATATGTCTATTTGTTACGTATTATCTGTATATGTCACATAGTGAAGTATAATAGAGAAATTTATTTACATTAAATTAGATAAATAATTAGATAAATTTATTTACATTAAATCAAATATTTTTCTTAATTTAAGTCTTCATTATTCCCAATTGCAAACTCAACTTTTATCCTATATGGGACACACCCTTTATTCTCCTTTATTCTTCTATCTTGTAAAGAATACTTTGGATGGATAGAATTGTCATTGTCCCCACTTATATATAATAATATATGGTTCGTTTAATATAATTGATATCGTCGGACTTAGTTTGTAAGTTGTTAGGTTCGATTAAAAATTTATCTAAAATGTATTTAAAAAATAACGACCGTAAATTACCACGTCATAAATAAATAAAATATGTAATAATATATGTCTCTGTAAGAAATGATCGGTATAAAAATAAATTATTTGCATATTTATAATATGTTGACTAAAAAAAGAACTATACTCACTTCTTTTTTATTATTTTAAATCCACACAAATGCTATATATAATATTCCCATATACTAAATAAGTTCCCAAAGAATGATCCAATAATATGGGATAAATTTGTGATAATAAGATCAACCCCCTATGCCTCTAAATTTTGCATTTTTAGGCTTATAGATTCAATCGAGAATTTACTCAAAATTGATTTTCAAGTCATAAAAAATATACTTATAATAATAATAATAATAATAAGTTTAATTAACATCAAAACATTGGACATGCTTTCTCTTTTTCAATTCAAAATCTTTTCTTTTTTTATTGTAATATGTCAACTTAAATCTTCTTATTTTTTATTTTTATTTATTATACTCCCTCCGTTTTATAATAAAATATCCATTTTTTTATTTTAATCCGTCCCATAACAAAGTATCTATTCATTTTTTTAGTAACGGTACTATCTACCTAACATTATATATACCCTTACAACTTACAATATATTACACAAATGCCATTACCTTTGTATCACACATCCTAGTAAGGTTAGTCATTTCTATTTTATTCGTACTATATCCCAATATAATACTAATATTTCTAAAATTACGTGCAAAAAACAAATAAATATTTAGTTTCGGGACGGAGAGAGTATCATTATTACTTGCAAAATTATTTTTTAAATATATTATTTGTACTGTATTTCAATAAAATACTAATATACCAAAATTTAAGTGTCAAAAGTAAATAAAAAAATTATTAATGGACGTAAAGAATATATTAGCACCCCGTCCCATAAAGTTTGTCTATTTTTCTTCTGCAGATACAAAAATTTTAGAGAAATATAATTAGTAAATAATTATAAAATATATTAATAAAATAATTATAAATTATGATTACAAGTATTTTATTTTTTTGAAAAAAGAATAATAAGAGACATTCGAAAATAAAAAATATGAAGATTTTAGGGGGACGAGTAAATAATTTTTGGGGATTAATTTAGGAAGAGGTTTCCAAGAACCTTCCCAATACTAAAAATTTTTCCACAGTCGATGGCTTGGCAAGTCCCCAATTCAATCACCACTTTAATCATTGAATCAAAAAAACTCAAATTCAAATTCAAGTCTCTTACACCTCCAAATTCCACACTTTCTTGAATCATCGTCATCATCATCTTCTTCTTCGTCTTCATCATGAACAGTTGCAGGCTTGGGGATAACCTCGGAATCAACGAAGACCTCATCCACAGAGCCTGCAAACTATCCCTCAAGGCCCACCTAGCCGGAAAACCGTACCTCCGACGCGCCACCGCCGCCGACGCCATCTTCGCCTTTCCGGGCTCCTGGGCCGCCGACGATTGGCGCGCGCAGCCGCCGCCGTTCGGAGAAATTAAGGTTGACTTATCGAAATTCGGATCCATCAAGAGCCTCGGGAACAACGAGGTCGGATTGGTCAACGAAGCTTTTAGCAAGAGATTCGATCAAATTTTGGCCAAAACATCTCTTGCTAATGAGGTGATCATCGTACTGACCAATCTTGAAATAATTTATTTGAATTATATGACAAAATTATTACTCTCTCCGTCTCAAAAACCATGTCCAGCCTTCCCACATACCATGCTATGTCACTTTCTTTTTTTTCTAGAAAATAATTACACACTTTAATCTTTATTTTAAATTTTATTTTTTTTTACTAATTAATTATCTTAATCTACAATGCAGCAGAGAGGGAGTATTATTATTTTTAGAAGTATTTTGCGCAAAATTCTCTAAAATTAGAGAGAATAATACAAACATTTCAAATCATAAATCGGTTACGAGTAATTTTGTCGAATTATTGTATTTTGAATTATTTCATCCGTTCCACATCATTTGTAACTTTTTCATATTTTAAAATTTATAATTTATATTACCTCCTCCTATAGTGGTTGCGTGTTGATTTTGAGTATTATTTTTCTTTTGACTAAAATATTTAATCATCTTAATTTTAATTTATAATTATTTTTATTATATCGTAATTATATTTACTAATATACTTTTAATTATTTACTAATTATATAATATCTAAAAGTCCTAAAAGTGGATAAATTAGCTGAGACAAAAGGAGTATTAATTATGGATGTTTTCTTCTTTCAGATCGAAAAAGCCATGTCGGACCGAAAACGAATCGTCTTCACCGGACACTCATTGGGAGGATCAACGGCGATCCTCACAACGATTTGGTTCTTCGAAAAATTCATTCGACACGGCTTATACCATATTCGTCCAGACTGCATAACATTCGGGGCGCCGCTCGTCGGCAACTACATATTCTCGCACGCCCTCCGGCGCGAGAATTGGTCCCGAAACTTCACCCACTTCATTACAAAGTACGACATCGTCCCTCGCATCGCCCTCGCACCGTTCCCCGCAATTGAGCCATGGCTGCAGCATGTGCTCGATTCGATCAACCCCCGATCGCCCCACCCGCCCGATCCGACGGCAGCGTCGAACTTCTTCGTATCGGTTTTGCGCAACGCCCTCGCCGTGGCGAGCCACACCGCGTGTTACCTCAAGGGGTCCACGAGTTTGCTGCTGGAGAACGTCGCCGGGATTGTCGAGATCAGCCCGTACCGCCCGTTTGGGACCGTCGTAATCTGCGCCGGGAACGGGAAGCTGGTCGTCATCGATAATCCCGACGCGGCGCTGCAGCTACTGTTCTATTGCCTGCAGCTCAGCCCTGAGGAGATGAATGAAGAGTTTGTTAAGGGAATGTACGGAGAGCATTTAGTGTACGAAAGGGAATTGCAAGAGAGCCTTAGTATGCAGGATGTTACCTTTTTATCAAACCTCGCCGACGTCCCGTTGTCTCCCGATGATCCGAGCGGCGGCGACGCCACAGCCCTGAATTATCTCGGATTGGTAATTTTTTCAAACTTCAGTCTAAAAACTACTAAGTTCTAAGTGATAGCTACAATTTGAGCTGTTAAATCAGCCGAGTGAGCTCACGTATCTATTGGTTGAGCTCAACTCGAACATGTTATAGATACAGACTCAAGACTTATTTAGAATTTGAGCTAAAATAATGACTTGAGTTCAGCTCGTTAGGCTTGAATTCAAACTCGAGCTAAGTTTCTAAAGCTCAAGCTTGAGTTCGAGTTCAGCTCGAATTCTATGCATATTATATATTTTAATATATAAATTAAATATATCTAATTTTATTAACAATTTATTATAATAAGATATTCAAAATTCATTAATAAATACAAATTTGATATATATATTATATTAGTATATAAAATAATACAAATATATCATAACTAATAAGCTCAATCGAGCTATCCACGAGCCAAGTTCGAGCTCTGTTCGATTATAAAAATAATAATTTTAGCTCAACTTGTTTATCTCAATAAACAAGTCGAGTTAAACTGTTAACGAGTCGGGTCGAGCTTGGTTTGCGAGCTACTCAATTCGTTTAACAGCTCTACTTATGATTGCGATAGTTCTATACGAGCGAAAATCACGTTAGATAAATGCATTGTGATCATTTTCTTAGACTCGATTCCTAAGAAACTCGATCGGGAAAAAATTGGGTTAGATATATAATGCAGATTACTCTTACCATCTTACCGTGTTTCGCCGTCGAGAATGATTCAACGCTAACGCTTTCCTGAAACTTTCAGACGACAAGGGCGAGGCTGTGTCTCCGAGCCGCAGGCGAGTTCGAGAAGCAGAAGCTGGAAAACCAGAAAAGAATAGATTCAAACAAGGAGACAATAAGAGAAGCAATAAAGAAAATTCAAGAATACAAAACCAGTTGCGAAATCCGCAAGGTCGGCTACTATGACGCCTTCAAGCTAACGAAAAGTCCAACCGACTTCAACGCCAACGTCAAGAGGCTGGAGCTGGCTGGGATATGGGACGAGATCATGGAGATGATCAAACGGCATGAGCTTCCCGATGGATTCGAGGGCAGGAAAGAGTGGATAGAGTTAGGGACTCTGTTCCGGAGGCTTCTGGAGCCGTTGGACATCGCAAACTATTACAGGCACGTAAAGAACGAGGATACCGGTCCGTACATGGTTAAGGGTAGGCCTAAGAGGTACAAATTCACGCAGAGGTGGCTCGAGCATGCGCAGAGGATGGCGGATGGTTTTAGCTCCGAGGCTACATTCTGGGCCGAGGTCGAAGAGCTAAGACTTAAGGACTACAAACATGTTAGGGACAAGGTTTTAAGGTTCGAGCAACAAGTTTCGACATGGGTTGGTTTCGGATGGCTCGGACAAGATGTTTTCTTGGATGAAACTACTTTTACTAGGTGGTGGAAAACGCTCCCTTTCGAACACAAGTCGGGTTCTTGTCTAGCCAGGTTTATGAACACTACCTAAGTTTTCGAACATTGTCGATTCTGACTACAAGCCTCTATGTATTTAGCACTGAATCATAATGATCGAGGCACAAGTCGGGTTCTTGCCTAGCTAGGTAAGAACACTACTTAGGTTTCGAACATTCTCGATTCTGACCACAAGCCTATGTATTTAACACTAAATCATAAAGATCGAGCACAAACCGGGTTCTTGCCTAGCCAAGTAAGAACACTACTCAGATTTCGAACATCGTCAATTCTGACCCAAAGCCTCTATGTATTTAGAACTAAATCATAAAGATCGAACACGAGTCTGGTTCTTGTCTAGCTAGGTAAGAACACTTCGTTCTCGATATTGTCGATTTTGACCCCAAACCTATGTATTTAGTACTAAATTATAAAGATCGAGCACAAGTTGGGCTCTTGGCTAGCCAGGAAAGAACACTACTTAGGTTTCGAACATTGTCGATTTTGACCACAAGCCTATGTATTTAGCACTAAATCATAAAGATCGAACATAAGTTGAGTTCTTGGCTAGCCAGGTAAGAACACTAATTAGGTTTCGAACATTCTCGATTTTGACCACAAGCCTATGTATTTAGCACTAAATCATAAAGATCGAATATAAGTCGGGTTCTTGTGTAGGCGTAGCCAGGTAAGAACACTACTTAGGTTTCGAACATTATCGATTCTGACCACAAGCCTATGTATGTTAGCACTAAATCATAAAGATCGAACATCAAACACAAAGCCAGGTAAGAACACCACTTAGGTATCGAACAAAGCTGATTCTGACCACAAACCTATGATTTCATACTGAATCATACATAACACAAGTAGGGTTCTTACCTAACCAGGCTTATCAACACTACTTAGGTTTTAGTTTCGAAACATCGCCAGTTCCGACCACAAGCCTATATATTGAATACTAAATCATAAAGAAAGCAAGGAGTCGAAGAAAGAGCATGTAATCTGCTTTTCTGTAAATTCTTGCTATTTATGTAAAAAGCATGCCTTGTACATATAGAACATATCAAGTAAATCGAAAGATACCGGGATCAATTCCTGTACGATTAAATGAGTTCGCATTTCTACCACTGCTAGAATCAGTTTGTCAAGAAATCACAAATGCATGCTAGTAAAAGGGAAAGCCAACGTACAAGATCAAGAATCGCAGTCTCTGTTCTAGGCATTGTCATTCATGCTGCGAGATCGAGCCAAATGGTACGTCAGTTTCCTTCCATCCAATTTTGCCTCGCCCTCAACAGGATAACTGACATACGGCTTCCTGCACGAGGGACAGCGCTCGTCTCTGTCGAGGATTTCTTTGTGACAGAAGAGGCAGAGCTTGAACCCACACGAGCACGGATGAAAGCTTGAATCTGTACAATCGAATTCCTCGTAGCATATTGGACATGATGTGGGATTCTCTGTCTTAATTCCCCAAGATGACTCTCCTTCACTTAAATGTTGCCGAGAAAAATTTGGTAAGCTATGCGGCCTGAAAGCATCGTTTTCCGTCCAGGCGAGGGACTGTACTGAAGAATTCCTTATGTTTATTCCTCCATGTTGTTGCGTTTCATTTGAAGTAACATTCCGGGAGAAAGGGTGAGCAGAAGTGCTCGATTCAGGGTCTCGCTGGACAGCCTTTCTACGATTCTCCGAAGAAGGTAGACTGAGTTCGGAGATATGGTCTTCAGGTGTCAATAAGGCATCAGCCATAGCTTCCCAATCATCGAAGCAACCATCTTGATTATCATCCCCTTCATCGCCGATCATGTTACACGGGAAGAACTCGCTGCTGCTGCTGCTACTACTCCACCCGCTGATGCTGCCACAACTCGGAGTGAAATTGGCGACAAATTCATTACTGCCTGAGAGGCTGCTTCTTTGGTTGGTCGGGCTGTTCGACAGCGAGGAATCAGAATCACTGTATCTCTGCGTGGTTAATACGCCTCTGTAATTCTGCCCTTGGACGCTTGATTTCATCTCTTGCTCCCGGATGGATGTGCCTCTCTCATTCGAGAAACTTGCACGATCTCTATGCATCTCCCCAACACCATGCATTTCTTCATAACCACACTCTCCTTCACTTATTGCTGGAACCATATAACATTTCTAATCAATGTTACCATGGAATTGAAAGGAAGATTTAATCAGATTATGCGATCATGTTCCGATTTGAAGCTATTCTATACACGAAATGATTAGCCAATTGTTCTACCTATAAAACCATAGCATCAAACAACTAATAAGTTTTCATAGACTATCAAAAGACAATATATCACAGAACATTCATTTCTTACTTGAACATGATAATCCACATAAACATCACAGTGTTCTTCAAAATTGCAAATATATATATATATATATATACAGAGGCAAGCAGAAGGAATAGGATAAATGCATTGAAGCAGGTACAGAGGAATCTTTAACAGACCTTGAGAAAGCCATTGTTCCCGACACGCATCAAGCTTGCACTGCCTCAACTTCGCCCAGCGATTACCCTAAGTAATTCCAAATACAACAATAGAAACTAATTCACAAACAAAAGGAATATGAGAAGAATTCCAATAAATTTGGAACAATAACAACGGAAAAACAGAACACTTTTTTTTTTGTTTTTCATTAGATCAAACGCGAAACAAATTTTCTCGTAATAAAAACCGCCAATTAAGATCCATCCTTTGAGCGATGATCCAAAAATAAACGAAAAAGTCGGAATTGAATAAAGAATTGCATGCAGCGTACAATGCATGGAGAAATAAATCAATTAAGAAACACAATGGCAAAAAAGCGTACCCGTTTCTTCTTGGCAAAATCTTTAGGGTTGGATGAGGCGGAGGCGATTGAGGTGGCAGGGATTGAATTCGAAACCATTGCTGTGACGAGTCGACGACGAACAGCAGAAATCCTAAATTGACGAAACACGGCGGAGAGAGAGAGAACAGTAAGGGTAGAGAGAGAGAGAGGGTGAGATGTGAAATTGCAGAACAACAGAAATTCCTTTTCGCCTTTCCATTTTATTTCCCTTTCCCGGGTAAATATTCGGATTATCGGTTTGAATTTGACAAAATTTAAACCGAACCAAAAATTTAAAAATTTTTATAAAAAATCAATCGAACTAAACTGAAATAACCAAAATTCGAAAATCCAAAATTTTAAATATTTTTAATTTGTAAATTTCTTTTATATTTTATTATTATTTTATAATATTAAATATATATAATATATAAAAGTAAATATATTAAAATATAATTAATAATTTTGAGTTTTTTTATATTAAAATATAATATTTTCTAATAAAATATTAAATATATATAATAAATAAATATATTAAAATATATTTCGGATTTTAAGTATACCGATCCGATCCGATCCGAAAATTTGAAATTTATCAAAAATTCAATCCGAACTAATCCGAAAACTCAAACCAAATTTTAAATTTCGATTTGGTTTAGATCAAATTTTCAAATTTCAGATATTTTGCTCGCTCTTATTTTTCACTATGCAAACAAAATGTGTGACCACAACTTTAGCAATTTTTTTAATTTTAATTTTTAAATTTAAATTTTAAAATAATACTGACACAAGTATTATAATAATAATGTTATGTAATAATAATAATATAATGGTAAGTATAATATATATATATATAAGTGTATGTAATTATTAGTATGCAATTATTAAGATGCAATGAATGGGCAAAGGAAAGGATTTTTGTGTGTTTTTGTTGCACATCTTGAATGAATACAATGGCCTATTTATAGGCAAAAGGAGGGAATGAATGTGTCGTTAGTAATCATAGTAATCATGCCAACAAAGCAATACATAAAGCATAGACAATAATTGCATGTAGGCAAAATTGTCCGTAACTCATTTGTTGTTTCGAAACTTGGTGTAAATTTTCTCTCTACGCATGATGTCCCTTTATACTTTAAAAAATATTGCATGAAATCATTTCGTGGTTTTGAAACCCAGCATAAATCCCCATTTTACTTTAAAAAATTGCATGACGCTCATTAATACTTTCAAAAATATTGCATAAAACCCCCCAGTCATACAAAATATATAAATAGGAAATCATCTTCTTATCACACGAGGAAAGTTTTATGGTGGTGGGGTTTCATGCAACGTTTTTTAAAGTATAAGGGGGTACTATGCAATTTTTAAAGTACACGGAAATTTTACACTGAATTTCGAAACCACATGATAGAGTTATAAGCAATTTTACCTTTGTTATATAACAAATAAACTTTTTTTAAAAAATTATCAAATTATTCAAATCAACATTTAATTTCTTAAAACCATATGCATCAATAGTTTTTTGTGGTACTTCTGAATATACTCTACAACCACTCAATAGTAGGACAGAAAATTTATTAAAGGATTAATAAAAAATAATAAAACAAATAGTATTATTTTTTAAAAGTAGAAATAGTAAAATTATGAGTAAATAAAATTAACTTTTTTAGAAATAATATTATCATACATAGAAAGTTGGATAGAAAAGTGTTGGGTATGACATAAACACTGGTTTGATACGATGATTTAAATATAAATTATATTATCTCCCTTCCCTAACTAAGTATTCATTTATTTACTTTTAAATATTAATTATTATATTGAAACTTATTATAAATTAAGAAAAATTGACAAAAATTATTTCTTTATCTTATAATAGTAATATAATAATATTTGTAAAAAAAAATAAAATTATACAAATATAAGATATTTTTAATATTAATACAATAAGTAATGAATATAAATTTTCATGTTATTTATAAAAAAACTTACCAGGCCTAATTTGTAGGTTTTTAGGTTTGATTGAATGTTTACTCATAGCGCACTTGAGCAGTTGCATATCCTCACTCTTAACAAAAAAAATAAAAAATAAAAAAAAAGAGGAATGAGATAAAAAAGAATATTACCTTTTTAAAGCATCAATGAGATCAAAGTGTTTCTTTGCATATTACCATGGCTTGTTATGATTTTTTTTTTCTCTAAATAAAATAAATATATATAAGTAGATAAAAAAAATTGTAATCCACATATCATATATTCCAATGCAAAATATTGGTAACAAACAAAAGATATAACACACTCACCATCTTGGTAGATCATATTTCTTCATCCGTTGATTCTTCTGACAAAAAAGATTGTGTCAATAATATGATGAGAAATTAAATATGAATAATTGGAAAAGAAAATTAAGATTGTGAAAAATAAATACCTTGTGAGTGAGTTAGTCTGGGGGTCTTTAATTTCGGGGCTTGCTAACCATGTTTTCTCGAATGATAATTTATACAAAACGTTTTCCACATCCTCAGAGAAGGATAAGATTTCTTCATCAGTTGCATCTTCCAGAGATTGTCGCCCAAGATGCTTCGAATTCAGATGCTCTGCTGCGTTGCCAAGATAATACATGTTCCCATAACGAATAGCTTTGGTGTGCTGGAGTATGATTTGAGGATGAACTTCAACAACATCTTGCAGGAAACTGATGGATTTGTCGACATTTTCCATTAGCTTTGTGTTTAGATGATGACGGCCGAGCTCAGAAGCCTTCCGGAGGACCTCCAATGCGCATGCTAAATCAGACCAGATTAAACTAGCAGCCTCCGTCATTGTTGCCGTGACAGAACCAATTTGATATTCTCTCAGATCTTCATCCCTGTAAGGAAGTATTTTTTGCGTCAGAATTTACAGTGAGTTGATATCATAGGATGTGGCATCATTATCACCATTAATTTGTTCGTTTTCTTGCCCTTCCTCTTCAGCAACCGGCAACGCCTTTCTTATGAAGTCTATCTTTTCCAACAGCCTTTCCACATCTTCACGGGCGCTCTTACCAAGTTTAGGCATCGAAGTTTCCATGCGTAGCAGGCGGACCACAACCTCTGCTTTACGGGTAGCCTGGGTCATTTCCCTTAGCAAACTTTCCATTTCTTGGCTTTTTCTTGGGTGAAAAACTTCAAAGAAGTCCTTGAAAAAATGGATGGCTTCCTCCACAACTTTAATTTGTTTTCCGTTTAAAGAGTGGCGGCCATGTTGAGCAACCATGGCGAGTTTTTCCGGAAGACGTTTTGAATAAGCCAAGGATTCACAAGCAGCCATTGACATTCTTGCAGTGAAAGTATCAATCTTATATCTGACCCTTTGTTCTTTATCATAAACATTAATTCCAATCTCATTTTCGAACTCATGTTGCTCCAACCATAATTCCTTTGCCGAATCAACGACAGACTCACTGCAACTGTCCACATCAATTGATTTCAATGTTAGTATATCTCCAATGCCCGAAGGAATCTCCTCCAACAAACATAATCGATTAAGTTGAAGCCTCTCAAGAATAGGGAAGTGCATCGATTCTGCTCTCCAGCACACTAAATTATAACAGCCAATCACCAATACTTTCAGTCGACGAAATCCCCTTTGAACAGGCTCCCACTCTGACCCCTGCATGCCACCAGATATCTCAAGTGTTTCAAGACTCGGCAGCAAACCAACAACTGACATATCTTTCCATGCTATTCCCATGCAATCGATCAAACGCAATTCCTTGAGGGAATCAGGGAAGGTCATCTTCTCCAAGCAACCTGATATAGATAGAGATTCAAGTTTTTGTAGGTGCTCAAGATTACATAGAGAATAATAGTTCAGCTGTTTCACATCCCCCTCAGATCCATCTTCATAATTAACGCTCAATTTCTTCAAATATGGAATCCGATCAATGACTTGATTGGAACAATTGAAATTATGGATTCCATCTAAGGTGTGAAGGTCCTTGAGGATAATAAAATTTTTCTCCTCAATATCACTGGCTATAGGATCTGGTAGATGAACGTATTCACATCGAATCTCTCTTAGTTGTGGCATCTCCCATATCTCTGGAGGTAACTCTTTAACTGATGAGTATGAAATCATTAAACTTTGAAGATTCCAAAGTAACTTTACTGTTGAATGAGAAAATGATCGCGCCAGCCCTATATAAATACGACGCAATTCTATTGGCAGAAAATGTTTCAAGTCAAAACCACCATCGTAATTCACAATCTCCACCAAATTATGTCTCTTAATATGGGAATACACCATAGTACAAGCATCGCATACAAGAGGATTAACTTGTGACGATAATCCAAATATATGACATGGTTGCACTATATGCATTCCTTCTTTTTCCTCGAGACTTTCTAGACAAAGATTACACTGCACAGTGTCTCTGAACCTTCCAATAACCTCTTGCCTTCTAGGAAATTGGAGAAAACATTCATCCGCAGACTCTTTCAAACAAAGATCCCGTAAAAGATCATGAATGCCGCATGTATATTCATCCCGATCAAATATTAGATTCCTATCAATGAGGCTTTTTACATACTCCTTTGCAATATCTTCTAAAGTTCTATCACGCGTTGACTTAATGAATCCTTCGGATATCCAAGACTCAATTAGCTCTGAGACTACAATTATACTATCTTCAGGAAAAACTCTCAAATACAAAAAACATGGTTTGAGATGAATGGATAAACTCTCGTAACTTAAAGATAGTACTTTCTTACAATGCTCATCATCTTCCAAATTAGCGAGTGAGCTAATATTATTAACAATATTCTCCCAATATTTTACGGTCATATCAGAATTCGCAAGAAATCGACCAACAACAACAATTTCCAAAGGAAGCCCTCTACAACTTTTTGCAATGTCCTTTGCAAAATTATCTAAATGACCGTATGGACAACCATTTTGAGAAAAAGCATTTTGACAAAATAAACTCCAACTTTCATTCTCATCTAAAAATGCTAATCGATAGAGATCATGACAACCCAAAGAAACCACCATATTTGAGAGTCTAGTCGTCAACAAAATACGGCTTCCGTCCTTATTGTCTGGAAAATACCTCCGTAACTCATCCCAAGCTCCAGTTGACCACATGTCGTCCATAACAATCAAATACCTTCTACCGAATAATTTTTGGTAGAATCTAGTTCCCACCTCATCTAAACTTTCGTATTCTCTTGCCTTTCCTTCAAGACCAACTTTAAGGATTTGTTCAGCGCTATATTCTTGAGATATAGTAAGCCAGATGCGCAAATCAAAGTGGTCGACAACAAATGAATCATCATAGAGACTTTTAGCGAGAGTGGTCTTACCAATTCCTCCCATGCCGACAATTGGGAGGATTTCGAGCTTAGATCTACCTCTGACGAGCTTGTCCCTGATCGTGTTCACATGCTCATCCAGTCCAACCACAACATTGCTGACATATGAAGTAGCTGCAGGCGAACCACCAGCAGCAACAGAAGCATAATTGGATTGCTTTTGAGCTGGAGCATCCTCCCCGCCGTCTTCTTCAATCACCGGAAACTCTTCTTCAATGGAACAAAAGTTTTGGATCAGTGTCTCCATTTCTTCGCAGAAATCTGAGAAGCTTGAAGTATCACTCGTTTCTCCTTGAGAATATTTGGCATAGAGTAGATTGGATACATGGAAGTTGATCGCACCTTCTGCTTCGGTTGCAGCCTCGGCCATTTTCCTCCACAAACCTCGAAGCTCAGGGATCTTCCTTTGGGAATGAAGCTCAACAAATTCCAGCAAGGAATTGACATTTTTCTGGAGAGCTTCAACTTGGTTGATGTCAGCACGAGGGATATTAAATCGGGCGCGGTAGTGGAGATTGTCGAGGACATGAGTGAGAGAAACCAAGGATGCATAAGCAGCAACAGCCATGTCTGATTAAAAGCTCTGGAAATTTTTTCTGCAACAGAAATTGTTCAGATCTGATCTGAGTCAAGGTGAAGGTGAAGGTGAAGGTAGTAGTGTGGGGAGATTATATTAATCATCGATCGGGAGTGATATAATCATATAATACAGTGATCATTGACTTCATCCACTTGTCAATTGTTAATTAAAATTCGTGAATCATATCCATACAAGTTGATGAATATTTTCTTTGGTTAGGTACAGATTATTTCTTTATTTATTGCTTAGCCTCAATCATGTGAATAAAAGACTTTTTGTGTTGTAGGAAACGAATGGATTCCTCAACATTTTCCTTCATTAGTACTAACAATAAACCTCTGAAAGTTAAAAAAAAATAAAAAATAAAAAACTCCATAGGTAAGTCAATCAATTGAATTGAGAAGCTTTTCCTTGGACTGTCCTAACTGATTTGGTTTTGAGCACCAGAAAACAGTTTGTGAAAACTAATAATATCTATTGCTTGATTGATGTCTTCTTCAATGAGTATGAATTGTCTCAAAACGAATAATCCCAGAATATATGTTGTCTTAAGAAATATTCATTTCCAAAGAGTAGAAATTATCTCAAAATAAATTTCAAAGAAAATTCGGAGAGATCAAATTGTCTCGATAAATGAGAACTAGATTATCATCGGGGATTGTGGGGCAGATAATTATATCTCTTCACCGGTTGATTCTGCTAACACATAGAGGCAAAAAAGATTGTATCAATGTAGAGAATTAAATAGGAATAAATGGAAAAGGAAAACAAAACTGTGTGTTATTGGGGATGAGTGTTGTTGAGAAAAATAAATTAACACCTTGTGAGTGAGTGAGTCCAGTTGAGTCGTCTTCGATTAATACCTTTCAAACATTCTTTGGTGTCTTTTTAAGTTTTTCGAAAACTCTTTCGTGTTCACTACATAAATAGCTTTGGTGTGCTGGAATATAACTTGAGGATGAACTTCAACAACATCTTGCAGGGCACTGATGGATTTGTCTGACATTTTCCATTAGGTTTGTGTTTAGATGATGACGGCCGAGCTCAGAAACCTTCCTGAGGACCTCCAGGCCGCATGCTAAATCAGACCAGACTAAACTAGCACCCTCCGTCATCGTTGTCGTGACAGAACCCAATTTGATATTCTCTCAGATCTTCATCCCCGTAAGATACAGGAAGTCTTCCTTCCGACAGAATTTGCAGTGAGTTGATGTCATAGGATGTGGCATCATTATCATCATTAATTTGTTCGTTTTCTTGCCCTTCCTCTTCAGCAACTGATGACGCCTTTCTTATGAAGTCTATCTTTTCCAACAGCCTTTCCACATCTTCACGGACGCACTTACCAAGTATAGGCATCAAAGTTTCCGAGCGTAGCCTGCGGATCACAGTATTCGCTTTACAGGTAGCCTGGACCATTTCCCTTAGCAAACTTTCCATTTCTTGGCTTTTTCTTGGGTGAAAAACTTTAAGGAAGTCCTTGGAAAAATGGATGGCTTCCTCCACAACTTCCATTTGTTTTCCGTTTAAAGAGTGGCGGCCATGTTGAGCAACCTTGGCGAGTTTTTCCGGAAGACGTTTTGAATAAGCCAAGGAATGACAATCAGCCCTTGTCATTCTTGCCGTGAAAGTACCAATTTGATATTCGACCTCATGTTCTCTATCAGTAACATGAATTCTAATCTCATTTCCGAACTCGTGTTGCTCCTCCCATATTTCCTTTGCCGAATCAACGACAGACTCACTGCAATCCACCACACCAATTGATTTCAATGTTAGTATATCTCCAATTCCCGAAGGGATCTCCTCCAACAAACTTAATCTATTAAGTTGAAGCCTCTCAAGAATAGGGAAGTGCATTGATTCAGTTCTCCAACACACTAAATCATTACTGCGAATCTCCAATACTTTGAGGCGACGGAATCCCCCTTGAACAGGCTCCCACTCTGACCCATGCACGCCACCATCAGATATCTCAAGTGTTTCAAGACTCGGTAGCAAACCAACAATTGACATATCTTCCCATGCCATTCTGCAATTCTTCAAAGACAAATGTTTGAGGGAATAAGGGAAGGTCATCATCTCCAAGCAACCTGATATAGATAGAGATTCAAGTTTATGTAGCTGCTCAAGATTACATAGAGAATAGTTTAGCTGTAGCTCAGATCCATCATAGTATTCAACGCTCAATTTCTTCAAATATGGAATCCGATCAATGACTTGTTTGGAACAATTGAAATTACGGATTCCATCTAAGGTGTGAAGGTCCTTGAGGATAATAAAATCTTCCCCCTCAATATCACTGGCTATAGGATCTGGGAGATGAAGGTCGTATTCGTATTTACATCGAATCTCTCTTAGTTGTGGCATCTCCCATATCTCTGGAGGCAAATCCTTAATTGATGACAACGAAATGATGAAAGTTTGAAGATTCCAAAGTAACTTTAATGTTGAAAAAGACAATGATCCCGCCAGCCCTATATAAATACGACGCAATTCTATTGGCGGAAAATGTTTCAAGTCAAAACCACCATCGTAATTCACAATCTCCACCAAATTATGTTTTTTAATATGGGAATACACCATAGTACAAGCATCGCATACAAGAGGATTAACTTGTGACGATAATCCAAATATATGACATGGTTGCACTATATGCACTGCTTCTTTTTCCTCGAGACTTTCTAGACAAAGATCACACTGCAGAGTGTCTTTGAACCTTCGAATAACCTCTTGCCTTCTAGGAAATTGGAGAAAACATTCATTGGCAGACGCTTTTAAACAAAGATCCCGTAAAAGATCATGAATGCCGCATCTATTTTCATCCTGTCAAATATTAGATTCCTATCAATGAGGCTTTTTACATACTCTTTTGCAATATCTTCTAAAGTTCTATCACTCGTTCATTTAATGAATCCTTCAGATATCCAAGACTCAATTAGCTTTGAGACTACAATTTTACTATTTTCAGGAAAAACTCTCAAATACAAAAAATATAGTTTGAGATGAATGGATAAACTCTCATAACTTAAAGATAGTATTTTCTTACAGTGCTCTTTATCTTCCAAATTAGCGAGTGAGCTAATATGATTTGCAACATTCTCCAAACATTTCACCGTTATGTGAGAATTGGTAAGCAACCGGCCCACGACAACAATTTCTAAAGGAAGCCCTCTGCAACATTTTGCAATTTTCTTTGCAAGCTTCTCTAAATGACCGTATGGACAACCATTTTGAGAAAAGGCATTTTGACATAATAAACTCTAACTTTCATTCTCATCTAAAAATGTTAATCGATAAGGATCATGAGAACCCAAAGAAGCAGCCATGTTTGAGAGTCTAGTCGTCAACAAAATACGGCTTCCGTCCTCATTGTCTGGAAAATACCTCCGTAACTCATCCCAAGCTCCAGTTGACCACATGTCGTCCATAACAATCAAATACCTTCTACCGAATAATTTTTGGTAGAATCTAGTTCCCACCTCATCTAAACTTTCGTTTTCTCTTGCCTTTCTTTCAAGACCAACTTTAAGGATTTGTTCAGCGCTATATTCTTGAGATATAGTAAGCCAGATGCGCATATCAAAGTGGTCGACAACAAATGAATCATCATAGAGACTTTTAGCGAGAGTGGTCTTACCAATTCCTCCCATGCCGACAATTGGGAGGATTTCGAGCTTAGATCTACCTCTGATGAGCTTGTCCCTGATCGTGTTCACATGCTCATCCAGTCCAACCACAACATTGCTGACATATGAAGTAGCTGCAGACGAACCACCAGCAGCAACAGAAGCATAATTGGATTGCTTTTGAGCTGGAGCATCCTCCCTGCCGTCTTCTTCAATCACCGGAAACTCTTCTTCAATGGAACAAAACTTTTGGATCAGTGTCTCCATTTCATCACAGAAAGCTGAGAAGCTTGAAGTATCACTTGTTTCTCCTTGAGAATATTTGGCATAGAGTAGATTGGATACATGGAAGTTGATCGCACCTTCTGCTTCAGTTGCAGCCTCGGCCATTTTCCTCCACAAACCTCGAAGCTCAGGGATCTTCCTTTCAGAATGAAGCTCGACAAATTCCAGCAAGGAATTAACATTTTTCTGGAGAGCTTCAACTTGGTTGATGTCAGCACGAGGGATATTAAATGGGAACGATAGTGGAGATTGTCGAGGACGTGAGTGAGAGAAACCAAGGATGCATAAGCAGCAACAGCCATGTCTGATTAAAAGCTCTGGAAATTTTTTCTGCAACAGAAATTGTTCAGATCTGATCTGAGTCAAGGTGAAGGTGAAGGTGAAGGTGAAGGTAGTAGTGTGGGGAGTATGATACAATTTTAAAATCTGATGTTTGTATTAATCATCGATAGGGAGTGATATAATCATATAATACAGTGATCATTGACTTCATCCACTTGTCAATTGTTAATTAAAATTCGTGAATCATATCCATACAAGTTGATGAATATTTTCTTTGGTTAGGTACAGATTATTTCTTTATTTATTGCTTAGCCTCACCGGCTGACGTTAATAAAAAGACTTTTTGTGTTGTAGGAAACAAATGGATTCCTCAACATTTTCCTTAATTAGTACTAACAATAAACCTGTGAAGTCCCGTAAGGGAAGGCTTGGTGGCGTCCTCAGGTCACTTGCCACACATGGCTCGTCCAGTGCGCAATTTTAGTTCATGTTTTACGAGCTCGTAATGCACGCCGCAGCTGCTCTGTTTGGCATCTCACTTTTTGACGAGTACAGGATCAAGATCGGCAGGCAAAGCAGTGGTAGATCATAGGATCGGGCACTGTCCGAGGAAAGAACGACGCTGCGACTGCATTGTTCAAATTATCGGCATTTCATGATAATAAGTTCCGGATAGCTCAAGCTCGAGCTGTAAAGCATTTGGCCATTTTTTTGGACCCGGCAGCTGAGATGGTCTATAAAGTGGTGGCGCTTCAATACTATTACAGCTTTGCCTGCATAGTTCGACTTATCATTCAACATTTGTAATCAATATTTTATGCAATCATGTTCCGGTTTGAAGCTATTCTATGCACAAGATTATGAGTCAGTTCTTTTATCTACACAACAACAACATCAAACAATTAATATGTTCTCACGGACTATCAAAAGGCAAAAGAAAATCACAGGACATTACCCGGACGCCTACATGTCCACTTGCCACGCATGGTTCGCCTAGTGTGACTTTCTTTGTTGGACTTAGTTTGCAGGGTATTAGGTTCGACTGAAGGTTTACCCAAGACATTCATCTGATTTCTTAGTGAAATATATACAACAAACATTGTTGGTGTAATAATTCTAGTTTTCAATTAGTATTAATAGTGTGTGTTAATTTTGAACTCGCATTAATGGTAGTTAATGGTTTAAGGAGATAAATTGATTTGTTGTGTGGTTGATTGTAACTGAGATTTGTCTACTAGCATATTGGACATGATGTGGGATTCTCTGTCTTAATGCCCCAAGATGACACTCCTTCACTTAAATGCTGTCGAGACAAGTTTGGTAAGCTACGCGGCCTGAAAGCATCATTTGCCGTCCCGGCGAGGGACTGAACTGAAGAATTCCTTATGTTTATTCCTCCATGTTGTTGCGTTTCATTTGAAGTAACATTCCAGGAGAAAGGGTGAGCAGAAGTGCTCGATTCAGGGTCTCGCTGGGCAGCCTTTCCACGATTCTCCAAAGAAGGTAGACTGAGTTCGGAGCTATGGTCTCCATGTTTGTCTTCAGGGGTCAATAAGGCGTCAGCATAGCTTCCCAATCATCGAAGCAACCATCTTTATTATCATCCCCTTTATCGCCGCTCATGTTACACGGGAAGAACTTGCTGTTGCTGCTGCTGCTGCTACTCCACCCGCTGATGCTGCCACAACTCGGAGTGAAATTGGCGACAAATTCATTACTGCCTGGGAGGCTGCTTCTTTGGTTGCTCGGGCTGTTTGACAGCGAGGAATCAGAATCACTGTATCTCTGTGTGGTTAATACGCATCTGTAATTCTGCCCTTCGACGCTTGATTTCATCTCTTGCTCCCGGATGGACATGCCTCTCTCGTTCCGAGAAACTTGCAGGATCTTTATGCATCTCCCCAACACCATTCATTTCTTCATAACCACACTGTCCTTCACTTTTTGCTGGAACCATTTAACATTTCTAATCAATGTTACCATGGAATTGAAAGGAAGATTTAATCAGATTATGCGATCGAGTTCCGATTTGAAGCTATTCTATACACGAAATGATTAGCCAATTGTTCTACGTATAAAACCATAGCATCAAACAACTAATAAGTTGTCATAGACTATCATAAGACAATATATCACAGAACATTCATTTCTTACTTGAACATGATAATCCACATAAACATCACAGTGTTCTTCAAAACATAACAGACCTTGAGAAAGCCATTGTTCCCGACGCGCATCAAGCTTGCACTGCCTCAACTTCGTCCAGCGGTTACCCTAAGTAATTCCAAATACAATAACAGAAACTAATTCACAAACAAAAGGAATATGAGAAGAATTCCAATAAATTTGGAACAATAACAACGGAAAAACAGAACACTTTTTTTTTTTTTTTCATTAGATCAAATGCGAAACAAATTTTCTAGTAATAAAAACCGCCGATTAACATCCATCCTTTGAGCGACGATCCAAAAATAAACGAACAAGATGGAATTGAATAAAGAATCCCATGCAGCGTAGAATGCATGGAGAAATAAATTAATTAAGAAACACAATGGCAAAAAAGCATACCCGTTTCTTCTTGGCGAAATCTTTAGGGTTGGATGAGGCGGAGGCGATTGAGGTGGCAGGGATTGAATTCGAAACCATTGCTGCGACGAGTCGACGACGAACAGCGGAAATCCTAAATTGACGAAACACAAATTCCTTTTCGCTTTTTCATTTTATTTCCTTTTCACTATGCAAACAAAATGTGTGACCACAACTTTATCAATTTTTTTTTTTTAAATTTTAAAATAATATTAACACAAATATAATAATACTTTTTTTTAAAAAAATTATCAAATTATTCAAATCAACATTTAATTTCTTAAAACCATATGCATTAATAGTTTTTTATGTGCTTCTAAATTTAGATATTCTACTGCCACTCAATAATAGGACATAAAATTTATTAAAAGATTAATAAAAAATAATAAAACAAATAGTCACAAATTGATTATTATTATTTTAAAGTAGAAATAGTAAAATTATGAGTAAATAAAATTAAGTTTTTTAGAAATAATATTACCATACATAGAAAGTTGGATAGAAAAGTGTTGGGTGTGACATAAACACTGGTTTGATACGATGATTTAAATATAAATTATATTATCTCCCTTCCCTAACTAAGTATTCATTTATTTACTTTTGAACATTAATTATTATATTAAACTTATTATAGAAAAATGACAAAAATACTTCTGTACCTTGTAATAGTAATATAATAATATTTGTAAAAAAATATATATATTTTTAATGTTAATACATTAAGTAACTAATGTAAATTTTCATGTTATTTATAAAAAAGACTTACCAGGCCTAATTTTTAGGTTCTTGGATTCGATTGAATGTTTATTCAGAGCACTTGAGCGGCTGCGGATCCTTACATCTTAACAAATAAAAAAAGAAAGAGGAATGAGATAAAAAAGAATATTACTTTTTTAAAGCATCACAATATTTATAATGAGACGGAAAGTGTTCCTTTGATATGTTAACATGACTTGTTATGAATTCTTTTTTTTTTTTTTTTTTTCTCTAAATAAAATAAATATATATAAGTAGATGAAAAAAAATCAATATTGTAATCCACATATCATATGTTCCAATGCAAAATATTGGTAACAAACAAAAGATATATAACAATCACCATCTTAATTGGTAGATCATATTTCTTCATCCCTTGACTCTTCTGACAAATAGAGACAAAAAAGATTGTGAAATAAATACCTTATGAGTGAGTCTTTAATTTCGAGGCTGGTAACCATATTACGTGGTATTTTAATATATTCAAAACGTTTTGCACATCCTCAGAGAAGAATAAGATTTCTTCATCAGTTGCATCTTCCAGAGATTGTCGCCCAAGATACTTTGAATCCAGATGCTCTGCTACTTTGATAAGAATCATCGCGTTCGCTAAATATCTAGCTTTGGCGTGGAGTATAATTTGAGGATGAACTTCAACAACATCTTGCAGGAAACTGATGGATTTGTCGACATTTTCCATTAGCTTTTTGTTTAGATGATGACGGCCGAGCTCAGAAGCTTTTCGGAGGACCTCCAGGATGCATGCTAAGTCCGACCAGATTAAACTAGCAGCCTCCGTCATTGTTGCCGTGACAGAACCAATTTGATATTCTCTCAGATCTTCATCCCTGTAAGGAAGTGTTCCTTTCCACAGAAGTTGCAGTGAGTTGATATCATAGGATGTGGCATCATTATCACCATTAATTTTTTCGTTTTCTTGCCCTTCCTCTTCAGCAACCGACAATGCCTTTCTTATGAAGTCTATCTTTTCCAACAGCCTTTCCACATCATCACGGACGCACTTACCAAGTATGGGCATCACAGTTTCGGAGTGCAGCCTGCGGATCACAGTATTCGCTTTATGGGTAGCCTGGGCAATTTCTCTTGCCAAACTTTCCATTTCTTGGCCTTTTCTTGGAAGAAAAACTTCAAAGAAGTCCTTGAAAAAATGGATGGCTTCCTCCATAGCTTCCATTTGTCTTCCGTTTAAAGAGTGGCAGCCTCGTCGAGCAACCTCTTGGAGTCTTTCACAAAGATGTTTCAAATAAGCCAAGGATTGACAAGCTGCCCCGGTCATTCTTGCAGTGAAAGTACCAATTTGGTATTCGACCCCATGTTCTTCATCAGTAATATCAATTCTAATCTCATTTCCAAGCTCGTGTTGCTCCACCCATATTTCCTTTGCCGAATCAACGACAGACTCACTGCAATTCTCCACATCAATTGATTTCAATGTTAGTATATCTCCAATTCCCCAAGGGATCTCCTCCAATAAATCTAATTCAGTAAGTCGAAGACTCTCAAGAATAGGGAAGTGCATCGATTCAGCTCTCCAACACACTAAATTATTATTGCCAATGTCCAACACTTTGAGGCGACGAAATCCCCCTTGAACAGGCTCCCACTCTGACCCATGCACGCCACCATCAGATATCTCAAGTGTTTCAAGACTCGGCAGCAAACCAACAATTGACATATCTTCCCATGCTATTCCCATGCAATTGATCAAACGCAATTCCTTGAGGGAATTAGGGAAGGTCATCTTCTCCAAGCAACCTGATATAGATAGAGATTCAAGTTTCTGTAGCTGCTCAAGATTACATAGAGAATAATAGTTCAGCTGTATCACGCCCCTCTCAGATCCATTTCCATAACTTATCCTCAATTTCTTCAAATTTGGGATCCGATCAATGACTTCCTTTGTACAATTGAAATTACCGATTCCATTTAAGGTGTGAAGGTCCTTGAGGATAATAAAATCTTCCCCCTCAATATCAGTGGCTATAGGATCTGGGAAATGAGCATCGTATGAACATCGAATCTCTCTTAGTTGTGGCATCTCCCATATCTCTAGAGGTAAATCCTTAATTGATGAGTACGAAATGATGAAAGTTTGAAGATTCCAAAGTAACTTTAATGTTGAAGAAGACAATGATTTCACCTTATTTACATCAACACAACGCAATTCTATTGGCTGAAAACTTTCTATATCAAAACCATCATCGTAGTTTGCCATCTTCACCAAATTATTATGTCTTTTAATTTGAGAGTACATTCTATTACAAGCATCGCATACAAGCGGATTAACTTGTGATGATAATCCAACTACAGAATATGGTTTCACAATATTCATTCCTTCTTTGTCCTCAACTCCTCCTTGACAAATATGACAATACCTAATTACTTTTGTCGACAACATTCTCCCAACAGTTTGCCTTCTAGGAAATTGGAGAAAACATTCATCGGCAGACTCTCTTAAACAAAGATCCCGTAAAAGATCGTGAATGCCGCATCCATTTTCATCCCGATCAAATATTAGATTCCTATCAATGAGGCTTTTTACATACTCCTTTGCAATAGCTTCTAAACTTCTATTACTCGTTGATTTAATGAATCCTTCAGATATCCAAGACTCAATTAGCTCTGAGACTTCAATTTTACTATCTTCAGGAAAAACTCTCAAATACAAAAAACATGGTTTGAGATGAATGGATAAACTCTCGTAACTTAAAGATAGTATTTTTTTACAATGCTCTTTATCTTCCAAATTAGCGAGTGAGCTAATATGATTTGCAACATTCTCCAAATGTTTCACCGTCATGTCAGAATTGGCAAGCAACCGGCCCACAACAACAATTTCTAAAGGAAGCCCTCTGCAACATTTTGCAATTTTCTGTGCAAGCTTCTCTAAATGACCCGGACAACCATTTGGAGAAAATGCATTTTGACATAATAAACTCCAACTTTCATTCTCATCTAAAAATGTTAATCGATAAGGATCATGAGAACACAAAGAAGCAGCCATGTTTGAGAGTCTAGTCGTCAACAAAATACGGCTTCCGTCCTCATTATCTGGAAAATACCTCCGTAACTCATCCCAAGGTCCAGTTGACCACATGTCATCCATAACAATCAAGTACCTTCTACCGAATAATTTTTGGTAAAATCTAGTTCCCAACTCATTTAAATGTTCGTTTTCTCCTGCATTTCCTTCAAGACCAACTTTAAGGATTTGTTCAGCGCTATATTCTTGAGATATAGTAAGCCAGATGCGCAAATCAAAGTGGTCGACAACAAATGAATCATCATAGAGACTTTTAGCGAGAGTGGTCTTACCAATACCTCCCATGCCGACAATTGGGAGGATTTCGAGCTTAGATCTACCTCTGACGAGCTTGTCCCTGATCGTGTTCACATGCTCATCCAGTCCAACCACAACACTGCTGACATATGATGTAGCTGCAGGCGAACCACCAGCAGCAACAGAAGCATAATTGGATTGCTTTTGAGCTGGAGCATCTTCCCCGTCTTCTTCAATCACCGGAAACTCTTTTTCAATGGAACAAAACTTTTGGATCAGTGTCTCCATTTCATCACAGAAAGCTGAGAAGCTTGAAGTATCACTCGTTTCTCCTTGAGATTTGGCATAGAGTAGATTGGCTACATGGAAGTTGATGTCACTTTCTGCTTCAGCGGCAGCCTCAGCCATTTTCCTCCACAAACCTCGAAGCTCAGGGATCTTCCTTTGGGAATGAAGCTCAACAAATTCCAGCAAGGAATTGACATTTTTCTGGAGAGCTTCGACTTGGTTGATGTCAGCACGAGGGATATTAAATCGGGCACGGTAGTGGAGATTGTCGAGGACATGAGTGAGAGAAACCAAGGATGCATAAGCAGCAACAGCCATGTCTGATTAAAACTCTCGATATTACTGTTTCTGCAACAAAAATTGTTCAGATCTGATCTGAGTCCAAGGTGAAGGTGAAGGTGAAGGTAAAGTTAGTAGTGTGGGGAGATGATATAATTATAAAATCTGATGTTTATATTAATGATCGATCGGGAGTGATATAATCATATAATACTGTGATCATTGACTTCATCCACTTGTCATATAATACGAGTTGATGAATATTTTATTTGGTTATTGATTGATTGATTTATTTATTGCTTAGCCTCAATCATTCATGTAACAGACTTTTTTGTTTAGGTATCTTCCATGGATTGTGCTTCGAATTCAAATGCTTTGCTTTTTTTGTTTTTCTTCTTTGAAAAAAGAAGGTTTTGTGTTGTAGGAAACGAATGGATTCCTTAACAATTTTCTTATTTAGATTGCCTAGCGTAAGTAGCTCTTCTTCAATGAGTATAAATTGTCTCAAAATGAATAATCCCACAATATGTGTTGAAAAATATTTTATTAGCAAAATATGTGGTATGATGAAATTAAAAAACACAAAATCAATTATAGATGCGAAATCAAATCCTAGCCTGGCGTGGCAACCGAAGCGAATTCGCCCTCCATCCATCGCCTGAACAAATTATCAACGGAATAAGCAAACACATAAAGTTGAAAGAGGTTGAGAATTGGTTTTCCTTATTCCAAAAAAAAAGGAAAAATAGAATATAGTATATACATATAATTTTCCAGATTATTTTGTATTTAATCGGAGAAAAAAACTGCCTACTTCCGGTGCAACAAACTACTTTATCTCATTACTTAATTTTTCAAAGTCAAAATAAATTAATCAGATAAGATAAAATGTGGGACACATTATTTATTTCTCTTTCACCTTTTTTTAATTAAATACCCAACAATCTCCGCAACAAAGAGGAAAATGATGACGGGACGAAAGAATGATGAATTTTGTATAGGATAAGTAGGATTTCTTTTCCTTTGAACAGTAATCTTTACCAATTGTTTCTTCTTGGAAGCTGCCTCACTTCTCTCACATAAGTGATCTTTTTAAGTTTTCGAAACAATTTTTGCACATAAAATTTTAGCTTTTTCCGGCTTTCAGAATTTTTGCTTTTTGTTTTTTTAGGTCCTTCCGGCACAACAATTGCAGGCTTCCTCAGCCAATTTGCCAGATTCATATATATTTATCTGCTGACACATAGAGGCAAAAAAGATTGTATCAATGTCGAGAAATTAAATAGGAAGAAATGGAAAAGGAAACACAACTGTGTTATTGGGGATGAGTGTTGTTGAGAAAAATAAATTAATACCTTGTGAGTGAGTGAGTCTAGTTGAGTCGTCTTCGATTGCTACCTTTCAAACATGTCTTTTAAGATTTTCAAAAACTCTTGTACATCCTCAGAGAAGGATAAGATTTTTTCATCAGTTGCGTCTTCCAGAGATTGTCGAAAAAGATGCTCCGAATTCAGATGCTGTGCTGCTTAGATAAGAAAATTTGTGTACGCTACATCAATATCATCCGAGTGCTGGAGTATAATTTGAGGATGAACTTCAACATCTTGTAGGAAACTGATGGATTCGTCGACATTTTCCATTAGCTTTGTGGTTAGATGATGACGGCCGAGCTCAGAAGCCTTTCGGAGGACCTCCAGGCCGCATGCTAAATCAGACCAGATTAAACTAGCCGCCTCCGTCATTGTTGCTGTGACAGAACCAATTTGATATTCTCTCAGATCATCATCCCTGTTAGGATGTCCCCCCCAAAATATCATTGAGTTGATATCATAGGATGTGGAATTATTATCAGTTTGTTCGTTTTCTTGCCATTCCTCTTCAGCAACCGACAACGCCTTTCTTATGAAGTCTATCTTTTCCAACAGCCTTTTCACATCTTCACGGACGCACTTACCAAGTATAGGCATCAAAGTTTCCGATCGTAGCCTGCGGACCACAACCTCTGCTTTATGGGTAGCCTGGGCCATTTCTCGTGGCAAACTTTCCATTTCTTGGCTTTTTCTTGGATGAAAAACTTTAAAGAAGTCCTTGAAAAAATGGATGGCTTCCTCCACAGCTTCCATTTGTTTTGAGCTTAGAGAGTGGCGGCCACGTCAAGCAACCTCTTGGAGTCTTTCCCTAAGAGGTTTCGAATAAGCCAAGGATTGACAAGCTGCCCCTGTCATTCTTGCAGTGAAAGTACCAATTTGATATTCGACCCCATGTTCTCCATCAGTAATATCAATTCTAATCTCATTTCCAAGCTCGTGTTGCTCCACCCATATTTCCTTTGCCGAATCAATGATAGACTCACTGCAATACCACACACCAATTGATTTCAATGTTAGTATATCTCCAATGCCCGAAGGGATCTCCTCCAACAAACGTAATTCAGTAAGTTGAAGCCTCTCAAGAATAGGGAAGTGCATCGATTCAGCTCTCCAACACACTAAATCAGTATTGTTAATGTCCAATTCTTTCAGGCGACGAAATCCCCCTTGAACAGGCTCCCACTCTGACCCCTGCACACCACCAGATATCTTGAAGTGTTTCAAGACTCGGCAGCAAACCAATAATTGACATATCTTCCCATGCTATTCTGCAATAGATGAAATGCAATTTCTTGAGGGAATAGGGAAGCTCATCTTCTCCAAGCAATTTATTATAGATAGAGATTCAAGTTTCTGTAGTTGCTCAAAATTACATAGAGAATAGTTCAGCTGTTTTGCACCCCCTCTTAGATCCATCACCATATTTAACGTTCAATCTCTTCAAATTTGGGATCCGATCAATGACTTGTTTGGAACAATTGAAATTACAGATTCCATCTATGGTGTGAAGGTCCTTGAGGATAATAAAATCTTCCCCCTCAATATCAGTGGCTATAGGATCTGCTAGATGAAGGTATTCACATCGAATCTCTCTTAGTTGTGGCATCTCCCATATCTCTGGAGGTAACTCTTCAACTGATGAGTATGAAATCATTAAACTTTGAAGATTCCAAAGTAACTTTAATGTTGAATGGAAAAATGATTTTATCCACCCTATATCAACACAAAGCAATTCTATTGGCTGCAAAGTTTCTGTGTCCAAACCATCATCTTAAGTTGCAATCTTCACCAAATCATGTCTTTTAATATGGGAATTCACCATAGTACAAGCATCGCATGCAAGAGGATTAACTTGTGACGATAATCCAAATATATAAAATGGTTGCACTATATGCATTCCTTCTTTCCCCTTGAGAAATTCTTGACAAAGATTACAGTGCACAACTCTTAACCTTCCTGAAACAATTCGCCTTCTGGGAAATTTGAGAAAACATTCATCGTCAGACTCTCTCAAACAGAAATCCCGTAAAAGATCATGAATGACACATCCATTTTCATTCTGTTCAAACATTAGATTTCTGTCAATGAGACTTTTTGCATACTCCCGTGCAATATCTTCCAAACTTCTATATTTCTTTGATTTAATGAATCCTTCAGCAATCCAAAAGCCTATTAGCTTTGAGAGATTAATCAAGCCATCTTCAGGAAAAACTCTCAAATATAAAAAATATGGTTTGAGATGAATAGGTAAACTCTCATAACTTAAAGATAGTATTTTCCTACAATGCTTGTCATATTCCAAATTAGCAAGTGAGCTAATATGATTTACAACATTCTCCCAATATTTCACCGTCATGTCAGAATTGGCAAGCATTCGACCAACAACAACAATTTCCAAAGGAAGCTCTCTACAACCTTTTGCAATGTCCTTTGCAAACTTCTCTAAATGACCGTATGGACAACCATTTTGAGAAAATGTATTTTGACATAATAACCTCCAACTTTCATTCTCATTTAAAAATGTTAAATGATAGGGATCATGAGAACCCAGAGAAGTAGCCATGCCTGAGAGTCTAGTCATCAACAAAATACGACTTCCATCGTCATTGTCGGGAAAATACCTCCGTAAATCATCCAAAGCTTCAGTTGACCACATGTCATCCATAACAATCAAGTACCTTCTACCGAATAATTTTTGGTAGAATCTAGTTCCCAACTCATCTAAACTTTCGCATATTTCGTTTTCTCCTGCTGTCTTTCCTTCAAGACCAACTTTAAGGATTTGTTCAGCACTATATTGTTCAGATATAGTAAGCCAGATGCGTAAATCAAAGTGGTCGACAACAAATGAATCTTCAAAGAGACTTTTAGCGAGAGTGGTCTTACCAATACCTCCCATGCCGACTATTGGGAGGATTTCGAGCTTCGACCTACCTCTGACTGATCGTCTTCGCACGCTTATCCAGTCCAACAACAACATTACTGGCATACGAAGTAGCTGCAGTCGAACCACCAGCATAATTGGATTGCTTTTGGGCTTGATTATCCTCCCTTTCTTCAATCACCGGCAAGTCTTTTTCGATGGAACAGAACTTTTGGATCAGTGTCTCCATTTCTTCGCAGAAATCTGAGAAGCTTGAAGTATCACTCATTTCTCCTTGAGCTTTGGCATAGAGTAGATTGGATACATGGAAGTTTATGGCGCCTTTTGCTTCAGCTGCAGCCTCATCCATTTTCCTCCACAAACGTCGAAGCTCAGGGATCTTCCTTTCGGAATGAAGCTCGACAAATTCCAGCAAGGAATTGACATTTTCCTGGAGAGCTTCAACTTGGTTGATGTCAGCACGAGGGATACTAAATCGGGCGCGGTAGTGGAGATTGTCGAGGACATGATTGAGAGAGACCAAGGATGCATAAGCAGCAACAGCAACAGCCATGTCTGTAAGGTAAGGTAATGAAGATCGAAATTATAGCAGAGATGAAGATGAGGAATTGAAGATGAAGATGGAGTAGAGAGAGAGGTTCAAGTTGAGAGGGAATCAAAAACGTTATCTTTATTGTGTGGTGCTGAGAATTCCATATGATCTTGTGTAATAAGTTTTAATTGAATTAGCTTTAGGCTCTATTTGTTTGTTTTTTGGGTTTTTATTTTACATTCAATTTTTACATCATTTTAAAGTTACTTATATTATATTAAATAATTATTTTAATTTAAAATTTTTCTATTCAAACTCATACATTCAACTCTAAAACCACAAAAAAACACATGCCTTGAGGAATTGGCCATATGTTTGTTTGACTGGGTTACAAATATTATACTATTAATATAATTTATTTTTGCTAGGATAATATTTGAATAAAAGTTAAAAATAATGTAATATTCAAATTTTTAAATAGACATTGATTTAATAATTGTGCGGAAAGAATAAATAACATAATATTATTTTTTTTATAACGTGGGAACACAATATTCATTTTATAAATGCAAACAAATAGTCTAAGAAAATCCGACACCTCCAAGTCCACTGGCACACATAGTTCGTCACTTGTCTGTCGGATCTAGTTCGCAGGATATTAGATTCGGTCGGGGATTTATCCCGTGCGCTCTTTCGGGTAGTAGCGGCGGATTTCCACGTTATAAAAAAAAAAAACAAATAGTCTAAGAAAATCAATATTTTAACAAGCATTAAAGTATTTTAGAAAATTTATTAGAGTGTGTTTAATTCATAGTTGATGCATGTTGTTAGGATAATGTCGATGTTGTAGTTTTCTATTTAAAGAAAAGGTAAATTCTAAAATATATACAAAGAATACTTGTTATTTATGATATGAATACAATTTTTACGGACAAATTTGCGTAAAATGTGTAAGCATAAATTTGACGAATTGCGGAAGTACAATTTTAATTAATGAGAAAGAGAGAATTGTGTTTGCCACTGTATTTTTATCTTGATTTAATGAACTTGAGCTTGTTGGTGAAAATTGGCTATGAACATTGATAAACATTTGAAAAATATATTAGTATATGATATACTAAAGTAAAATTATGTGCAATATAGTCAAGATCTTCGTTAGTTTGACAAAACTTGTCCAAACGATCACAAAGAATTAAAGAATGGCTCCTCGAATGTACTTATCAATCAACGATCTTCATCTTTGCATTCATTTTTCGACTAATCATCTGCCTTAGTCGAGAAATGAAGTAATTGATCGAGCACTCGCGACAAAAATCTTAAGGGTATCACTCCCTATGCTATGTTGTTTATGCCAAATTGATAGCAGTTTTATTACATCATCGCAATTCAATTATACTTAATGTTGAAATATCTCCAATTTCCGAACGGATTTCTCCCAATGTTGTTAGAAAGGACAGTTAAAGCAATTCAAGAGTAAGAAAATGTTCCTTTTCAGCTCCCCATTACACTATATTCTTACATAAAATTTCAATTTTTTTTTTTTTTTTTTTTTCAATCGAAGAAACCCACCCCTCCCCGAACTAGATTCCATCCAAAGGGACATTCATATTCCTGAGTTGACACTTCCCAGATTTCTTTAAAGAAAAATAATGGACTTTCCGATGAAAATAGGTATAAATTTACAGCACCTAAGTATGATGCACGAATTCTAATTGATCATCACCAATATTAAAACGAAAAATAATGAAAATAAAAATGAATTACACACAAAAAAATACCAATTCGATGATGAACATACGTCTAAGGACAATCAAACCAAGAATTTTCACTAATATGTATTAATAGAATACAATAAGGATTCATAGGCATTAATGCAAAACCTTAACAACTACTTTCCAATATTTTCTAGGTCCGTTACAACTTTCCGAAATCTTCCTTGCAAATTTATCTAATTCTGGATAGAAGGGCACGGTTCGATTATTTGCAAATATACAAGTATTTGATATTCGAACCGAATCGAATCGAACAAATACCCGAAATAACGAACAGTATAGCTTCGCCCAGCGATTACCCTAAGTAATTCCAAATACAACAATAGAAACTAATTCAAAAACAAAAGGAATATGAGAAGAATTTCAATAAATTTGGAACAATAACAGCGGAACAACAGAACACTTTCTTTTTTTGGTTTTCATTAGATCAAACGCAAAACAAATTTTCTCGTAATAAAAAACCGCCGATTAACATCCATCCTTTTAGCGACGATCCAAAAATAAACGAACAAGACGGAATTGAATGAAGAATCCCGTGCAGCGTAGAATGCATGGAGAAATAAATTAATTAAGAAACACAATGGCAAAAAAGCATACCCGTTTCTTCTTGGCGAAATCTTTAGGGTTGGATGAGGCGGAGGCGATTGAGGTGGCAGGGATTGAATTCGAAACCATTGCTCTGACGAGTCGACGACGAACAGCAGAAATCCTAAATTGACGAAACACAAATTCCTTTTCGCCTTTTCATTTTATTTCCTTTTCACTATGCAAACAAAATGTGTGACCACAACTTTATCAAATTTTTTTATTATTTTTTTTTAAATTTAAATTTAAATTTTAAAATAATATTGACACAAATATAACAATAATTTTTTTAAAAAAAGTTATCAAATTATTTAAATCAACATCTAATTTCTTAAAACCATATGCATCAATAATATTTTGTAGCACTTCTGAATTTAGATACTCAATAGTAGCACAGAAAATTTATTAAAGGATTAACAAAAAAATAATAAAACAAATAATCACAAATTGATTATTATTTTTTTAAAAATAGAAATAGTAAAATTATGAGTAAATAAAATTAATTTTTTTAGAAATAATATTGCCAAATTTGCCATACATAGAAAATTGGATAGAAAAGTGTTGGGTGTGACATAAACACTGGTTTGATACGATGATTTAAATATAAATTATATTCTCTCCCTTCCCTAACTAAGTATTTATTTATTTTTTTTTAATATTAATTATTATATTGAAACGTATTATAAATTAAAAAAAATGACAAAAATACTTTTGTATTTTATAATAGTAATATAATAATATTTGTAAAAAAAAAATTATACAAATATAAGATATTTTTAATGTTAATACAATAAGTAACTAATGTAAATTTTCATGTTATATATAAAAAAAACTAACTAAGCCTAATTTGTAGTTTCTTGCACTTGAGTAGCTGTGGATCCTCATGTCTTAAAAAAAAAAAAGAAAAAAAGAGAAATGAGATAAAAAAGAATATTACCTTTTCAAAGCATCACAATATTTATAATGAGACGGAAAGTATTCACTTAGTATGTTAACATAACTTGTTATGAATTTTTTTTTCTCTAAATAAAATAAATATATATATAAGTAGATAAAAAAGCCAATCATGTAATCCTCATATCATATGTTCCAACTGCAAAATATGATAACAAACAAAAGATGTAACACACTCACCATCTTGGTAGATCATATTTCTTCATCGGTCGATTCTTCTGACAAATAGAGACAAAAAAAATTGTGTCAATAATATGATGAGAAATTAAATATGAATAATTGGAAAAGAAAATTAAGACTGTGTGTTAGTGTGAAAGTGTTGTTTGAGAAAAATAAATACCTTGTGAGTGGGTCTTTAATTTCGAGGCCTTAGTGAACCATATTCTGTGGTTTATTAATTTATTCAAAACGTTTTCCACATGTTCAGAAAAGGATAAGATTTCTTCATCAGTTGCATCTTCCAGAGATTGTCGCCCAAGATGCTTGGAATTCAGATCCTCTACTGCCATGACAAGATAATAATACATGTACCCATAACCAATAGCTTTGGTGTACTGGAGTATGATTTGAGGATGAACTTTAACAACATCTTGCAGGAAACTGATGGATTTGTCGACATTTTCCATTAGCTTTGTGTTTAGATGATGACGGCCGAGCTCAGAAGCCTTCCGGAGGACCTCCAATGCGCATGCTAAATCAGACCAGATTAAACTAGCATCCTCCGTCAGTGCTGCCGTGACGGAACCAATTTGATATTCTCTCAGATCTTCATCCCTGTAACGAAGTAAATCTGCACGCATAATTTTCAGTGAGTTGATATCATAGGATGTGGCATCATTATCACCATTAATTTGTTCGTTTTCTTGCCCTTCCTCTTCAGCAACTGACAATGCCTTTCTTATGAAGTCTATCTTTTCCAACAGCCTTTCCACATCTTCACGGACGCACTTACCAAGTATAGGCATCAAAGTTTCCGAGCGTAGCCTGCGGACCACAATCTCTGCTTTATGGGTAGCCTGGGCCATTTCCCTTAGCAAACTTTCCATTTCTTGGCTTTTTCTTGGGTGAAAAACTTTAAAGAAGTCCTTGAAAAAATGGATGGCTTCCTCCACAGCTTCCATTTGTTTTCCATTTAAAGAGTCGCGGCCATGTTGAGCAACCTTGGAGAGTTTTTCCGGAAGATGTTTCAAATAAGCCAAGGATTCACAAGCTGCCCCGGTCATTCTTGCAGTGAAAGTACCAATTTGATATTCGATCCCTTGTTCTTCATCAGTAATATCAATTCTAATCTCATTTCCAAGCTCGTGTTGCTCCACCCATATTTCCTTTGCCGAATCAACGACAGACTCACTGCATCTTATCACATCAATTGATTTCAGTGTTAGTATATCTCCAATTCCCCAAGGGATCTCCTCCAATGAACGTAATCCAATAAGTTTGAGCTTCTCCAGAATAGGGAAGTGCACCGATTCAGCTCTCCAACACACTAAATCAGTATTGTTAATGTCCAATTCTTTCAGGCGACGAAATTCCCCTTGAACAGGCTCCCACTCTGACCCATGCACGCCACCATCAGATATCTCAAGTGTTTCAAGACTCGGCAGCAAACCAACAATTGACATATCTTCCCATGCTATTCCCATACAATTGATCAAACGCAATTCCTTGAGGGAATTAGGGAAGGTCATCTCCTCCAAGCAACCTGATATAGATAGAGATTCAAGTTTCTGTAGCTGCTCAAGATTACATAGAGAATAATCGTACAGCTGTATCACGCCCGTCTCAGATCCATTTCCATAACTTATCCTCAATTTCTTCAAATTTGGGATCCGATCAATGACTTCCTTTGTACAATTGAAATTACCGATTCCATTTAAGGTGTGAAGGTCCTTGAGGATAATAAAATCTTCCCCCTCAATATCAGTGGCTATAGGATCTGGGAAATGAGCATCGTATGAACATCGAATCTCTCTTAGTTGTGGCATCTCCCATATCTCTGGAGGCAAATCCTTAATTGATGAGAACGAAATGATGAAAGTTTGAAGATTCCAAAGTAACTTTAATGTTGAAGAAGACAATGATTTCACCATACTTACAGCAACACAACGCAATTCTATTGGCTGAAAACTTTCTATATCAAAACCATCATCGTAGTTTGCCATCTTCACCAAATTATTATGTCTTTTAATTTGCGAATACACCATAGTACAACCATCGCATACAAGAGGATTAACTTGTGACGATAATCCAAATATATAACATGGTTGCACTATATGCATTCCTTCTTTTTCCTCGAGACTTTCTAGACAAAGATGACACTGCACAGTGTCTCTTAACCTTCTTCTATTAACCTCTTGCCTTCTAGGAAATTGGAGAAAACATTCATTGGCAGACTCTTTTAAACAAAGATCCCGTAAAAGATCATGAATGCCGCATGTATATTCATCCCGATCAAATATTAGATTCCTATCAATGAGGCTTTTTACATACTCCTTTGCAATATCTTCTAAAGTTCTATCACTCGTTGACTTAATGAATCCTTCAGATATCCAAGACTCAATTAGCTCTGAGACTACAATTTTACTGTCTTCAGGAAAAACTCTCAAATACAAAAAACATGGTTTGAGATGAATGGATAAACTCTCGTAACTTAAAGATAGTACTTTCTTACAATGCTCATCATCTTCCAAATTAGCGAGTGAGCTAATATTATTTACAATATTCTCCCAATATTTTACGGTCATGTCAGAATTCGCAAGAAATCGACCAACAACAACAATTTCCAAAGGAAGCCCTCTACAACTTTTTGTAATGTCCTTTGCAAACTTATCTAAATGACCGTATGGACAACCATTTTGAGAAAAAGCATTTTGACAAAATAAACTCCAACTTTCATTCTGATCTAAAAATGCCAATCGATAGAGATCATGACAACCCAAAGAAACCACCATATTTGAGAGTCTAGTTGTCAGCAAAATACGACTTCCATTCTCATCGTCACGAAAATAGTTCTTTAACTCATCCCAAGCTCCAGTTGACCACATGTCGTCCATAACAATCAAGTACCTTCTACCGAATAATTTTTGGTAGAATTTAGTTCCCAACTCATCTAAATTTTCGTCTTCTCCTGCCTTTCCTTCAAGACCAACTTTAAGGATTTGTTCATAACTATATTCTTGAGATATAGTAAGCCAGATGAGCAAATCAAAGTGGTCGACAACAAATGAATCTTCAAAGAGTCTTTTAGCAAGAGTGGTCTTACCAATTCCTCCCATGCCGACAATTGGGAGGATTTCGAGCTTAGATCTACCTCTGACGAGCTTGTCCCTTATCGTGTTCACATGCTCATCCAGTCCAACCACAACATTGCTGACATATGAAGTAGCTGCAGGCGAACCACCAGCAGCAACAGAAGCATAATTGGATTGCTTTTGAGCTGGAGCATCCTCCCCGCCGTCTTCTTCAATCACCGGAAACTCTTTTTCAATGGAACAAAACTTTTGGATCAGTGTCTCCATTTCATCACAGAAAGCTGAGAAGCTTGAAGTATCACTCGTTTCTCCTTGAGATTTGGCATAGAGTAGATTGGCTACATGGAAGTTGATATCACTTTCTGCTTCAGCGGCAGCCTCAGCCATTTTCCTCCACAAACCTCGAAGCTCAGGGATCTTCCTTTCGGAATGAAGCTCAACAAATTCCAGCAAGGAATTGACATTTTTCTGGAGAGCTTCGACTTGGTTGATGTCAGCACGAGGGATATTAAATCGGGCACGATAGTGGAGATTGTCGAGGACATGAGTGAGAGAAACCAAGGATGCATAAGCAGCAACCGCCATGTCTGTAAGGTGATGAAGATCGAAATTACAACAGAGATGAAGATGAAGAATTGAAGATGAAGATGGAGCAGAGAGAGAGAGAGAGAGGTTGAAGTTGAGAGGGAATCGAAAACGTTATCTTTATTGTGTGGTGCTGAGAATTTCATATGATCAGTGCAATGAGTAATAAGTTTTAATTGAATTAATTTCAGGCTCTATTGTTTGTTTTTGGATTTTTATCTTACATTCAATTATTACATCATTTAAAAATGTGGGGTAAACGATTTACCTCACAAAAGAACAAATCTTAACAAATCATGAATATCATAAGTTTCCAATTTACCACTTATTACTAGTGAGTGAGAACAGAAGTTGGATTTTTTAAAAAAATGAAATTTTTTATGTTAACCATAGCAATTAGAGTTGGTAAATAAATCGAGTCGTTCGTGAACTCGACTCGATTCGGTTCGATTAAAGCTCGTTCGCAAACGTTAACAAGCTGAGCTGAACAATATAAACATGCTTGTTTGATTAACGAAGGAGTCTGAACTTTGTTAAGTTCGTTTAAATAATATATTTATTATAAATATTATATATAAAATTATAATTTATAAATAAATAAAATATTAATTTTAAATATATAAATAAAATAATTTTCTTTTTTTTTTAAATTTATATATAAATTAAAAAAAAAAAGACAAACGAGCTCGAACAAGCTTAATCAAGTCGAAACGAGACGAACACGAACACGAGCTCAAACAACAAAAATTCTTAACGAGCCGAGCTCGAACACTACGAACGAGCTCAAAAGCTTAACAAACGAACACGAGCCTTGTTTGCAAATATTAACGAACACTTAAAATTTGACTCGACTCGACTCGTTAACAGTATAGCAATAATCTCCAAACTTTTCTTACCCACAACTCTTATTAATCCATAAGCATCCTCCTATCTTTATGATAAAAGCTCATAAAGAAGAATCGGCTTGAGGTGGATTCGCAAATTATCGTAAGTCAAATTGGGATAAATTATATATCACCATTCTGTGTATTTAGTGAAAATGTGTTTTATATATTGAGTTAAATATCTTTGTATTAATGTAAAATTTGTATACAATATTTTTAAAAAAATTAATATTTAGTTATAAATATGAATTTAATTATATAAATTTTATATAAATAAAAGAGGTAAATATATAATAAAGGGATATAAATTGTTATGCTACGTAAAAAGAAATAATCGATCAATTATTTATTTATTTATTTTATTAAAAAAAACCTACGAAAATTATAAATGGTCCGCGTGTATACAGTTCTATATATATTTTTTATTTATTATTTTTTAAAATTCCTTTCTCCTCAATCTCTGCTTTTCCGGCCGATAATCGGCGTTTCATTCTCCCGGCGCCGCCGCGATCGGGCCGTGCCTCACAACACCGTGAACGTTGCGCGGCCGATTTTGCCGCAAAAGTAAGCGCCTTTTCGAGCTTTTTTTTTTTTTTTTCCTTAACTGATTCATTGATTGTTGGAAACCTCTGGATTGGGTAAGTGGATTTCAATGTAACGCTTTGCGGTATGCGTCTTCATCATCTACGACTCTCCAATCATCTGATTTAATCGACTGTTGAGTTTATTTACGCAAATGCAATTAGGAACCTTTTTGTGTGAATCCAGAATTGTTTAATCAGGTTTAGAGAATTTCTTTTTTAAAATATTGGAATTTTGGTAGCGTTTCTTCTCTGTTAATTGCTCAGAACTATTGAATGCATACGAGATGTCAATGTGATGTTAAGAAGTTACAGTGTTTAAGGAAGCTGGAACAGAGATTATCATTTGGAGTTGCTTCACAATTTTAGAACTTGTCTAATTAGTTTCCCGAACTACTCCCAAACTATGAGTAAGAGTATCAAGAATGTAGATTGTTGTTATCTGACTCATTTCAAACTTGAGTTACTTTTTTTTTTTTTTCAATTTAAGATCATCAAGATTCTTCTGATTCCTGAGGCTAAATTGGATTATCAGCAGGAAAAATCTCCTTTATGTCATAAATAATCTCTATAGGTAAAGATAAAACCTTTTCATTAATGTGCTTCCAAAATAACAAAAAGAATATGATCAGTAGTCGTTCAGGAGTTCCTATGGTTGCTTTGATGAAATGTTTCTCTCTCGGGAAAGATAATAACCTTTTTCTTAATTGCAAATTAGATTCATGACAGTATAGTTGGGAGTTAGTTTGATAAATCTGTGATTTGGATGATGCAGAAACTCTTTGGTGGAAGAATATTTCCTTGCGCTTACTTCTCTGAATCAGTAGCACCTTCCTTCATGGAAGCTCTTAGATCTTTCCCTTCATTCTGAGCCTGGCTTTATTCATAATGAAGTTAGGTTCTAAGGAATAGGAAGAGTTCAAATTTTCAGATTCTCTGATTGGTGAAAATTTAACAGCAAATGTTGGAAGCTACACATGAGATTGCTATTTACATTCATCGCTTCCACAACCTCGACTTGTTTCAGCAAGGGTAAGTTAATATTGTTTAATTTAGTTTTTCCTTATATTTACTTTGATAAAATGAAGCATTCTCATCATATTTTTTATTTTGCACATATTGTTTTCATTTAGATGGTATCAAATTAAAATCACAATGAGGTGGGAGGATGGAGATTGTGATTCTTGGGGTGCTCCCGCAAGAGTTGCACAGTATGAAGGTAACTATTCTAATACATGTTTTGTTGTTTGGCGTTGTTTATGTTGAAGTATCTCCGGAAGCTTTAATCTCTTTCCTGCAAACCTTCCTCATGTTATTTCTTTCAAAATGTGTACAAGCATATATGAGAAGAATAAAACCTAGATATTGCATTTCCGTAAAAGGTTTTATTTTTTTGGTACAAACGTTACTCATGATACAATAAGAAAGAAGAAACTAACCATGTTATATGCAGATGCTTGACTAGTTTATGGTTATCCCTTTTTTGGAAGTGCTGCAGCAAGAAGTGACCTTGTTGATGCATGAATGCAGGTTTTATGTAAACAATCAAAATAAATATCAATAGTAAATTTTCAATAAAATTATTGACACAGTTATATAAATATTTTGTCCCAAGATTACTTGCTACAATGATTTTCTAGTTCTAATTATTAAGAGCATTATTAAAGAAATTAGCCCGCTAATATAAGAAGAAGCAACTTAAAGAATGTCGAAGACAAGCAATTACCTTGCCAAAATGACGTGGTAGAACAAAAATGGTTGAAATAATAATTAAACACGAAATGTGGAGATAAAAAGGCTCTAGGAAGAAAGATATTACAGTATGAAAATGAAAGAGGGAAAGGAAAAGAAGCTAAAAGAAAAACTAAAAATAGTAATTATCTTGGATGTGTGGATGATCAGCATTGGAATTGGATAGAAGGAAACAATAATACAGCCTGTTGGAAAGAATATCAATCTCCCTTACGGCCTTATCCCTACCCTATTTAAGACCTATGACAATACCAATAACAGTAATTATTTTATTTGAGCAGCTCCAGATCTGGGTTCTGATGACGTGTATGGAGTTTGGAAAATTGATGACATAGACCACAGCTTTTCAACTCAACCTTTTCGTATCAGATATGCGAAGCAGGATATTCTTTTGTCTATGATGGTCTCATTCAACTTTCCTTATCGTAAATTTGAGGTATTATTTTCCTGCTTTCCTTAGGTATATAGATAATGCATGTATCATATATAAAACTTTTATGGTATAACCATTGAGAGGCTGAAAATTATTGTAGATAGGAATGTCCAAATAAGATTCCCATGGCAGACGTGTCTGACAAATTGAAGAATACTTGCGAAAGCATTATTTAATGTATTTATCATTTCAACATATTTGAGTTCACATAGATACCATAAATTTTATGTCGGTTATGCTGTTAAGATTATTCATTTGGCCGTTCAATTAGCGAGGCGTACCTGCATCTGCTATCATTCTGAAGTGTGAGTTGCTGCACACTCCTGTGTTGGGGAACAGGTTAGCCTACTTAAATTTTTTTTTCTTATGCTTTCCTTTTATTGCATGTTTGCTAATATTCACTTCATTTGTGCTTTACTAAATTTAATTAAAGAATATGTTCATTGAATTCAATGGATGCTTCTTAGGTATTTGAATTAAATGTTTGCTTTGGTTTTTTTTTAGGTCTGCTGTTATGGACTCTTTGGTGAGTGCCGCTGTCCATGAATTCCGGCTTCCCTCAAAGGCTCTTCTTGGATTGCATGCCTATTGCCCTGTTCTTTTCGACATGTTTCACTCAGTGTTGGTTGATGTAACTGTGCACGTGTGCCTGCTTAAAAGTGTTCACACAAAGAAGGTACCCAGGTTTGTTACAGCATCCATTTTCTTCGATATAGGCAGGTTGCTACATTTAATAGTTCCATTACTTTTTCTCCAGAAATGTTGGTCTGAATTCATATCATACATCTTGGAAAGGTCATGGATATGGCCTTCGATAACTGGCTTCGAGCCTATATGCTTGATTTGTTATTCATAAATATGCGAATGGAAAAGCATTATGTTATGTGCTTGCAGTGTCAGGCTAACCCTTAATTCTTACTCGACATTATTGTGTACTAAAAGTGTTCATTGTCTTATTTCAGTAATCATAAAGCTGTGAATGAGGATTGTGCTATGAAGGGCTATGATAAATCACAGCAAGTGCGTGTTGCCCTTACTAGCTATATTATTTTGTCATTTATTCAACAATTAATTTTCTTAATCCTCATACTTTCATATGGAGGCTGAATATTCTTATGTGGCACCTCGTGCATGCTCAAGATGGCAATCATGATGGTTTTATTATTTGTTAGATTATCGTACCAATAAATTTCTGAAAGAAAAAAGTAACTGGATCAAACACAGTTAATAAAAATCTAACATTAATAATTTTCAGTCCTTTGTATACACTTTCAGATTATTCTCTTAATTTGGTGTATGAAAGTAACATTTTTATAAGAACTTGTTTCAACACTAAACAGAACTTATCATCTCTTCTAACTATGCAAGCCATTGAAAATCAGCAGGAGGCATAAAATATCCTGGTAATCTTTCCTGTGGTGGCGTTTCATTTACATTGAGTTATGACATTCACTTTTGTCTTTTAGCAGGATATACTCATCCAACCATTAACAACTTCCAGAGACATACTCATTGAAGAGCTACGCAAACTCAGCGAAGCCATCAATCAACAAATAGATATTAGTTCACACAAACTGTTTTCTGGTGATCAAACTAAATCAGTTACGACACTCTTCCTTCTGTCTGTTCTGACTATTTCATGCGGTTTCCTCTTATCCTTATAACACTTATTTGGTTTATGGAACAGAAAATGAATGGAGAAGCTGATTTTCTTAATGATGTTCCTCGATCACAGTCCGAGGATAAGCTGCTCAATTCAATTGATTTGATTGACAACCAATTGACTTACCTATGGAGTTTATTTTTCAACTTTCACAGGTTTGTATTTACCCTTACAATTATTATGTTTGACAATATTGCTCGAGGGACATATTTGCTGAACAAAATTTTGGTCAAGTAATTTATAAATGTAATATAGATTTTACAGACGTAAATGTTTGTTTATGGCATCAAGCAACAGCTTATTATTCAATAAGTCGTTTGTTGCAGTTCGGAACTGATATGCCCTTTACCTGTTCAGGGTTAATGCGAAGAAAGTTCTTAGGTATCTCTACCACCAGTGGCGTGTGGAGCGGAAAGCCGAATGGTCAATCTGGATGGTGTATACGAAGGTTGAGATGCCTCACCAATACATAAGTAGTTCGGTGCACACATCTTACCAGGGATTGCATGGTAAGCTGCCCATTCCACAGAAGATAGATGGCGACGTAAGTTGCTAACATTTGTTTTGTTTATCCAACTGAGAATTTCTACAATTTTAGCTAAGGTAATTGGTTTTAGTTTTATTTTGATTCTGCGGTCTACAGCCCGCACAAGCAGCTGCCATGAGAGCTGAGCGTCACAGGCAAAGCATAGCACAAATGATGGTGAGTCATTGTAAAGAATGGTAAATTTGTATCCTCGCATTATTGTTTGGAGATTGAGCTGGTACTTATTCAGTGCAGATCAACACTCGTTCGATTCAAGACATGCTTATATTTGGAGATCCATCGCGCATACCCATTGTAATTGTGGAAAGGGTTGTCACTGCTCCTTTGCGCTCGACCAGCAGTCAATCTTTCTTCAGCCAAGTGGACCAGAATGACACAAATAGTTCGATTTCAAAATTTGGCCCTACCCCCACAAATGAAGTATATACCTCCCATTCACATGATCGTGATCTGCAGATTGTTGTTTTTGTCCATGGATTTCAGGTATGCTACCTATATGAAAAACCTGGCTTAATTTCTTACAATTGCTGAGGTTTCGCTTTATCCTATGAAGATAACAATAATGTCTGATTGGCCCCTTTTTTGTGATATTTGAGGATATGTTGCTGTCGAATAAAACGAATCTAATGTTAGAGTTAGTTTCAATCATTCAAGCCTACATAACAATTAAATCTCCCTCAGAAATTAGTAGATATTAGTTATCTTGTGATCAATATGATATTAAGATAATGATTGGAATTTTATGTTGCTACATGTTGATAAATATTTAACAAGCGAAGTTTAGAAAAAGGAACAATAATTTACAAAGTGAAAAATTGCATGTCTTGCATTATTATTTTCTTAGTTATTTTCTAGCACGATCGAAGAATGAGGTTTGTTTGGTTTTGGATCGAAATTGGGGTTTTGATTTGGATTTTGTTTGAATAATATTTTGATGTAATATTTTGTGAAAATGAAATAGTGTACTTTTATTGGAAATGTGCAGTCTAAGTGATTTAAGTTTAAAACCCAAACCAAACAAACCTGCAGGGACATCACCTAGACCTACGGCTCATCCGTAATCAATGGCTTTTAATAGACCCGAAGATTGAATTCCTCATGTCCGAGATCAATGAAGAGAAAACATCAGGCGATTTTAGAGAAATGGGACAGAGACTAGCGCAAGAAGTAGTATCATTCGTGAAAAAGAAAATGGATAAGGTGTCTAGATCCGGTGCCTTGACAACAATTCGACTTAGCTTTGTTGGCCATTCGATTGGAAATATAATTTTGAGAACTGCTCTGACAGGTTTTCAACTTTAATTATCGCAAACATTTGCTCCTATTTATCTCGCACATCTCTAATCGTAATTTCCTCTCGCAGATAGCATCATGACGCCATACCTCGGGTACCTCCATACATATCTTTCGGTCTCTGGTCCTCATCTCGGCTACCTTTACAGCTCGAATTCGTTATTCAACGGAGGTATGTGGCTCTTGAAAAAGCTCAAAGGCACTCAGTGCATTCATCAGCTAACTTTCACCGATGATCCTGATCTTCGAAACACATTCTTGTACAAACTGTCCAAGGTACACTACTGATCAAATTTTTCGCTTTTACGATCAGGTTTGGTTTAAATATTTTTGGGGTGATTTTGGTGTGTTTGTTTTGTCTTTTCTGTTTGAATTATTTTTTTATTTGAGATATAAAAAAAAATATATCGATAATATAAAAAATAGTATATTGTGTTGAATTGTTAATTCTTTTAGTAGATAAAGTCTATATATTACTTCGCCGTCCACGAAGTCTATGCTCACACGAGATTTAATAAATATAGTATTATATTGGTTTATTGTATTATAAAATAAGAGTATTTTGATAAATACATGCGCGAGTTAACGAGGTGAGAAAATTTTTGATATTTAAGTGTTAAATAGTTGTGGTATATTTGTAAATAAGTGTAATATTGATGGGTATAAAATGAAATTTGTGTATAAGTTATTTGTTATGAAAAAGATAAGAGTATATATTTTGTGTGAATATATGTATATCCTCTCCGTTCCAAAATAATAGAGACATTTGAGATGGCGTAAAAGTGTTTATAAAAGATCAAAATATTTTTACTTAATGTAATTATTGTTAAAAATTTGGAATAATTTTGTAAAAAGATGGAGAGATAGTTATCAAAATAAAAATGGGACGAACGAAAATGACAAAAGGGGACTATTGTTTTAGGACGAAGGAAGTACTATATAATTATAAAATATTAATCGGAAATTGTGTCGAACAATTTTTGGCGGGTGAACAAACCCGTCTCGTTGTCTCGATTTCTCAAGTTTTTGTCGGTTTTTTCGTTTCAGCACAGGACATTGGAGCACTTCAAGAATGTTATTCTTCTATCATCTCCCCAGGTAATTTATAATCTCTTATTTCACTATCCGTAATTCGATTTTGTCACAATATTTGTTGGAAACTGTTCGATTCATGTTTCGTCGTCAGGATGGCTACGTTCCGTACCATTCTGCTAGAATTGAGATGTGCCCGGCAGCTACCGGAGACCACTCGAAACGGGGTCAGGTCTTCCTCGAGATGCTGAACTATTGCCTCGACCAGCTGCGCGCACGTCCCTCAGAGCAGCGCGTGCTCATGCGCTGCGACGTCAATTTCGACGTCACCCTCCAAGGGAAAAACCTGAACACCATGATCGGGCGCGCCGCGCACATCGAGTTCCTGGAATCCGACATCTACATCAAATTCATCATGTGGTCCTTCACGGAACTATTCCAGTGATCATCGCCCCCTGGATCAACTTTCCATCGCTGATCGAGCGAGGTTCATTCTCCCGGAATTTTTATATCGATCAGCCGGTCGATGCTGTTCTTCCGATTCAACTCGTTCATCCGCTGGCCAGGTATCGGTTTTTCGACTTTTTTGTGTCTGTTGTAGACGACAACAGGTTCTAGCGATTGTTGTAGAGCTCCATTGAAGAGTTGCTGAAGTTTTTTTAAGTAATGAGTTGTGCAAAAAGTGAAATGGTTTTAAAAGTTGTGTTTTGTCGACAAAAATTGATTAGATTTTACTATTTGAAATTTGCATTTTGGAAAAAATATACTATGTTCGTCCGATTCTAAAGGACGAAGGTAATATACATGCAAAAAGTAAATAAATAAATTGGCGGTAGACGAATGTAAATAATAGAATCTTGTCAACTCAAGATATAGCATGCCACCACTTGATCATCCTGAAGGTGGTATAGGGATATATTTATGACCGTAAAATCATGGATTTAAACTTGATGCCTCCAGATCTATCTGCAAACCTTTGCAGAATATTAGATTTGGTTGCGGATTGCTACGTCATAAAGATCCACGAACTTTTTTGAACCACATCATAAGAACTTATAAATTCGACCGAAACGAAACAAACCAATACTGAATTACCATCTTCCTTCATCACAGGAGACAATCCAAAATTCTCAGTCAGAACCTCCCTCATATATCCACCATCCCTATTCGACAATCCTCTGGAAAGACCGACCAATTCGGGGACTGCACGCTCCTTAACCATCTAAAATCATCAACATTGCGCCAATCCCCGGTCTCCTCCACAAGACATGCTTCGCCAAGATCCTTTTCAATCCGTTCATACCTCAGACAAATGGAGCAAAGCTAATGCCGTTACTATCCTCAATTATCGGCCTACATCTAACCTGAAGACAGAAATCGCAATCCTTCGCATTATGGATCCTGATTTGATGCGAAGCTCCATCAAAACTGACCCCGTCACTGCCCCATCATAAACTCTAGAAGTTTTCAAATTGTCGATAAACAGTGCCCTTAAGCATCCCTTCAATTTTACCTCACAATCTTTCAGTTCTGACAGCATGAACTCACCGCCGCTGAATTCCTTCGCCAACGCCTCATTCTCTCTGTTTCGGAATCCAGTGATGCAGGCTCCCCCAATTCCAGATTGGTTTCGACACGACGCTGTTTTGTTGATCTAGAGCTGCATGTCACAGATTGACATTCCTGTCCAGGTTCTCGACCATAGTTCGTCCCATATATGCGAGCCCCTATTCTGTACAGCTAATTGTGGGCATATGTCTCGGTGCAGGTACGTGTTCAGCATGATGCTCCCATATTGTATGGTATATCCTGGGCGTATTGCGCACAGGGGACGGCTGGTCTGAGCCTCAGCGCGGGCGTAGCCTAGGCGCCAAGCATGTCAGCTTCCGGACACGTTACATGTGGCTTTGGTTGTGGCCTTTTTTGGAGGTTTTGTTTTTTAAGGAGAATTTCTTCTTAGGCACAATCTAGGGAGTGTTTAAGGTGCGCGACTGTGTTGAGACAGGTTCAGACTTCGTAGGGCGGCAGAATGTAGGAATTCTCGGCGACGAGCTTCTCCAGAGCTGATATTTCGAGAGAAATGGATTCCAATTGAGGCTTAGCACTCGGGGCGATGATAGAGCGGATACCTGAGATCTGAGATTCGATTGACTGCTTGGATTCGGCGAATCGAGCTAGAAATTGTCAGATATCAACACAAGCTTACTATCGAAGGAAGACGAAGACAGCCGATGCAATGTAAAAGTTGTAAACTGCAACATAGAAAAGGAGGGTAAGGATGAAGAAAATTATGAATTAGCTACTCATCAAATTGGAAGTAGGATCAAACAAATCAAATGCTTGCCTAGCAACAACAATCAGAATATAATCAAAGAGCAGAAAAGGCCTAATGTTCAACACATTGAATTCAATTTCAATCCAAACTATCAATTGCATTAATCCATCCAGCAATATATCCCAAAGGTGAATCGAAGAAATCAGAACTAACATGCCAACAGCACTATCACTGCGAGGAAAAATCGACACCAAATTCACAGCAATTTCTAGTAATTGGAGTTCACAAATTGGCAATTCCAAATCAGCAATCGCAGTATCTCAACATATTATCCCAAAAATCGAAAGTATTAAAAATAGACGGACGAAGGATACTACCGAACACCGGAGAGGGGTGAAAATCTAGTTGCTCGCGGCGGCTTTGGAAGAAGACGCCGGTGAAGATCGGCTGGGCGGCGGATCGAAATCGGCGGTGGTTGATTGCTATGGAAGACGGCGGTTGCGGCGGCGATTCGGTCGAAGAGGGAAAGGAGAGCGGCGGAGAGGCGCGGCTGTCGTCGGCGAGGTGGGAGATGGGGACGCCGGCGGTTCCTGGGTGGTAGTCGGAGTCGGAGCGGCGGTGGTGAAGTCGCCGGAGAGGAGAGGGCCGGCGGGTAATTCATTTTTACGAAATTAAAAACTATTTTCTAAAAATTGAATTACGTTCAATTTATTGTCCAATAGTAACACTCCACCTGGCATTTAGTCTTTTTTTATTTCCGTTACTTAAACCCTAGGCTCAGCTTCTCCTACCTCTGCAAAATGACGAAACTAGCCCTGCCCTATCACCATTCTCTCTCCCCTATCCTCCCGCCGGCGACCGCCCACCGCCGCTGCGTTCCCGTCTTCCACCGCCGCGGCGGCGGCGGCCCCTCCATCACCCGGCGCAGCCTATCCATAGTCTGTAAAGTAAAATCGAAGGAACTCATCCTCGGCAACCCCAGCGTCACCGTCGAGAAGGGAAAGTACAGCTACGACGTCGAAACCCTAATCAACAAGCTCTCGAGCCTACCTCCGCGCGGCAGCATCGCGCGGTGCCTCGACGCCTTCAAGAACAAGCTCTCCCTCTCCGATTTCGCTCAAATATTCAAGGAATTCGCGCACCGCGGCGATTGGCAGCGGTCGCTCCGCCTCTTCAAGTATATGCAGCGCCAGATATGGTGCAAGCCGAACGAGCACATATATGCCCTCGTAATTGGAATTCTGAGCCGGGAAGGCCTTCTGGATAAGTCCGCCGAGATTTTCGACGAAATGGTAACGCATTCGATTCCTAGAACTGTTCTCTCCTACACCGCCATTATCAATGCTTATGGTAGGAACGGCCATTACGAAATGGCGTTGGAATTGCTTGAAAGAATGAAGGAGGAGAGAGTTTTGCCTAACATATTGACTTACAATACTGTGATCAATTCCTGTGCTAGAGGAGGGTATCCATGGGAGGGATTGTTGAGCTTGTTTGGGGAGATGAGGCATGAAGGTGTGCAGCCTGATTTGGTGACCTACAACACATTGTTGAGTGCTTGTTCAAGTCGAGGTTTAGGGGATGAAGCAGAGAAGCTGTTTAGAACTATGAATGAGAGTGGGATTTTACCCGACATTAAGACGTATAGTTATTTGGTCGATACGTTTGGGAAGTTAGGGAAGCTGGAGAAGGTGTCGGAGTTGCTTGGGGAGATGGAGATTGAAGGGAATTTGCCGGAGACTATGAGTTACAATGTGTTGTTGGAGGCTTACGCGCGGTCGGGGAAGATCAAGGAGGCTATGGGGGTTTTCCGGCAGATGCAGAGCGCGGGGTGCGTGCCAAACGCCGCCACGTATAGTGTTTTGTTGAATTTGTTTGGGAAGCACGGGAGGTACGATGAGGTGAGGGATCTTTTTATAGAGATGAAGGTGAGTAACACGGAGCCAAATGCGGATACGTATAATATACTCATAGAGGTTTTTGGCGAAGGAGGTTATTTTAAGGAAGTAGTGTCATTGTTCGATGATATGGTGGAGGAGAATGTGGAGCCGAATATGGAGACATATGAGGGATTGATTTACGCTTGTGGGAAAGGGGGGCTTCACGAGGATGCGAAAAGGGTGTTGCTTCGTATGAGTGAGAAAGGATTGGTGCCGAGTTCGAAGGTGTATACTGGTGTAATCGAGGCGTATGGTCAGGCGGGGTTGTATGAGGAGACTCTTGTTGCTTTTAATACGATGAATGAGGTAGGGAGCGCGCCAACGATCGAGACATTTAATTCTCTGATTCACACGTTTGCGAAAGGGGGGCTTTATAAAGAGAATGAAGCTATTTTATCAAGAATGGCTGAGCTAGGCGTTCCGAGAAATAGGGATTTGTTGAATGGGGTTATTGAAGGGTATAGGCAAGGCGGGCAACTTGAGGATGCGTTAAAGGCGTATGTGGATATGGAGAAGGTGAGGTGTGATCCCGATGAACACACTCTTGAGGCTGTCTTGAGTGTGTATTGTTTTGCAGGCCTTGTTGAGGAGAGTGAACAGCAGTTTAGGGAAATTAAAGAGTTGGGTATACAACCGAGTGTTATGTGCTATTGTATGATGCTGGCCGTGTATGCGAAAACCGACAGGTAAGGCGCTGTCACATTCTCTAGTGATCGTTCATTTATCTGTTCCAAGAAGCATCCTTGCAATTATGCTGTCTTTATTACCTATGTTGATGTGCTCGATTGTTCTGGTAACAAGTATGTAGTTTTCTTGAAGAAGATAGTTTGTTCTATTGTTCGATAAGGAAATTAGATTTGATATTTATGATTAATGTAGATAGCCGTGTAAAATTCTCTAAACGAGTTAGTTCATATAATGTTTTTGTGCAAATTCACCACTTTGATATGTGCTTCGGGTTTAAGGATCACTTCTAATTACATTGTAATTTAAAATCTAAGTAAATTAATTTTTGTATCATCGACTTATGTAATTCCATTTGCATATGAAAGCTAGCCATGCTTTATGTAGTCTATCTACTTACTATGGTTTTCGCATTTTTTCTACGGAAAAATGTCTTAAAAGCTGTACTTTTTCTCTGTTATAAACTTGTTTAAATCGGTGAATTCATTATTTTCAGATGGGACAAGGCGAATGAATTGCTAGATGAGATGCACACGAACAGGGTGTCCAATATTCACCAAGTTATGGGGCAAATGATCAAAGGAGACTTTGATGATTCCAGTAATTGGCAAATGGTAGAGTATGTGTTCGATAAACTGAGTTCTGAGGGATGCGGTTTGGGAATCAGGTTCTACAATACTATTATAGAAGCACTTTGGCGTTTGGGCCAGAAGGAAAGGGCTGCAAGAGTTCTAGAAGAAGCAACAAAGAGGGGACTCTTTCCGGAACTGTATCGGAACAATAAACTCATATGGTCCGTGGACGTACACAGGTACCACAAGCATTCCTTGTCATTTTAATTTCTTGACACAGTGAGTCAGCGTGACGTTTATACCGATTTATTGTACGCCATTGTTATTTTTCAGGATGTGGCCCGGCTGTGCTTGTACTGCAATATCCGTCTGGCTGAACAATTTGCAAGAATCGATGACGAAGGGGAAAGAACTTCCTCAGCTGGGGACGGTTGTGGTCGTGTAAGTGTTTCCCCCTTTATTTGAGATGAGATCATTTTCACCATACTTCAAAGCTGTTTTCGCACTTTAAATGCAGCCGAGGACAGATGGAAAAGAGCTCAATAACACGAGATTTTCCAGTTGCAAAGGCTGCCTATTCTTTGCTAAAAGATGTATCATCAGCCTTCGTCTTTCCTGGTTGGAATAAGGGTCGAATCATCTGCCAAAAATCTCAGCTCAAGCGTATCATTTCTAAGAATGAATCTTCTTCAGGAGACTCCGAAGTTAACCGCTTAATCAGTTTACATAACACTCCCTTCCCACTCACGGGATCGAAGACCTCCACAAGCAACACGAAGCAAAGCAGCATTTCTGATCCCGACCAGATTGGCTTTAGGAGATCCACGGAACTTATGACAAGTGGACATAAATGATGAACAGTAACAACTCTCCGAATTTGGGTTCATTGGATCACTTCTTCCTCACTGAGTCGAGAAATCTAACTGGGAAAAACAGTACCCTGTATATTAATTGTTCGACTATCCCAGATTGTTGGAGACTGACCTCATCGACTAAAAACTGAACTAACCAAAGTTTCCAGTGCCGGGGAACTTTTCTAGCGCGAGGGTCGACATTACTGTTTGGATCCTCCAGTTGTATTTTCTAGCTGGTGACAGGTAATACTTAACTTTAAAATGTCGATATCTGACTGTCAATACCGTAGGTTTCGACCACTGTTTGGTATAAATATGTGAATTAGATTTGCTCAATGGAATGACTATTTCTTGCATTTGATACTTGTTTCTTCCCTTTATTCTCTTTGGTGCATATGATATTAATCCTTGAATACTTTGATAGTTAAATATTTTCTTTGATGAAGAACATGATAAAAATTATGGCTTGTTTACTACTTAGGGTGTGTTTATTTGCTTGCCTCTTTTAGTTATTTTGAATGTTTTGAAATAATTTATATTTCATTGAATCAAACATGGCCATAGGTGATGGATACCTTTATTATCCGTAGAAAGATCGATCCATCTATCAATAACTGTCTTTGTGAAATAAGAAGTTTTAATATAGTGTAGGTTTTGGGCGTAATGTTTTTAGTAGAAAATAGAAGTTGGGTATGATTTTATAGTGAGAAAATGATTTTACTGTAGAATGAATAGTACATAGGAGATGGATATCTTTACTATCCGTAGAAAGATCGATCCATCTATCAATGACCGTGTCCATATCTGAAATAAGAAGTTTTAGTATAGCATAGGATTTTTTATGTAATGTTCTTAGTAGAAAATAGATGTCGGATATGATGTTTTTGTAGGAAAAGAATTACACCGTAGAATAAATAGTACAAAAATGAAAACTCAAACCAACACACCCTTAATATTCATCGTGTTATAATATACATAATCACAAATGATTATTAGCTCTAGAGATATGTTTTCACAACAAGATTAGCTAGACTATACAATAGATCATTCTTCCAATTTACTGATTAAGGGTAATCTATTTTGACAAATTGTTAGGGTGTGTTTACTTTGTAATTGTCTTTGAGTTTCGATTTCGATTTTTGTTTGAATAGTAGGTTGAATGGGATATTTTGCAAAAAAAACTGAATAATATCTTAGAATAAATAGAACCTCTATAGGTATAGCAATATTCAACTTGAAGCCATTAATCTACATTTATAATAATGCAATCAATTTAGAAAAGGCTAATGGAGCCTAACAAACAATCATGTGATAATGACAGCTAATCTTTAGGATCTGATTTCAGAAAAAATAAATAAATTTAATTTAATTCTTAGGCACTAAACATAGAGTGGCAAATAGTAAACTATGTTGATTCTATGATGACCATGATAAGTTTTTATAATTCTTGATTTGAGATTGATTGATTGATGTATCTATCCCCTTTTCTTGTTTACTTTCAACTAGTCATTATTTTATTCCAGTGGTTGAGATTGGAACTTTCAGATGGGAATATATATATATATACATATCTGGTCAAGAAAACATTTATATATATATATATATGTATGTATATGTGTTATTTAATTTATAGTGCAAGTTGAAGCATACAAGTGTGATGGCAGACAAACCTCTCAAGTGTAAAATTAAAAATGTATGGTGTGTTTTTTTTTTTAAATTTTGTTAGTTTACTTATCAATTATTTTGTGGGGTTTTGTTGACAACTTTGGTGCAGGTGTTTTTGAGGTTCTAAACTTTCTGCTCACACAAAACTATGAGATGGAAGAGAGAAGAGCATGGGTGGGTGGGTACACTTTCTTGAAAATGTTCTTACATTCTAATCCTATCTTCTTCATGGATATTATATATATATATATATTTATATTTATATTTATGTGTGTTTGATGTCTATGTTTACTTGATTGGATCTTAAAGTCAAAAGGGATTCTACATTGGCAATGGTGGGCTTCTTTTGGATGATGTGAATTTTTTTATTGTTTATAGGTACCAAAGGTCTTTGGTGTTTTGATGAAGGACTCATTTTTATTTTCAATTTTGTTATATATGCAATTTTATTTTTTTTTTTGATTTTGTTTTGAAAGAATGGGATTACATCACATTTTCTTTTCCACCGTCTCTAAATCTTACTTGTCACACATAGCTTGCCTAATGCGACTTGTCTTATCGAGTCTGGCTTACACCGTATTAGGTTCGATTTAAAATGCGTATCTAAAAAATAGCGACTGCGAGTTTCTATGTTATATTAAAATAAAAAAAATCCAATTAGTCAAATATACAATGGTAATTGTAGTAAGACACATACTACATCTTTGGAAAAATCGATTATGAGTTCAAATTTTGCCAGTGTTTCTCTGATCGAACATGTCACACGTAGTTTTTCTAGTGTGACTTATAGGTTATTGTGTTTGCCTTAGAAATTTATCTATTGCATATTCGAAGAGTACGATTACAAATTTATGTTTTCGAAATAAAATAAATAAATAAATAAATAAATAAACCAATCACTTTATTTGAACATTACCTTAACTTAGCATGTTTAAGTAACAACATAACTTAAAAAGCCAATCCAATCCACTCCATTATTGTATTTTTGGTCCACAAATGGACCCTTTTTGACACTACATTTTTCCTTCAATACTAAGGAATCACTTTTCCATATAATTCTATTTTCCCTTTATTGCAATAATATGTTAAAAATAAAAATTAAAAAACAAACTTTTCAAACATTTATGATAATATATTACTAACCATAGTTGTAAAATAAACTATGGCATGCTGAAATTTGCAATTTTTAAATCAATTAATTAATTAAAAAAAAAAAGAACATTTAAGAAAGTCAACAAATGTGAACACAATTGCCAATAAAAAGGGTTTAATAATCCTTGCATGCATATTTCATGTTGTCACTAAAATTTAAATATTGTTATATAATAATGTAAAATAAATTTAGGGTTTTAGTTACTATGTAAATTCAATAGGGTAAATATATATTATATGTATTTCAATAAATAATAAAAATATTATATAATTAATAAGATGATACTTAAATTTATACATTCTCAATATTATTAAATTATGTTGACCAAGTAATAATAAGTATTCCCTCCGTCTCAAAGACGGTGCAATATTTCTTTTTTGATATGTTTCAAACACTTGCAATATTTTCAAAATAGAAAATAATTAATTATACTTAATCGCTGTCCACACTTTATCCTATCACATTACTCAAATAAAAAAATAAAATATACATTTCTCTCTTCCTCGCATCACTTAATTTTTAAATTATCCTACTTAATACTATCCACCTAAAAATACGTGTCCAAAATAAATATTGCAGCTGTTTGAAACGGAGGGAGTAAGATATAAAATTCTTGTCAAAAATATTTGTGGAGACCTCAATTACTTAGAAAAAAAAAAAGGATGTGTAGTATATTAATTATTTGGAAAAAATATGTTAAAAAGAACAAAACCTAAGAAAATAATTGCTTATGTACTAATTTATTATATATTTATATAAATTAGGTAATACTGTCTCAGTCTTTTTTTTTTTTTTTTTTTTTTACGTCTCACAAAAGATGATTTTTTTTATTTTTTATAAGTTTATCAATCTTAAACATACTTAATAAATATAAATTAATTTAATTAAATTTCTAATTTTTTAGACGCAGTTTTCACTCAAAAATCCCTTTATTTCTATCTTTGTCCTCCTTTAATAAATATTTTTATTTACCTTTAAAATTTTTTATTTTTTATAAAACTAATTTATGATAATGATAAATAAATAAATATATTATTTTATTTATTTGTATTATATAAAATTTTATCGTCTACAAAATAATATATATATTGCATATATTTTATTGAGATATAATTTTAAAAATATTTAAAATACCAACAACATTATACGTATAAAAAATAATAAATATTATCTTAACTTATTATTAATAACTTAATAACCTACGCTACCTATAAAATACCTTAAGTTTGAAGCTGGACGGAGGGAGTACGTGTGTGTATATATCTTATCCTACTTATATTAGGAACACATTATCCTATCTTTTTTTTATATTTTTATTTTTTCCTTTTCTTTGTGAATAAAATGTGTACATAATTTTTTACTTTATGAAATAATATGTATAATAATTATTTTATTTTATTTTGCATGTGGGGACAATATAAAATTCACACTATTTTTAAACCTTATCTTTTAGCTTATCCCTTCACCATACCACATGTACCATCCATCAATTAATTTAGAACCATAATATTTAATTTTTCAGACATATATATATATATATTTTGTTTGGTAGACTTTTTTCTGCCATTCAATTTATTTGCATCAAATAATTTTATATAATATTTTAATACTCCTTTAGTTCTTTATTTATATATTTTATCTTAGACACGAGAATTTAAAAGAAATATAACTAATAAATAATTAAAAATATATTAATAAAAATAATTATTATATAATAAAAATAATTATAAATTAAAATTATGATAACTTAGTATAATTAAAATTTAAAAGATTATAAATTAAATTTTTTAAAATAAACTTAAAGTATATAATTCTTTTCCAAAAAAAATGAAATGACAAAATAAGTGAGACGGACGAAAATAGAAAGATGGACATTGAAAGTGAGACGGATGGAGTATTTTAGATTGTTCAAAGTAGTATATTAGTTTTTTTTTTATTATTATTATTTAGTAAATATGATTTCGATATATTAATAAAAATATATATTATATTTTTTTTTTTTAAATTTCATCTAAAATTACAAGAATATCATACTATTTTATGACAATTATATTTTTTGAAAGCATTTTAATCAATATATTGTTACAACTATCTATAGAATGAAATTTTATTATTTAACAATTTAATGTATATTTACACTATAGTAAAATGGTGTATTTGAATCTGAAATTTAGTTTAAACAATAATTAAATATATTATTCGATAAAATAATTTTTTTAAGTTTTGATGTGGGTTTTAAAATTTTGATTTAAATAATATTATGGCTTTTTCTTTTTAAAAAATAATATTTTTTTGCTCGGGAGTAAAATTTTTATTTTGCCATTTTATTCAAATCAAGTTTTTTTTTTTTAATAAAAGTAATTTACATTTAAATACTAAAATAATCGTGTTTTTTACTTTTTAATATTACTTTTCAATAGTCAAATAGACATTATACTCCCTCCGTCCCATAACAAGGTATTCATTTTTTCATTTTAATCTGTCTCGTAACAAAATACCTATTTTTTCATTTTAGTTTGTCTCATAACAAAGTATCTATTTCTTTTTTAGTAATTGTACTATCTACTTAACATTATAAGTACACTTACAACTTCCAATATATTACACAAATGTCATTACATTTATATCACACATACTAATAAAGTTATTTTAGTAATTTCTATTTTATTCCTACTAAATCTCAATATAATACTAATATTTCTAAAATTACATGTAAAAAGCAAATAGATATTTAGTTATAAGACGGAGAGTATTATTTTATTATACTATACATTTATAAAATTTTAATTTACCTTCATCCGAATATAAAGGTCAAATAAAAATATATTAGTGGACCGAGAGTATATATTTTTATTTAAAATTATACTCCTTCCGTCACATTTATATTTTGTGTCATTATACTTAACATTAGAAATATTTTTATGTTTGTATAATTTTTTTGTACAAATGTTTTTCTATTAGTATTACAAGACACTAATGGAAATATTTTGCAATTTTTTTCTTAGTTTTACTATATTTTGATATAATAATTAATATTCAAATATCAATATGCAAAAAGTAAATGAGACCCATAGAACCGGACGGAGATAATATATATTAAATAATATTGATTTACATTTGAAACACCAACCAAACACACCCCTTGTATATGATAGTTACCATTAATACTTGCCATACTTTAAAAATAATTAAATAAATAAATAAAATTATTACAAACTGTTATGCCTAATCATGTTCCAAACCCCAAAGATAATCTTAATTAATTAAATAATTGTCAAGACAGCACTATGAGTTTATTAATTAAATTATTTAATTAAAAAATTATTATAGCCCATTTGCGCTAATTCATGTGATTCTATAATAATAATTATTATCATTATTATTCCTTAATAAACACAATTAGTTGTCCCTAATTTGTGATTATTTATTAATCACATCGTACCCTATTGTAATTATTAATAGTATTAATTATTTTTCTGATTGTGCAATTCTGACCGTCCGATTGCGTACTTTCTCGTTTTATTGGGATGCTGATTGCTGCTTTACACGCCTTTATTGCACTTTGGTCCTTGAGTGAAATTGAAGGATTAGTCCCCCGAGATATCTGAAATTATAAAATGCATTAAATCATTAGGGTGTGTTTGTTATGGGTTTTTTTTTTTTTTGGCTAAATTGTACAAAACCGACTGTGGTTTCACGAAATTGCGTCAATTTATTTATACTTCTAAAATTGCATCAAATTCCCTCGTGGTTTCAAAAGCTCTGCGTCTAACCTTTGGTGGTTCTTATTTAATGGTATTTGACGTAAATGCGTCCAAACTGTGAAAGAATTTTTTAATATCAATTTTTAAATCCCTAAAATTATAAATATATTCATTTTTCTTATATTTACACTAAAAGAATAGCAAATATACTACAAAATTGTTAATTTTCTCATATTTTAAGATTTTATTTTTACTGTTTTTTCAAGCTAAATATAAAAAAATAAATATATTTATAATTTTAGGGATTTATAAATTGATATTCTAAAATTTATTCGCAATTTGAGTGCATTTAGATCAAATATCGTTAAATAAGGATTGTCAAAGTAGTTAGACGCAGAATTTATGAAACCACAATAGAGTTTGATGCAGTTATAGAAGTACGAGGATTTGACATAATTTCTTGAAACCACATGTGGATTTTGTATAATTTAGCCTTTTTTTTTTTCGTATTTATTACTGACTTGTCTCTTAAATTTGTGCTTATATTTTAGTACCTCCGTACGGCTCGAATGGTCTCATTTACTTTTTGTTGATTTTTTAGTATTAATTATTATATTACAATGTAATACAAAAGAAAAAATTGAAAAAATACTTTCATTAATGTCTTATAATATTAATAGAAAGATAAAAAAAAAAATTATACAAATATAAATATATTTTTAATATTAAGTACAATCACGCAAAAAATAAATGTGACTCCCAGAGGCGGACCAATGAAGTATTTATTTTTTTTTAAGGCATATAATTATAATTTGGATAATATTTGCATTTATTTAATAAATATATTTTTTTATTAAAAACTTTCTTATAATTATTTTGTAGAATTTTGTAATACATGGAATGTATAATTAATAACCATCATTTTTAATTAATGTTTATAAATAAAAATTATGTTTGGTAACCTTAATTATAAAATGTACCAATTATTGTGTTTATTTATTTATTTTAAGAATAAAAATATGATAAGACGAATGTGTTTGTTCGAATAGTATTTGAATTCAAATTTTTTATTTTAATTTTAATTTAAATATTCTTTTTATTAAACATAATTTATCAATATTTTATATTTTTGTGTGTACTACCTAATTTGCTTTTACATATTCTTTGTATCAAATAATATTGTAATAAAATATTTATTTATTAAAAAAAGTAAAAATAAAAAGATTTTTAAACAGTTCAATATAATATATGATATTATATATTATAAAATTTAATCTATATTATATTAGTAAAATTTATCAAATATATAAAAAAAATATCATTTATTATAAAACGGAGGAAGTACATCAACTTATAAAAATCAACAATTCAACCCAAAATATTATGTCTTATATAAAATTCTTCATATCTAACATAAAAAAATATATTTATTTAAAATTATTATATAATATAATATTTAAATTACACACCTCTCCCAATTCAAAGTAACAGTTTTACCATTTTTATTTGTATCATTTCAAAGTAAATAATTTTACACTAGTATTAAAATACTCTTAAGACTTTGACAAAAATATTAAAATCTCTTACACATTTTCACTAATTAATAAAATATTACCTATGTCCGGCTCTAAGGATCTCATTTACTTTTTGTCGTGTTGATATTTGAATATTAATTATTATATCAAAATCCAAAACAAATAAAATGATATTTGTACAAAAAAGTAAATAAGACTCTTAAAAAAATTACAAAAAATACTTCAATCAGTGTCTTATATACTAATAAAATGATATTTATATAAAATTTTTTTTATATAAATATAAAAATATTTTTATTATTATATACAATGATGTAAAATATAAATATAACCCTTAAAAAACTACAGAAAGAGTACTATAATTTTTTAATCTAGTACAAAATCCCAAAAAGTGTTGCAGGAAATATACAAAAGTAAAGATTGTTCAAATCTCCATTGCCAAACAGCGTCCTGGTCACCTTATCCCCAATATTATTTTATTCAATAAAAATATAATTAAATAATGAAAGTCCAGCACAGCATCGTACGGCCACCACGTTTCACAAAGCCTTTTCATTTTTATTTTTCATTTTTTTAATTTTATTTTTTTGGCTGTTCATAATATATATATATATATATAATGCAGTAGGACTCCCCCCACACACGTTGATCCATTCATCCATTTCTTCACTCAATCCGCATCCATTCCGTTGTGTTCGAGGAGAGCTTCTCTCGGAAAATGGGCAGAATTTCTTCTCCACACTGTAGCCAGGGCCGTTCCGACGCGGCGGCGGGCGGCGGCGGAGCCGGAGCCGCCGAGATCATGTTGTTCGGAGTGAGAGTCAACGTTGATCCGATGAGGAAAAGCGTCAGTATGAACAATCTCTCTGATTACGAGCCTGCTGATAGCAAAATCGATCCGACCAATCTCGCTGCGGAGATTCCGAAAAGCGTTGCGCCGGAAGAAGGAATCGGCGCCAGCGCCGGCGGTGGTGGTGGTGGATACGCCTCCGCGGATGACGCCGCCTTGCCGCAGGCGTCGAACGGTAGCCGCGAGCGGAAACGAGGTTAGATCTTTGATTTATTGGTTTTTGAAGGTTCTGTTTGTGTTTTGTTCGTAGAGTATGCAAGAATTTGTTGTTGGAGTTGCTTCGATTGCTTTTGATTGACCTGATTATGCTGAATTTGTGCCTAATCTGCTTCGGTTTTGTGTGAGATTTGATTTTGTGTAACTAGAAACTGTATGAACATGACTGAGTTTCGATTGATTTGTTGAAGCAGCCTCTGGAAGGATTCTCTCCGTTAGTATATCATTTAGCTTCGGAAACTAAAATAAGAACAAATTAAAGAAATCTATATTCTCTGCTTTAGAAAATTGAGGGAAAGGAAAACTGGAAATCATATATTTGAAGTGATGAAATGTAGAAGAAGCAACAAATCAATATTTCATAGCATTTGAATCTTCCTCTGTTTAGATTTATGTCCTGATATCTGATCCACAAGCAATTGGTTTGGATTTATCCTCAGGAGTTCCATGGACCGAGGAAGAACACAAATTGTTCCTAATCGGATTACAGAAGGTTGGAAGGGGTGATTGGAGAGGAATCTCCCGGAACTATGTTAAGACTAGAACGCCAACACAAGTTGCTAGTCATGCCCAGAAATACTTCCTCCGCCGGAGCAATCTGACTCGCCGGCGCCGCCGTACAAGCCTCTTTGACATCACCACTGATTCGGTAAATTCTTTTACGCGATTGCTTGAGCAAATAGGCTAATATATGTTTGTTTATTCCATGATTTGGCATGAGCCTATGGGCATCTTCTTTGTTAAAGTATGGAGAACAGCAGAATACATTTCTTTTCAGAAAAAGATAACTTTTTGAAGTGGTAAACAAAGTTGATTTGCTTATATTGTGTTTTCATTCTCGAACTAAAAAATGTTAAAGCATTAATTTAATAATATCCCTACTGTATTATATTGAAGTATGCATAAAATACCTTTCTTCACATTGCAAGTAGTGTCTAATTATGTAATTCTTTTGCAAATAAACGACGTGAAATGTCTTAAACATCTTTCTTTGAATAAACTAAATAAATGAAAGATGAGGGCTGATCAATTTTTCAAAAAAGTTTTGTTCAAGACATTTCACCTCGTTGATTTGTATAATACTAGCAAAATTAGATGTGTATTTACAACAGAGAATGTATTTTGTGCGTACTTTAATATAATAAAACACAGTTGAGTTTTATGTAGTTTTACCTAATGTTAAATGATTCAATTCTTGCCTATATACATATCAAAGATTTTGGATCTGAATTTTTCGAAAACGTGCATAAATCTTTTGGATCTTGTGGTTTTCTGATTAGGTCACTGCTGTCTCTATTGAAGAGAACAAGAACCATCAAGAGAGCATGACCCACCCCATAGTGTCCCAACCCACACACCCTCTACCTGTCGGCGGATTCCCGATCACACCTTTCTGTGCTCCGGGCGCACCCGTTTTATTCTCAATGCAAGGCGGGAATTCGATGGATAATTCAAGAGTTCTTCCCCCGGCCCCGATTCTACCCACAATTCCAACATCCTCACCAATGCTGGATCTCAACCTAAACCTCGGATCAACCGGTCAAAACCGATCGTCGTCGACAGCTTTCTTTGGCTTGAAAAATGGAGGTAACAGCATAAGTGTTGCTTGAGGAAAATGAAATAAAAATGAAGAAGAAAAAAAAGTTAAGTATTAATTAAAAGGTAAGTAGGAAAAGAACATGATCCATGTAATAATAATACTTTGGAATGGGTGAATCATTTGAAGAAGACATAGAGATTCTAGCAGATAATTAATACTGTTTTTTTGGGTAGAAAAAAACCAATGTTTTTTTTTTTTTTTCCATTGTACAGACCTGAGTAAAAACTACCTCATGTTTGTATTTGTGTTGGTTTCTTGGCTGCCTTTGTTTGGTGTTTGTTTATGATTATAGTTTTTTTTCTTGTTTGATTCTTTGCTTTTTCTTTTGTTTTGTTTCTTTATGTGATGGATTTGTCGAATAGTAGTGTATGGATGTCCTTTTTTGCCATTTCTTGTTGGGCCTTATCTTTGACTAGTGGTGGATTGATTCATTATGTGGGGTGGGGTGGGGTGGGGGATAATCTTGAAGATATCTTTGGTTGCTTTTTGAAAGTGTGATTTTGGATAGGAAAATTAGGTTGGTGTCTTCTATGAAATTGAATAGAAAAGTTGTCTTTGGCAAGTTTGGTTCCTTTGGGTGGAAGGAACATTCAATAATCTTGACTACATTTGTTAGTAGGATTTGGATCAAAAAAAATTTTGTTTCATAAGAATTTTTCGTGATTTTAAGTCATCTCTTAAGTGATTTTAATTTTTCTTTTTTCTTTTTTTTTTTTTTTCCATAATAGGTTTTTTGAATTTCTATAGAAAAATTTATTATTTGGATTCATATTTAAGAGAAAAGTAAAGGGTGTGTTTGTTTGTGGGTTTAAGATTTTTGAATAGTAAAATATTAAATTTAAATAGTTTGTGTGGGTTTGATTTTAAATGAAAAATTAATTTTTAGTATAATATAGAAAATCGAAAGTAATTTTTGGTAAAAATCTGTGAAAAATTTACAAAAGAACGCAGCCATCTAATTTTCATTTTAATATATTATAAAATAATATTCGCCTTTAAGGATCATCTTAATTTTTTCTGCACGTTAGTTCTTTAAATAAAAAAAAAAAAACAAATAATGATATTTATATAAAAATAAAATTATACAAAAATATTTTTAATGTAAACTTAAAGATGGAGGTAATAGGATTTACTTTAATTACAACACTTCCTAAATGTATTAAGTATTTATTTTTTTCAAATAGATCTACTATTTTTAACTAATAATAAAACGTACTTCTATTTAAGAAAATTATCATTAACTTTTCATTATCCGAGAATAGTTACGGTGTTAATTTAAAAAACAGATTGAATCAAGTGTTAAAAATGAATTTTGAGCACAATACTGAACATTTACATTTTAATTTGTATAATTATATTATTTAATAAATTAAATTATGTAATTAGATTTTTAAGTGCTTCAGCACAGGTGCTGAAAAAAATCACTACTCATTCCCCAAACCATCATATATAAAAATATATAAATAAAACGTGTATTTATTACTCGTATGATGTCTTGTATGTAACAAATATCGTGTGTTGCATATTTTGTTAATATAAATTATGAATTGTTTGTATTAATATCGTATATTATCTATTATCGTATTTTGTACGATGAAGAATTTTAAAATTCAAAATTGCAAATATAGTCTGTTCTCATTGATAATGACATTTTATGTATGTTTGTTGTAAAAGGCCTTTAGACCAAAGTGGAAGTGTGTGTTGTTTTTCTTACAATAATTCAAATGTGTATATTTATATTCTTCTCTAATTTGGATAGAATAATTATTCTCATATGACTATTATTTTTACAATATATTATTGCTAACCATTAAACAATTATTTTAAATGAAATAATAGATACATGGATTAATATAATTATAAAATAGAATTTCTAAAATATTCTTCAATCACCATTGGTAAAAAGTGTTTAAAGACCACTTTATCAACAAAATCAGTTAGATTAATAAGTTCTCATTTTATTTAATTTTATTATTTTTTAAATATTTAATAAAATAATTTATTTATTATTATTATTATTTTTTAATAATGAAGAAATTTAAGAACAAATCCTAACAAACTTCAATTATATAGAGGGTTTTTGATACTTTAAATAAATACATAATTAGGACACAATGGGAAATAAATGACAAAAAGAAAGAAGTCAAAGACACAAACATAAATAGTAATAAGCATGTTTGTTTGCTCGTATCTTCCTGGTCCACTCAAATGTTTATATTTAAATTTATTTTAAATACAAATTAAACTAAACTATACGTTTATTTATATTCTAGATTATTTGTAAATTTTAAATAAGAATATATTAAAATATAATACATTCAATAAAAAATATATTTATCTATGAAGATTTTATAAGAGAAATTATGATGGATATATTATTGAAAATAATATTTATGTGTAATTGTTAATTTTTATTGAACATGTACAATAATTATTGACTTTTACTTCCTCTGCCACAAATGTGTACTTCTTGATTTTTATTGAATAATATTATTTCTGTAAAAAAAAAAAAAAACAATATCAATTTTGTTCTGATAATGTGAGAATTCGAAACTATTATTTTTCGAGTTTCGAGTACATTTTAAGTAAATATCTAGTCAAGTTTAATAACTTATAAATTAGATCGTCAAAGTAAGTCACATTAGTCGAATCATATACGACGAGTACTACCAACAATCCTATTACCGTTCTACATAGCTGTAGATGAACTTTTCCGCCTTATATGGCTCCTCGTTCAATTTTTTCAAATTCATCTGATCCTTTTCCGCAATAAAATGGTAATATTCTAAGTACCAAACAATACTTGACTCACTACCAAACCTTGTGTTCTTCTATTCACCTGAGCTTCTTCTTCATTGAGAGGGCAGCCATCGGGTCGGGGCGACGTAAGTGTAGCCGGGAAAGTGTTCTCCAGAAGTCGGAGTAGGAGCCGGCGAGTCATCTGCAGGCATCGCCGTCCAGCAGTGATCGAAGTTGGCCGTGCACTCTTGCCCGCTCACATCCGGCTTGAACTTGGGCAGAATCTCCCTCGTCTCGAGTTTCTTCCAGTTGATTGTCCGAAACCATTTGTGGGATTTGATCTCCTCGGCGCCCTTTGATCCGCTGCCCAGCCTTTTCGACGGGTCCTTTTGAAGAAGCTGCGGAAAGGAATCCCAGAAAATGTTGGAAATTGTTTACCCGATATTACTATTCAATCAACTATTTTCCCTTCAAAAACAAAACATCGTATTCAACCATTATTTTTACTTCAATAACGTCGTAACTCAGAACACCAAATTAAATATATAAGACAAACAAACACACATTAGGCATTTTTATTTTCTATAGGAATTTACAAAAGTGTAGTGTGGATGAAGAATAAGTGAAACCGTAAACTAGAAAATTGAAATATATTTTATTCTCTCACAGAAAATCACATCCAATCACTATTTCAACTAAAATGTAAAATCAAATACAAACACAAACCAAACACCCCCTAAGGGTTTGTTTGCCCAAAATTTTCTTCTCGACACGATTTCCAATATATATTTTATCATTTCACCAAAGTAATATTCTAATATAAAATATTATTTTTTATAATATCGATACGAGTTCATATACCTCACATCAAAACAAACAATTCAAATCAAAATACTAAACAAACAAACCCTTATCTTTTTTAGGTTATATATGTACTACGATAATTTTACAGTTTTACAATTTCTCTTTAAAAACATCAAATCTAACATCCAAAGCACAAACAAACACACCGGGTTGTGCTTGTTTGGAGAGTTTTTGGGATTTTTAGTGTTCATCAAATGTTTTCCTTGAAAAAATATTAAATCAAACAAGTATTTCAAATTTTTTATATTATACTTAAAAATTAATTTTATATTGAAAATATTAATCAACATCTGTGTTTTTATTAGATAATGCAATTATTTCAATTCAAAATTTTTGCTATTTAAAACTCAAACCTAAATCCAAACCCGCAAACAAACACATTTATTCCAGCAAATTTTGGGTGTGATTATTTGTGTTTTCAACATTGTTTTTGTTTACCGTCGCATCCAACACATTTTTTTATTTAAAACATCACTTACTACCTCTAATTTTTATTTAAAAGAAAAATATACTATATTAAAAAAAAATTCAATTCAATTTCTATGCATGACCTAAAGGAAGAATAAAAAAGATGAACCATAAATCATAGAAATCAACAAATTTTTCGTACCCCTTTAAGCAATGAATGAGCTTCGCTTGTGAGGCGAGGCGGGAGCTTCAACTTTTCATTGATGATTTTCTCCTGGAGCTTCTTTCGGTTGGTATGTGTGTACGGTGGCTGAGGAAAGTAAACGATAAGAAATCATAAGTACACAAACAAAAGTCGAGCATTTCACCAAAAACATTAATGTCTGGTTCTTGTGATTCTTCACCTGTCCCGTGAGCATTTCATAAAGAAGAATCCCGACACTCCACCAATCAGCATTTTTATTATGTCCTTTGGCAAGTAAGATCTCGGGAGCCATATATTCTGTCGTCCCGCACATTGAATTGGATCTGCTCGATTCATCAATCTCCTTAGCCAGTCCAAAGTCGGTTAGCATGACCTGGAAAACAAGTACCCGGATTAGGAAGTTGACGATTTTGAATTTTTTTGGTTACGGCGTGTGGATAATATTCGAGCAAGATCGTACGTGCCCATAGGCATCCATGAGAATGTTCTCCGGTTTTAAATCCCGATGCACAATCCCACTCTTGTGGAGATGTGAAACTGCTGATACAATCTCGGATGTATAAACCCTCGCCTGGTCCTCACTGTTGCAGAATGCCAAAAAGAAGAATCAAGCCGATGACTGTATCCAAATCATTTTCGGGAGTTATAGCACTTGAGTTCGGTACCTGAAAATCCCTTGTCGATACAAATGATAAAACAGATGGCCTCCATTTATGAAATCAAGAATTAAGTACAGCTTCGACTTGGTCTGTGGATAATCAAAATCAAACTAGTAAGGTTAGTCAATGCACAGGTAAGCTAATGTGTGTGCTCGATCAGTATCCAATTAATCACTTTCGACAAGAAAGCTTGAACAAAAAATTGATTGGTACAAATACCTTCTTTCAAAGATTTTACGAGTAATATTCGGTGGACACAATCCTGATTACTCAAGGTTGTACAACCTTATCTACGATATAACAATATTGAAATATAATATGCGTCGAAAACACTCTCCATCACTTCAAATTTATCACTATTTGTATCAAAGCACACACCTCCACACCAAAATCTCACACTTGCACGTAGATCTACATATAAAAACAATTCAACTACTACTACATGGTTCTACAATCACGTATACGCAAAATGTAATAAAACTATGCATGTGAAATTTAAATTTCATACTATACTTCAAAAAAAACACTATCTAATATGCATCCAAATATACAAATGACTGTAGCACATATGCTTCTCACTCTAAATGGCCTAAACTCTCATTTGTTATTCAATGCAAAATGTAGGAACTTTATGAAAAATTCAATGATTTCCTTATAGTTCATCCCTCATTCTCACCAACTAAATTTCCAGCTATAGTCGATCACACGGCAAATTGACAAGCATATCTAAATTCAGTAATAAATATGCTTCTTATTCTAAATGGCTTAAACCCTCATCAGTCATTCAACGCAAAACGTAGGAACATTACTAAAATTTCAATGATTTCCTCCTAATTGTTTGTCCCTATTTCTCACCAACTATTTTTCTAGCTATAGTCGATCACACGGCATAGTGAAAAGCATATCTACATTCAATGCAAAATGTAGGAACTTTTTGACAATTTCAATGATTTCCTTATTGTTCGTCCCTAATTCTGACCAACTAATTCTCTAGCTATAGTCGATCCCACGGCATATTGAAATATCTACATTCAACACAAATTGTATGAACTTTACGACAATTTCAATGATTTCCTCATTGTTCGTCCCTAAATCTCTAGCTATAGTCAATCATACGGCATATTGAAGAGCATACTACATACATTCCCACGTAAAATCGAACCTCAACGACAACCAAGTACCGAATTCACAACACCTAAACAAAATCAAGATTTTGGACACCAAATGGATCAAACTATCCCTAAATCATCCACACACACAATCCACCATCATCAATCAACACGAAAAACAATCGAAAACAACCTGAAACGAGTACCGAAGCTGCACGATAAAAGGATGCACAACTTTGGTGAGAATATCCCTCTCAGCCCTCATATAATCGACATGGTTGTTCCTAATTATGGTGTCTTTCCTCATCACTTTCATCGCATAAATCCCATCACCATCACAACCATCTCCGCCGTCGCCGTCGCGTCCCTTCATCTTCACCTGAAACACCTTCCCAAACGCCCCCTTCCCAATAACCCTCATTATTTCAAAATCTGCAGGCCCTAATTTCCGCACTTCATCCTCCAATTCCCGATCGATTCCCACGCCGCCGTCCTCCTTTTCGCTTAATTCAACCTTCGAATCGCCATTATCGGAGGAGGAATAAGCGAGCTCGTCCTGCTCGTCCGGCTCGAAATTGGGGAGCGATTTGGAGAGGGTAAAACGGGGAGAAGGCCCGACGAAGGAGTGAGATCTATTGTGGATAATTGGGGGGTCTCCGACGAAGTGAGAAGAAGACGACGCCGGCGGCGAGGCTCCAGCCGGCGGCGCCCCAAATAGGTCTGAAAAATCGAAATCCTGAGAGGAATCGTCGCCGGAAGGAGGAATTCGGAGGTTAGTGAGCCTGGAAGCGAGTAAGGTGTGGGCAGCCTTCTTCTGGAGCGCCGTGGAAGACGAAGAGCTGAGCGTATTGCTGCCTCCGCCGTCCATGGCGATTGGAAGGAAAATTTGAATTATCGTCGGTAGAATCGATCTCGAATCAGATGGATTTGATTGGTTTGGTTGAAAAGAAGCCAGCCGATCGAGGCGGGCGTAGATTTCACGTGGGTTACATTTTTGTTACGGATTTCGGGTTTCTTTCTGCTTCAGAGTCGCAGAGATGTTTTACGCTCAGTTGGGAGCTCGGTTGGGCAGCAACAATGGCTACCGCTTTGGGAATATCGATCCTTTCAAAACGTGCAGTTATCTATTTAAGCCTGCGTTTGTTTGAATATGCAAAAAAGGAATTTTTTTACTAAAATAAAATTCGTTTGTTTAAATGTGATTTAAAATTAATTTTAAATAAAATACTATTAACCTAATTTTTTATTTAAATATACTTCGCAGAAAGATACGGCTGTGTTTTTTAACACTCAAAACTCAATATTATAATTACTATTTGGACTATAAAATTTTTTAAAAAAATTATTTTTTTTTCAAACAAAATATTATTATTTTACTAGTAAATTTAAAATAAAATTTTCTGGAACTTATCAAAATTAGTTAATGCATTATGACACTATGAGTAGTGTTGTCAAAATTATTTGGATTGTGTTTTTTTTAAAAAAATATTTTTTTTTCTCTCACAAAATATTATATCAAATATTATCTTAATATTAAAGTCAAATTAAATATTTTTTTATTTTGTCAGTCTCATAAAAAATATTTATTTTTTTAGTAAGTGTATTTTCTACTGATATTAAAAATACTTCTACAATTCAGAATATATTACACAAATATCATTCTCTATTGTGCAAATAGATAGATTAATAACGGACGGATAGAGAGTATATTTTATCCGATATATTCTACCTACTGTGAAGATGCGTAAAAAAACAAAAACAAACACATCCTAACACATCCATCCGTTCCCAAACGTCGTCGTTTCAAAGGTAAAGCGGTAGACCGTTAATTCAGGTAAAAAAAAAAAATACCTCTCAAATTTCGACTTCTCACAAACCTCCAACCCTTTTCCGATCCATCCCCACACCCAAACAAATCCCGCCACCGCCACCACCACCACCGCCACCGACACGACGGCGAAAATTAACCGCCCCAATTTCCGGCCACCACCACCACGACGACGACGACGATCGATCAGTTACATAATCAATCGATCATGATTTGGGGCATACGTTTCCCGACTGCAATCATGATCCATCCAATCAAACACTCTCCATAGAATCTCTCCCAATCCCCAAATCAAGATCCGATCCCCAAATGTTGTTCATCTTCTTCATCCTCGGAACCCTAGGATTTCTGTCCTTATTGGGGCATTTCGTCGATCAGTCTGTGGGCACATCAATCCGATCCTTCGTCGACGAAAAGTTCGGGGCATTCCCCGATTTATTAATCTACTGTCTTCTCGAATGCGCCGTCATCGTCTTAATCTACCTCGACGCGATCCTATCGTTCCTATCGAACGAATTGTCGCGCCTTTTCGAGCTCCGAATCCCCTGTTTGCTCTGCACCCGCATCGACCATGCACTCGTAAACGGCAGCTCGAATTTGTACTACAACGAGTCGATATGCGACGTGCACAAGAAGGTCGTATCGTCACTCGCGTATTGCAACGCGCACAAGAAGTTGTCGGATAGTCACACAATGTGTCAAGGATGTCTTTTGTCCTCGGCCGCGGAGAGGGATTTTGAATTCGATAAGTATAAGTCGATCGTCGGGATTTTTCACAAGGACAACGTCGTCGATTGTTTTATCGAAGAGGATCCGAAGCTTAGGGTTAAGGCGTCGAAGAAGGAAGAGGTGACGGAGGTCGTGGATGAGAATAATCGAGTTTTGAGGTGTTCTTGTTGTGGGGAGACTATAAAGTCGCGATCGTCGTCTTCGAAGCATATGAGGAGTTTGTCGATGAATGTTCCTATTGCATCGTCTCCTCGGGTGCCTTTGGCGCGGATAAAGAGCGGAATCAATGTGGATTCGCCGCGGGTGAAGTTCTCGGAGGTTAAATTAGTATCGGATCCCAAGGTCGAGCTTCTAGACGACGTGGATACCTCATCGAACGTCGATATTAATGGTGAGTTGAATTTCCCGTAGTCTATTCTTTTTCCGCATTAATTAGAACTAAGCTTGACTCAGCTCGTTAAGAGTTCAACTCAGACTCATTTATAAAGATAATGAGCTAAAATTGAGCTCGGCTCGCGAATAGTTCAATTGAGCTAATTAAAAGGATAATTTTGTCATTTTGCATGCTATCGACAATTTCTTTGTTCTTTTTAGATGTATTTAGAAAATAATTTTGATGTAATATTTTAAACGAAAATTATTTTTTACATTAAAATTTACGGGACATTTGAATTTTTTGATAATAAATTCTATAATAGATATGGCCTCCGAGTCGAGCTTGAGCTAGTTTTGACCTTCTTAACGAGCTGAGTTAAGCCTATGATAAAAATATGTTTGATTTGAGCTCGAATAATATATATTTGAACTCACTCGACTCGTTTATCAACTCTAACATCGATACCTTGTTGAAAATCTTCGATCTTTTTTTGATTTGGTTTGGACAACGGTTAATATTAGCTTTTCGGCTAATTCTTTAGTTGTAAATCGAGAATAATAGAAGCGATTTATCCGACTTTATTAGTTCGTCATATGTATCATTTCTTCGTTTTCGTATGTTTCCAAAAACAGGTCGAATCGATACGAAAGCTGCGACAATGCCATTGCTACCCGACGCTTACGATCCCAACGACGAAGCTGCAAGAACGCCTAATTTCGCAAAGGGGAATAAATTTTTCGGAGCTGCATTGTCAGACACGGTGCAGATGAGTCCACAGTACGGAAACAGGGAAGTGAGAAGACCGATGCTCGAGAAAGTCGACTCTATTCTGGAGTCGAACGGCGCTGCGATCGATCCAGCGGCAGGTGACATCATAGCACGTATGAAGCGAAAAATCGAGTCGAATCGTAAGTCCCTCATGGTTCTGTACATGGAGCTCGACGAAGAAAGGAGCGCGTCCGCGATCGCGGCGAACAACGCGATGGCGATGATTACGCGGCTGCAGGCGGAGAAAGCCGCCGTACAAATGGAGGCATTGCAGTACAAGAGGATGAAGGAAGAACAGGCGGAATATGAGCAAGAAGCTCGACAGATGATGAGAGAGTTGCTGTTGAAGAGAGAGGACGACGTAAAGGCCTTAGAAGGCGAAATCGAGATGTACCGCGAAAAATACGGGCAGATGAAGAATGTCGACAGCGAGATCTGTGAAGTCGACGTCGAAGAAGATTATCAGCAGGACATACGGTCTCAGGCGATGTCAACGTTTAGTGAGAAATCGGAGTGTGGAAGCGCGAATGGAGTAGATCAGAACGAGAATGATAACGAAAATAGTTGCGCCGAATATAGTGGTAAAAATCCGGACGAAGATTTGGAAGGCGAGAGGTCGCATCTTTTAGAACTTCTGAAAAATATTGAGGGCAACGGTAGCGAAAAGGTTGAATCACCGGTCGAGATCGAAGATGATCAAAATAGTAAAGGTAGATGAATTCCTATAGCCTATCTTTCAAGATTTTTTTTTTTTTTTAAATCGTTACATCGATTTTTTGTTATTTTTTTTTATCTTTATAAATTAAAGCGACAAAGAGTTGAATTTTAGCAGATCGTGGCACTAAAGTCACTTTGCCGATTACAATATCTTGTCGCGTATTTAAGTTGTATGACGTCATTTCTTGAACATATTTACATTGCTTTTTTTTTTTTTTGCAGCCGAGGTTCAAAACAAGGCGATGTTCACGAGAGAATTATCGTCGATACGTGACAGGTTAAGAGTGATCGAAGCCGATAGTGGATTTCTAAAGCACACGGCGATGACTCTTGAAAAAGATGGCGAGGAGGGACCGAAACTACTAACCGAGATAGCTCAACACATTCGGCAACTAAGGCAACCGGACAAATTCCCCTCCGAAACCACTTTAGATGAGTAACAGCGAACTTCAACAAATTTTGCGCTTGTTATATGGCCGGAAAATCAAGCTAACCTCGAAAAAATGTGAAGGTAGAATTTTTTTTTTCTTTTTTACAGATTATTCGAACGAAAAATGTGTATCATATATCAACTTTAAGATAGCTCTGACTTCAAATTTTTCGATTCTTAGAGTTATTTTCATTTGTACAATACGGTAGACACCGGTATCGTTGAAACATAACGGTACCTTATTCACTATTCACTTAGCGTCTTTCATTTCATACATTCCGTAATTTTCAAACCGTTTATATTCTTGAGTACTGATTCGGTGATTCACGTCGATATCGGGTCAGCAAAGTTATGCACTCGGAGGCGAAATCCTCCCGCCAATATGATATTCATATATCTAATAATCACTTTTGTCATGTATATATATTTTTTTTATGCTACTTTATCGTATAAGTTTTCATTGTTTGCAACATTATTTACCTAGCAACATTATTTACCTAGAATTTTTTAAATTTGATCTTTGACAAAAATTTTAATTTGAAAATATAAGTAAACAAGAATAATATAAAAAGTAGACATTTGATATGATATATATATTTGTGATTTGATTTTTTTTTCTCTCTCCCTTTATTATGTTAATGTTGTTTTTCAATTACTCTCTATAAACATATTCAATATTTATACTTTATACAAAATATTACATTTAAAAATTACTTCTCCTCAGTTACAAATATCAAAATATAAATGTACAAGAAAATATTTATTTATTTTGTGAAATTGTAGAATTTTTTTTTTTTTTTCACGTACATAAAAATAATGAAAGTATTTAGTGTTATTAATTTTTTTAAAAAATTAATAAGAGAAAAATTTCTTTGACTCAAATAAATGTATTTCAGACTTACATAAGTTAAATCTTTTTTATTTATTTATTTTTTTCTCGAAATATTACATCTAAAATAAGTAGACATATTATTAATTGGTGATAGAGAGTTGACGAGGAGATTGGATATATAAAATTAAAGAAACAAACATTACAATCAAATAATCAATCAATAATATTGCAATGACTTATGACTCTCATAATTTCATTTAAATTAAAATTTTAGTGATGAAGATTATAGAAAATGACAAATAGATCCATTTCAACTAATCTCTCTCTCTCTCTATATATATATAATGAAACATATAAATTATGAATATTAAATATTTATTTTTTTAAATAAAATTATAAAGTGTGTTTGATCAATAACAATTCCTATGGCTTTCGATAAAAATAAATTATTCTTTTTCACGAAAAATTACATTAAAATATTGTTTAAAGCAAAATTCAAATAAAAACTTCAATCTCAAATCCAAATCAAATAAATATTCATATAAAATGTATATGTTCAATCACGTGTATTTAAACATAAAATATCAAATATAAAACAAACCAAAAACAAAACACACCCCATATATATAAATTTAAACACATATAATAATTAATTTTTTATGCATAGATATTAAAACTAGATAGATAAAATACTAAAATTTTCGGGATACCTAATTTATCATATTTAATAGCATCAAATTTTATTGAATTTCTCGGTATACGTATATTTTTGGCACAATATGATTGGCATACTAAAAATTTCAAAACAATACGAATATACAATTTTTGAAAATATTTTGTATATCAGCGCTTATCATTTTTTTTTTTCAATATATCTTTTGGTATAAATAAAAGTTTTCGGTAAATCAGGATGTAAAACTAATATGGTTAAAAAAATTTTAGTATAAAAAAATTCAATACAATATCAATTTTCAAGTTTTGACATACTCTGATATATCTGATATATCAAAAGTTTCACTACAGTATTTGTGTGATTTTTGGTATGCTAAAATTTTCGATCGAATATACAAGATGACTAAATTTTTTTGTATATCATACCAAACAATACCTAATTAAAACAAAACATGTCACTATAAATCAAATAAGGTGATAATTATGGTTCATAATATTGTGTATTTAATTCTTGACAATATTCACTAAACCAATTCACATTCTTCCATGTACTTTGTCACAAAGCAAATTTAATTAATTAATTAATTGAGTGACAAGATTTCAATTGAAAGTTGATTTATATTGACATTTATGTTTCATTGTTTTTAATTTTATTTAAAATGTAAACATTCTAAAATAATCAAAAAGTAGTATATCTCTTTCGAGTTTTCGTTAAATATTTTGTAAGAACATTTAACGGCTTTCATATGATATATATATTTTTCGATTGACCATTTAAGGGTTTTCATATGATATATCAAGGTTTCGGAAATTAACTCCTATCGATAATTTTTCAATTTCGACTCTCTTAATTTTGTGTTCTTTTTTGCCTTCAAGCTTTATCGATTTTGATCTTCGACTGTTTGACCTCAAACTCATGTGCATTGATGGCGCGCCAAAAACTTGAATATTAATTTAATATCTTAACAAATATTATTCAGTACTCGCAAATAAAATTTGAGTTTACCTTTTGAGTTTATCTATCAATACAATGGATTGAAATTTATATATTCATGATATTATTCGCTTGTCTTAATGATTAATCTTCTAACAAATATAAATTAAATCAAATCAAATCAAGCTCGTCAGCAACTTGTTTACTTTATCGTTCGATGTTAATTAGTGAGTGGATAGATAGAAATATGACGACAAAATTTGATGCATGTATGAATTTACTCTTTTAGTTAATATTTTTTTCAAATTTCTACTTTTAATCTTTTACGATTCTATATTAAAATTTTTTATTCATTTTTATAAATTATTATATTTAAACAAAAAATAAAATAAAAAATCGCCAACCAAACACACTTATATCTATAGTGCAAGAATTATAAGATATTAGTTGGGGACTTAGGTAATTAATACTTCAATAATTTTGTGATTGTGACTTGGATTATGTCGATAGTTGTACGTAGTACTTATAAAATATGCTCCGATTGCACGTAGGTTTGGTTGCGCGACTTCTTTTTAATATGTGAATGTGTATACACATCGATTCATTTAGATATATTTATTTATTTTTTTCTTAATTTTCCGACTATGTAGTTCTTATATTTTTCAGAAAAAATACACTAGTTTCTTTCAAAACATTAATCAAATTACTATACAAATATAAATTATAAACACAAATAAAATATATCCGTTTGTGTATATATATACTCTCTCAGTCCGCAATATAAATTACAAACAGAAACGCATTTTTGGTTTCCCAAATTATATAATGTGTCGTCAAAATATATATTATCGGATATATGTTGTCTTCTTTAGAAATAATATATATATTTTTTCTTTCCAAATAAATAGTTTATCTAATTAATCTAAGCAAAATTTCTATATTTCAAATTCCATTAATTTCAAATTTTCCTTTTCATTTTTATTAGATATTTTACCTAAAACAAAGTCACATCAAATATTTTTAATTTTTTTCACAAAATATTACTACTACTATAATATTAGCATTTTATTATGTACTCTCTCCGTTTCAAGTCAAAGGATCATTTGAGATTTTATAGTATATTAAAAAATAATAGTATTTTATTAATTAGTAGAAGTGTGTAAGAGTTTTTAATATTTTTATCATTTGAAGTAATTGTATATATAATGGTATATTTATAATTTAAGTAAAAATTAAAATTATTTTGGTATTAATACATAATTATTTTTTCTTAAATAAAAAAGAAATATTTGAAAATAGACAAACTTTGAATCGGAACAGAGGGAGTATAAAATATTTCAAAATTTTAAAAATATTTACTTAAATACAACTTATTATTCAAAATAAGAAACAAATCTAAAAAAAATTAATAATTATACCACATTACATCATATACTATCCATAAATCATTTCAATAATCCTTCCTAAAACCAAAGAATGGGTAACTAATTAAATCATATATCAATCATAATCATTTATCCCAAATAAATAATCGACTTACCAAAATCCCCAAAAAATTTAAAAAAATTCCCACACTATAAATTAAACCAAATCATTTTTAAAAAATAAAATCACAAATACTTAACAAAAAAACCTTAATCAATCAAACCCCATGGCCACATTTCAGCTTCTCCGATCACTCCCGCCGCTCCTCCTCCTCATCCTCCTCGCCGCCGCAGCCACGGCGGCTCCGGTGGACGACATTTGCCGGGAAACCAAAAACGCCGCGCTCTGCCTGTCGGTTTTAAATTCCGATGCCCGGAGCAAGACGGCGAATCTTCCGACGCTGGCGCAGATCGCCGTTGACGCGGCGGAGTTCGACGCCGGCCAGTCGAAGCAGAATATCGATCGAGCTCTGGTGGCGGAGAAGGACCCGAAAAGGAGAGCTAATCTTTTGCAGACGAAGAATCTATGGATGGATGCGCTGGACGCTGTTTTAGCCGCCGGGAGAGATTTGCCGGCGCGGCGGTACGCCGCCGTGAAGGCCAGCGGGAAGAAGATCAGCGATTCGGTTGCGGCGGCGGCGGCGAAGTGGAACGCCGGCGTGTTTCCGTACCTGAAGGAGGAAAGGAAGATTGAGATCGCCGGTGAGGCTATTGCTGTGATCGCCGGGAAACTGTGATATTTTTTGAAAAATAATAAAATTAAATTATATATATATATATTTATATATTTTAGTTTTATGGAATCTGAGTAATAGTAATGGTATTTTATAAAGCAGATGTTTTTGGTAATCTAAGGTTATGAGTTAGATTAAGTTTTTTTTTTTTTTTTAATTTAAATAATATTTGATTTGATTGTACTAATTTTATGGACTAAATAAATATTAATTTAAATTTAAAATATAAACAAAATGCATCATTATTTATAAAAAAAATATTTTATTTGTCAACTCACTTAATTACAAACATTTTTTTTGAGTAATTATGAAGCTATTTTTTTTTAATTTTTTATAAATACCCTTATTTTACTATTGGAACAAGTATAATATTTTTGTTAAGAAAATATCACATGTTAAACAATATAATGTGTTTGATTGATTTTTTTTAAGTCTTCGCTAGATTAATCAATTTTGGATTATTCCAAAATAGTTCTCGTTATTAAATTGGGCTCAAGTTGACTTGGTTGTAGCTGTCTATTTAGTGACGGGACCGGGACCAGTAGTAAAAGTTCGGGGAAGCAAAATCGTTCAATGTTGTTTTTCTTATTCATAGTATACTTCGACAAAAACTAAAAAGATTGGAAATTTTAAATGTTTTAAAAAAAAATTCAATAAAATTACATAAAATTTAATATTTATTTTACTATAAAAAATAAAATTTAAAGATTAAAAGTATAAATCAACCAACAAATAAATTTTTTATAATTTTTTATATTACAAAATAAAAAATTAGGATGACAAATTACTATAAAATACATCATTTTATTATTTTTAATATAAAAAAATATATATATCTTGAGGGTTGGGTCAATTGACCCTCCTAAGTCCCGTGTAATTCCGCCATTGTGTCCACTTGATCCGTCCAACATTATCAATCAAAACAAAAGAAAAACAATAATAGTTTACTTTCAACATTTTTTAGTTTTGATTTTGATTTAAACAGAATTTTAGAGATGTTCGAGAAAGAATATTATATTTTTATTAAAATTAGTGGGTTCTTTTAGCAAAAAAATAACATAATTTTCCAACAAATTAATATTATACATATATTTATTATTATTTTTTATATTATCTATATAATTTTCTATACTTCACGATAAAAAAATATCTATTCAACCAAACACAAAACAAACAAATGATGTGTTTTAAAAAATAGATTTGTTTGGTTTTGGTTTCAACCTCAAAAAAATGGCATGTTCAAAACAAATAAATTTTGTATCTGAATTATTATTATTATTTTTTTGTGATAATTTAAAAACAAATATTGTTGGATTTTTGTCCTTATGGTCTACCCCGAATAAATACACAAATACACACTCGTCTCGCAGCCCGAGCGCATTCGGGCCTGGCCCATGTCCCGACCTCACTGTCCGTCCGACTGCGTCCCAACTTAGCGACCTGTCCGACTTCACCAACCGCTTGACTACTTCCTGATTCAGGGATCTGTCCTGAGTCGGACCATCCGTCCGACTCCGTCCGACTTCGTCCGACTTGGACCATCCGTCCGACTCTGTCCGCATGACTTCGTCTGATTTCGACCGACCGTCCCGACTTCGTCCTGGCTTGGACCGTCCCGACTTCGTCCTGGCTTGGACTGTCCCGACTTCGACCGTCCGCCCGACTTCATCCCAACTTGGACCATCCGCATACATACTGACAGTCTGACCTTATGCCTCCCGACCTTGACCCACGTCCTGATCCGACCCGACTAGGATCCGCGTCTTTTTCCTTAGCCACGTCCCTGGCCGTCCGATCTGGGGCTTTGATCCTGTCCGTCCATTCGACCTGTATATATATATATACTTGGAGTGTGAGAGAGAATTTGAATTCGATACATCACCCACTCTCTCTCACAAAGCTTACCCTCTCTAGCCTCTCTCTCTCTCGATTGTTTCTCTCACTCTCTCGTCCGACGGCGGTTCACGGCGGTTGTTTGTGCAGTGCCTTTCCTCCTGTGTCTGTGGAGTTCCTTTGGCACCTGTTTCCCCTGTGTGTGTGTTGTTCGCAGCCGAAAGGGGCTCGTTCAACTGTAGGCTTGTGGTTTCTGTTTCCTGTATGCCTGTTACTGTTACTGTGGGGGTGTTTTGTGGTTGTGAGTCGTGGTGTTGTGGCCGATGTGCTTGTGTTAGTCGCGATTCGAGTGTGTATGTGTATATTTTGTGTTTCGAGTGGTTAGGGGCTGAGCCTAGCCAAAACTAGTTAAAGTTTTTGTTCGATTTTCTTAATAAAGAATTTGATCCTTTTCCGCAATTTTCAATAACAAATATATTCTAAAAAAATAATAAAGTTAAAAGATAATTATTATAACATATGCTCTTAGATAGTTTTTGAGAATATATTTGTTTTTAAATTATGATCTAAACAATAATTTCAATAATAAGATTTTGTAAACAAAATACTACTCCATATATATATATACACACACGCGCATATATAAAATAGTAAAAATTAAATAAGAAAAAAATTATAGAAAAGAAACGAAAAACAAATCATAATTTTTTGGATGAATTTTGTAACTTGATCGAGCCAAATGTTTGTTAAAATATTTTTAAAAGTACTTTAATAAAATAAGGTTAAATTACACAAAATTCATACTTAGTTTCACGAAATTGTGCAAAATCTCTCATTCTTTCAAAATAGCGTCAAACTCCCTCGTGTTTTATAAATTTTGCATTTTACCTCATCGGCCGTTCTTATTTAACGGTGTTTGACATGCACGCGTTCAAAATGCGAATAAGTTTTACAATCTTCATTTCTAAATCATTAAATTACAAATATATTCATTATTCGTATTATTTAACCCCAAAAAACAATAAAGATACTCGAAAATAGTTATTTTTCTTTGTTTTTAAAAGTTTTTTTTCAATGTTCTTTGAGACTAAATATAAAAGAAATTAATATATTTATAATTTTAGAAATTTATAAATTAGTAACCTAAAATTTATTTATAAGTTCGTATAAGTCTAACACCGTTACATAAATTTAGCTATAAAATAATACTCCTGCTGCCCTAATAGGATTATTATATATAAATAAATTTCATACAAAAAATACTTGATGAGCAAATTGACCAAATCGGGCTCGTGATTACACATAACTACCTTTTTTGCAGGGGCGACGCTCCAAGGTTAAATCCGTAATTTCAGTTACGCCGCTGAAATTTGAATTCCCGCTTTGCTCGCAGGGTTAGTTTTTCAAACTTTCGAAATCCCTCCCGCTCGGAGATTCTCGAAACCTCCTCCCCGCCATAGCCACCGATCCTTCTTAACGGCCTCACCGCGGGAACAATCACAGGTCAGTCTTTACCGATTTCTTGTGTGCACAAATCAATTATTTGTGATTGGGGTGTGTTTGGAACGGGAAAGTGTTCGGAGGTCAGATGTCTTCCAATTGGGCCGGGTATACACTCTCTGTTGATTCTGGATCGAAGGATGCACCCTACTGCCGCAAGCAGAAGTCGCTCGGTCTGTTGTGCACCAAGTAAGTGATGGGTGATGATTTTTATTATTATCTATCGCATGGAGGATCGATTTGCTAATTTGGAATTCGCAGCTTTTTATGTTTGTACAATCGGGAGGGAGTCGAGACGATTGGGCTCGACGATGCAGCCACGCGATTAGGTAAATTTTTTGAATTAATTTGATATTGAATTTGAATTTATTCCACCTGAATTCATGTTTTGTATGGATCTGTTCGTAGGAGTGGAGAGGCGGCGGATCTATGATATTGTGAATGTTCTTGAGAGTGTTGGGGTAATAGCTTTTTCGTTTGTGAAATTCCTCCTGAATTGAATAGATCTTCAATTTTAAGCTGATTGTTAGGGTTTATGGAAATTGTAAATTTCAGATTCTCGCAAGGAAAGGGAAAAATAGATACTCATGGAAGGGATTCGTGGCTGTGCCCAAGGCTTTGGACGACCTGAAAGTACTAATTTCCAGTTTATTTTTCTGCCTTTTTCCATTGATGAATCAATTGCTCATCTGCTTTCCATTGTTCGTAACTCTTAACTTTATGGTTCTACAGAAGGATGGTTTAAGGGATATTGGACAAACAGCTGATAGTGGCTCTGAGAAAGTATGCATTCTTAATTCACTTATTCACCTATTCCGTGTTATAATTCATAGAGATATATTGCATGTGGCTTAGGATTTTGGAAGATTTCTTGACACATTTAATTTTGGAGTTAGGTTTTGGAGAAACTATGGATCTTATTTCACTTCTTCACCATAGCTCTTAGAAATATATTGCTAAGGGGTTAGGTTTTTGAAAGGTTTCTTGACACATCTATTTTTGGAGTTAGGTTTCCAAGAAACTATGGATCTTATTTCACTTCTTCACCATAGCTCTTAGAAATATATTGCAAAGGGCTTAGGTTTTTGGAAGGTTTCTTGACACATTTATTTTTGGAATCAGGTTTCAGATGATGAAGACGAGATGTGTTCAGATATGAACAACCTCAGTCAGAATGAGAAGTCAGATTCAAATTCCGTCCCGAAATCTGGAAGCCAACCCAAACTTGGTATATTAACCTAACTCATTTCGGGAAGATAAAGCTCTGTTCTATTATATGTGTTTTACTCACTCTGGTGGACTAAGATAGGTTTATTTTCTATGTTCAGGTGAAAATAGAAAAGAAAAGTCACTAGGGCTTCTTACACAGAACTTTGTTAAGCTCTTTCTTTGCACAGAGGTGAGTTTTGATGCTATATTCTTTATGATGTTATATGCTATAATTACTTCTAGCTCTTGAAAGAAAAATAACATTGTGCAATCTAACAAACATACAATGGAAAAAATAAATAAAAATGATGAAAAAAAGAAGAATATTGAAATTATTCATATAAGAGTATAGTGAGATGGTGAGGATGAGGGAAGAAATTATGTCTGGACTCTGATTTAGATTTGATTAACTTTGATTATCTATCAATCAAAGTATATGTATCTAATTATTTTTGCTTATAATTATTTATGAACTACGATTATATATTTTTTTTTTTACTTTTATTAGTTTGAACGATAATTATTATATTAATCTATAAGTTTTATTATGTATATTTATTGTGAATTTTATATAAAATAATTTCTATATTGTATATTTTAAAATTTTTAAATAGCAGTCATTTTGTTATTCAGAATTTTAGAGGTTGACTGTCATGCAATGCTGTTCGAGATTGACAATTATGTTTTCAGCTCATAGTGAACGGTACTGCTCTGATTTTCGATGCCACGTCTTAGAATTATGGGTATGTTCTTCTCCCTTTCAGATGAATACAATTTCTTTAGATGAAGCAGCAAAGATTTTGCTCGGCAATGGAAATCAAGCATCAATGACCACAAGAAGTAATACAATCTTCTTATTAAGTTAAAAAAAAATGAAGGCTCTGAAGTTCTTCTACTGACAATGTTTTTCTAAACTACTTTTGCAGCTAAAGTTAGAAGGTTATACGACATTGCTAATGTGCTATCTTCAATTAACTTCATCGAAAAGGTGTCTTCAATGAGTTATACTAAACTGGATTGTAATGGTTCTTCAATCTTCACTCTTCATCGTTTAAGTGCTCAATGTTAGTTATGAATTCCTTGCAGACTCAACACCCTGAAACAAGGAAGCCTGCTTTTAGATGGTTGGGGCTGAACGGGAAACCGGACAATGGAACTAAGGATTCCATAGTTGCTAGTGAGAGTAATAAGAGGCTGTTTGGTACCGACCTCACTAACACTACTGCAAAGAGAATGAAGACAATGGATAATGCAAAGCAAATCCGGAAGCCGCAGAATCCAATTCGAGTTAAACAAGAGACAGAAACTGATGATGAAAGGACACAATCGGCTGGAAACAGTTACCAGTTTGGCCCATTTGCACCTGCCAATGTCCCCAAGATTGCAACCTCCCAAAATGATGGAAAAGAGGCCATCGATTGGGAAAGCTTCGCCTCTACGTACAAGCCTCAGTATCATAACCAAGGTATTGATTGATGACTGTTAAGACACTATCTTCAATGTTGAAGGATGAAGAACATTCGAACAAATGATATAACAAATGTGTGCATACCTTTTCTTGATTGATTTTCTCAGCCCTGAAGGATCTTTTCTCACATTATGTCGAGGCGTTGAAATCATGGTACTCTGAGGTTGCTGGGAAGAATCCTATACAACTGATGTCCTAACTGGTTTGGTTCAAACCGGGAAGGATTAACAATGAGAGAGCAATTGAGGTAAAGCTAATTGACTAATTTGAGTATTGATTTGTGAAGGCATGATGTATGTTCTCGATGCCTGTCCTTTACAGAAACTAGTTCTTACATGTGATTTTAGAGCAACCCATTGCCGTTGCTGATTTGAATTTGCGATTTCATGTACATCTAGGGACCTTAGCATCCTGCCTATTGTTCTTGTAGCTTTGTGTATCGACCTCCTGAGCTCAATGTGATCGGTATTACATACATTTGGCTTTAGATTTAGAAACATATCTGTGAATGAGCTTTGCTACCTCACTTGAAGCTTATAAATGATCGGTACAAGGCATGAGATCTAAAATTTAACACCAAATTACAAATAACATTTGATGCATTCATAGTCTGTACAGATAACATTGACTATGAATAGCTATGCAAGAAAGTGTTTTAGGAATGATATCTTCGTGGTTGCTGATTGCTTCTCAAAGATCGTCCACTTCATAACTTGTTGGCGAACAATTGATGCTGTTCATGTGGCACAATTATTCTTTCGGGAGGTTTATCTCATGCATGGCCTTCAGTAGTCAATTGTTTTCGACTGTGATACTCACATTTTGAGCTATTTTTTTTGGAGAAGTCTATAGGGTAGGCAAATACTCGTTTGAATTTCAATAGTGCTTACCACCCGCAAAAAGATGGATAGATTGAGGCTGTTAACGGTTTATTGGGCAATATTTGTTCTTGGGAATCCTGTTTAAGTCAAGCAAAATTTGAGCACAATTGCGTGGATCGGAGCGCATGATATTGTCCTTTTCTGGTGGTTTATGTTGTTATTCCCAAGCTGAAGACCTTACAAAGGACCTCCTCGATGTCCATGCACATACTTAACAATGATTACACGCTTTCAATGCTAAATACAAGGAGGTTGCCAATGCTCGCCGTCGCCCTTTGGAGTTGGAAATCGGTGATTTTGTTCGGAGTTGTATATGTATATATATTCTAAAGATTAAGTCAACTTTATTACAAGATCTTTGTGTTTTCAATTATTTGTTAACTGTACAGTAATTTTTTTTTCTCCCTAAAAACATCATATTTTACATTCATGTTTTGTCTAATACAAATTAGGACTAATTATGTACTTATAATATATTAATATAGGGCCTCTAAGAATAGAGTTACTTTAAAAATTTGTAAGAGATTCTTTGTATTAAAATAGGACACATTATATTTGTATAATAAATAGATAATGATATTTATTTTTCAACATTATAATGGAGTTAATAGGAATAGTAATTATTGGTCTTATAATCAGTTTTTTTTTTTTAATTTTTAATTTTTAATTTTTTTTTTAATTTTCCAAAAGATTATCATTGTCTACTTCATATTGATATTAAAAAATATCTCTCGATGTGAATTAAATTATTTCAATTTGGCATATTTAACTTAATCAAAGAAAATACTTTATTGAAATCAACACGTCAAATTTCGATATTGCAACAACACGACTATGATAGACAAGCAATACAATCTGACTGTAGGATGATCATTTCGACTATTTGCGAACCGGACAATATTTTAGGCTGTTGTTTTTTGTGTGGAAGTTTCACTATTCAATTTAATAAGTTTTCTTAGAAGTTCTCCATCTCTCCATCATAAAAAATAAATTTTAAGGTTGAAGGATTCATCCATGGCATATCAAGTAAGTTGTCGAAACTTTTCGGTAGACTATGGTTTCTACTATAGTTGTTATTGCATTAGACCAACACAATTATCATCTATGCAATAGGTTGTCGCAAAAAAATATTAAATAAATTTTTGTCTTTCTTGTTGACAACTTTGGAGAGACTTCGATCTTGGTTTGTTTAAGTGGAACATATTAAGAGGATATCTCCATATTTGAATCTCCAAATATAATTCAATAACCGAACTAAGTTAACAAACACAGTTGTTACAATCACTTGACAATTGCACAATTTTTTTTTTCTTATAACTCTCGTGGTTAATATTTCGCGCGCACACAAGACTTGATGCCATAAATGTCCGTATTTCACACCATATACACGACAAAATATACAATCTTGCTTGCAAAATATATCTTATCACTAAGGCCCGGCACGACTTCACTTCTACATGTTAGTAGCACACCTAAGTATCTCTAGACGATTTTCTTGCGTGCTACATGGAATCCAACTTACTTTTATAGGATTACTTACTACATGAATACATACAAATTTTAGGATCCAACTCCGGAGTTAGTAACAGATCTTGATCATTCACGACAACAAAAAATACTTGTTTTTATCAAATTTATTATTTGATCTTTACAACAATATCACGTAACTTATACACATCCTAAACATAGAATTTACTCTCTATGGTATTCTTTGTGGATAAAATATCGAATGGGGCTATCCTTAACCACTTACACAACTGTTATTGTGTCTTATATAGTATTAAAATGGCTAAGTTATGGATTATACCTTTGATGTTGGAGTTTTTGTGTTTGGACATAGGTTTAGGACTTGGTTTGAGATTTTAGTCTTTCATCAATTTTTTTCCTTAAAAACATTAAATCACAGACTTATTTTTCATTTTTATATTCCATCAAAAATTATTTTTACATTCAAATTACAATAGATCACATAACTGTTCTTATTCAAAACCTTTACTACTCCCAATCCCAAACCCACATCCAAACGCACAGGTTCTTTAATCATTCATATTTGTTTGTATGTTTTGATCATACATAGAAAATCTTTTCCTCTTGGAAAAAGAAAAATCATCAAACAGTTGGGTATTTTTTACTTTGAATTTTGGATTTCGGTTTTGATTTAACTAGTAGCTGGATGTAATAACGTATTGTGATATGAAATAATATATTTTTACATAGACTCGTTAAAGAAATTGAAGCAAAAAGCTCAAAGAGAACATAACCTTAAATTTATTTTAAACCTATTTTTTAATTTAGATTTCACATCTACTAATTATATTTTTATTGCATAAAAGATATATACATTTTCAACTAAAAAACTAATCCGAAACACCACACTAACAAATACAAAAATAAATTTGTTAAATTGGAATCTTCTACCTCTGATTCATTTTCATACATACCTAACCAATAAAATATTTCACTCTTTAAAAATGAAAGCTTCTTTTGACAAATTTTGCTGGCAACAAGTGGTATTAAAAGATTGTTCTTATTACTTCATATTGTAATTTGTCATAAAAAATTTCAGTTTGAATCTGTTCATCCAAAGAAAGCTGAACCAGAAACTGTTTCTTCAATTTTGGTGCAAAAATATATTCATATTAGCTGCAGATTTTAGTTTCTTCAGCAGTCAGCAAGTTATCAGATTAAAAAGGGCTAAAGAGATGGCTGTAGCTGCTTATGCATCGTTGGTTTCTCTTACTCATGTCCTCGACAACATTCATTACCGTGCTCAGCTTCGTCGCCTTCATGTGGACATAACACGGATTGAATTTCTCCAGGAGAGCATCAATTTCTTGGTGGAGTTCCTTGAATTGAACCATGGAAGAAAAGGCCAGGAGATTGAAGATCTTTGGAGACAAATATCTGAAGCTAGTTTTGAGCTCGAAGAAACTTTTGACTTACATGTTGTGAGCCAACTTCAGAAGGAATCTCCGGGAGAAAATAGTGATATGGGTGGGAGAGCATTTGACGAAGATTTGGACACTATGATCCAAAAGTTTGACTATATCAAGCGAGAGCTGTCGATGGTTGAAGAGGCAGTGGAGGAGTTCATGGTTGAAAAGCAAACCAGAGCTTCTGTTCCAGCAGTTGGTTCTTCAACTGCTGCATCCTCCATTGCAAAGAATACTATTGTGGGACTTGGCGAACACGTTGCCAACATTAAGGGTGAGCTAGCAAGATATGATGGCAATCTTCAAATCATACCAATTGTCGGTATGGGCGGTATTGGCAAAACTACTCTTGCTAAAAAGGTTTATGAGGATAAATATGTTGTCGAACGCTTTGTTGTGCGCATTTGGCTTACAATTTCTCAGGAGTATAGTGTCAATGAAATCCTCCTTGGTCTTATCAATGAGGGAAAAGTTGAAAGACATGGTGGAAATTCAGATGTACCTGGAGAAGTATTGCGCAAAAAGTTGTATGGTAGAAGATACTTGATTGTTATGGATGACATATGGACTCTTCAAGCTTGGGATGATTTAAGGAGGTTCTTTCCGAATAATAGGAATGGAAGTCGGATTATTTTGACCACTAGGCTATCACACGTGGCTGGTTCTTTAAGTTCTCACGACCCTTATTCAATGACATTAATGGACATGAATACAAGCTGGAGTTTATTTTGTCAAACTGTATTTGGAGAAGAAAATTGTTCACATCGAGAATTGGAGCAAATCGGAAGGCGGATTGTCAGAAATTGCAGAGGACTTCCTTTACAAATTACTGTTATAGGAGGACTACTTGCAAAGTCGGGCATGAAGAAAGAATATTGGGAATCAGTCGCTAAAAATGTAAGTTCCTTTGGCAATGCAAGTGATGGCGAACATTGTTTCAATATATTACTTTTGAGTTATAATAATCTGCCTATATATCTCAAGCCATGTTTCCTCTACATGAGAGCTTTCCCTGAAGATGCTGAAATTGAAGTCTCAAATCTAATCAGATTATGGGTTGATGAAGGTTACATAACAATAAAAGAAGATAAAATTTTGGAAGAACAAGGTGAGGAATATTTGAAAGATCTTGTTGATAGAAATCTACTTTTTGTGCGTGAACAAAACGAAGTGACGGGGGAATTAGAAACATGCGGCATCCATGATCTTTTGCGAGACCTATGCATTAGTGTATCCACAAAAGTGAATTTTTTTTGTTCTCCAAGAATACAAAACATCAGTCTAAAATCTGATAGAAGATTGTGTTTCCTATGTGGAGGTTTAGTCAAAGAAGAAGATGAATGGGGAAATCTCTTTGCACTTAATGTTATTCCGCCATCAGCTTCGAGTAGCAATCCTCCTGTTTGTGGTAAGTGTGAAGTGACTTATTCACATATAAAAACACTAAGATTTGTGAAGGTCATCGATGAAGTTGGTGTAGCTCATGATTCACTTATGCAACACACTAGATTACGCTATGTCTCTGTCACATTGAATAAGACCCTAATGTTTATAACTCCTTCGATGCTACATTTGCTATGGAACCTTCAGAGTCTATTTTTCCAAGATTCACCTTTGGTAGTTTTACCATCTGAAATCTGGGAGCTGCCGCAACTTAGAACTATTGACTTCAAGGATGTGGTGTTTCCGAAGCCTCCAAATTCTCATGTCGGAGAGAAAGATGCTTTTACTCTGAAGAATCTTCAAAGCCTAGGCAGTGCAAGGAACTTTGAGCTCACTGATGAGATTCTTGATGGAATTCCTAATTTGAAGGAACTAGTAATAAAGTATGATAAGCGTCTGAGAGGGTTGGATACTTCTTTGTGTTATCTTGCCAGATTGCCGAAACTTGAAACACTAATTGTCCAAAATACATTGCAGAACATTGGCTTTCCAAATTCGCTCAAACTGTTGGTTCTGAAGAGATGCAGAATTCCTTGGAGTGGTATGTCCATAGTTGGTTCATTACCAAATCTTGAAAAACTTATTTTGATGTATACTGCTGAAGGCTCTGAGTGGAATCCAACTGAAGGGGAATTTCTTCGATTAAAAGCTTTGATGATTCATGGTAGTGATGTAGTACAATGGGGAGCTGATCAAAACCACTATCCTGTGCTTAAGATTCTTTCACTGTCTAACTTACCTTCATTGGAAGAAATCCCTTTAGGTGTTGGAGATATACCAACACTGCGCGAAATTAATCTGAGCAATTGTAGCAAGTCTGCTGCGGATTCGGCATACCTAATATTAGAGGAACAACTGAGCATGGGAAATGATAATCTCAAGATTGAAGTTTATGAATATTCTGAAGATGAAGATGACGAGTCAGAAAGCGAAGATGAAGATGAAGGCGAAGACACAGTAAAAGATCAAGATCAAGATGACGATTCGGAAGGCGAAGACAAAGAAAAAGATGAAGATCAAGATGAAGATGATGAGTCTACCTGATGGCCTAAGGACAGAAGAAGAAGAAGATGATGAAAGGTATGTATTGAAGGAAGAGTTCTAAATTGATTCAGTAATATCCAGTAAAATTTTTTAGTGGTTTTAGTAAAGAGGAGAATGTTGCTTCTTGCTTGGTATCATTTGCAATGTAATAATAGTGATCAATAAGAGAAAATTGCAAAAAATATTCTCCATGTATACCCGATTATCATTCTTCTCATTTATTTATCTAGCTGGCAAAATATATTATATACGTTTGCAAAAATCGCCATTTATGTACTTTTTTCCATGCATCATGTTAACACGACAACTGTTCTAGGCGCGGCCAAAGGAAAGAAATGATGCATTTTGCAAATATGTAGAATATATTTTGACAGAAAGATAAATAAATCACAAAAGTATTAATTAGGTATACGTGAAGGATATATTTTTGCAATTTTACCTGCTCAATAACATAGCTACACGGAAGTTTCATTATAGCTACACGGAAGACATTATTGTTATGATGTGTGGACGAATTATTTAATGTCTATCTTGGTTTCTTTGCAAATACTATTGGCATCTGTCTTCCTTTTTAACTGTATGATTTAATTAAGTAGCTTTGTAATAATTGCTTTTCAATTAGTGTTTAAACATATAAAGCATGGTTAGCTAGCTGAATGGTGATATTTTGATGACTATATATAATCAAGTACCATGTTCAGATTTAGGGGAAGTAGTGAATGATTTATTTGGGCTCAAAAACTTTAGAACCAAGATTTTTGCGAGACGGGAAGTCTTTAATATCGATTTTACAGAAATCCAGAAAAGATTACTCACTCAAAAGAATTTTTTTGAATTACTCTAGCTTCATATTTGAACTATTATACACAACAAAGTACATTTTCTCTTCACCAAAACACATCCGTGGAAGAAAACTCAGACAACTCAGATGGTCTAACTAAAGGTTTATATGTGACGACGTAGTTTTCTAAGATACATAGAAGTCTGTCGTGGACGAACCTGTAGATGTTGCACACTGGAAGAGCTCATGCTAGTGCAGCTCGATATGATCAAAGAATTGATTGTGATTTCGAAACTTTCTTTTATCTTAAATGATACAAGAGATTATGAACATAAAATGATTTATGAAAAGAAACATAAAATTGTGTATATAAGAATAAGTTTTTCTTTTCTATCGACTTAAATGTTATTCATATTTTTAACATGTAAGGATAATTTTTCATTGTTATTACATCACATATGCACTATTAATTAAACCTGTTATTTAATGAAAATTTCAAAATATCCTATATAACTTTTAGTTTTATATTAAGTGAAACCTAATATCGGATTTATCCTCGAATTAGTGGTTATATTATTAGAATCAGGCCTAGTTTGATTGGAATTAGTTTTAACTACCAGTTGCAACTGTTTGTGTCTTTCTATATTAAAATGGTTGAGCTATTGGTTATTAATCTTTCTCTTATTTTTATATATTTTTTTATATATATAACGTGGAATTTCGCAGCTGCCTATTCGATCAGTGTGCGCTCTGAATTTATTAATATTTGATATTGGAACTTAAGGTTTTTTATTCAACCACTTTTACAACAAAATATTTTTAACTCATCAAACAAAAAAAAAAAAAAAATTCAAAAAGCAATTAATCTTTATTTTAAATCTATTTTTATTTAAAACCTCATATCTAATAATTATAGTTAAAAAATCACATAAAAAAAAATATTCACTACTAAAAAATTTAAAATAAAAAACACCACTCTAATAAACACAAAATAAATTTATTAAATGAGAATCTCAACCTCTAATTCATTTTCACACATACCTAACCAATAAAATATTTTCACTACTCTTCAAAAGTGAAAGCTCCTTTTGACAAATTTTGCCGGCAACTAGTGGTATTAAAAGATTGCTCTTATTTCTTCATATTGTATTTTGTCATACGTTTGAATCTGTTCATCCAAAGAAAACTGACCAAGAAATTGTTTCTTCAATATTGGTGCAAAAATATATCCATATTAGCTGCGGATTTCATTTTCTTCAACAGCTTGTAAGATTTCAGATTAAAGAGGGGTAAAGAGATGGCTGTAGCTGCTTATGCATCGTTGGTTTCTCTTACTCATGTCCTTGACAACGTTCATTACCGTGCTCAGCTTCGTCGCCTTCATGTGGACATAACACGGATTGAATCTCTCCAGGAAAGCATCAATTTCTTGGTGGAGTTCCTTGAATTGAACCATGGAAGAAAAGGCCAGCAGATTGAAGATCTTTGGAGACAAATATCTGAAGCTAGTTTTGAGCTTGAAGAAACTTTTGACTTACATGTTGTGAGCCAACTTCAGAAGGAATCTCCAGGAGAAAATAGTGATATGGGTGCGAGAGCATTTGATGAAGATTTGGACACTATGATCCAAAAGATTGACTGCATCAAGCGAAAGCTATCGATGGTTGAAGAGGTAGTGGAGGAGTTCATGGTTGAAAAGCAAACCAGAGCTTCAGCTGTTCCAGCAGTTGGTTCTTCAATTGGTGCATCTTCCATTTCAAAGAATACTATTGTGGGACTTGACGAACACGTGATGAAGATAAAGGGTGAGCTTGCAAGATATGATGACAATCTCCAAATCATCCCAATTGTCGGTATGGGGGGTATTGGCAAGACTACTCTTGCTAAAAAAGTTTATGAGGATAAATTTGTTGTCGAACGCTTTGATGTGCGCATTTGGATTACAATTTCTCAGGAGTATAGTGTTGATGAGATACTCCTTGGTCTTGTCAATGACGGAAAAGTAGAAAGACATGGTGGAAATTCAGATGGTCCTGGAGAAGTATTGCACAAAAAGCTGTATGGTAGAAGATACTTGATTGTTATGGATGACTTATGGACTCTTCAAGCTTGGGATGATTTAAGGAGATTCTTTCCAGATAATGGGAATGGAAGTCGGATTATTATAACCACTAGGCTATCACATGTAGCTGGTTCTTTAAGCTCTCACGACCCTTATTCGATGACACCAATGGACATGAATACAAGCTGGAGTTTATTTTGTCAAACTGTATTTGGAGAAGAAAATTGTTCACATCCCGAATTGGAGAAAATCGGAAGGGGGATTGCCAGAAATTGTAGAGGACTTCCTTTACAAATTACTGTTATAGGAGGACTACTTGCAAAGTCTGGCATGAAGAAAGAGTATTGGGAATCGGTTGCTAAAAATGTAAGTTCCTTTAGCAATGCAAGTGATGGTGAACATTGTTTGAATATATTACTTCTGAGTTATAATAATCTGCCTATATATCTCAAGCCATGTTTCCTCTACATGAGAACCTTCCCAGAAGATGCTGAAGTTCATTTCTTAAGTCTAATAAATTTTTGGGTTGACGAAGGTTTTATAACAACGAAAGAAGATAAAAGTTTGGAAGAACTTGGTAAGGAGTACTTGAAAGATCTTGTTGATAGAAATCTTCTTTTTGTGCGTGAACAAGAAGATACGGGGGAATTAGAAACATGTGGCATCCATGATCTTTTGCGAGACCTATGCATTAGTATTTCTAAAAAAGAGAATTTTTTGTGTTCTCCAAGAATACAATACTTGAATCTGACATATTATTTCGGAAGAGTGTGCTTTCTATGTGGTGATTCAGCGACAGAAGTAGAAAGGAGAAATCTCTTTGCATTTGATGTTATTTCTCCATCAGCTTCATATGCTAATCCTCCCGTTTGTGGTAACTGTGAAGTGACTTATTCGCATATGAAGAGACTAAGATTGGTCAAAGTCGTCGATGAAGTTGGTGTAGCTCATGATTCACTTGTGCAGCACACTAAACTAAGGTATGTCTCTGTCTCATTCAATAAGCCTCTAATGTTAATATCTTCTTCGATGCTACGCTTGCTATGGAACCTTCAGAGTGTATCTTTCCAAGATTCACCTTTGGTAGTTTTACCATCTGAAATCTGGGAGCTGCCGCAACTTAGAACTATTGACTTCAAGGATGTAGTGCTGCCGAAGCCTCCAAATGCTCATGTCGAAGAGAAAGATGCTTTTACTCTGAAGAATCTTCAAAGCCTAGGCAGTGCAAGGAACCTTGAGCTCACTGATGAGATTCTTGATGGAATTCCTAATTTGAAGGATCTAGTAATAAAGTATGATAAGCGTCTGAGAGGGTCGGATACTTCTTTGTGTTATCTTGCCAGATTGCTGAAACTTGAAACACTAGTTGTTGAAAATACGTTGCAGAACATTGGCTTTCCAAATTCTCTCAAAGTGTTGGCTCTGAAGAGATGCAGAATTCCTTGGAGTGGTATGTCCATAGTTGGTTCATTACCCAATCTTGAACAACTTCTTTTGATTCATACTGCAGAGGGCTCTGAGTGGAATCCAACCGAAGGGGAATTTCTTCGATTAAAAGCTTTGTGGATTAATGGTAGTGATGTAGTACAATGGGGAGCTGATCAAAACCACTATCCTAGGCTCGAGTATCTTTCACTGTGTAACTTACCTTCATTGGAAGAAATCCCTTCGGGTGTCGGAGATATACCAACACTACGGAAAATTCGCTTGAAATATTGCAGTGAGTCTGCTGTGGATTCGGCAAACCAAATATTAGAGGAACAACAGAGCATGGGAAATGATATCCTCGAGGTCTATGTCTCTGATGATTCTGGAGATGATGATACAGATGAAGATGATGAAACTGAAGGCGAAGATGAAGACGAAGACAATGATGAAGATGACGAGTCTGATGGCAAAGACAAATATGAAGATGATGTGAAGATGAAGATAATGAGTCTGCCTCATGGCCCTAAGGACAGAAGAAGAAGAAGAGGAAGAAGAAGAAGAAGAAGAAGATGGTATGTATGTCGACGTCACTTCTGAGGACTTGCCATAATTGTTTTGTGCCATCGAACTTGCTTTAGTTTTAGAAATAAGTATTCAAGTGTTGAAGGATGATTTCCAGAAATGATTCAGTTATCATATGCAGTCGAAAATTTTAGAAATTTTAGTGAGGAGAAATGTTGCTTCTTGCTTGCATTGGTACCATTTGCAATGCAATTATAGTGATCAATAACTTCACTTATTTTAGTTGTTGGAAGTATGTTTTTAGCTAAACAATTTATTAGTGTATATTTTGGTTTCTTTTGTGCTGAGATATTTTAGATATTCAGTCTTAAATTTGTTCTTATATATAGATTAGATTACTTAAATTTGAGTTTATCGACTCTTTTTGTATTGCCTATATATATACCCTTGCTTTGATGATCAATGAACAATATCGTTATTTTTCCCTAAAATTTCTAACACTTTACAATTAGCATCTGTCATCCTTTTTAGCTCTTTGATTTATATAATTAATGTTCTATGATCAAGTTCTATGTTCACATTTAGGGGAAGTAGTAAACGGTCTATTTGGGCTCAAAATCTTTTAGAAATCAAGATTTTTGCAAGATGGGATGTCTCTAATGTCGATTTTGCATAAATCCAGCTAAGATCATTTACTACAATGATTCTTTCTTGAATTACTCTAGCTTCATATTTGAACTATCATAGACAAGAAAATAGATTTTTCTCTTCACCGAAATACATCCCTAGAAGAAAATCCTGATTGGTCTATCTGAAGGTTTATATGCACCAATGTAGTTTTCTAACATAGATAGAAGTATGTCGCGGACGAACTTGTCAGATGTTGGACACTGAAAGAGCTCGTGCAACTGCCGCACGATATGGGAAAAGAATTGATTGTGAATCCGAACTTTCTTCTTTCATAAATAAGACAACAGATTATGAACATAAGAACTTATGGAAAGAAACATTAATTGTATATATATATATATATAGACGACTGCTATAGTGTTGAAAAGCACATCATGTGCTGTCTGACCGTACACAATATTATTACAAACAATATATTGTATATGTTAATATAATATAAATACAACACATGATGATAGTCACATAGACGCAACTGTTGATTTTAGCACATGACATACTATTGTACAACACACATATAATTATGAACAAAACAACACATGCCTTTATTACACACAGTATATATTGTGTGTAATAAGAATATGACTTGTTTGCATCTATTATGAGTATTAATTTGGAAAATCAGCACAGTGCTGAATTTTTCAAATCAGCACCATAACCATTCTCATATATATATATATATATATATTCTGAATGATAAGAAGCATTATCTTATTGAAATGACCAATTGGACCGTACATAAGTTTTTTTCTTGCCCATGACATCAGTGATATTTTTGTTTTTCTTGGCCAAAAGAATTAAAAACAATCAAATTACAAAATATCCTTGCGATATAAATAAATTTTAACTCCCATCAGCTCTTTTAGGATGTCTAGTTGTTGTAAACGTGATAAATATTGATATAATATTTTAAATATAAAATTAATTTTTAATATAATAAAAAAATAAATGTTTTGATTTTATATTTTTGGAAAAACAATTAATAAAAAATAGAAAACCTGAAAAAACCCCGAACAAACAAAACTTGTGATTTTTAAGTGATATACTTTTGCCTTTGAAAGGAACGTCGACAGCAGTGAAGTCCACTTGGATTGGAGGAGATATTCAAATTTTCTTCATAATATTAAAAAGCTGTCCCCCCAATAATTTTGTTCAATTATTGCCACAAACTCTTATTTCTTGAGGCTGTTTATTGTCTTCTCTTCTTTTATCATCTTTTAGATCTGTTAATTCAGTTCTTCCCTTCCTGTATTTGCAACAATTTTGCTACAAATCGAGCCACGATCTGGATTGAGGTACTGCTATAAATATAGAACATTTAATATTACATCATTGTTGTTATTTCTCAATAATCTTAAGATATTAGTTAATGTATTGTTAATTGTCTTCAGGTGCTTGTGGCTGTAAGAGTTTAAATTTCAGAGTGTCGAGAGATGGCCGTTGCAGCTTATGCGTCGTTGGTTTCTCTTACTCATGTCCTAGACAACGTTCACTACCGTGCTCAGCTTCGTCGCCTTCATGTGGACATAAAACGGATTGAATTTCTCCAGGAAGGTGTCATTTTCTTGTTAGGATTCCTTGAAGCGAACCACAGAAGTAAAAGCCAGAAAGCTGGAGATCTTTGGAGGCAAATGTCGGAAGTTAGTTGGGAGGTCGAAGAAATTTTTGACTCACATATTGTGAGTCAACTTCAGAAGGAGTCTCAGGAAGAAAGCAGTGATATGGGCGGGAGATCCTTCGATGAAGATTTGGATACTATGATCGAGAAGATTGACCATATCAAGAGAGAGCTATCAATGGTTGAAGAGATAGTGGAGGAGGTCGTGGATGAAGAACAAACCAAAGCTTCAGTTTCTGGTGGTGGTTCTTCAGCTGCTGCATCCTCCATTACAAAGAATACTATTGTGGGACTCGAAGAACACGTGATGAAGATTAAGGGTGAGCTAGCAAGATATGATGACAATCTCCAAATCATCCCAATTGTCGGCATGGGAGGTATTGGCAAGACCACTCTTGCGAAAGAAGTTTATAGAGACAAATATGTTGTTGAACGCTTTGACGTGCGCATTTGGCTTACAATTTCTCAAGAGTATAGTGTCGATGAGATCCTCCTTGGTCTTATCAATGACGGAAAAGTTGAAAGACAAGGAAGAAGTTCAGATGGACCTGGAGAAGTATTGCGCAAAAAGCTGTATGGTAGAAGATACTTGATTGTTATGGATGACATATGGACTCTTCAAGCTTGGGATGATTTAAGGAGGTTCTTTCCGGATAATGGGAATGGAAGTCGGATTATTTTGACCACTAGGCTATCAAATGTGGCTGGTTCGTTAAGCTCTCATGATCCTTATTCGATGACATTACTAGACCAGAATACAAGCTGGAATTTATTTTGTCAAACTGTATTCGGAGAAGAAAATTGTTCGGATCGAGAATTGGAGAAAATCGGTAGGGGGATTGTCAGAAATTGCCGAGGACTTCCTTTACAAATTACTGTTATCGGAGGAATACTTGCAAAGTCTGCCATGAATAAAGAATATTGGGAATCAGTCGCTGAAAATGTAAGTTCCTTTGGCAATGCAAGTGATGGCGAACGTTGTTTGAATATATTACTCTTGAGTTATAATAATCTGCCCATATATCTGAAGCCATGTTTCCTCTATATGAGAGCTTTCCGTGAAGATGCTGATATTAAGGTCTCCCATCTAATCAGATTGTGGGTTGATGAAGGTTTCATAACAATAAAGGATGATAAAAGTCTAGAAGAAGTTGGTGAGGAATACTTGAAAGATCTTGTTGATAGAAATCTACTTTTTGTGCGTGAGGAAGGCTTACATAAGGAGGAAATAGAAACATGCGGCATCCATGATCTTTTGCGAGACCTATGCCTTAGTGTTTCTAAAACAGAGAATTTTTTGTGTTCGCCAAAATTACAACACAGCAGGCTATCATTTAATAGATGCTTGTGCATCCTATGTGGCGATTCAGCTACAGAAGAAGAAAGGAGAAATCTCCTAGCATTCGATATCGATTTTATTCCTCCATCAGCTTTGCACGGTAATCCTCCTGTTTGTGGTGACTGTAAAGTGACTTATTCACATATGAAGAGACTAACATTGGTCAAGATCATCGACAGAGTTGGTGTAGCTGATGATTCACTTGTGCAGCACACTAAATTACGAAGCATCTCCATTCCATTGAATAAGTCTCCAAAGTTTATATCTCCCCTACATTTTCTATGGAATCTTCAGAGTTTGCTATTTCCAGAATCAGAATTGGTAGTTTTACCTTCTGAAATCTGGGAGCTGCCGCAACTTAGAATTATTGACTCCAGCGATGTGGTGTTTCCTAAGCCTCGTCTTGCTCGTGTTGAAGAGAAAGATATATGTATTCTGAGGAACCTGCAAACTCTTACCATTGCAAGGAATTTTGAGCTCACCGATGAGATTCTTGGCGGAATCCCTAATTTGAAGGAACTACAAATTAAGTATGATAAGCGTATGAGAGAGTCGGATACCTGTTTGTGTAATCTTCATAGATTACAGAAACTTGAAAGACTAACTGTCGAAAACACATTGCAGAACATTGGCTTTCCAAATTCACTCAAATTCTTGCTTCTGAGGAAATGCAGAATTCCTTGGAGTGGTATGTCAGTGGTTGGTTCATTACCCAATCTTGAGATTCTCGTGTTGTGGAATACTGCGGAAGGCTCTGAGTGGAATCCAACTGAAGGTGAATTTCTTCGATTAAAAGCATTGTTGATTCATGGTAGTGATGTAGTACACTGGAGAGCTGATCAAAACAACTATCCTACTCTTGAGTTTCTCTTACTGTCTAGCTTACCTTCACTCGAAGAAATCCCTTCAGGTGTTGGAGATATACCAACACTGCGCGAAATTAATTTGACCAATTGCAGAAAGTCTGCTGTGGATTCGGCATACCTAATATTAGAGGAACAACAGGGCATGGGAAATGAAACCCTTATGGTTGATGCCTCTGATGATTCTGAAGATGACGACACAGATGAAGATGATGAGTCTGAAGGCGAAGATGAAGATGAAGATGAAGATTACAAGTCTTCTTGATGGCCCCCTAAGGAGAGGAGAAGAAGATGATCATGATGGTATATGTATATAACTAAGGTACTTTTGAAGACTTATAATAATTGTTTTGTGTCTTTCTAACTTGATAAACTGGTTTCAGGCTTTGATTTTGGAAACAATAATTCAAGTGCTAAAGGAAGATTTCCAGAAATGATTCAGTAAAAAATCTTAGAGGTTTTAGTAAGAAGGAGAAATGTTGCTTCTTGCTTGGTACTATTTGCAATGTAATAATAGTGATCAATAACTTCACTTAATTCATTTATTATTTTTTTAAGTGAAATTTTCCTTAACAACTTAAATTACTTTAAAAATTGCATGGTGCGACCTTATACTTTTAAAATCATTGCATGAAATCTTTTAAAACATTTTTTGTGTGATGAAATGATGATTTTCTATCTATAGTTTCATAAAATGTTTTTTAAAATATAAGGGGCGCTATACAATTTTTAAAGTACGTGGAGGATTTACGCTGAATTTTAAAATACAATGGAGTTTTTATGACGAATAACTTCACTTAATTTTTTTTTTTTTTTTTTTTTTATCGGAAATAACTTTACTTATTTTAGTTGGATGAAGTATGTTTTTAGCTAAACAAAAGACATTATTGTTATATGTGTGGACGATTTATTTAATGTCTATCTTGGTTTCTTTGCAAATACAATTGGCATCTGTCTTCCTTTTTAACTGTATGATTTAATTAAAGTAGCTTTGTAATAATTGCTTTTCAATCAGTGTTTAAACATATAAAGCATGGTAAACTTGCTGGTGATATTTTGATGACTATATATGATCAAGTACCATGTTCAGATTTGGGGGAAGTAGTGAATGATTTATTTGGGCTCAAAATCATTACAACCAAGATTTTGCGAGACGGGAAGTCTTTAATATCGATTTTACATAAATCCAGAAAAGATCACTCACTCCAAAGAATTTTCTTGAATTACTCTAGCTTCATATTTGAACTATTATGGACAAGAAAGTGCATTTTCTCTTCAATCTTCACCGAAAACATATCCGTGGAAGAAAACTCAGACGGTCTAACTGAAGGCTTATATGTAACGACGTAGTTTTCTAAGATACATAGAAGTCTGTCGCGGACGAACTTGTAGATGTTGCACAGTGGAAGAGCTTATGCTCGTGCAGCCCAATATGAGAAAAGAGTTGATTGTGATCTCAAACTTTCTTTTTTTCTTAAATGAGACAAGAGATTATGAACATAAGATGATTTATGGAAAGAAACATAAAATTGTGTATATAAGAATAAGTTTTTCTTTTCTATCGACTTAAATGTTACTCATATTTTTAACATGTAAGGATAATTTTTCATTGTTGTTACATCACATATGCACTATTATTTAAACCCGTTATTTAATGAAAATTTCAAAATATATATAACTTTTAGTTTTATATTAAGTGAAACCTAATATCAGATTTATCCTCGAATTAGTGATTATACTATTAGAATTAGGCCTAGTTTGATTGGAATTAGTTTTAACTACCACTTGCAACTGTTTGTGTCTTTCTATATTAAAATAGTTTAGCTATTGGTTATTAATCTTTTCTCTTCTTTTTTTATATATATATTTTTTTATATATATCGTGGAATTTCGCAGCCGCCACTCGATTGTGTGCGCTCTGAATTTATTCATATTTGATATTGGAACTTAAGGTTCTTTATTCAACTACTTTTACAACAAAATATTTTTAACTCATCAAAGGAAAAAAAATTCAAAAAGCAATTAATCTTTATTTTAAATCTATTTTTATTTAAAACCTCATATCTAATAATTATAGTTAAAAAAGCACATAAAAAAACATATTTTCTACCAAATAACTAAAAACTGAAAACACCACACTAACAAACACAAAATAAATTTGTTAAATGGGAATCTTCTACCTCTGATTCATTTTCACACATACCTAACCGATAAAATATTTCACTCTTTAAAAATTAAAGCTGCTTGTGACAAATTTTTCCTGCAACTAGTGGGATTAAAAGATTGTTATTATTTTTTCATATTGTAATTTGTCATACGTTTGAATCTGTTCATCCAAAGAAAACTGAACAAGAAATTGTTTCTTCAATATTGGTGCCAAAATATATCCATATTAGCTGCGGATTTCAGTTTCTTCAACAGCTTGTAAGATTTCCGATTAAAGAGGGCTAAAGAGATGGCTGTAGCTGCTTATGCATCGTTGGTTTCTCTTACTCATGTCCTCGACAACGTTCATTACCGTGCTCAGCTTCGTCGCCTTCATGTGGACATAACACGGATTGAATCTCTTCAGGAAAGCGTCAGTTTCTTGTTGGAGTTCCTTGAAGTGAACCATGGAGGAGAAGGCCAGAAGATTGAAGATCTTTGGGGGCAAATATCCGAAGTTAGTTTGGAGGTCGAAGAAATTTTTGACTCACATGTTGTGAGTCAACTTCAGAAGGAATCTCAGGGAGAAAGTAGCGATATGGGCGCGAGATCATTCGATGAAGATTTGGACACTATGATCCAAAAGATCGATTATATCAAGAGAGAGTTATTGCTGGTTGAAGAGGTCGTGGTTGAAAAACCAACCAGAGCTTCTGTTCCTGCTAGTGGTTCTTCAACTGCTGCATCCTCTGCTGCAAACAATACAATTGTGGGACTTGACGAACACGTGATGAAGATTAAGGGTGAGCTGGCTAGATATGATTACAATCTCCAAATCATCCCAATAGTCGGTATGGGGGGTATTGGCAAGACTACTCTTGCTAAGAAAGTTTATGGAGATAAATATGTTGTCGAACGCTTTGATGTGCGCATTTGGCTTACAATTTCTCAGGAGTATAGTGTCGATGAGATCCTCATTGGTCTTGTCAATGATGGAAAAGTTGAAAGACATGGTGGAAATTCAGATGGTCCTGGAGAAGTATTGCGCAAAAAGCTGTATGGTAGAAGATACTTGATTGTTATGGATGACATATGGACTCTTCAAGCTTGGGATGATTTAAGGAGATTCTTTCCGGATAATGGGAATGGAAGTCGGATTATTATAACCACTAGGCTATCACATGTAGCTGGTTCTTTGAGCTCTCACGACCCTTATTTGATGACATTAATGGACATGAATACAAGCTGGAGTTTATTTTGTCAAACTGTATTTGGAGAAGAAAATTGTTCACATCGAGAATTGGAGCAAATTGGAAAGGTGATTGTCAAAAATTGCGGAGGTCTTCCGTTGCAAATTATTGTTATAGGAGGACTACTTGCAAAGTCGGGCATGAATAAACAATATTGGGAATCAGTTGCTGAAAATGTAAGTTCCTTTAGTAATGCAAGTGATGGCGAGCATTGTTTCAATATATTACTTTTGAGTTATAATAATCTGCCCATGTATCTTAAGCCATGTTTCCTCTACATGAGAGCTTACCCTGAAGATGCTGAAGTTCATGTCTCAAATCTAATCGAGTTATGGGTTGACGAAGGTTTGATACCAACAAAAGAAGATAAAAGTCTGGAAGAACTTGGTAAGGAATACTTGAAAGATCTTGTTGATAGAAATCTTCTTTTTGTGCGTAAACTAAGCGAAGATATGGGCGAATTAGAAACATGCGGCATCCATGATCTTTTGCGAGATCTATGCCTTAGTGTATCTAAAAAAGAGAATTTTTTGTTTTCTCCAAGAATACAAGACTTGAATCTGATATATTATTGGGGAAGATTGTGCTTCCTATGCGATGGTTTAGTGACAGAAGAAGAAAGGAAATATCCCTTCGCACTTGAAGTTATTCCTCCGTCAGCTTCGCATAGTAATCATCCTATTTGTGGTTACTGTGAAGTGACTTATTCACATGTAAAGAGACTAAGATTGGTGAAGGTCATCGATGAAGTTGGCGTAGCTCATGATTCACTTGTGCAGCACACTAAATTACGCAGCGTCTCCATTTCATTGAATCAGTCCCCAAAGTTTATATCTCCCCTACATTTTCTATGGAATCTTCAGAGTCTGTCATTCCTACATCCACCTTTGGTAGTCTTACCATCTGAAATCTGGGAGCTGCCACAACTTAGAGTGATTCAATGCAAAAGTGTGGTGTTGCCTAATCCTCGGGTTCATCATGTCGAAGGGAAAGATTTCTATATTCTGAGGAATCTGCACAGCCTTAGCACTGCAAGGAATTTTAAGCTCGCGGATGAGATTCTTGGTCGAATTCCTAATTTGAAGGAACTAAAAATAAAGTATGATAAGCGTATGAGAGAGTCGGATACTTGTTTGTGTAATCTTCATAGATTACAGAAACTTGAAAGACTAACTGTCGAAAAGACATTGCAGAACATTGGCTTTCCAAATTCACTCAAATTCTTGCTTCTGAGGAAATGCAGAATTCCTTGGAGTGGTATGTCAGTGGTTGGTTCATTACCAAATCTTGAATTTCTTATGCTGTGGTATACTGCAGAGGGCACTGAGTGGAATCCAGCTGAAGGGGAATTTCTTCGACTAAAAGTTTTGTTTATTTGGGGTAGTGATTTAGTACAATGGAGAGCTGATCAAAACCATTATCCGAGGCTCGAGACTCTTGCATTGTTTAACTTACCTACATTGGAAGAAATCCCTTCGGGTGTTGGAGATATACCGACACTGCGTGAAATTTGTTTGGCCAATTGCAGCAAGTCTGCTGTCGATTCGGCTTACCTAATAATAGAGGAACAACAGAGCATCGGAAATGATTTACTTAAGATTGAGGTGTCTGATACTGCTGAAAATGAAGATGAAGACACTGATGACGATGAAGATGAAGACACAGAAAAAGATCAAGATCAAGGTGATGATTCTGAAGTCGAAGAAAAGAAAAAGATGAAGATGATGAGCCTGCCTGATGGCCTAATGGCAGAAGAAGATGATGATGATGATGAAAGGTAAATATATCTAAGCACCGGGGCTGGTTCCCAGATCCGCCCCGCCGGTTTCAATCCGGTCCTAGGATCCGGCCTAGAACTTTTTTAAAAAAATAAAATATAATTTATTTTAATAATTTAATACTAAAAAAAAGTAAGTGTTGAAATACCAAACAAATTTTATTTTAAAAAATAAGAATAATCAAGTGTCCGCTGTAGTCCATAGTGATAGTGGTTTGAGGCAGGGCAGGGATTGCGTGAGTCTCAATTGTGAAGAGAATTGAAAAAAAAACAATCGCGAAAATAAATTTAATTTAGAAATTATGATTCTATTTTATATTTAAAATTTTACATAAATATGTAATATAATTTATATTATATAAATATATTAATTTTAATAATTATTACAATATTTGGGTTTGGGTCCGAAGTGGGGCGGGTTTTTAATAAAATCCGTAACCCGCCTCGGATTCAGCCGGATTTAAATTTTAAAATCCATAACCAGCTCCGAAACATATTTTTTAGATTGAATGTTTTAGATTGGAATCTGCCCCATTAAGTGCGGGTCTGGGCTGATCCGGGTTAACCCGTCCCATTTGACATCTCTAATCTAAGCTACTTTTGAATACTTATTATAATTGTTTTGTGTCTCTAACTTGATAAAATTGGTTTTAAGCTTTTAATTTTGGAAACAATAATTCAAGTGTTCAAGGAAGATTTTCATAAATGATTCAGTAATAAGCACTAGAATTTTTTATAGGTTTTAATAAGGAGGAGAATTGTTGTTTCTTTCTTGGTACAATTTGGGGTAAATTGCAAAAAAATATCGACAGGTATACCATATTATCATTTTTGTCCTGTATTTATGTCGCTAATAAAATATATTCCACATATTTACAAAAATTGCTATTTATATCATTTGACCGTAAAAGTCGCAAAAGTACCATCATCACACAATATTTAAACTAAATGATGTCATTTGTCAATTTATTAATGGTTTAATTTGGTTTAGAGGTAATAGTAAAGAGGATATTTCGTGCCGATTTCAATCATTTGCAATGTAATAATAGAGATACATAAACTTAACTAATTAAATCAAGGACAACTTTGTTATATGTCCGGACCAAAACTCCAAATAAATGCACGTGAAAGCGGCCGCTACTATTGAAAGATGTAAGTAAGAAATGTAATTAGTCTTCAAGTGAGATATTGAAGGGATCGAACTAAGGTAAGTTTTGTTGGCGTAGGCCAAATATGAGCATATTGTTTTAACTTTATTCAATTTTAATATATATTTTTTTCGAAGAGATCTTTTATGAAGATTTTGGTTTAGCAACACCCCTAGTGTGGATCTAATGGGGATTAGAATTAGCTAAAATAGATACGGTCCAAAACTTCGATCTCAACCTGACACGAAAAAATTATATTTATGCCTAAAAAAATAAATTAAAAAAAACTCAGAACGTGTCTAGCCCGACATGAGTATGAAGCAAGCTGTGCATAGCCCATCAAGATCGGACAATGCCTGCCTGACCCTATTTGTAAATTAAATATACTTTTAAAAAATAATTTTATAAATATTTCAACAAATGAATTTATGTTAAAAATGAAGATGGAGTTTAATAATTTGGTTATTGGTTCAATTCTTACACTTAATTCATAATATTTTATTAAATTGTTTTAATTTTTTTTTCAAAAAAATACCAAACTAAAATCATAAAATGGGACACGCGGGCCATGCCTATCCTGTCCGAAAATATTGATCAAGTCGGGCCGGCCCGATTTGCCACTTCAGTAGTGATGGAATTGGGAAACCATTTATATGTGCATATATATTGTTATTTACAGTTTTTCGTGTGTTTGTTTGGGAGTTTGGATTTTGAGTTGGGATTTTTGAATAGTAAAAATTTTGAATTTGAATAGTTATATGATGTTATATAAATAGGTGTTGATGTGATGTTTTGAATGTAAAATTAATTTTTAGTATAATATAAAAAATTAAAAATAGGTATTTGATTTGATATTTTGGGGAATGAGATGAATAGTGGATTGAAAATCCAATCCTCCGAACAAACACACCCTAATCTTTATAATATTTGCATAATTGGCCATCTTTTTCCTATCATTTATAATCTTGAATATTGATTAGTTTCCAATTAAAATTTGAAAATATCATGTTAAATTAGGCAAGTAATAAGAGAGATTTATAAAAACATCAAAAATTTTATATACTAAACTTATAATAATGGAAAAGTATTAAAATTTCCAAAAAAAAGTTAGTATAAGGTGACATATTTGGTACAATACATAATTGGTATATAATCTTCAATTGTTCAATATACCTTATAAGTGTATATATTGATACATACAATTATTTGGCATATTCTAAAATTTTCAGTATACTAAAATTATCGATATAAAATTTTGCATATCAAGACAACATAAAATTTCACTACCGTTTTGATATGAAATTTTGTAATTTTGGTATAGTGATTATATATATATATGATGTCAATATAAAATTTCACATCGAAACTGTCGGTCGTATGTTATACGATCGACATCAAAATGGTTTGATCACAATTTTTAATTTGGTTTTGAATTTTGGTTATAAATAATAAATTTTTGAATTGAATAGTGTTTTAAATGTAAAATTAAAATTTAAGATAATATATTTATTAAGTAATTGTATATATATATATATATGACATAATTTTAATAGTCTTTCTAAACAATCTTGTTAGTAATAATTTTACAAATTATATTAGAAAATAAAAAATATATAAATTATATATAAATAAATAAATTGTAAAAAGAATTATTGGATAAACTTTTCTTGAAATTCATGACGCACCAAATCAGTATATCATTGTCCGGCGCGTGATACGCCGACGGCGAAACTAACAAGTAACCAAATAACAAATTTCAATCTCATCCGTCGGATGAGATTTATATCAACGGCTAGGCTTGTGACACTTGTCCTTAATCCATTGGATCCCAGCGGAGGTCCCTTCTTTAACCTTCTTAGCGCCGGCGGACGCCGCCGCCTTGGTCTTCTCCATTTCTTCTTCTCCGACCTTAACGTACTTCGCCGTCTTCCCCAACTTCTTCGCCCACGCCGCCGGGACCAGGCCGCCGGCGGTCTTCTTCTTCTTTTCCTCCGGCGGAGGATCTGAGTACGGATTCGTGTCCCACTGATCTGCCCACGATCGATCCTCCATTTCTGATTTCTAAATTCTAATTAGGGTTTGTAATGTATGTAGGCGTCACTACATATATATGTATATATATGTATGAATAAATACTAAATTCGTCTCATTTAATTTGTCAAATATTTTTATTTCTGTTTGTGTTTTCCTTTTTTAAATATAATTATACATTAATTATATTTTAAATTTTATAATTTATAATTTATAATTTTTAAATTATAATTATTTTAATTAAATCATATTATTTACGTCCAATTTTGAGGATTTTATTTATATTTGATATTTGAATATTAATTATTATATCAAAATTTAATAAATATATCCATTAGTGTCTTACACAATATTAATAGAATGATATTCGTAAAAAAAATTATACCAATATAAATATATTTTTAATGTTAAGTACAATGACGTAAAAGATAAATATGACCTTTAGAGGCGGACGTATGAAGTAATTATTTTAAATAATACATTTTTTAATTATTTACTAATTATACAATATCTAAAACTCGATGTATATTCTAAATAGAAATTTAGCTTAGACCGCAAATTATTAAATCTCCATTTATGTTAATAATTTTAAATTATGTTACCATAATTACAATAATATTCCTTATTAATCGTATCATTATTGCATATATGGTGGATTAATTATACATATAATAAAATTTCAAACAATATAGTAACAACATTATAACGGCAGCAATTACGAATTTAGCACAGTATTGACAACATACACAATACTATAATGTAATATACAATATATAATTTAATTATATTAATGTAATATAAATATGTTATGCGAATTTACAATACATAATATAATTCATACAACATACTATATTTAATTTAAATTTAATTATTTTGATTAGATTAATCCAATTAATTGACGGTCTAAATCAAATTTAGCAATATAATCCATACAGTTAAAATAATAATAATAATAATAATATAAAAAATAAAATATTATTTTATATATTATTAATATAAATTTTATACATAATATAAAAAATGCATTTTTCCAAAATATAGTAGACCCGATCATTTTGGGCAAGTCCATTTTCATTTTGTGCAAAGACAGATCCCACATGGTTTTAATGAGGCCTAATCACATCCGGTTCAAACCGTATCGGGCCGGGTCAGCTCAGTTTTATATATATTTTATTTTATAATTTATTTTGTATAATATTTTCACTAAAAAATAAAATATATTAATTAGAATTTCTACAAATATGGTAAAAAATAATATTTTTTATTGACAATTTAAAATTTTAACATTAAATAAATAATTAGTTTTTTTATTATATATTTATAATACATTGAAAAAAATTAAAAATGTATTCGATAAACCATGTCGGGCCGGACACGACCGATATTTTCAATCTTACCAGGTTAGCCCAATCCAAAAATTATTCAAGCCTATTTTCTTAGGTTCAGTACTTATTTTTCGTGTGGTGCTCGAATCGAATTTTCGGATTGTACTTATTTTGGATTCGTGGATAAAAAAATTTAATCTCGGGTGAATGGATCTGTGGATAAAAAAATTTAAATAAATTAAAAATTATATTTCATCGAGCTTAGATTTTTCTTCACCTACCTATAATTTCCCTCCATGACATGCGAACTTGATCATAAAGGTCCGAAGGTTCCCAAACCTAGAGGAGTTAAACAAATCAAATTGTTCTTGAACTTGACTTGGTTTGGTTTGATTCGGTTGAAATTTGTTTCAGAGTGTAAACGAATCGAACAACATACCATATCTTGTTAACGAGTCCAGGCTTTGTTCCCGAACATTTGTTTAAAAATAAATGTATATAATATTATTAATAAAGAAAATATCATATTACATAATTTAACATAAAAAATTAAATTCATTTAAAAACCTACAATATGCTCTTGTTGAGAGTAAACGAATCGAACAACATACCATATCTTGTTTCCGAGTGTAAACGAATCGAACAACATACCATATCTTGTTTCCGAGTCCAGGCTTTGTTCCCGAACATTTGTTTAAAAATAAATGTATATAATATTATTAATAAAGAAAATATCATATTACATAATTTAACATAAAAAATTAAATTCATTTAAAAACCTACAATATGCTCTTGTTGAGAGTAAACGAATCGAACAACATACCATATCTTGTTTCCGAGTGTAAACGAATCGAACAACATACCATATCTTGTTTCCGAGTCCAGGCTTTGTTCCCGAACATTTGTTTAAAAATAAATGTATATAAAATTATTAATAAAGAAAATATCATATTACATAATTTAACATAAAAAATTAAATTCATTTAAAAAACCTACAACATGCTCTTGTTGAGAGTCGAACTCAAGACCTCCCGCTTACTAAACGGGTGCTCTAACCAACTGAGCTACAAGAACTTTTTATACGTTAAGAAATCGTAGTTTATATATAAATATTTCATACGCACAAATACATTTTTTTTTTTTTTTTTTATTGTCGGCTTCAAATATAGTATTTATTTATTTATTTTTATTTTTATCCATCTCCCACGATAATATATTTACAATAATTCAGTTAATAAAATTATTAACATAAACATAAGTCATGTATTACATAGCATAAATATATAAATAATTTTATTTAGTATTTATTGGAAAATTCACATCATATTAGCCAAAATACTTTATAAAATTTCCTATATGTTAAAATATACTCTTTAGTCTCACTTCAAAATGAGTTTTTTTTTTTTTTTTTTTTTGTAATAAATTAAAAATTAATAATATTTTATTAGTCAACGAAAGTGTGTAAAAAATTTTCACATTTTTTCTTACTTTATATTTAATTTAATTGTATCTACAATGGTATGTTTGAATTTGTTTGTCACAATTGGTTCCCAACACCGAAGATGCGCATGTTACCTTGAGGTGTTTACTTGGCGGACACGTGTGCTTCGGCATGTCAAGAAGGTGCTATGTAAGCATCTCTAACACCGGAGAACCAATTTTGCCAAAAAAAAATTTACATTATTTTTCAAAAATTCTTCTCAATAAAAGTCATATTTAAATTTGGTTTTGGGCAAAAAAAAAAAAATGTTAAATTTCTAACGAAAATTAGAGACCATGCTTTAGCTATGTGAACTTTAGGATGAAATTTATAAATTTCTTTCCTAATTTCATCTCTAATGTTATTGGTAACAGAAAGATAAATTTAGAGATAAAAAAATTTTGTTACAAAAATATTATTTTCTTGTAGTGAGTTCATTCATTATTCAAAAAATTCAAATTCCTCAGTGATATTTTTCATATCCTAGTGGTTAGTTAAAATTGAATTATTTTTTATTTTAATTTCTTTTAAAAATTATAAATATTTGAATAAAAAATAATTAGATTTAATATTTTGAAAGAAACAAAAGAAACGAGCTACGTAATATTTTTAATGAGAACTAGATATGTTTTTTTAGTGTAAAATAATATATTCCTTCTGTCCAATATATGTATCCGCTTACTAAAGATAATTTTACCCATGAAAAATACAATAATGTTAAATTATAATGATGATATTTTGTAATAATATTTAATTTCTAAAGGTTTTTTAAAAATTATGTGTGAAACATAATTATTAAAAAGAAAATAGATACATTAATCTTGGACGGATCAAAATGAAAAAATTGATACATTGATCCAACCACATAATGTATGTGTTTTGTATTTATAATTTATTTTTTTGTTTGGAAAAAAATATAATCATATATAAAATAAAATGTGCTATGGAGAACATTTTCTTTTCAAATTCTCTTAAAGAGTTGTGTCTGCGATACTCACCGACGGACCTACATGGGGTGGCTGACCGTCCAGTCTCCAAAATATATTTATGAATATAATAACTAATAAAATTATATATTTTCTCTGTTCATATATATAAAGTAAATATTTATTTTTGACTTTGTGTTTAAGAAATAATAATATTTTAATTATAATAGGCAGTTAAAAATAGTGTAATGATATTTTTGCTCTTACTTTTTGGCATAAAAGTAATGATGTAATATAAAATATAGGTATTTGTGAAAAAAAAGTAAGTATTTAATGAAATGTTTACTTTAAAAATATGTATATTTCTAGCTGGACGGACCAATTAATTTTTATTAATTTGTCCCTCTTAATTTTTATTTTATAATGTAAAAAATAATAAAAATTTTGTCCATTTGTTGATTTACATTTTTATCTTTGAATTTTATTGTAGTTTTAATAAAAGAAATATTAAATTTTATGTAATTTTGTTGAATTTTTTTATAAAATATTTAATTTTTTTTATCATCTTTTCTTTTTATTTTTTCTGTTTTTTACTTGTATAGAGAGAAATGGAAAAGACAACATTGAATCGATAGAAAAAAAAAAAAAAAAAAAAAAAACCCTGATATTTTGCCCCCCTACCCATCCAGATTTACGGCTGGTTCCGTGGCTTGTTGGTGACACTCTGAATGGAAGATTCCTTTGGGTGATATGTCCATCATTGGCTCATTACCCAATCTTGAGAAAATTTAGATTTGATTTTTCCACTAAAGGGTCTGAATGGAATTCAGTTGAAGGTGAATTTCTTGGATCGAAAGAATTGCGTGATTGCGTGTAAAGATCTATAACTAAATCTATATAAAAATCTCCAATTTAAAGATATATAATTGAATATTGAACATATATTAAATTCTCCAACTATTTTGAGCCCTACAATGGAATCTTATCTCTTTTTTCTTTTTGTTCTTTTCAACCAATGTACAAAATTCATTACAATTCAATAACATGTTAAAGACAATATCAAACCAAAGTCTTACCTCTCATCAAAATCCTCTAAAATATATCTTCACACTTCATCTGTGTTTTCCATCTTCATTACCAGAACTTGTTCTTGCTCCCTTCACTTGACAGAGATGGCTGTTGCTGCTTATGCTTCCATGGTTTCTCTTACTCATGTTCTCGACAATGTTCATTACCGTGCTCAGCTTCGTCTCCTTCATGTCAACATAAAACTAATTGAATCTTTCCAGGAAACTGTGAATTTCTTGCTGGATTTTGTTGAAATTCATTCGAGAAGAGAAGGCCAAAAGATCAACAGTCTGTGGAGGCAAATATCTGAAGTTTCGTTCGAAGCTGAAGAAATATTTGATTTACATGTTGTGAATCAACTTCAGCTTCGATCTGAGGGAGTAAAAGCCTGTTTGGGATTCTCAGCTTTCGACGAAGATATTGGAGGAGTTATCCGAAAACTTGATACCATCAAGAAAGAGCTGTTGGTGGAGGAAGCCTTATTGCAGGATGTTCGATCTGGAAAACAACCAGAAGTTTCTGAGCATGGAACAATTTCGTCCCTTGGCCAGAATACGATTGTGGGATTCGATGATCATGTCAATGCAGTTATGGATTTGCTGATTAGAGACGAACCGGCACTCCAAATCATCCCAATCGTAGGCATGGGCGGTATTGGTAAGACTACTCTAGCTAGAGCTGTTTTTGATAACCAATGTATTGTCGACCGGTTTGATAGACTTGTTTGGCTTACAATATCACAAGAATATACTGTTCAGGACATCCTATCAGCTCTTTTAAATGATGGGAAAGTTACTACTCATGATGGAAGTTTTGATCGTTTGGGGGAAGCTTTGTACAAGCAATTATTTGGTAGACGGTATTTGATTGTTATGGATGACGTGTGGAGCGAGCAGGCTTGGTGTGATTTAAGAATGTGTTTTCCAAATAACAACAATGGAAGCCGCGTTATCATGACTACTCGGCTTGCAAATGTGGCTGGAAGTTTAAGCCCTCAAAGATCATTTTCGATGACTTTCTTGGACAAGAATAAAAGTTGGAGTTTATTTTGTCGAACAGTGTTTAAAAAAGAACACTGTCCTTATCCAGAACTAGAGGAAATTGCACAAGAGATTGTCAGAAGTTGTCAAGGACTTCCTCTAGAGATCATTGTAATTGGCGGGCTACTTGCAAAGTCTAACATGTCTAAAAGATATTGGAAGTCTGTCGCGGACAACATCAGCTCGTTCGCGAATCTTGAACACGACGAGCATTGCTTAAAGATTTTGTCTTTGAGTTATAACGACTTGCCGATCCACCTCAAGGCATGTTTCCTCTTTATGAGCGCTTATCGTGAAGATCATAAGATCGATATCAATGAACTAATTCGGGAGTGGATTGCTAGAGGATTGATTAGAGCTGTTGGTGAGAAAAGTTTAGAGGAGATTGGTATGGAATACACTAAAGATCTCATTTCGAGGAATCTAATTTTTCATTACCGAAATCACAGAAGAAATGGCAAACTAGAGTGGTGCAATATTCATGACCTGTTGCGAGAGTTGTCCGTGAAAGAATTTAACAAGGCGGAGTTTATTCAATCGCCAAAAGTGCAATATACGAATGGAAGTGGATCACGAAGACAATGCTTTCTTTGCGCCAAGTCGATCCACCATGAAGTTGCGACGGATGTCTTGGAATTTGTTCTTTTATCCGAATCACCATCATCGTCACGACTAATTCATCCACCTATTTGTCGCGCTTGCCGAGTTATGTATTCACATTTTAAAGAGGCGAGGCTGGTGGAAACAATGATGTTTGAAAGAACATCGAGATTTTTGCATCCTACTCAAGTGAGGTATGTTTTTCGTTCCATCATTGGAAAGTCGAACCCTTTTTCAAAAATGAACTTACTCTGGAATCTTCAGACACTAAAGCTATGCTCGGAAGGGCGAGTTAATTTCCCGAATGAAATGTGGGAAATGCCGCAGCTCAGGCATGTCATCGTCGATAAAAAATGGATTACTTTGGCAGATCCTAGAGTAATTTCTGCTACTAATGTTGACAGGGAAGGCTTCATTATTCTAAAAAATCTGCAGACACTTTCCGGAATTTCGAATTTCCAGTGCACAAACGATGTCTTGGCAAGAATTCCTCAAGTAAAGACACTGAAAATCACATATGGTAAGAATCTTCACAATCTTATCCGACTCCAGAATCTTCAGTCGTTAAAAATAAGAAATGCTCAGGAGAACATTGCTTTTCCAAGTTGTCTTAAAGAGTTGTGTTTGGAATATTCCAAATGGAAAATTCCTTGGAGTGGTATGTCGATCATTGGCTCATTACCCAATCTCGAGAAACTTGATTTGATTTTATCGACTAGAGAGTCTGAATGGAATCCGGCCGAGGGCGAATTTCTTCGACTGAAAGAATTGAAGATTGCTTGTATGGATCTAGTGCAATGGAGAGCTGATAAGGAACACTTCCCGACTCTTGAGCTGCTTGTACTGTCTTTCAAATTGTTGGAAGAAATCCCTTTCGGCATTGGAGATATTCCAACGTTACGTAGAATTGAATTGCGAGGATGTAATGGATCTGCTATCGATTCGGCATACGAAATATGGGAGGAACAGAAGAGCATGGGAAATGACATCCTTAAGATTCCTATCAGAAAGGATTACAAATGGTATTCAATCAGTGATTTCATATCACTGCAAAAGAAAGATGAAGATGACCGATAGGTACTTCTGAGTAGAGTGGTTAAAAGAATTGAGTAGCTCGTGAGCCAAGCTCGACTTAGTTCTTTTACAGAGATAAACAAGCTGATTTTGAGCTTGAAAATTATTTTTTATAAACGAGCCGAGCTGGCCGCGAGTAGCTCAATTGAGCTCATTAGTGATAATATATTTATATAATATATATAATTTTTTATATCAAAATTTACATTTATTATTAAAATAAAAATATTTTATTATAAAAAATTATGAATAAAATTAAATATACTTAATTTATATATTAAAAAATTATATAGAATATGTATAAAATTCAAATCGAATTCGAGCTTTACGAGCCGAGCTCGAGCTGAAATTTGAGTCTAACGAGCTGAGCTCGAGCCACTATTTTGATTCGAATTCTCAATGAGCCGAGCCGAGTCTACACCGTTAACAAATTCAAGTCGAGCTCGAACAACAGATACTCGAGCTCGCTCGGCTCGTTTAACGGCTCTACTTCTGAGCAACCGTTCTCTAATTTTTGTGATGATTTTCAAATTGCAAAAAATTCTCATTTTTTTATCCCTGAAATTCATGTCACAAGAAATTAGTCACTTGCTGTTCATATTCCTGCTTTCTTATGTGATTATCAACCAATCCTGATTTTTTTTTTTTTTTTCTTGAATGGTTACAAGTGAATAAAAAATATGAAGGAAATTGAGGGTGAACTTTAATTTCGAATGTGTCTGAGTATTTGATTTTTTATAGAACAGCTGTTAAATGGGGAGCTAAGATATTGTATTTTGTACCTCATCACATATAGATTCTGTTACTTATGACATAGAATCTAATTAATGTCTGAATCAACAGAGTTTGCTTTATGGCAAGGAGGGGGCTTTTTATTTACTATTTCATTGTTGCGAAGGCTGAGACAATTATTATTTCATTATTTGCGACAAGTTGCGACAATGAATATTTATATTTTTGTAAAATCTGCGACGTTTAATAATTACAATTTGTTGCAAAAAGACGCGATAATGAATATTTATATCGTTGCAATTTCCCGGAACAATTTGTTGTCTTTCTGCGACAATCATAATTAGCACGAAAAATATGGTATGAAACTACTTCCACGAAACGCAAAAATTTCAACTGTGATAAAATGACATTTTTCTAGTAGTCTGGTAATCTTAATCTACTATTGTCTTTGATTTCTTTTTTAGTAATACCAAAATTTGGATTGCGTTCAACGAAATTACTTAACGAATATAAGATAAGTTCCTGATTATTGCACAAAGTTCACTTATGCTCGGCCTTGTTGGGACAATGGATGTACTTCTATTCTGACTTTCAGGCAGAAGAATCTGATTGTGTTCGAGATTCTTGGACATACTTTAGGACTGCACCCGAACTACAATTTTTCAGAAACGAATTAGATTTGTTTATGATAAATCCTACTTTTGTTCTTTTTGTCCATTCAATCCGCTCACAAGATTATTATTGTTGTTACTACACATAGACTTAATCAAAAGGTTCAAAGCGCCGGTTACGGTTTCTCAAAATATCAAACCGAAATCGAACCTTCTGAATAACGGTTTTAATTACGGTTTGACGGTTTCAATTACGATTTATAAACCAATGGTTACGATTTGAACAACCGGTTTATATACATTCATTTTATATATATATATATTTTATAGTTTCTATTTTTTTATATTTAAATTTTATTTGAAATAATTAAATTTGATGTTAATATTATTTATATATATTTATTATGTAAAAATTATATATATAGATAATTAATTAGATTATTACAATATAATAAATTTAGTTAATAATTAAATTAAATTTTAAATCAAAAATAATTTATAAAAATATTGACCTAAGGAATAATAAAATACAGTAATTTAAATTAAATATAATTATATAATAAAAAAACTAATATTATAATATTATCATTTTTTAATATATTAATAATCATTTATATTATTAATATTAATTTTATTTTTATAAAAATTTACTAATTATTAAAAGAATTAATTATAAATATATCATTATTATTATTATTATTATTATTATTATTATACAATACAAATAATTTTAAATTTTAACCTAATCAACATTTACACATCGCTGCGCAAGAGAGATTTAAAAATAAATAAACAGCCGGTTCAAACCGTAAACCGACGGTTCAGCGGTTTGAAAAAATCACAAACTGAAACCGAAACCGTCATGTGGCTGCGGTTTCGGTTTGAACCGTAACCGTCGGTTCGAAACCGAATGGGCAAGTCTAATTACACAGGCTGAGGCTGAAAGATTGTTATTACAATCTGTCCCGGAACACTTGAAAGCTTTCAAAATCTTTAGGCAGTCTGAAGAAGTAGAAAGTTCATTGACAATAAGTGCATGTGTTTCTATGAGATTTCAAGAGTACTGTTAGTTAATGTGACAGATTTTGGGCTTAGTGTTTAGTTGTCAATAATTTCCAACCATTGGCATATAGTATTTTCTTGTTGAAATAATTAAGAAAATAAAACTAATAAATCTAACATAATTTATTAGCTTAGTAGAATTCGGATCTATGAATTAATTGAGGGTATTGTGTTCTTTGAGCCTAAGATGAATCTCTTCCGAGAAAACCCGAGATTTCTGCTACTTCCACAATGATAGAGATATTAAAAGTTAATGAATGTTATATCAATACAATTTTAAAAAATTTCAACATACAATTATTGAAATGTAAAAAATTAATTTTTAATATAATATAAAAAAAAATTATTGTGTAATTAGATGTTTGTAAGAGAAATTTTTTTAGTACACAGTAGAATTTTAGACCAAAAAAAAAAAATCTAACAAAAGAACGTTATATTAGATTACTATTGATTTCTTTTTTCTATTTTAATTATATCAACTATTATAAATTCAATTTTTTTAAAAAAATATATAGTTAAAAAAATGAAATTATAGACAAAAATAGAAACGTAGACGGGCGTGTAGAATTAATATATTGTATGACAACGTGACCATGTATAATTGTATACTTAATTATACACACCCGTGGCCAGGTTGTTTCCAAGTCAGTTGTCGAGACCAATTTTCGAATGATAAAATTAAAATTGATTGAAATTGTTTATAATGAAAATAAAATTGATAGAATTTTATATTGGGACAACCAAAATTGCTTTTTCCTCATTAAAAACGATCAAGTCATTATGTAAAAAAAAATGTCAACGCTCTAAATTGTATTGGATATGTCTCTGTCCTTTTCGGGTTTCCGTTTTGTTGGATTAATCCAATGTACAGTTTCTTTGCAGGTTCTTGGAAGTAATCCAGAAAGATCATTGTTGGCTTCGTACATATCAGATAAGACCGTCAGAAAAATCTTCACTTTGTCCTAATGCCATTTTGTTAATTTATTTTTTTGACTTTTAACCTACAGAAGAAGATAAGAGGCAAAAATGGTGAAGGAAGACAAACAAATAGTTGGAGCTTTATACGGCAGCAAACACATTAGAACAGCTTTCCAACTGAAAAAGTTGCGTCGATTTCGACACCAAACGGAGATTTGATGTCAGAAATGTTTGACCACAAGCGATCGATTGCACCAACTCCACCGTCCAAGAAAAGACGACCCACTCTATAAATAAGTATGGAAAGAATTTTCACCATCAAATTGTAGCTTTTCAGAATCAATTTTGGCCTTTTTCTGGTAAGTTAATGTTGTTGATGATAGAGCATTTGATTCGATGCCTATTTGGGAATTATTAATTCTTACAGAAAGTGGATGTTTGGATATGTTCTAATTTGTTGCTTTTTTTTTTTTTTTCGAAGGAACAGATGGAAGAATCCAGGATGTTTAAAGGGGCAAAGATCCTTCAAAAAATTGTAATATTAATATGTTTCGAATGTGTATGTTGTGTTCGATGAAATTCTTGAGAGAGAGTGTATATGTAATATAATGACAATCAAAGATAAGAGTATGAACTTCTTGCAGGTAGACGAGGAAATGAACTCGGCGAAGGAGAGGATTCGGACAACAATCAAGGCGTTGGAAGGCTTCGATTCTTCGAATTTTAATGATCTAATAAACTTCTCCTTGAAGGTCGACGAGGAATTCAATACGGTCAAAAAGAGAATTCAGACAAGGATTGCAGAGTTAAGAGTATTCTGAGTCTATAATTGTAAGTATCCGTAGTTTTGTCTTGATGAATATTCATTGTCTGTAGGATCGGAAAAGACATGAATCGGGACTCGCTCGTTGAAAATCTGAAGCTGCAATTTTCTAACAACATTTCTCCGACAATCTTGACGGGCGAGGAAATCAAAGGAGAAGGAGGCGTGCCTATGGAAGTTGAGCTAATCGATCTTAACACAGGAAAAGTTGTGGATGCCGAACCGGAAGCTTCTTTAAGTGTCGAAATATTTCTATTACAAGGAGAGTCGTCTAATGTGTCCGAAGAATTCGAGGAGGTCATTGGGGACAAGGAAGGAAATAAATCCCTTCTTGTAGGAGATTTGGGCATAAAATTACTAAGGGGAGTCGGTGTGATGAAGACCGTGAAGCTCAAACATCGAGCTAAGAAAGTGAATCCGCCGGTGTTTTGTCTAGGGGCGAGAGCGGTTGTCGATATGATCGACAAGGTTGGGATAAAGGCAGCCGTTACGAAGCCCTTTACGGCCAAGAATTATCGGAGAAAGTGTAAGTACAATTTCGTCGCAGTCTTAATTAAGTTTTGATTACTCGTGTTTTGATTTTGTTTCGGTATTTTGAGTTTCGCCATTTTTTTAGTTATACTCTAGCCTCCATCCCACACAATTTGTCCACTCTTTCTATTTCGGTTCGTCCCACATAATTTATTCTTTCTTTTTTTAAAAATATACTTATACGTTACATGATACCTAAAACGCTCTAGCTAAAGTGAACAAATTAGTTGGAACGGATGGAGTAATAACTATTCAATGTAACATTTCTAAGAAAATTTTGTAGATTGAATTAGGCGAAAAATGAGTTTGAAAATATGAGTTAATCTTGGTATTTTCTAAATAAAATAGTTATTTAATGTAATATATATGCTGATTCGGCCAAGTCAGTTATAATATCACATATGTTGTATTATAAATATGCTGACATGTATAAATATTTGTTGGTCACCCTTATAACATATATTGATCCGGTTCCACGCCACATACATATTTATAAAATTTGGTAAATCGGATAAATAAAAAATGATAAAATTGATCATATAGATAGAGGATTAAATGTTCAATTTTCCGCAAATACACTCGAGGAAACATATGTTTTTCCTATGCTAAATGCAAATTCTTTCCTTTTTATTTAGATTACGAAAAGCATGACATCCCATCTTTGAGCGACGAAATCTACCGACTAACAAATATTCGAAAAGGCGGACCCATTTCCCGGCGTCTCCAGGCGAATGAAATCGAGACGGTAGAGGATTTCCTGATTTGTTTCTTGAAAGATCCTGAGGGGCTCAGAAGTGTAACTTATTTACTCTTCACTAGAATATATGCATTTTCAGTTTCCAAATTAGTAGATATTCAAACATCGAGTTAGCGTCTTCCTAGATATGTTGTTTTCTTAATCCTAGATTGTCGCCATGGGGGGAAACAAATGGAAAGACACACTCGCCAATGCCCGGGCGTGCCAAGACCAAAGGATGTACTGTTACGCCGACATTCAGCAAAAGACTGCGAATGTATTCAAAATTATCGGAGAAGATCAGGAACTGCATTTGGACGGCCAATATCTGTCAACGAACAGCGAGGTTTAGTCGTTTTATATTCATTTATGTCTATTAGTCCTTCGTAGATAAATTGAAATAATTATTTCATACGATATAAATAGGTTTTGTCACAATTTGATATATATATATATCATCTGATATTTTGAAAAGGAAAAAAATACTAGGCTCCGTTTGCATACATACTTTGAGAAGTTTTTTTACATTATTTTTTAATGGTAATTTTGTCATAAAAGTCACTTTAAATACTTTTTTACATTCACAACACATCACATCAAATACACAAATTTTTACTATTTCTAAAATTTTTTCTAATTTCAAAAACTTCCAAAACTCTTGTCTAAATGAAGCTAAGTTATTTTATATATACAGTGAAAACAAATGATTAAAAATACAATTCTTAAAAGAAGAAGAAAAAAAATGTACAAATTTGGTTATGTTAGCGACCCTTCTATCATTTTAGTCTTTTAAGTACTATATTTGAAATTAGTTGTCTTATTTCTCATCATTTTAATTGTCCTAATTTAACAGAATACTCGTATTTTCACAAAGGATAACACGTAAAGGATTCATAATATAAGATCATTAAAATTACTAGCTACTAAAATATATGATTATTTTCAAACATGGTCCAAAAAAACCTAAAGTGATTAAAATTGTAACTTAAAAAATAAAATTTATGTTTGTCTATACTTTTCTCCGAACATTTGTCTCTTTTAATTTTTGATAGGCCGAGAAGGCTCGGGAATCCCTATTAGCATCTTCTTATAAGCATTGGAAGAAGGAAATAAAACGCTTCGACAATGAGGATTCTCTTAAGGAACACTTGGCTCATATCCAGAAATCATGGGACCCTCCGGATTCACAAATACCGGATAATTACTTTTCGTCATATTTTGATCCGGGCGGAGAAATTTATGCACACAACTATAATCTTACACTCCACGAAAATTTCATTACGGGGACTCCTCAATATTCCTCTTTTAGTCCAGAAGTCGAGCTTTGGTGTTCTGACCAATGCTTTATTAATTCAGACAGGCAACCTAATAGCGGAGAACACACCAATGCTCGATTTGTGGAATTCCAAGATGTCCGGGATAGACAACCGATGAATGGATGGAAACTATTTTCTTCTGTCTGGAAATGGTCATCTGTCATTAAGAAAAAAAGATCGGCAAGATGCCAAGGAGCATACAAAACAAACGTTCACCATAAGCTCGACTAATTAAGGCCGCGTACTTTTAATTAATATTTGAATTATGATTATGCAGATGTATTCATTTTAAAAGAGAATAGTAGATAAAGATTAATTAGTCTTTTAAAGTAAACATATTTTTATGTGTCGTGTTTACTTTGTACTTTTATTATCGTTTTAGCAAAATGTAATTTGAAGTGTGATTATTTATTGTGCTAGTGTATATATTTCATTTTTTTTTTTATTAAAAACATAAGTAGAGTGTGTGTTTTAGTGTTTTTAATGTATAAGATTCTGAAAAAATATTACACAAACAATACAATATATGCACATAATAATAAAAGTCGATAAATATACAAAAGCCAACAAAAATATACAAAATATCATTTCATATAATATATTCACAATCTTCCATATCTTCCAACAAAAACAAATAAATTTTACATGTACAAAAACTTTATTTTGTGTGTATAGTTTTAGATGTTTCTATTGTTTAGGGTGTATAATTTTAGTTGTTTTTATTGTACGATACAAGAGATTTGTGAATCTATTATATGGAATTATATTTTATATATTTTGGTTGACTTTTGTGTTTTATTGATTTTTATTATTATATGTATGTATGGTATATTTTGGATAATATTTTTGGAATAGTGTATTCCTATAACACACTAATATTTTGTTCTTTTAATACTATTTTTTAATTACGATTCTTCAAAAATAATAATAAATAATACAATTTTTTTTTAAAAAAAAAGCCAAAAAATTATATATTCAATTAAAAATAATATATTTTATACTTTTAATATAACTCCTCATACCACATTAAAAATCAATTCATCTAATAATATTGCGTAGACACAACCTAAGTGAACACTTACTTAAGAAATAAATTAAAAATTGGGACCAAAAAATAAAATAAAAAATAAAAAAATGGACAAATCAAAGTTTAGATAATAGGAGCCAAAAGAACAGAAATAACTGATTTTTTGCAAACACGTAGAATATATTTTGTGAGAGAGATAAATACACAACAAAAGTGATAATGGGTATACGTTAGGAAATATTTTTGGCAATTTTTTCATAGGATATTTTTTAAGAAAATGACTGTGGATGTCAAAACCTTCAAAAGTGTTTATGTAAAACCGATATTATTTTCGGAAAAAAACCCGGCTAACAAGTACACATTAGTACACCATAACACAACCGAACAACATATTCCATAAGTAATATAGTATAAGATTGTGTTAGATTCGACGCGGGGCGACGGCATTTCGCCTTTTGTTCCAACGATTTTGTAAAATTGTGTTAAGGCCCACACGCATCAAGAAAAGATATATATATATATATATATATATATAAGGAGACGACTTGACTTCACTTAGGCTTTATAAAAAGTCTTCTTTTAATGTACATTTTATTTATAATCACTCACCTATTCCTCTGTGGGTTTTTAATTCTGAACATTTGTTGCAAATAATAATTATGGAGCTGTCTGAATCATCTCAACCTCAATCTCAATTGTTTATGGTAAGTAGTTATCCTTTTTCCACTTCATCATTGTTCATTAATGTTCTTTTGAAGAAAAAGAAAAAAGTGTTAGGGGATCTGTAGATCTGATTCCTTATCAGAAATTATTCCAGAAGAAAAAGAAAAAAATAATGGATCTTGTCTGATTCTTGCAGAATTATGAAAAAATGGAATCTTGTCTTGTTCTTTCTGCCTTTGTTTTTTTTTAATTCTTTTTTTTCTGTGGTAATTATGCTGTAGAATTGATAAATTTGGTGCAAATTTAGCCTCCTAGTTATGGTGGGAAGTGTTTGTTTGTGTTTTTTGTTGATAGCTTTCAATGTAAAGATTTTAAGGGTTAGGGTTTGCTTGGTTGGTTTTGGTGTTTTGATATTGTAATAATTGTTTGATATCGTATAAATTTGGTGTAATGTTTAATAATAGAAATTTTAAATCTTTATATAATACTCCCTCCCCTCCGTCCCAGATACCGTGTCTACTGACACGGTATTTTAGGAGGGTGTAATCAGTAGATAATTAAGAATATATTAGTGAAAATAATTATTCTATAATATAAATAATTATAAATTAAGATTAAGATAAATAATTAGTTTAATTAAAATTAAAAAAAATAAAATTAAAAAATTTAAAATGAGATTAAAGTGTGTAATTATTTTAAAAAAAAGGAAAGTGACATGACAACGTAGACATAGTATCTGGGACGGGGGAGTATATTAAATAAATTATGATGTTTTGGAAGGAAAAAATTTCGATTTATTATAAATAATTAATGAAAATAGGGAGGGAAAAATACAAACAAACAAGTGTGTTTAGTAGTTTGTGTTTGTGTTATGTATCTGTATTTGATTTTATATTTAATAATATATAAAATAATGTATTTTTATAGGAATAGTGGAAGATATGTTAGTTTATTTTAGTTTGGTGTTTGAAATTAAATTTTGAGTAAATTAAAATTGATCAGATGGAAGAATGGGGGAGCTTTAAAGAGGCAGATATGCTGAACAGAATTGTAAGTAAAATGGCTGTGGAATCTAGTGCATATCATGTGTTCGATGAAATTACTGATGAATAATAATATCTGCTGCTGATGATGATGTAATGAACTTATTAGGTTGAGGACGAATTGAATTTATTGAAAAAGAAGATTCAGACAAGAATCAACGGGCTGAAGAGCTTCGATTCGATGAATTTCTTCTGGCTCGTCGAAGAAGAATTTAATATGACGAAGAAGAAGATTCAAACAAGAAGTTCAGGGTAAGAATAGAGACCTCTAATTTTAATAGAGTTTGACAATGATATGTTATTATTTTGTAGATAGATTCTTTATTAATTTAAAGACATTTTTGTAATTAACTAAACTTATAGTTCGACAACGATGTTTTTGGAGAAAAAAAAAATTAAATGATAAAATTTGTTCACACAACATTTTTAGATCTAATGATTTTTTGTATATAGTATGAAAAAAATTAGGCAAAAAATATAAAATATATTATTTTAGGTTGAATATTTTGTAATATTTTTTTTTTTTTACTTTTATAATGATTATTTGAAGTTTTTTTTTTCTTTTGGACTTTTGTATAATATATTTTGTATTTATTATTATTATTTTTGGAGATCGCAATCGAAAAATAGTATTGTAACAACGTAGCATAAAAATATAACACAAATTTTACAAACATGTTACACCCGGATTTCTTGAAAATATATAGGCTATATGTTTACTTTGAAATTTTATGTTTTTGGATTTATGTTATGTATAAAAAATCGTGTCGATAATATAAAAAATAATATTTTATGTTAAATAGTCGACTTTTTATGAATAAATAGTATGTGTATATATTATATATTTTTATAATATTTATAAAAAATTGTGCCCACCTAAAAAATATTGGGTGAACAAATCCTCTCTTTTTTTTTTTTACTATGCGATTTTAAGATTTTTTATAGAAAGATGCATATTATTTTCACTAGCAAAGCATTTCTTTTAACACAGTTTAAAACAAAATATATATATACATACGAAAGTATAGTCATCGATGCGAGCTATTTTTCTTGCAGGATCGACAACAATGACGATCACGGAAAACCCTTTAAACAACTGAAGCTACAATTCACGAACAAAATATCTCCGGCGATCCTCACCGGTGATGAAATAAAAGGCGTCGAGGACACTTTCTTGGAAATTGCTCTTATTGATGTTTCTACGGGAAACATCATTGAGGCTTCCGAACCGGAAGCCTCTACAAACATTGAAATAGTTCTTCTAAAAAAATGCGAATGCAATAATCTCACGATCGATGAATTTGATGAGAACATTCTTCACAACCCCGAAGGAAAAGAGTCCCTTCTTGTAGGGAACACGCACGTAAAATTGGAAAATGGGATCGGTGTGTTAAAGCAAATTAAGCTCAAACATCGCACGAAGAAAATAAATCCGCCGGAGTTTTGTTTAGGAGCGAGAGTCGTTGATCCGGTTTATAGGGACCGGATAATGCCAGCCACGACGGAGTCGTTTATGGTACAAAATTATCGCAAAAAATGTGAGTAGTAATTTTAATGCATTTGAAAATTTTACATTGAAATTTTCGTGCTTATGTCGAATAATTTCCTTTTTCCTTTTTTTTTCGCGTTGTTATGATGATTTTATTTTTTTGCCGTCTTTAGATTACAAAAAGCATGAGATCCCTGCTCTAACCGATGAAGTCTACCGATTGGTCAATATTCACAAAGACGGAAAGATCGCCGAGCGTCTTCGAGACGAAAAGATCAAGACAGTCGAAGATTTCTTGATCCGACACCTCTTCGATCCTCAAGGGCTCAAAAATGTAACATCATTAGCTTTTATATATATATATATATATATATATTCGATTCAATAGCTTTGCGCCATATTTATTTTGATGAAGTAAATAAAATTACGGTAAATTATATATATACTACTTTTATTTTCAAAATATGAAATATTACGCCGTAAATTTTATTGCTAACTTATCTTCGTGTTAGCGAAAACTACGCACAAAATGCACAAAATTCTTATTTTGTTCACAACTATATGGATTTTGAACATTGTTTTAACTAATACGAGATTGATATAACATTATATTGTGTGTTTGGTTGGCGTTTTGGATTTGAATTTTGAATTCTAACTATGATACGATATAAATAGGTGTTGAATGTAAAATTAATTTTTAATATAATATAAAAATAGATATTTGATCTGATACAATTGTTTTAGGACATTTTGATGAAGGGTAGAAATCTTAAAAAATCCTCTAACCAAACACAGATCCGGGTCTATCGATGCGGGTAAATAGATTTGTAATTTTCTTTCAATTTTCATTATTCCTAGGTTGTCAGCACGGCGCCAAAAAAATGGAAGGACATTGTCGCAAATGCACGGGCGTGTAGAGACAAACGGATATATTGCTACGCCGACTTTCAGCAGAAGACCGCTGTCGTTTTTAACGTTCTTGGACAAGTTCTCTGGCAGCATTCGAACAACCAATTTGCGCTGACGGATGAGGTTTAATTTCCTACATTTACTGTCTTTGTTCGATCAATCCTTCTTACAAAAATTGCTATTACAACAGGATGAAGCTCGAGAATTTTCACTACAGTCGGCTTATGAACACTGGAACGATGTCAAGCACTTTGACGACGAGAGTTCTCTTGAGGAATACTTGAACAGTTTGCGCGAATCTTGGGGGCCTCCCAATGCGCGAATGATGGAAGAAACTTGTGTCGATGACTATGACATTATTACCAATGATGCCGATATATATTTTGTTGTCCGGAAAAGACATTGGAGGGTGTTTCGGGGCATTTGGAGATGGACTTCGGTTATCAAGAAAAAGATCGGTAAAAAATGTTGTCGCCTAAAGAAGTTGAAAGTTCGTCGACAAGAAAAGTGCAGATTCGAGCGAAGTTTTTCTTAGGAAATTTGTTCTTTCGATTTATACCGTCGTTTTTTTGTTGTTGGAAGATTATATATATGTAAATTAAAGATGTATTTTGCTTAAATAGTAATTTAATTTGATATTTTATAAAAAAAAATAATAATAAAAAATAATACTCTAGCTGTCATTAAAATATTGTCATTTTCTATTTTTGTTGTCCCAAAATAAGATTTTTATTTATAGATAATTGTATTGCCTGTTTAATACTATATTATAAATATTTTTACAATGTAAACACCTAACATCATATCCATATTTAGGGTGCATTTGGCAATTAGTTGATAGCTTTTAGTTGTTAGCTGTTAGCGGATTCAATTAGCTTGACTATCTTCAATTAGCGGTTTGTATTAAAGTGTTTGGTAAAACAACTGTTTGACATTAGCTGTTTATAAATAAAATGAATATTAAGGACATTGATATGTTATTTTTTTTAAATGTTTAATTTTGTTCATTTTAGTTTGAAATTTATAGGAATTTTTGTTATTAATTATTGAAAATTATAAAATTATTATAAAATATTTATTTTTATTTTTATTATTTAGATCTGAGAAAATTATTTTTACTAAAAAATAATATTTTTTTATTAAAATTATGTAAAATATAAAATAATAAATCTTTCTTATATATTTTTTATTATGTTAATTATTGTTTTAATATATATAGATAAATTAATAACTTTTTTTTATTTGATTTAGTTTTAAAATTTTATATATTTTACAAATAAAATAGTTTATATGTAATAATTACTAATAATTATTATTTTAAATTTACAAAAATAAAAATATAATTTATTAAATTAAATATATTAAAAATAATTAGTAAATATATAAAAATATATTTATATGTATAAAATAAATAATTAAATTTTAAAGGTAAATAAAGAATAACTAAAATTAAAATGAAAAAGCTCTTTTAAATTAGTTTTTTTTTTTACCAAAAAAATTCTAAAAAATTAATTTATCAAACACCTAAATTAGCTTTTGACTGATCAAACAGCTAAAAGTTGTCAACAAGTTAAAAGCTCTTAAAAAAATTCTTTCTTAAACACCCTCTTAAACATTTGCCTGCAAAAAACAAATAATCATCTTATTACTACGAGACAAAGAAAATATTTTTTTATTGAAAAATTATATTACCGGAATAGTATTGAAATACATTTAAAAGCACAATCAAACGCGATCAAAATATTACATTTAAATGATAAAAAATAAAATAATAAAATAATAATAATAATAATATCTATAACAATAACAACAACATTCCCAAAATATTTTTAATATAAAAGAAATAAATAAAGTATGAGTTGATTATATCAACGCGCTGCAAAAAAATGATAAAAATAAAATTATATAATAAGTAATTTGGGTTAATTTTTTTAATGGCCAAAATTGTGTGGGTGAGTAACTCACATACCCAATGTTGACTCCCCTTTCTTTTAAGTCTTTCTTAAATCAATTTATCAAATAATAATTTAATATTCTTAAATATTGTTGAAAATGTCAAGAATAATATTGATATGTTTCTTTAATATTTGAATTTAGTATCTTATTATTTTTTTTAAAAAAAAAAATTACTTCAAAATTATTGAATTGAGTATCTAATCTTTATTTAATATATTCTCAAACAAATTAAATTTTAATTTAAAACATAAAATCAAATATTCCCTTGACCCATATCAATATATTTAAAATTTTAATTTAAACGTCTTAAATCAATGTATTAAAAAATATAAATAAAAATAAAATAAAAGCTCTAATTTGTAATTTATAATATAATACAAAAATATTGTGGTTACATTCATTTAACTATATTACAGTATAAATAGGCTAATATTATCTTTTCCTTTCTTGTATTATAGACCCATATAATATTAATATTAAAAAATATATATAAAAAAAATTAAAAAAAATTAAGTTGATATGAGATAAATGAATATTTTTTATATCACATCAAATATTATTTAAATTTAATTTGTTATTATTTTAAATTTTAAATATAAATCCAAATTATGTGTGTATATTTCTTTATTTTCTATTTAAAATTTTATTAAAAAACATTTTTTTTACATAATACTGTATGCAAATTCTAAACCTTCAAATCACATTCACACTGTACTCCGTGAGGGCAAAGGCAGCCCCCTGGCCCCACCCCTAAGTATTTTATTAGTATTTATTTGTTTTTTAAGATATATATATAAATAATTAAATTTATTTTATTTTGGTTTTAAATTAAAATTAATATAATTCAATTTTTACAGTTTATAATAAAAATAGTATTACTATTTTTCTTCTAAAATATCATTATATATAATATTACCTCTGTCGACTGATTTTATTTACTTTTCGTGTATTGATTATTTAATATTATTTATTATATCAAAACATAATATAAATTAAAAAAAAATACAAAAATATTTTTATTAGTGTCTTATAATACTAATAAAATATATTTATACAAAAAATTATATAAATATAAAAATATTTTTAATATCAATTATAATGACGCAAAAATAAATATGACTAACGGTCGGAAGGAATACAATTTAAAAAAAAAAAAAAACTCAAACCTAAACAAAAACTAAATAAATATTTATTTGTGAGAGTTAGAAGATCCTAATTTTTTTAAAAGTAAAATTTTATTTTAAAGGGAAACAATACTATTTGCGATTTTAAAAAATAATAAAAAAATAAATTTGTGATATATAATTGTTTTTGCTATAATTTGTATTTATCAATATTTTTAAAGATGAGATGTTAGGATGTTAAATAATATTACGTGTTGTACTTCAATTATGTTATCATTACAATACGTTGAATTAGAATTAGAGCTATTAACGATTCAAATCGAGTCAAATTTTAAGTGTTCGTTAACGTTCGCGAACAAAGCTCGTGTTCGTTCGTTAAGCTTTCGAGCTCGTTCATAGTATTCGAGCTCAGCTCGTTAAGAATATTTGTTGTTTGAGCTCGTGTTCGTGTTCGGCTCGTTTAGGCTCGATTAAGCTCATTCGAGTTTGTTTGTCTTAATTTTTAAAATTTATATATAAATTATAAAGAAAATTTAAAATTATTTTATTTATATATTTTAAATTAATATTTTATTTATTTATAAATTATAATTTTATATGTACATATAATATTTATAATAAATATATTATTTAAACGAACGTTCGCGAACAAAGTTCGGGCTCGTTCGTTAATCAAACGAGCCTATTTATGTTGTTCGACTCGGCTCGTTAACGTTCACGATCGAGCTTTAATCGAACCGAACCGAGCCGAGTTCACGAACAGCCGGTTCGTTTAACTGTTCTATGTTTAATAAACATCATACCCAGTTTGGTTTTTAAAATATAGCAATTTGAAAAATATAATTCTCTGAAAATAAATCCATTATGTATTGTTATATATATATATATATATATATTGTGTTATTTAATTAGCCTCTCTTTGATCGGATTTTGATTTCGTCACTAAAATGATTAACATAAATTAAAATAAAATTGCTCTTTCAGCTATATATAATTTTCATCTTTTATGATGCAATAATGCAAATTCTACAAAAGCAAACCAATTTTCTATGCAAAATATTGTGTGTATGTTCCATAAAGTTTTGAATTTGGTTCAGTATTGTTCAATCATTTTTTTTCAAACTATCAAATAAAATACTAATATATTTTTAAAAATATCCATGTTTATTCAAAATATTTATTTATACTAAATTGAGAAGGGTAAAATGCCAACATATATCTCTTATTTAATATCAAATTTAAATTATTTTTAAAAAAAAAAAAAAATTACTAATTTTTATTTTTTTATTTTTATTTTTATTTTTTTTTATTTTTTATTTTTATTTTTTATAACATAATGGTAATATTGTTCGTATAAAATATTCGTCATTAATAAATAACGAATTCTCGTTGGAGACGTAAGTGAAGTAAAGCGCAGACGTTGATGCTATTGCTATTTGCTAATGTGCGCCTCCCACATCCGTACTGTGGCATGGCGTACCTGACTTCAGCCTTCCGACACCGCGTTTTTTTCTTGCTCGATATCTCTCTATCACTATAAATATGTCCATGAAACTCAATCCTTTCATAGAAATGCAAAAACGAATAGAATCTACAATAGATTCGTCGCCTTCCTCCATTTGGTCGAAAAATGCAGCTGAATTTGCAGACGGAGGGTGCGGATGGGGCTGGGTCGGACGAAATCAGCACTCCCGAGTATGGGCAGCTTTTTGCGGCCTTGAGGAAGTGAGTGATGATTTGTTAACTGAAGTATATTCGCTTTTTGCATTTTTTTTTTTTTTTTTTGAATTTTGGATTTAGGGTTTGTGAAATTTGAAGTCATCGGAGCTTTAATTGTGGGTTAATTGCTTCGTGATCTTGAAATACCTTATTTATTGTTGAGAATTGGATTCTGTGCTGTCTTGTAGCTCGAGGGTTTGATCATTTATGGTATCTATTGGATTCTGTTTCAATTTTGGTAGGTACTCAAATTGGTAATCATTAAAGTGGTTATTTATTCAATTCATTGAGCTCTGTCCTTATCTTTGTTGTTTAATTGGAATTTTACTTTTCAATGGCCTTTTTTGGCCTTTCGGTTGTTTTTTTATTCTAATAGTGGCTCACTTTTTGGATTCTTGTGTTTAATTTTGTTTTGGTTTTGGCCTCTCTGTTGTGAAGTATGTTGAAGAAGGAAGTTGAGGCGGTGATGATCCAGAATTTCAATGGTGTGATAAGGCCACTTATGGAGGAGTTAGTTCGGAACATTGTGAGTAACCGAAAAGGAACTTTTTTTTCAAAGTTCAATATCTTCAGTTTGCTTGTTTTAAACCGTTATGTGTTTTTGGTGTTATTGTGAATCGGGTTTATGGTTTTTATGGGAAATAGGTATATGTTCTTTGGTAGAGGTTGTGTTTTCAATTCTTCATTGTCACTACACGCATCTACGCTGACTTTTGTTTTGTCCGAAAACATAACTGTCAGGTACCTATTTATATCACGCTAAACCAAGTTGAAACTTTCACTATTCCTACAGCATCAAAACACCAAAAACACGACCAAACAAAAGTCTCCACCTAAAAAGTGGAAAGGGTGTTAAGAGGTTGGTATTGTTACTTGAGGCTTGGTATAATTGATTTTTGGAACAATAACTTAGTGGCTGAGAAGTGATATTTTGGGTTTAAGCTGGTACTTGAGCTCATGAAGATAAACTTTGGTCCGCAGAACTTTATAGGACATGAATGTCTGATTCACCAAGATGTGAAAAGAAAGCATGATTCATATACATGCTTCAAGTGAAACTCAATGAGAGTATATATGCGGAATTGATGAATTAATCTGTAAATTTACAATGATGCTTTCTCTTATGCTTCGGTTTCACAAAACCGGAAACTAATTTTTTTAGCTCAAGTTTGGTTTAGCCAACTGACCTCGCTTGGTAATGGATCATATTCATCGACCAATTTATCATGTAGCCTAACTACATCCTTGTAAATTTGTATAATATAGAGGAATTGAGACCCATATCGTTATTAGAGCCAATCTTGTATTTGATATCCGTACGGAGACTTGTGTCACTTCTGGAAAGAGCCGACCTGGAGAAGCAGATACAACTATATATGCATATATGAGTGCTACCTTGTAGTTTCGATTTGTCCGGGAATTTGTGGGATTAGGTGAGAGAGAGCACAACTAGTTCCACAACAGCCAGAGAGAAGTTACTGGATTGGCATATTAAGCACACACACACATTAACATCTATAACGGCCGGATTTTATAGGCAGACCAGAACCCATAAGCACATGTTTAGGTAAAGCTCGATGTTGGTAAGTTCTTATACCCTGGTAGCCGTTGAATTTATGCTGTGGCGAACTTTCGTGGTCATTATATATACTTAATTTTTCTGTTTCGCCATATTAAAGGAATTTAGGGATATGATGACCAAGCTGTGGCAGTCCATGTTTAAGAGAATTGTCATGATTGACCTCTGAATCCTGGAAATTTTATGTACTATATAGGTTAAAGAAGAAATTCAAGCCGCTGTCGAAAAACTTCCAGCTGGTTGCAGTGGGTGAGAATTTTAGTATAATCTAATGATTTCTTCTCATTTGAATAAAAAATTTCAATGCACTTACCTATATGCGAACCTCTTTCCATACATATTAATTGGCCTCTGTCAGTACATTTTATTGGTGTCTTATCCAGGACCAACACAAATTCCCCAGACATGTCGGATGAAAGAGGTTTAACTCTTAAGTTCTTAGATGAGGTAGCTGACGAAGTTCTCACAGGTAAGGAAATTAAAGGAAAAGGAGGCAATCCAATGGGGGTTGAGCTTGTTGATGAAGTTACGGGGCAGGTTGTCGAAAGTGGGCCGGGATGTTCTGGAAAGGTGGAACTATTGCTTCTCAAATCAAGTGAAAATGATGATGTGCATAACTGGAGCCACCGGGACTTTAACAGTCAAATAATTAAAGAGAGTGACAAGACAAAGCCTCACTTTGCTAAACATTACTATGTATATCTTGAGAAAGGCACCGGCATAGTAAATAATGCCAAGTTGGCTCACGACGCAAACTGGATGAAGAGCTGCAAATGCCGTCTAGGGGCACGATTGAATTTAACTGGTATCAGAGTGAAGGAAGCATGGACGAAGTCATTTGTGGTCTGCGACAGCCGCAGCAAGTGTACGTTATTTGAACTTAAGTCTATGATCTCTGTTTTTTAGGATTTTGTTTTTATTTCGGCCTCTTTTAGAATCAATTTTCGGACTTTATAGCACAAATAGGCTAATTTAATGTCGATAGATTAACACTTATAATTATTTTTTAAAGGCAAAATTATTTATAACTCATTTGTGGTTTAGAAAGTCATGATTTAGAAACTGTTTGAGACTGTTTCGTATATTAATAAACATTTGATAGAATCCCCTAGAAATTGCGTAAGGTCCCTCGTGTTTTCGAAAATATTGCACAAAATCTCGGAAAAAAAAAGGATTTTGTGCAATGTTTTCTAAAACACTAGTCCAAACCACAGATGAGTTATAAATAATTTTGTCGTACTTTCTTTGTGTTTCCGTAGTAGTCTTCTCCATAAGTTATTGTTTTTCAGGCTTGAAAATAACTCATGAATTGTCGGGTGAGAGCTTTGTTTTCAAATGAATATTATTACATTAAGGTATGACATGTAAAACTCGAGCTCTTTCGCTTGACATCTGCTTATGTTTGCAGTGTATGGGAAGTCCTACCCTCCTTCTCTTTCGGATCATGTTTGGAGATTGGAAAAAATCTCGAAAGACGGCGCTCCATGTAAACGTTTGAAAGAGAAAAGAATCACGACTGTCGAGCATTTTCTGTTTATGCTCTCTGTCGATCCACAGAAGCTTCAGGAAGTAATGACTCTTTCTTTTCCATTCTTATATATATATATATATATATATATGCTCTGGCAAAATCGGCTTTTTTTCTTCTACATTCATAATTACGACTATCTAAGTTCTAAGTTTAGATTATAGCTTATGGTGTCGATCCGTGGAGCCAATAATTTACATTGTTCGATGCTGATTGATATTAAAGTGTTGTAATGTACACAGATAATAGGAGTCCGGTCTACTAATGATTGGAAGGCGATAGTCGAACATGCTCGGACCTGCATTATCGACGACCCAAGGATTTACACGTACTATAATGCTTCCTCCGAACATAACTTCCATGTCGTGTTCGATGTTGTAGGAGGGCTGAAGGGCATAATTTACGACTCGCATTATGTTCCGGCTGATGATCTATCTAAAGATCAAAAGGTTTGTTTGTTGAAAACGTTTACGGCATATTATTTAGGGGTGGGAACCGAACCGAACTGCTTGAAGTTCGGCTCGAATATAAATACATTGTATTTAACATTTGTTCGATTCATCTTTGGTTTTTAATATTTTTTTCGGTTAATCGAACCAAATCGAATATATTCATATTATTATGTTTTAAATTTTATATAATAACTATATTATATTAAATTCAGTTCGGCTTGGAATATTTGTAAATATTTTTAGTTAATTGGTATTTTAGTTATTTTTTAATATATTTGTTTTTAAATTTTATTCGATTCGAATTATTTGAAAATATTGCAAATGCTTTTTGTTTACCGAAATTTTCGATTCAAATACGTTTTATGATTTTGAGTATTCGTTCGGTTCGAACATTAAATATCGATATATATTTGCAAATATCTTAATCATACTCACCTCTGATATTATTAGACTAAATATCCGTATTAACTGACCATGTTCACTTCAATTTTCTTGACAGGATCGAGCTCAGAAATTACTTCTCTCGGCATTCGAAAATCAGAAGGATATAACCTCCTTCGACGACGAAATGACTTTTCTTCACCGATTTCCATATCGAGCAAGTAACGATGCCACGGCCATCTCCACCCCGGGTAACTTTGATCCAACTATTATTGAGAACATTATTCATTGTGATACAACGCTTCCTAGTAGTTCTTCTCAGGCCATTACTCCGTACATTGCGCCACCACATAAGGCTAATAATAGCTTTGATGTCGACCTGAGAAGCTTAGAACGATTTGACAGCTTGAACCATGTTCTCGACAACTTTTGGTGTACTGAAGATACAGAACAAAATGAATATCTAGTGTCGACTTCGAATCATGAGGATAGCAACTTTTCCGAGACTCTCGGGAATGAGTTGCGCCCTTGTCGACAAAGTAATGCCGGTAAGTTACCATCCCTAAGGGATGTCGCGATTGCTTTGATTCTGGTAAATCGGGCGAGGGAGAAATTAATGGCTTTGGGGCTTAGACATATGAATCGCTCGAAAAGGAAGAGGATTTAAAGGTTGCATACGAAATCTTCGATTCGTAGTTTGAATTTGATGTCTTATTTTCATCTTTATGAGAAACTTTGGTTTGGTCTTGAAACCTCTCTTGTTTTTTTTATTACAGGTAGCTCGATTCTTCGACTCTCGGAAATGTTTGTTTCCTTTGAAACTCAATGTCGAACCGCGGTGTTGTTGATGCGTGGAAAAGGTTCCGCGCGAACTTGTGCTTGACCTCGAGGAAAGTTGCGATCCTTAAACCTTAACCCGATCCTTATACTTGTGTTTTCTTTTTGTGCAATACGAGAATTTCTCAGAAAGTCTTCCATTTTAGTATTACTTTTGTCCAAGTACGATTGACTTCGGACTTCTGATAGGTTCCGGTAAATTAGGCTGACATGGGTTGTCAGTTAAAGGGTTTTGTAGGATTCAAGCACGAGAAAAGTTGCGAACCCCCGATCTTTGCATGGCTACGGGAAATATATCGGGGCAAAGTATATAAATAGGTATTTATGTGAAGATATTATATTTATTAGATTTTGTAAATCTAGTGACTCAATATTTTATGTAAAGAGTATAATTATATTACATTCAAATCATTATTTAAGTTAGAATTTAAAATAAAAACTATAGTACAATGAGAATTTTTTTCAATTATTTTAAGTACAATTCTTCCTGTTTGTATTAAAAATATAGTATTATTTTATCTCACAATATATGATTCAATCCACTAATTCAACTAATAATCAAAATGCAATCAAAATATAGTATATATATATTCTTTTTATAAAATATTATGTTAAAAATCATTTAAAATCAAAATTGAAAATTAAAATATAAAATCAAACCTCAAATTAACAAAAAAAAAATCAAAACTATCAAACTGAATATATATTTTTCATTTAATATTATTGGTAATATATATATGAAAAAACCAAAAAAAAAACATATTTTTTCAAAAATTAATATATTATACACTTATTATTTTTATAACCTATATAATTTGTTTAAAAAAGAAAAAAAACGCTTTAAAACTAGTTCCCAAAACAAATGACCAATGTGTTTTATACAAATATTTAGAGCACTAGTAGATAATTGTAACGTTTCAAAGAAGGCCCATTTCTAGTTTCAAATTTTTGAATTTCAGACCTGTCATTAATTGACCAAATATAACAAAATATATGCCTTTATTTACATTGCTTGATTAGATAATAATAATAATAATAATAATAATAATAAAATTCAATTTTATTCAATCTGACATTTATTTATTATTTTATTGATAATTGAGTTAAGGGTGTCTGACCGGAGATATTAAAAAATTTGTTTTTGTTGATTTGAAATTGAATTTTTTTTATTTGAATTTTAGTTTAAAATATTTTGATACGATATTTTGTGAAGAAAATAGTTATTATTTTATTTTCAAGAACATTTATGTTCTATTAAAATATATATATATATATATATAGTTGAAATAGTGTTTAATTTTTTAAACAAAAATTGTATTGATTTCTTTTATAGTTTGAAATCATACAAGAATATTCAAATTAAAGAAGCAATCAATTTGAGAAAAAAAAAAAGAATTAAATGACATTCCCAACAATTCTAACGTTTGAATTTGAATTCCATCATCACTTCATCAAGATTTTCACAATAAATAATATTGCAATTCAAACCATTTCCCCATTTCAGAAATGTCATATATATAAACACATTCAAATCAAGAATCACATCGAATAAAAATTCTTGCATAATTAGGGTTTGATTTTGATCCAAGAAAAAAACAAAAAAATCAAAAACCCTAATCTCATTTTTGTGCAAGAAATTGAAGAACATGGGAATCAATAGTTTGATGGTTCAAGGAACAACTCAAAAATGCAAAGCTTGTGAGAAGACTGTTTATTTGATGGATCAACTCAATGCCGATAATAAAACCTATCATCGCGCTTGTTTTCGATGCCGCCATTGCAATGGAACTCTCAAGGTATCATCATAATTTAATTTTCTATAACTTTTTTTTTTGTTGTTAATTTTTCGCGATTTCATATAATTGTATGTTGGTTTGCGGGCTAAAACTTTAAGATTTGTATATGGAATTCGTAGTTTAATTTATTTTGTTCGATCTTAATTGAGTTGGATATTGTTTAATTAATAAGTACTCCTTTGAACGATCATTTAAAATCTTTGGTGAAAATTTTTATGATTTTATAATAGAATTATCAAGATCTTCGATGTAGTGTTTATTAATTTATATTCACTTTTTTCTCGATTCAAAAATCGTCTTATAAATCCTTTGGATTGATGTCCATGCCATAACTATACATTAATTTGTTGACAAAAGTTGTAAGATCTAAAATGGTGTATATTTCAATATATTATTTTGGAATTTAATTTTATTTTTTGTAAAAATGCACCATCCTTTATAATGTTTTAAAATGTTGTAGAATGTTGAGAGATAAAAAGAATGTGTAATTAGATGAGTAAAGCAATATAAATTTTTAAAAGTTCAAAAGTTTAAAATAAAATTATTTATTTATATGTCCTATTAATTTTTGTATTAATTATATCTATTTTATTAACATGAAATTAATTATTCACTTTGTTTCGATAGCTTGGTAACTATTGTTCGTACGAAGGCGTTCTCTATTGCAAGCCTCATTTTGCTCAACTTTTAAAGAAGACAGGCAGTCTAGATAAGAGCTTCGAAGGTAAATATTTATATTTATAATTATATATATATATATATATATATTATTTAAGTTTAATAAATTTAAAATAAAATAGGTTTTTTTTTTTTTTTCTGTTTAAGTTTTTTTTTCAATATATATTATGTATTTTTTATAATTGAAAATTGTAGTATTGTGTGAACACACCCTTACATACAATTTTTTGTCAATATTTATTCATAATAATTTAGAAAAAAGATCAAATTAAATAATTTTTTCTTTTATAAAATATTATATTAAATATTTGATTTTTTTTTTTATCACAACTTTCAAAACTTTTACATAGATTGATATTTTAGCCGTCTAAAATTCTTTCATAGTTCAAATTTATATTCAAGTTTTTTAAGTAGTTGTTAAAAAATATTTTGGTTTTTTCTAGTAAAAAAATTATATCATTTTTATTTTTACTATAAAATGTCAATTTTATTATTTCTACTCAATTTTATTAAATTTCGATGCCAAATATTTTAGCACATATTTTGACGAATAAATGAGGGAGTATATCATTACCCGGAATTCAAATTATGTTCATGAGCTCAGTGCCAAAATTTTCAACCAAAAATTCCGCTTTCCGGAGGCCTTTCGCGAAAAAATTCACGTGGTTTATTCTTATGTAAAATAGGTGCATCAAAGATGGTGAAGATGGAGACGAACAACAGCAAAGTTTCGAGCATGTTTGCCGGAACTCAGGACAAATGTGTTGCCTGCAACAACAAGGTTTACCCTTTGGACAAGGTACGACGCTTTAGATTCGTCTATTAGGATTCGAATTCTGTGCTTATCATCTTTTACGTCTAGCAAAAAAAAAAAAAATTAGAATTGCATATTATTAATAATAAAATAGATGTCTATAAATAGGGACGAGACAGAGCTCGATATAGACATAAAAGCATTAATATGATGTAATATATATAGCAAAATAAAAATCTAAACTACCTAAAGATGTCTTTCGTTACCGGTTAAGTTTCAAGTTTCAAATTAGGTTAAAGTAATTTATTTAATTAATATTTAATTTCTAACGTAATATATCTAAATAAACTAAATTCAAAATATCTTTAAATATTTTAAAATTTATATTTCAATAAAATAAATACAATATATATCATTTAACAAATAATAAAATATTATATAATACAAATAAATAAATAAATATATATATTGTTATTTATGATTAACATAAATTAATTTTACAAAAAAAATAAAATATTTTAAATATTTATATTTATTAAAAAAGAGAGATGGAAATAAAAGATTTACTGCGTCTTATATTTATATAAATTTAATTGTATTAGTATTACAAGACACTAATACAAGCGTGATTATCATTTTTGTACTACGTTTTAATATAATAATTAATATTTAAACATCAAGTCGCAAAAAGTAAATGTAGTCATTTATAAAATAAAAATTTAATGTCAATTGTAATTGAAATGGTAACCAAATACGAAGTCAATTTTAATTTAACCAAAAACATTAAACTAAATCTAAATCTAAAATATCTCAACATGATCGATTTTGTACAGTTCTGATAGCAAATTTCCGTACAGGTTGCAGTTGACGGCGCGGCTTACCACAGATCGTGCTTCAAGTGCTGCCATGGCGGCTGCGTTATAAGTCCATCAAACTACGTCGCTCACGAGCATCGCCTCTATTGCAGACATCACCACACGCAGCTGTTCAAGGCGAAGGGAGATTTCAGCCGATTAGGGAAATTCGAACAAGGTGAGACTGCAATCAGAGCTCTCTGAAGAACAGATTTGTCGAATTGGTTATTTTTCGGTATTTTTCCTATTCGGTTCTGAATCCGGTCGAATTTGTGGAGTTTTGTCCATGATATGATCATTTGTTGCTGTTTTCTGCATGATATGTTACATACTTCGGAAATTTCAAATTTGCGTGTTATTTTAACAATAAAATTAAGAGCTTATAAATAGATACGATATATAATAATAGAATATAATCAATATAATCAAATAATATTGACAATGAATCTAAGATAATAGAAATCTAATAAAAATTATAAGCTAGATATATAAAGTCTCGTAGATAAATTAAAGTTTACAATAGAAGAGATGATGTTGACAAAATTGTCAGCTATCCACTTAACATTACAAATATCCTTACAATTTATAATATATTACACAAATATATATTACATTTATATAAAAAAATAAATAGATACATAATTATGAGACGCGATAAGTATTAGAAATATCTGCATCATAAATGAGAATATAATTTAGTCTTTGTAACCCTAATTTTTCCCTCTTTTATGAATTTGAATCAATTTGTGGATTTTTCCCAACCCTAATCAGATGCAACCCCAAATTCAACCTCAAATTCAAATCTCCCGAAGAAAAATCTCTCAAATCTTATCCAAACGCCCTCCCCTTCCCCAAATTAAGCAAATCCACGCCCAAATCATCACCCAATCCCTCGGATCACATTCTCGTTCTTTAATCGATTCACTCATCCATTGCTACCTTCATTCCGAGAATCTGATCTTCGCCAGAGCGTTGTTCGATTCCTATCCATTGAATCCACCAACATTGCTATGGAATCTCATGATTCGTGCTTACTCGAAGCTCCGAGATTCTTCCGATTCCATCTCTCTGTTTTGCAGAATGTTGAGCTCTTCATCCCCACCCGACGATCGAACATTCAATTCTGTGATCACTTCATCAGCTCGCCAGGAATCAGTTCTCTTCGGACTATCTGTTCATTCCATGGCGATCAAAAATGGCTACTGCCTCAATCTATATGTTGCTAATCCTTTGCTTAATATGTATGGTGTTTTTGCAATGGTGGATAATGCAGACAAGGTGTTCGACGAAATGCCTGTGAAAGATGTCTTCTCCTGGACAACTTTACTCGCCGCTCATGCCAAGCACGGTACCGTACAAAAAGCCGAGGAATTGTTCGAACAAATGCCGCAGAGGAACAATGTGTCGTGGGCTGTAATAATCTCTGGTTTTGTTAGCCGGGGCATGTTCTCGGAGGCCATTCGATATTTCGACCGGATGCTGTCCGAAATAAGACCTAATGAAGCTGTTCTTGTGTCGGCTATCTCGGCCTGCGCTCATCTGGGATCGTTGGATCACGGAAATCGGATCCACGGCTATATCAACGCGAATGGTATTCCAGAAACTTCTAACATTCGGACTGCGCTAATCGACATGTACGCAAAATGTGGCACGATAGATCAGGCGTATCAAGTCTTTAACGCAATTGCGACACCAAATATTCAGAATTTTTCGAGTTTGATTTCCGGGTTATCAATCCACGGCCTCGGCGAGGAAGCTGTACGGGTTTTTCGACGAATGTTGATTAAAAGTATGCGCCCGAATGAAATTACGATCTTGGGAGTTCTCAACGGGTGCAGCCACGCCGGGCTTGTCCAATCGGGAACTTCGATTTTCTACAACATGGAAAATCGGTGGGGAATTACACCCGGGATCGAGCACTACGGTTGCTACATCGATTTACTCAGCCGTGCCGGGTATTTGGCGAAGGCATTCAGTATCGTCAAACGAATGCCCATGAGTCCCGACGACGTAGTTTGGCGAGCTTTACTAAGCGCATGTAGAATTCACCGAAACGCGGGTTTCGGCGAGAGAATAATGCGCTACTCGGAATATTCCGGAGGCGACGTGTTGCTCTCAAACACGTTTGCGTCCGTAGGGAAATGGGAAAACGTCGCTCGATTGAGGGACATGATGGAAGACGATAAGCGACGGAGTCGATCAAATATCGGGTGTAGTTGGATCGAGACGAATGGCGTCGTTCATGAGTTTCGCGTCGCGGAAAAGCTCCATCCGCGGATAGAGGAGACTCGGGGAATGTTGTTAGAAATATTGGAAAGGGTTCGACGAGTCGGGTACGCGATCGATGCGACGCGTGTGTCGTTCGATTTGAGCGACGAGGATAGAGAGCACGCGACAGCTTGGCATAGCGAAAAGCTTGCGGTGGCGTTTGGGATTTTGGATACTCGGCCGGGAGATACGATTCGGATAGCGAAAAACTTACGGAGTTGCGAGGATTGCCACGCCGTGTTTAAAGCGATTTCGCAAGTGTACGAGAGGGAGATTGTTGTCCGAGATCGCGCTCGGTTTCATGTTTTTAGAGACGGGAAATGTTTGTGTAACGACTATTGGTGAACAAACAATGCGTCGTAAACATAGCCGGTTTTTTCATGTCGGGTTGATAAGAGGTCGAGGGCCTCGTCGTTAGACTACCCCTCATTCTCAATTTGTTAATATATTTATAAAAAATTTATTTTAAAATATATTTATTTACGAAACACCTGGCTAGCACAATCCGAAAAATTTTCGAATTTGTTTTTAGTTATAATTTTTTTGTGCTGAATTCAGATGGAATCTCTAAAGTAAACGGAAGACTGAGAAGAAGTAATATAAATTTGAGGGACAAAATAAAATAGCATATTTAAAACAATACTTTCATTTAAAATAGCTAGAAGTTTGTTTGCTTGGTTATATGTCTATTTTTATAAAGAATTATCATTGCAACATAGTAAAAGAAAATTGAAATTAAATACCAATAAAAAAAACACACCCAAATTTAAATCAAACGAAAATTGTTATGTAAATATCGAGTAAATTGAATCAATTATATAGTTTTATTAAACAATAAATAAATTTATTTCGATGCATAATGCATGAAGTGTCTTTAATGTTTATAAAAGTTTGAATATATATATATATATGACACAAATAAAAATAAAAATTGCAATAATTTCAAGAGCACCATAAAATTCAATAAATTGTATAACGAAAAGAGTCCATTAATGCATACCAATTCCATAACTTTCCCATTTATTGTGAAAGAAGAAAATGTAACGCAATGTATAAAATTAAATTAATAGCCTATAAATAAACTTGCAAAATTTCATCAAAATATTTAACATTATAGAGAAAAATAGTATTTGTTAAAAATGACAATGTTCAAATTTGTCCCACTTTTTTTCCTCATAATAAATGTCTCTTTTGCATCAGCAGCTTGGAACCCTTTTAAGGTTTGGGGTAATATATAACTCATTTAAGTTCTTTTATTTAATTTATGTTATTTTAATATGCATATTATGTTAAGATCAATCGTAATATATATATATATATATATTTTGTGAATTATTAGTTCATATCATAATATTTGTGTTATTAGCACGTTGAGTTATTACCAACTCAAACTAAGTTTAGCTTTTCATATTTGAGTTCTGCTCGTTTTTATTTGTTAATAGATACAAGTTGAAATTTTTATTTGAGTTTGACTCGATAGATAATTTCTTTTGTTTGTGTTCGAAGATTTTTTATTTAAATTTAAATTCAATTAATAATAATAATTACTATTGTTTATTAATAAAATTGTGTAAAACTTAAAATTAAGTATAACATTATAAAAATATATTTTTATAAAAATAAATAAATATATATTAATTTAATTTAATTTTTTTAACAAATACTGTCGAGTCTAGTGAATAAGTTCAAGTTAATTCCTGAATGTAACAAGCTAAAAATTTGTGACTCAGTACTAAACTGAGTTAAACTCGTACTCATTTGTGACTGTAACGAAGTAAAATTTGTGTTTATGTTTAGATCTATTAGTTTAGTAAACGAGTTTAAATGAACCAAATGGAGTTGAGCTTGCAGATAATTCGTTTGTTTTATAATTTTATTGAAATTTGTTATATGAACTATTATCGTATATTGATTAGCTCTAATTAACACTGTTCCAAGTGTTAAACAGATAAAGAGCCAATAAGCTATGAAGGAAAGTGCTACAGTGGAGTGACAGGAAAACCTTTCAGAGGCCAACAATGGTGTGAGAAAAGATGCCAATTTTATGATGCTGTTGGCCTCTGCAATTGGTTCTTTTTGTGGGGTTTTTTAGAGGGTGACTGTAAATGTTACATTAAGATCAAATAAAATCAAATATATATACACCAAAATCAGTCACTTCCAAACTTGAAAATATCACAATCCTAAATAAAATACTATTATTTAACCTCTGTCAAACATTGTCCAATAATTTAATTACACTGCCATTCCATACATATATATATATATATATATCATATTCTCCACAAAGAGCATCTGTTTTCTTCTCTAACACTCTGAGGAGAATAAACTAATGAGCTTTTTTTTTCTGTGTTTTTCATCTTCTTCAAATTTTCCAGAAATTATCAAAGCCCAAAAAAATCCCAAAAAAAAAAAGAAAGAAAAAAATTATTTAAAGAAGAAATCAGCTTCCAGCCTCAGAAATACTTTTCAATGATGGCTGCCAGGCCCTGGATTTAAATACAGCTGAATTTCCAGGTGTATGGTTCCCTGATCTGTGTTTTTCTTGCTTCACCTGAAATCAAGGAATTTTTATTGAATTATTTACGAAAAAAAAAAAAATAATAAATGAGCTGTATAGAGTAAATATTGCATAAATTAAACACACAAGTGGTGTACTAATTATATACATACATACATACACACAATCTGGTGGGCATTTTCTTGATCCAGAAAAAGAAAAATTAAAATTTCCCAAAAGATATCTAATTAGCCAGTAGAAATAATCATCAATATGACTGCTGAGTGGTGTAATAATTATATATATATATATATACACAATTTGGTGGGCATTTTCTGGATCCAGAAAAAGAATATTTTTTTTCCCAAAAGATATTTAATTAGCTAATAGAAATAATCATTTCTATGACTGCTGACTTGCCTTCTTTAATTTGATGATTATAATTGATGTCAAGAATGATTCCAAGATCCACAAATTCTGAACTCCCAATTTGCAATAATATTCAATAAAAAATAAAATAAAAAATAAAAAAACAAACCTTGGTTTTGTGAGCATCACTTTTCCCCATTGCAGCTTCAAAATCTGAAGTTATATCAGCCATAATTTGGACATGTTTCTCAGCAGAATATATCTGATGTTGCTGCTTCAATTTGGCTTGTTTCTTAGCCCACAATCCCTTCATCACTTCTGTAAACAAAAAAATTAAAACAAAATTCATTCCAACCCGAATCAAATCCACAAAAAAATTCAACAAAAAACAGTGATCATCAAATCAAATCAAATCAAATCAAATCAAATCAAACCTTGATATGTAACAAGTCTGTAAACATGGCCAAGAGCAAGTGTATCAGTAGGCCTAAGAAGTTTAATCCTTGTTATCCTAAGTGGGATATTGCTGCTGCCATTTTTCTTCCCACTTCCGGCGGCTGCCGCCGCCGCTGCCGGAGTGGTTGAATACATAGTGGTGGTAAGCAATAGAGCAACATAATGGCCAGGATTCATCTTCATAACTTCACCAGCAGAAACAGGGCAATAATGGCTATCCACTTTACCATTTGGATGTTGAATCACTAAACTTGCATTATCAATGGCCTGGCAATTGCCCATTTCTTTGATCTTCAAAATTTATTTTGAAATGAAGAATAAGAACAAAAAAAATTTAGAAGAAACAAGAATTATGGATGTATGGAGAAGAGGAAAATTGAGGAAACTATAGGAAGGAGAAGGATGCGAATGTTTTGGCAGAGTCTTTATAGCCACACCCCACCACATGAAGATGACCTGACTGACTCAGACAGACCCCTTCTCTATATGCCAAAACAGCCCTAAGGGTGCGTTTGGTTGGGCGTCTAAGTTTTGGTTCTGAATAGTAAAATTTCTTAATTTGAATAGGTGTTTAATATGATATAAATAGATGTTAATGCGTTATTTTGAATATAAAATTAATTTTTAGTGTAACATACAAAATAATAAATAGTAGGGTGTGTTTGTTTGTGGGTTTGGAATTTTGAATAGTAAAAAATTGAATTTGAATAATTGTTCAATGCGATAGATGTTAATGTGATATTTTGAATGTAAAATAAATTTATAGTATAATATACGAGAAAAAATAATTGTTTAATTTGATATTTTTAAAAAAATAATAATAATAAAAAAAAATTGTGATAAAACCAACAAGAAAACACAACTTAAGAGTATAATTAGATGTTTGAGAGGAGGGGAATAATGAATAGTAAAAATCCCTCTAAAAACCCCAATCAAACACACCCTTGTGTTTGTTGGGGGGGGGGTTTAGGTAACCATTTTCACTATTCAATTTTTTTTATTTTTCTAAAAAAACTCGAATTAAAATTTCTATTATTTATTTGTTATGTTATATTAAAAGTCAATATTAGATTTAAAACATCATATCAATATTTATATAATAAAATAATTATTTAAATTTAAAAATTTTATTATTCGAAACCTAAGTCCACAAACAAGCACACCCTTAAGGGTCCCACAAAGAAAAGAAAAGGAATCATGCTAGAGAAGAAGGGAAATGCAAAAATATTTAAGAAATGATTAATGGTGGCTTTGTTTCAAGTCAATGTAATGCAATGCAGCAGCTTAGGACCACTTTGGGATACTAAATTATGAATCCAATTTGCCCTTTTTCTTTTCACATGTTCAACCTTTTCTTACCATTTTCAAAACACTAGTGTGTTTTGTTTCCGTTCCAATTTTATTTTTGTACTATTCATTGTACCGTAATAGTCTCTTCGTCCGTCAAATTTATTTTCACTTTATTTTTTAGTCCGTCCATTAAATCAACCTCTTTTAGCAAAGTCAACAAATCTAATATTCAACTATTATCCTACATTCAATACTTATTTACAACAAATATCATTACTTTTATTACCTTATCTCTCATCATTTTTTAATTTATAACTAAATTTCCAAAAATATCCCTAACTACTTTTTTACTTTTATAATTTTTTCAATAAAATATTAACTTTTTTTAATTTTCGTGTCGGATTCAAATGTTCTAATATTCTAAATTAACCGGTCAGATGGAGTATAAAATTATTTCCCTAATTAAACATGACAATCCATATCAAATTAAAACTCTATTTTCTACACAAAACAACGACTAATTTCGAATTTTTTTATCCAAAAGAAAGCCAAAAACCCAACCAAACACATCAAACTTATTCTTTCAACCTTATTTCCGTATTCGTTTAATTCATTATACAGTGATATATAATTGTTTTTCGAAGAAAACATGACAACCAACATCACATCAAAATTCTATTTTCTATACAATGCGAATAGCTTATTTATTGGTTTGAACTTTATTTTCATACTATTCATTATTATTATTATAATTATTTCTCTAAAAATACATGACAACCGACATCACATTTAAAATTTATTTTTTATACAAAACATCACGTCAAACTAGTTCCATTACCAAATTTCAAATTCAAAAGAAACTCAAAACACAACAACCAATCACATCCTACTAGTAGTATTTCTAGTGGCCCCTTTTACCTTGTCACAAGAATCTTCAATCTTTTCGATACATAGATGCAAAATTGTTAGGGATTCCTATTCATAGTTAAAATTAAAAGCTATTTACAGGGGAATTTCATCAAGCAGGTGGTGTGCAATTAATTTCATCTCTAGCAACATATATTATCATCCAAACCATGAAATTGTTGAGATCAGAAACCACAATGCCCAAAAATCACAACAAGAACTCATCAATCGAAAAAAATATATATTAAAATATTAAAATAAAAATAAAAAATTAACAAGAACCCTACCTCCCCCAATTATTTCTGTGCCCGAGAATTTTTCACATGGAATTGATGATGAAGACACAAAATCGAGTAGGAGAGAGACACTTTCCCCATTGCCCACCAAACACAGGCGTGAAACCCTATGGAAACACGCCCCAACACTTTGTCTGAAACCCTAATTTCATCAGAATTCAATTTAATCATAAAATACTCACTTCTTTAATCGGTTATTCAGATTCGATTAGAGCGATGCGGAAAAAGAAAATTCGAAATAAAAAACAAGGATAATAAGCATGCAAGAGATCCCACACACAACAGCAATAAGTGGTTGTCGCATGTGAAGGTTTGGGCACTCATTTTACCTTTCTGGCTGGGAGAGCTCTGCACGATCATATGCCCTGCCCCCATTGGATTGGAATATTAATAAAACAGGCGCAGTTCCTGTCCCTGCTTTGATCCAACATTTCCTGCAATTCTGATCAGGTTTTCCATTTTTCCCCCAAATTAACAAACCCTAATTTCTCTTTAGCCCCTTTATGTCTCCTCCTCCTTCCCCACCTTGTCAACATAACACAGTAAAAAACTAACCCTAAATTCTCATTTTAACTATTTGTTCAAATTTATTTAAAATAAAAAGATATTTATCATATTTGGTTTTTATGAAGTACTTCGTCCGTTCTAATACAATATACAATAGTGTTGTTTATAATTTTTGTTTGTTCCAAAATAATAGTCTTATTTTTTAAAATAATCATATCACCGTACAAAAATCTACTTGCAAAAAATAAACGACCTTCTAACGAAATCGGAGGAGTAATTAATATTCAAATATCTAACAAGTCTGTGATACTCTTGTGGAGATAGTATTTTTATATATATAAAATATTATATTCATTTATCCTAAAAAAAAAATTAATACTTCCTCCGTTCCATATAATATGTTCTTATTTTCTATTTTCGTCTGTCCCACGTGTAACTTGTCTTTTCTATTTTTGGAAATATAATTAGTCACTTTAATCACATTTTAAATTTTAAATTTTATAACTTTTTTTAATTTTAATTAAACTATTTAGTTATCTTAATTTTAATCTATAATTATTTTTAGTAAGTAATAATTATTTTTACTAATACACTTCTTAATTACCTACTAATTATATTTTACATAAATTCTCGTATCTACGGTAATAAGTTCAAAATACGTGGGACAAGGGAGTACAATATATATATATATATATATATATACACCTTCTTTGTGGGTTTATTTACTTCCTATTTTCCAATGTTAAATTAGATAAAGTGTATTAAAAATATAAAAAATAATATTTGTATTTACTAGGTAATTTTTTTAACCAAAAAAATTTATATACTTTTTTCAATTAATATTATAAATAATATAAATATATAAACAAAATTTATAATAGTACATATTTTGTTTAAAAAATTAATAATGCAATATAAAATATTAATTTTTATATTATCGACATTTTTTTCATATCTAATAAATAATACCTGGAATTAAATACACAACAAACACATCTAGATACTATTGCTACTAATATATTGAACAATAATTTCCCATATAATATGCTCGATGTAATTTAAAAATATATTAAAATACATTACAAAATGATATTTAAAAATGCAATTTTCTTGCTACTAGATATAGATATTGTTATGTTGTGTTTTTATTTCTTTGGAACTATATAATATATTTAATAAAATATATTTTTCATGAAAATGTCATAATCAAACTAATATTTTTTTTTATTAAAATATTATATTAAATTCTTTCGTATTAAAAAATACAAACAAACAAAATTCAAAACACACCCTACAAGTTCCATCTAATAATAGATTTTTTTTAACAAATAATTTATTAATTTTATTATTTTTACAAGTGGCACTATCTATGAAAAAATTATTTAAATTGGATACTATTGAGAATTGAATGAAATAATTAGCTAGGAGTGTGACATATCAATCAATATTTGTCATACTTAGATACAAAGTTTTTAAATTTCCACATGGCCTTATCTTTCATCACAAATATATTTGATTTTCCCCTTCTCTAAAGGCATCTCATTCTCATAAATTATATTTCATTTAATTATTTAAATCAATAATTATACCCTTACAATCATACCATAAAATTGATTGAATCATTTGCCTTCGAGTAGCTTTCATTGATATAATTTTGTATTAGATACACGAAAATTATAAATTATAAGTAATATTTTCAAAAAATAATAATAATTACAAATTGATGTCAAACTATATACTCCTTCCGTCCCAATATAATAGTCTCGTTTATCATTTTTGTCCGTCCCAAAACAATAGTCTTATTTTCATAAATAACCCTATCACTATAAAACTACCCCTACTTTTTCATTTTTATTACATAATTGCTACTACTTTTTACACTAATATATTCACAAAAACAAAAAAATCTTTTATTCATACTTTTTATCAACTACGTGCCAAATCCAATTAAAACTATATTTATGGGACGGAGAGAGTATTATTAAATACAACAAAATAGTACATATAACTGTACCTGATAAATGTCCGCGCCGAATGAGAAAATTACCGTAACCAGTGAATTTGTAATCACAAGACAAATATTCACGTGTTGACTGAGTCAAATCAATTCAAGATTCATTTTATCAAATCAATGCCCTAAACTACTTTGAATCTATAAATATATGTGTATATATATATATATCATTGTATTGAAATATGATTGTTTTATATTTATATTTTGTTTATTATAAAGCATCACATTAAATATTTAATTTTTTAATCATTTTTAAGTATTTTATATGATACTTTTTATTATTAATGAATAGCACTAACGGTGATGGAGTTATTCCGTCGAGAAGGCTAAATAATTTCGTTGAGATAAATATATATATATTTATTTATTTTGAGTGAAATTAATAGTAATATATATTAATCTATTCAATTAATAGAAAAATATTAACTTAGTAAATATTTAAGAGCTCGAGTCACCCTAAATCCTTATGTAGTTTTGCCACTGATTACTTAAGCTCCTTAAAAGTGTATGTATGTATTTGTGAGTTCGTATTATTTGTTGAAATTTGAATAGTAAAAAAAATTGAATCAGAATAATTGTATGTTGTGATATAAATAAATGTATTTTGAATAAAAACTCATTTTTAGTATAATATAGAAAAAAAAAATAGATATTTGATTTAATATTTTTTTTTAAAAAAAAATTTGAGTTAATAGAAAACGTATGAAAATTTTTTATAAAAGAACACTTCCTCTTAGAGCCGACAATGGATCGATTCGTGTCGGGTTGAATACTTTAAACGGGTTAAATTACTAAATCCTAACCAAACCCGTTTATTATCGTGTCGAGTTCGGGTTGACTCGTGTTGACCCGTATACATAATTATGTCAAAATTCTTGATTCAAATTAAATTATTTTTTGTGGTGTTATGTTAGTTTTTATTGGTTTGATTGTAAATTAAGTTGAATTATTAAATATTGAACTTAGTTTAAATTAATTTATGAGAAAATTATTAAATTGTGATTATTTTACATATATAATAAATATATTAATCAATATTAATATATTATAATCGGGTTGTCATGTCGGGTTTCGAGTTGAGAGCCTTAACTCTAACCTGACTCGTTTATTATTGTGTCGGGTTCGTATCAATCTATATACATAATTGGATTTAAATATTTAACTCAAATCCAATCATTTCGTGTCGAATTGTCATGTCGGAACAGTTTTTGTGAGCTCTACCTCCCGTATAAAAACAAATTGTATTGTGCATTTAAATCAAGCCGTGAATTTGTATGGCGTGGATTTAATCATGTTTGTTAGATGAACGGCTGAGATCATTTTAAAAAGATACGAATAAAAAACTAATGGAAGAAGACAAAGATCATCTCCAATAATTTACATTATATATATTGTACGGATTAAAAAGTGAGGTTGGTTGGTTGGTTGTAGGAATCTTAATTTGTTCAATAATAAGTTAATTTTAAAATTTCAATTTCTTCCTTGAAAATAATTGTTATTGTTTATATATTTTTTTTAAAAAAAAGTTGGGTATTATTTATAATTTTTTCAAAAAAATTATATCAAATAAGTATTTTATCTTATAAAATATTATATTAAATATTTAATTTTTCATTATTTTTTATTCCAAATATATCTATTCAAATTGGATTATATATATATATAGATAGATAAATATATAATATTAACCACTCCAATTAATTATTTGTATGCGTAGGGTGTACCAACTTTAATCCCTGCTTATTTAAATTTTTTTCTAATTTTATTTATATTGATTTAATAAATATAGGAAAAAAATAATAAATTTGGTATTTGTAGTTTAAAAGACTAATTTTTATGTCCCATTCAAGTAGCTTTTTCATAATTCAAATTAATTTTCAAATAAAACACAATATTAAAAAAAATAAAAAATCGATTCATATGCAATTCGAGAATTACCTCATTCTAATTTATTTGCTATTATTTTTATTTTGAGTTGTCTCAATATATATATATATATATATTACTTTATATTTAGTTTTTTCTTATTTGTTTTTATTAATACAATTTAAAAAATCATTGCAAGTAAATAAAGAAAAAAAGAAAACAATGACAAAATGTTTAAAAACATATTAAATTTATATCACTTAAAAAATGATGTCAAAATAAAATTAGCAAATAAATTGAAACATTTACTATTATTATTATTATTATTATTATTATTATAAAGTGAGGTCCACAAACTATGTGTGGCCGACAAAACCAAAAAATATTACTCCCTCTTGTGGAAGGTAAAAGACTAAAATAACCTTACTTTTTGAATGATTTTAAAAAGTATATTAGAGTAATAATTAGGGGTAGTTTGGAAAAGTAAGAATAATTCTGTTATAAAGTGAAGACCACAATTACTAAATAAGGTTGTTTTGGGACGGACGAAAATAGAAAAATAAGACGACTCTATTGGAACGGATGAAGTATATATTATTATTATTATTATTATTATATCATTAGGATACTACTTTGGATCTCAAATATTAATTAATATATAACTTTACAATTTAATAGTGATTAGGTAGAGAGAGTACTAACTAAAATTTTTGTATTGAACTATGCAAGAAATTCATCGAACCATATAATTTATTTAATTACAATGTTTAACAATATATAATTATATATACTTCTTTAGTATATATTTAATTTATCAATTTTTATTATTTTCAATTGTTCACAATTAATATATTCATTTTTTTGAATCTATATGTCAAATGTGATCTTCATAACTTAAAATTACCATTCTACTATTATTTTATTATACAATCTATGCAAGAAATTCATAGAACCATATTATTTATTGATTGGTTTAGTCAGCGTATATAAAACAAACTAACAACAAATATTTTAATCGAGAGAAATGAATGTTACAGTATTATTTTTATCTTTTTAGTACTATTTACTTTTTAAAAATTTAAAAATTATATTATTTCAATTTTACAAAAATCACGTTAAATTTATTATTCAAATATTTAATTTTTACGATTTTTTTACAAAACATTGTATTTAATTTATAATTTTTTAAAAAAAGTTCAAAAATATTTTTTTCATAAATTCTTACATTAAAACTCTTTTTTTGTCCAATTTATCCGTTATTCTTATTCGATTCATTCAAATAGTTGTAATTTTTTTTACATTTTTCAACGAAATGCCTCCTTGTCCGACATCAATATCATGCATTGTCAACCTTTCTATCGTATGATGTCGGCTTTGTACTAAAATTTATAATTCGACATAGTAACAACCCTTATATATATTCTTACACACTAGTTGTCACATGTACTAATATTTCATAATTTACATAATGAAAGTAAACTTATAAACACAAAATAAAGAAAGGGAAAGAAACAAAAGATAGGCATGAAGAGGTTTGGTTTGAAACCCCAAATAAGAGACCAAACAAAATCAGACAAATTCATCTGTCCTCAAATCAAGACAATGACAATCCCAGGTGGTATCCACTACCAAATATTTTTTTAAAAAATAAAAATTATTTTTTTAAAATATTAAAAATAATAATAATAATAATAAATAAATAAATAAATAAATAAAAAAAAACTTTTTTACTAACCATGTTTCCAAATCCCTTTTTGTTCTTTGTCTATATTAGTATTTTTAATGGAGTGTATGTGCATGAACTGCAGGCATCAGTATAATTTGGTCACATTTTATAATCCCATAAGTAAATTAAAAATTAGATCACGTCACTGAACCAAAATCTTCTTCAATTAATTTATCTATTTTTTTGTGTTCATTCTCTAATTTAATTTTGAATTTGAATCTGCCTTTTTCTTCAACTGCTCTCATCCACTTTGTTATAGTTTGTTTAGTAATCGTGTGTTGTGTTGGGGTGCAAACTCAAGTCTCACATCAGAAATTGTGAAAAAAATTTCACATCTTATAAATCCCAAGTGAACTCCACTATTACGAGGCATTTTGGAGGAACGCTCAGTCCAAAGCGGACAATATCATACTAGCGTTGAGTTCATCTAGTTCCCAACAGTGGTATCAAAGCCCGGTTAGATGGTGAAGTGGACTGGGTGGCATTAGGCATTGGTTGTGGTGGTGGACTCGCCATCGTGACCTGCGGATGTGTCTTATGTCGAAAGTCTCCTGGCGGTATTAGGTCGGTCCCGATTGAGGTGGTCAGACAACATGTCTCTTTGTGATAGGCGGTACAAGATTCCAAAAACAAATCCGTGCAGGAGCCCAAAACGGACAATATCATACTGTTGAGTTGCCCAGTCCCAACAGATCAATACTATAGCCTTAATTTAATTTAATTTTTTTTGTTTTTGAAAAAATAAAATTTATGGGTATATTCAATCAAATAAATAAATATGAGCAATTGGGCCTGAGGATTTCCAATGGGCTACAAGCTAGCACGTGGATTGAAGCCCGATGAAGAAAAGGTTACAAGTAAAACGTATAAAATTTTAAATTTGAGTTATAATTTAATATGTATTTGATTAGAAATAAATTTTAAATATACTTTAAATATTTTAAACATTATTTTTTTGCATAATATAAAATTTCAAAAAATATAAAATAAATTAAAATGTATATATATTTTACATGATTAATATAAATTAATTTATAAAAGATCAAAAATTTTCAAATGTATATAATATTATTTATTTATTTATGAGAATAATAGAAAAAAGAAATTACGAATAAATTTCACCTAAAGAATGGTAGTGGTAGTAGTACCAATAGACGCTTCAAAATAAAATAAATAATTACTCAAATGCGGTTACAGTAGTGATAGTACAATAATATATATCAAATAATATATTACATAGGAAATAGAAATGACAGCATATACTTATATTTTATACAACATGTATTGTTTGTTGTATTTTTTATGGTTATTTATAGTATTTTCATGTATTGGTGAACAATCAGCATGGTGCTAATAAATTCTCAATCACCACTCTAACTCAAACGATTTATCACAACTTGAACTAGGAAAGGACCCTATGTCTTTGGTGTCTAAATGACGAATTGATTTTGTTTAATTGTGTTTTTTCACCTTGTTTTTATAGGGTATGTTCATCTAATAATTTTTATCGTGATATAATTTCCTTTAAATGTTATTAAAGAATACAATATATACACTCATATTATATTTTTTTTATCCATTCACAAAAAGATCAAAAATTCTACCCTACTATGTGTGACTACAATGAACAAATATAACATTTCATTAACTCAAAAGAAAAAAACAAAATATAATGCATAAAAATTCGAAGAATATGCAATAATTTATTCAATCTGAAAACCTCACATAAAAAACAATAAAATGCATAAAAATTCCAAGGAATAATTTAGGCTATTCAAAGAAGAAACTGCATTGTCACTTGCATCACACATTAATTAGTTATATTTGAAATAGATCGATCACGAAGATGGGAAATATTTGTTGAGATTCAAAGGAAGTTTGTAAAACTCCTCACTTCGGCTATCGGTATTGAATGACCAAAACTTATCCCACCAATGCCGGCCTCGGTCCTTTCGCACTTGTCCGTCCTTTTTCTCCAATGTGTTGTCAAAAAAGTACGAGAGTGTGCCTGCAATGAATGCCTTCGACGAGAAGGGCACATTCACGATGTCGTTGAACTGCCAACAACGAATATCCATCATTTCAGCAAAAAAAATATATTAATTGTCGCAAATATTTATAAGAACTTTTAGAATTCAAAATAAATATTTGTCTGCAAGTATAATTAGTTGGGTGTGTTTAATTTCATTTTTCCAGTGAGATGTTTCATCATTTTAATCTTTTTAAGTGAATCGTATCTAAAAATAATATTTTATATTACTATTCATCATTATAATGGTCTTATATCTACGCATAATAAGAAACATGTCTAAGTATTGCACACAAATATAAAAATGTCTAAGTATTTCACACAAATATAAAATCATTATAGCGGTGACAAATGAAATAAGTCTATTTGAGGGATAGTTCATGTAAAAAAGACTAAAGTAATCAATAATATCACTTTAAAAGAAAATTCAAGTTTTTTTCTTTGATATTCTTTATTTTAAATTTCAAAAGACATATACTTCAAGTACGTATTTTGGAAAATATGTGAGTCTCACACCTAGATATAAAATCATTATAAACAGGACAAATGAAATACGACCATTTCAAAACAATGATTCACGTAAAAAGATTTAAATTAATAGATAAAATCACTAAAAAGAAGCAATATAACATATTTCTCTCTCTCTTTTTTTTTTCAAAATGTTATACTTCAAGTATTTATTTTGAATAATATGTGAGTTTAGCATACAAATATATAGATCATTATACCGACGGAAAGTGAAATATGACAATTTCAAACCTCAAAGCATGATTCATGTAAAAAAGACTAAAGTAGTAAATAATATCATTTAAAAGAAGTAGAATCATTTTTTTTCTTTTTAATTTTTTCTTAATTTTTAAAATATAAAATTAAAAAAAAATTACCCATCGGCCGGATGTGTGCACGGGGCCGTGTCCCTTAATGGCCGTGTACTCATTGAAGTACGCCGGGATTGTGAAGCCAAGGAACGTCGGGATGGCTAATATAAACTTATTACGGAAGCTATTGAGTTGACAAAATTGGAGGAAACCTAATCCGCCAACACCTACATTGTACAGTTACACCAAAAAAAAAAAAAAAGAGTCTTCGTATCATATCTATATTATAGAACGATTCAAAGATTTTACTTATAAACTTACCAACATATCCGAAGAAGATGCAATACAAAGCCGCAAAAATAGGAGTTGGAATCGATGCAAAAACCGCGCCAAATTTCCCTACCAAGCCATCCAAGCCAATCAATATTTCCAAGAAATATTAATTAAATAGTTACGACTGTGCATTTTCTTCAACTATATATACTTAAAAAGAAAAGAATACCAAGGACGGAGAAGAAGATCATGAATCCGGCGGATATTTGCACAACTCTTCGACTTCCAACGCGTGTTAGTCCTATGAGGCCAACGTTTTCTCTATATAGAATGTAAGAAAACTTATTTATAGGTCGGTTCCATCATTCACCCACAAAAATATATAAAAATCTATTATAGTGTCTTACACGGCCACGGATGATCCATTGCCTGTTCCAAATAGCCCGGATAGCAAGATTCCGATGCCCTGCCACCCTACGCCGCGGCTGAGGATCGATGGTGGTAAGGGGGTTGCGCTAGCGAGTCTAGAAGCGCTAATCATCGCACCAGTGGACTAAAAGTACCAAAACAACGCACAAAAGTTAAACAAAAAAGATAATTCTCTCTCAGTTTGGGTTGGGCCGGTTTTTTTGTGTCAGATCAGCCCGACCGGATTCCAAACCGTGTTGGGCTAGCACGGCCCGGTTTGAAACCACTGGAAATGGGGAATTGGACTCACAACAAAACATATACAAGCCAAGAACTTTACTATCAAAACATGTTTTAATTTTTGTTCTTATTTCAAAAATTAATATATATTTATTAAAATTTAAATAATAATTTTTAAAAACAGGGTCGGCCAAAGCACGGCCTAACTTTTATGAGCCCAGACACAACCCAAAAATTTTCGAGCCTATTTTTGGAGGTCCAAGCACAATTTTTTTGTGCCGTGCTCGGACTGAGCTTTCAGGCCGTTCTTATTTTTGCCGTTCTTATTTTTGCCACCCGTAATGTAATTTATCATAAAAAGAAAGGTCTATAATTAGTTCCTTCGAACGAACCTCGACGAGAGTAACGAAAGCGGCCATCATCATGGCGAACGCTTCGCCGGCATCAAAGGAAGGAGGCCCCCATTGGAAGGGGTATGGGATGCTTATCCTACACCACACAAAATCGATGGTTAAACTTGGGTATTTTCAAAATGTATTAATCCGACTAAGCAAATTTAGCGCGACTACTTGCCATGGAGAGGCATCGATGAGTCCAACACGATCTGTCCTACAACTCATTTGCGTCTGTAGGGGCCTCCCATTGTATGCCCCGCCCACGGTGAGTACGAAGGCGTAAGTCCACACGAGCGCTACCGATATAAGTACTGCAAATCGCTCGTACACATTCTTCCCCGGCTTCACCATGTTCACTAGATACTACATCGAATGTTTCGTAGAGTTAGTTTCTAGGGTAAACTGATTTTTTAGTTCTATAACTGGACACCTTTATCATTTTAGTCTTGTAACTAGAGCATGTCGCAAACTAGTTCCGTAAGTAAATTTTTTTTGCAGTTTTAGTCCTCCGGAGCGGAGATGCCTACGTGGCACCCATGTGGCTCACCGGGAGACACATGCCCGACAGGTCGGCGAAACCTAGCGGACACATGGATTTTTATTTTTTTTAATTTATTATTATTGTTGATTTTTTTTTAAATTTGAATTTTTTTTGTTGAAAATTTTTAATTTTTACAAAAAGGAAAAAATAAATAAATAAAATTTATTTTTAAAAAGTTTAAAAAATCTATGTGTTCACCAAGTCTCGCTGATCTGGCAGACACGTGTTTTCCAATGAGCCACGCGGGTGCCACGTAGACATCTCCGGTGCCAGAGGACTAAAAATGCGAAAATTTTCCACTTACAGGACTAGTTTGCAACAGACTCCACTTACGGAACTAAAGTGATAAAGGGTCCAGTTACAGGACTAAAAATTCAATTTACCCTAGTTTCGATGATTGTAAGGGACGAGGCGACGCTTTTGAAATGTCAACAAAGATAAAAAATGAGCTATTCGGCACCTGGTTGAGGAAGATCACTAGGACAATCACCGGTAACCCGATTTCGACACATCTTCCGACCTATTAGCATAAGCAACAGTTTAAAATAGTACAACTTTAAATCGAGGAAGCCTAAAACCTTTGAAATGCTCGTACCCCCGGAAAAGCGAATTCATAGAGCCCGAAACCGGTAAGGAGAATCAATGGGACGACGGAGATTGGACTCAAATACCTACATGGTTTTTAGATCGGTTAAGATTAGGACAAACACCGGCACAAGTTAACACTACAATAATAGAGACAAACCTCGCCATGTTACGCCATAGACCGCTAAAACCGATGACAATTTGGATCGCGGAGGCGACTATGAATGCGCCCTGCGTTGCGCGCATTGTTTTCTTGAACTTCTGCATAATAAAAGAATACGATTGAACATACTTATTAGTCGATTTAATTACAACGTTATGGCAAAGCCTTCCTATGTATACACATGTAATAACAAAATGAACAAGTTTTCCCTTGCACGTCTTCTTGGTCGAGCCTATCACACGGGGTTTTTCCAATGTGGCTTACGCCATTGGTGTGGTTTGCAGGCTATTAAACTCGACTCGAGGGCTTACTTTGTGTTTGGTTGAAGAATTTGTAAGATTTTTACTATTACCAAATTGTTTTCTTTTTTTTAAAAAAAAAAAAAAAAACTTAGGTTGTGTTATTTTGTGGGTTTTACCACAAATTTTTGCTATTTAAATTCTTTTTTTCCTCCAAAAATATCAAATCAAATCATTATTTTTCTTTTTTATATTATAGAATAAATTTATTTTACATTCAAAATATCACGTTAACTTCTATTTAAATCATATCAAACAACTATTCAAATTCAACTTTTTACTATTCAAAAATCCAAACTCAAAAACTAAAACCCACAAACAAACACACCCTTATTTTTTAAAAATTTTATCCATAATACTAAAAATTAATGTTATATTCAAAACATCTTATTTACATTGTATCGTACAACTATTTTAATTTAATCTTTTAATATTCAAACTTCAAACTCCCAACCAAACACATCACCACACACACTAACAGTAACAAATGCAAATTCCCACATTATTAAAAAAATAAAATAAATAAATTGAATAAGTTCACAAACCGATATAGGGTCCGGATCGCTCCATCTATTCGACAAGATGATCGAGATTGTGGGCGCGATGAAGGTGTAAGAACCTCCGATGACAACGGGGAGCCGTGTTCCAAACCACGATTGCAAGAACGTGTTTAGCCCCGCGACGAATAACAAAGTTTGAATGACTCTAGCTTTTTCCTCCTAATTTTTTTATTTTTTAAAAAAAAGAGCAAATGATTGATAACTTGTCCGAAAACTTTTGAGATATTGAATCGAACAAAATACATCGAAGCGTCTCACAATGCCGCCTCCCATCTGAGGAACGAGCGCTGAAGGTATCATAATCGTCGTCCCGAGCATCACGATGTAATGCTGGAATCCGAGAAGGATGGCCTCAGCTGTTTGAAGGGAAAAAGAAAGACATTAACGATGATTTCATGTCTGTTTTTTACATGTAGACTTTATATATGTTTTCTTGCTAATGTTACAAAGAAACTCATGTTTGTGTTCTTTTATTCGAGCATATGGTTTCAAAACAATCATTTTAATATGTATAAAAAATCAAATATTTATCATTTTAAAAAATCTAAAAAGAATTATTTAATTTTAGGGTAAATTATATCACACCTATTATGTTTTAGTAAAAATGTATAAAACATCCTGTATTTTATTTATTGTGTCAAACCCCATGTGTTAATATAAAGTTTGCATGAAACACCTTTATTGTCTAGAGCTAATGTTTGGTTCTAAATAAAAACCTAAATTACGCAAATTTTATACAAATAAAAAATATAAAATATTTTAAATAATTTTTTTGAATAAAATAAATAAATAAATAATTGATTAATCCTTTATTTTATAATTTTTGGGAGACAAATTGTTATCTGATTTATATATATATAAAAAATTATAAAAATAAATGATTTGATCAATTATTTATTATTTATTTTATTAAAAAACTTATTTAAAATATTTTACACTTTTTATTTGTATAAAATTTGCATAATTTAGGTCTTCATTTAAAACCAAATATCAGTTTTAGACTAAGGGTGTTTCGTATGCATGCAAACTTTATATTAACACAAGAGGATTTTCACGCAATAAATAAAATACGGGGTATTTTATGCATTTTTACTAAAACACTAGTGAATGTTATATAATTTACCTTTAATTTTATACATTATCTTCGCAATAATATAAAAATCAAATATTTATCAATTTTCAATTCAAATATTTATCATTTTCAAAATATCTAAAAAGAAACACTTACAATAGATTCAAAAACTTCGCTTGCATCCGATCAAAAAATAAAAATCAGTTCCATTTTAAAAGTCATCAAACTTCAAGGCCTTGTTCACTTGTAATTTGATTTCAATCTTTACTTCATAACTACGATATTTTATTATTTTCTATCATAAAACATTATACTGTCAAAGCTAAAATTCAAAATCAAACTTCAAGTAAACAAATACCGAATCATTCAAAAAAACAAAAGAAAAAATTTAAATTTAAATTTCATCGTCCGTAAATCCATTCAAACGACCGAGCCCTTATATTCATTAGTTTCGACAACGAACAAAGGTGAAAGTTGAAGTGGAAATAAAAGTGATGTACTAACGCCATGGAGGAGGGCTGGTGATGCAGTAAGAAACATTCGGGAGCTGATCTTTCGGAGGATGTGGCGGTGGTTCATCCGGTGCCTTCGCCATTTATATATATATATATATATATATATATATCCTTCTTTTTATTACAACCTTAAATTTGTAGAACTCCTATAGATCTCAAAAAACTGTATACATATATATATATATATGTATATGTATATTATTGTGTCTTTTTGAATGAATGAAATTGGAGAAGCTAAAACAGGAAGAGAACTATGGAGGACTTATATGAATTTAAGAATGCACCAAAAGAAGCAAAAGATACAGTGAGTTATAAGCAGTGTAAGAAATGGGAGGAAAAGAAAAACCCTTTTTTTTTTTTTTTAAAAAATTTATGAACCCTAAAAAATTAATCAAAAACAAGAAATTAAAAAGGGAAGAATCTAAAAATGAAGTGAATTGAAAAGTGAATGGGAACCTGAAAAAAAGTTTGGTTGTAGCCAAAAAAAAAATAAAAGAGAGAATTAATTAAAGGAGATGACTTTATGGATTCTTCACTTAATGTAAGAATTCGAAAATGCACGGGTTGTGTTCACTTTGCATTTATTTTAGATCTTTTTACTATTCGTATATTCATCTAAATTAGTTTTCATAGGACGATATATTTTTTTTTTACATAATATTATTTAGAACAAAACTCAAATTAAAATGAAACATAAAAAAAAAAAAATACAATTATTTATTTTAGTTGATTTTTTGAGTTTTTTAATAATCAGTATGTCCGGGTGTCTCATTTACTTTTTACTTTATTGTACTTAATATTAAAAATATATTTATATTTGTATACATTTTTTAACAAATGTCATTATAATACACTAATAAAAGTATTTTTGTCATTTTTCCTTAATTTGTATGATATTTTTATATATTATTTAATATTAAAAATCAACACAAAAAATAAATAAATAAGAGTTTTAAAGCCGGACGAATATAGTATGTAATTCTTATAATATTTCATATAAAAAAATAAATATTTTTTTTAATAAAATATACTCCCTCCGTCCACCTTAAAAGTTTACATTTATTTTTTGCGTGTTGCTCTTTAAATATTAAATATTATATCAAAATATAGTATAAATTAAGTAAACAAGACAAAAATACTTCTATTAATGTGTTATAATACAAATATAATGATATTTGTATGCAAACTTATACAAATACAATAATATTTTTAATGTTAAGTACAATGACGCAACATGTAAATATAAACTTTTAAAAAGCGGACGGAGGGAGTAATATTCAACCAAAAAATAGTAAACTAAACTTCAAATAGGTAAAATAAAAAAAAATAAAAAAAAAAAGCAATATATATTTCATTTCAAGAAATAGAAATTAAATGCAGTTCACCTAAACCCTAATAATAATATTATGAAGAAGATAAATTTACAGACACATTGGTCTGATTTTAAGAGAGGGACAACTCAGGATTTGAATTTCCTGCTCTATATGTTGTCAATGTTTTAAATTTTTATTAGAAAAAGTACTATTGAATCTATTATAAAAAAAAAAAAAAAAAAAATTAAAATTTAAAATTAAAATTAAAAAAAATTAAAAATTAAAAAAATGTGTGTTCCGCATAAATCACAATCACGAATTCATCTCTACACTGTCAAATCATCTTTTATGAGAATCTTTCTCACCTTTTCTTTATTCATCAAATATTCAATTATGTTATTTTATGACTCTGTTCACCTAAATTACAATACAATAATAATACAATTTCAATATATATAATGTATATTATATTTTTTTATATAGAAATAATATTAAAAATATTTGATACGATTTTTAAACTTTACTTTAAAAAAAAATACTTTAAATTAAAATATTAAACAAATACACAATTTTACATAGTAATTTTTTATTATTTATTAAATAAATTTAATTTTAACCTCAAACTTATGAATTAATTTTTAGTGATATATCTATTATATTATTATTAGCACTTTATATTTCATTAATTAAAGTTATTCTTAAAAAAAATCAAAGGTGTGTTAACCTAATGTTTTTTCCGTTAATTAAAGTTATCAATTCAATATAAAATATTATTCTTTTTTTATATTACGGATACAATACATAACATCAAAAACACAAAGTAAACATTCTCTGAATTACATTTCAAATGAAATCAAAATATATTAAAAAATCAATTTTTATTATATATAAGTATAATTATACTAAATGTCTAAAAGAAGTACTCTCCGTCTCAATATAATATTCTTATTTATTATTTTTATTCGTCCCAAAATAATAGTCTCGTTTTCATAAATAATCATATCACTGTAAAACTACCATTATTTTTTCATTATTATTACACAATTGTCATTATTTTTTACACTAATACACTCACAAAGGCAAAAAAAAAATCTTTTACCCGCACAACACAACCCAAACTATAATTTTAAAACAGAAGGAGTAATATTTTAGATATTTTATTAAGAATAATTAATAATACTCAGAGTTGTACTATATTAATAATCTTAAAATTTGTTATTATTATATTAGACTTATAATCTTAAGTTTGAATATATTAAAATAAATATAAAATTGAATAAACTAAAATAATCATAATCTTATATGGTAAAGACACCTTTAATTAATTATAATTTGGTTGGAAGAGAGGGCATCATATTTATTTTTGAGCAGTTTGTGCAGTGAATGAGAATTGCAGCAAATAAGTGAGCAATGATACTTGAATATTATTATTATTATTATTATTATTATTATTATTATTATTATTGTATCATTTGCTTACTATTACATATACTCTTACAATTTACAATATATTACATAAATGTCACTGTCTTTATATCACATTATACTAATAAGATTATTTTAGTCATTTCTACTTTATTTCTATTACATCTCAATATAATATTAATATTTCTAAAATTACGTGCAAAAAATAAATTGATACTTAATTATAGGACGAATGAAGTATTATTATTCCATAACATAATTATTAAGTACAATCTTTTTAAGATAATTCGTGGGAAAAAAAAATAAGATAAAAGTCATAAGTAAAACAATTAATTTTTTTATATTTGAGCATATTATGTAGAATATGTTTTTTTTTTTAGTGTTTTAGTTTGAATTTTTTATTTTTTTTATAAGGTATAAATGATTTTATCGTATTATAAAAAATAATATTTTGTGTTAGAATTTTTATTTTTTTTTGTAAAAAAATACTTCTTTCGTCAACTTAATTAGTTTACATTTACCTTTTGCGTTGTACTTAACATTAAAAATATCTCTTTATTTGTATAATTTTTTTTTATCTAAATATTATTATATTTGTATTATAAAACACTAATAGACGTATATTTTTGTTATTTTTCTTTGATTTGGCATATATTTTGATATAATAATTAATATTCAAATATCAAAAGCGCAAAAAATAAATATCAACTCTGTAAGCAACTCTGTAAGCAGACTGTGGGAGTATATAATATAAATATTGAGAATAAGTATCAAAATAAATTTGGGTGGATGATTTTTTTTAATGAAAAAAAAAATTATTCAATATAAAAATTAAAAAAAAAAAAAAAAAAACATATCCAAATGAGATTGCTTTCCATTTTATCTCATACAAATATTCTAAGTATTTATTATCCCAATATATAGTGTGTAATAAAAAAAAATAAAAAAGAAAGAATGAATATTCCTTACTTTCCAACTCTCAAAATTCCCTACTTTTTATTGCTTTGTCACAGATAATGTTACTTATTATTTAAAAAAAAAAAACGCTACAAAAGCGTTGTAATAGATTTTACATTGGTTGGATAGTATATATATATATATATATATTTCGTGTCAATTCAAAATATTTTTTTATTATTTTTATTTTTCTTATTTAATTTTTTTATTTTGGTAAAAATAATCATAATTAATAATAAAATATTTTTAAATTTTTATAAAATTTAAAATATATCATTATATATACAACTTTTTATAGGTAAAAATATAAATTTTTTTTATACATTTTCATTAATCAGTAAAATATTATTATATTTTAATATATTAGTATTGTATTAAATATATATTGAAAAAATATTTGAATTTGTAGATTCTCTTTATATCAATGAGTTGTTTACTTTGTATTTTTGAATAAATATATTATTTTTATGTTAATTATGAAAAATTATAATATACTTTTTTTTTTTATTTTTTGTCTTTTTTAAAATTTAATTTTATTAAAAAACAGTTAATTTCAATTTTGATTTTATTTAGATATATATGTATTATTTATATTGTGTAAAAAATTATGGGTTCTTTCATTTTATTTTATTTTATTTTTATGAATCTATTTTTTTATAGTAGAACTGAAAATTTAAGTTGGTAATATAAAATATAATATTTTAGATTGAATTTTTAAATTTTTTATAAATAGATAAATTTTGAATTTATTCACTTTTGTATTTTTGTGGACTCTACTGTTCCCTCAACCATTCGAACCGGCGGTTCATGGTCGGAGAAAAAAAAAATTCAAAATCAATTTTTGGTTACAACCGCATGTTAAAAATAATTTAGCAAGTCTAAGTTTAGCTGATAATAATAATAAACAGATATAATTATTAAATACAAATAAATATACCAATGTGCTATTTAAAAAAATAAAATAAAATATTATAAATAAATTGTATAAATAAGTTGTGGAAAACACAAATAAACAAATTCTTATTGGTTCAAAATTTAATTATTTTTGTTTCACTCAATGGCCCAACTGTGCAGCTTAGAGTCAGCTTTTCAAAATAGCCCAAATTATCAAAAAATGGTCCAAACAAAATGGGCTTTTAGAAATTTGTTATTTGGGCCAATAATAATAATTATTATTAATTATTTTTTCTGTGTTTATTTTGTGCATTTCTTTCTTCCTCCGCCTTCGGCCCTGCGGCGGCGACGCACTGTCGATCACCCTTTTCCGGTGAGTTCTATAGCTTATTCCATTTGATTCGCGAACGTATTTACATGTAGTTTTTAAGCTTACCTGAAATTGGGTGTGCAGGAGAGATTTTGGATTGAGGGAGGTTTTGGTAGGGTTTATACTTAATACCGATTTTGAGATTCTGGATTGTTAAGAAAATGAGATAGATTTCGGTTATTGACGTGAATGTGGATTTACATTTCGTATTTTTGTAGGGGAAATTGCTCGGAAAGAGCTTAATTTTGTGTGTGATGAATTACGGTCTGGACTTGTCAATGTTTATTAATTTGTCGATTTTTATTTTTTTGTTTTGTTGGTGCAGAGCGCTATTTGCCTCTGAAGAAATGTTTCTGAGACGAGTATTTGGAAGGACTCTGTTTGCCGCGGCCAAATCGGAGGCTTCAGCTGCTCCGGCGGGAGCTGCAGCTGCAGCTTCTTCTACAGCTCCGCGTAATCCACTTGAGGAGTTCTTTGAGGCTGATAGAAATCCAGAGAACAAGAAGCGTGTGATCTATGGTAAAGAAGTTATTTCTTTGGGTGATTTGGGGCTATTTTGTGCTATTATTGATTCTTTAGATTGTGTTGCTTGTCTATACATTTTGTCATTTTTCTTAGTTTTATAAGTTATGAATATAGGAGCAAGCTCCCATCATTTTTCTTAGTTTTATAAGTTCTTTCTTTGGGTGATTTGGGGTTATTTTGTGCTAAAATGTATATTTTAGTCAAGCAAACAAATTTGCGAAATGCATTCGACATTTTCCTAGCAAAGCTATTCTTTTTTTTTTTTGTATTACAGAATAGGTTTGCATTTTTTGTTCATGTTTAGTAATTGAGCTATGTACCAATTCAATATAGAGTTGATCAGAGTTCGATTGCATAGATTTGTATGAACAATGTTATTTTTTTAGTTAAATGATGTAAAATATAAGAAAGTTCTCTGTATGTCTTGAAGTTGGACTGTTTTTGAGGTTGCCTGTACAGTTTTGGGCCGAGATTATTTTGACGCTTGTTGTACTTTCTATGAAATTGTGACTAAAAACACTAGCGAAAATATCTGACTTAGCCATCCCCAGACGGAAGTTCACTACACTGCTCACCAAATTCTTGTTTTCGTATGTGTTTTTCATCTTGATTTCTAAATTCCGTTGCATGTTTGAATAAATTAAACATGAAGAATATTGTCGTTGGTATGCCGTGGATCTTTTTAAATAGTCAAGCTTTAGCCAATTAGTTTCATTTCATCTTTTAAAGAAAATTATAACTGAAGGACAATTTTAAATTTTACTCAGGTAGGAGTTGGAAGGCATCGGAACTACGCCTCAAATCTTGGGATGACCTCCAGAAGCTGTGGTATGTTCTGCTAAAGGAGAAGAACATGTTGATGACTCAGCGTCAGATGCTGCAGGCTCAAAACCTTCGGTTTCCTAACCCTGAACGAATTCCCAAGGTATCTTTAGTACTCTGATAACTTTGCTTCGCATGCCATTTGATGAAGAAATAAATTTTATTCACATCCACATAGTAATAGATTACACTCGCGAATAGTTTTCGTGCTCTTGGTTGATGTAGAATGTGGCTGTTAAACCCTCATAGCATATACACATTTAATCGGAACTATAACATTATTAGTCACACTAGAAAGCCTCATTTCAATTTCAATATCAATATCAATTTCAATTTCAATCCCAAAATTTAATTATTTTAATATCTATCCTGCAATTTATGCTTGTTTCAGATTAAATTCAATTTGAAGAACTCCAGATTTTTGTTATGTATGAATTTTGCTTTGAGCTTTACATGCACATGTATGAAAAAGAGTGATGGATAGTAAACTGTTACCGGGAATTTGATTACAGTTCTGTTTTTTTCAGCAAAAATTTTTTTGTGCAACTAAAATTGATGCATTTTGGACTTGAATTGAAATTTGATGTAAATTGTGGGACTAGAATTATAAGCCATGAACTTATGCAATTAAAATTCAAATGAGCCCTTGACTTAGACCAAAAATGTCGGTGTGTACCTTAGTATTTTGAATTTTGAAAATTATGATGTGAATGTGTGCACTTAATGTAATATTTTGAATGAAATTGGCGTAGGATGTGTTGTTTCGCTAAAGGAAAATTGAAACTCAACTGTAGATTGAATAGTACGAAAATGAAAATGATAATACAAATAAACACGACTATATTGCTATACTTAATGGTTTTTAGGATATTGCAATTGTTTATGAGCGATTTCAAATATACAGCATTTGCAATAGTTATCTATATCAATGCTGTTTTTTTCTTCCTTATGTATCGATTATTTCTTATTAGTGAATTCAAATTCATATTATTTTAGAAATATTCGTAGCGGGACATTCCATGTTCGATCACATGAACTTTAGTTGCTTTGCCGTTATCACGGACACATTTAATCAGAAAGAAAACGACTATTAAGCTGACAAAAAAAAGAACACTTCATATGCACTCATCATTTCTATATATAACTCATTTGTGCCTTTGGTCTACCATTTCTCGTCTATCTTGTTTTGTTGCGCGCACACAATCCGCAATTAATGACATCCATGTAATGATATCTTGCCGGGACTCGATTTTGACTTTCACAGGTGCGAAAGTCAATGTGTCGGATCAAACATGTGCTCACCGAGCGAGCCATTGAAGAACCCGACCCTAGGAGGTCCGCGGAAATGAAAAGGATGATCAATGCCTTGTAAGTTCCTCCTTTCATTTCAATATCTCCTCTTTTTCGCCGCCCCGTCGTCGCCGACCTCGTCAGAAATTTAAAAATTTAAAAATTTAAAAATTTTAGATCTTGAGAATTTACTACTTTCTTCAAATTTCTACATTGATGCTGTGATGAATTTTATCTGATACTATCATTGAGCATCTGCAGCTGGTAATACTGTTACACTCAGGGTACAACCATGGTTGCACAGGGTACAACCTGGGCTCATTTTTCTTTACTTATTGGGCTTGGGCCTAATTTATTTTGGGCCGAAATAAATTCGTACGGGTCTGTTAAATTGTGTTTTAGGGTATTTTGAATTTTTAAATATAATACTTAATGGAATTAAATTTAAAATTGAATAATATTTTCTTTAATGTAATTTTCAATATTTATTACCATAGAATACGATTAGACCCACAAGAGGAATCGTAATAAATATTAAAATCAAAATTTTGAAAAGGGGAAATAATTATTATGTCACACTCATTTACCATTTATTTCTTTTTTCCACTTTATTGATAAATGCGATCCAATATCCTTCATAATTAATTCATGACTTGAAGCAAAGGTACGTTTGTTCTTGTTTTAACCATATTTTTGTATAATTTGATTAATAATAGATTCTTTTATTTATTTACTAAAATATATTGTGTTTATAATTAAATTTAATATATCAAAGCACTTACTATTTGTACGTTAGATTTTGATTTTGATTTTACTATTTTTATTTTTTTTTTATTTTCAAAAATATTGAATTAAATATTTATTTTTGCTTATTATATTGAATTAAAATTTAATTTTATATTCAAAATATTAAGTTAATACATATTTGTATGTCATTGAATAACTATTCAAATTCAAAATTTTCATATTAAAAACCAAAATTCAAAACAAAAAAATTCCACACACAAATACACCCTTAAATTGTGTTTGCCCTTTTTATTAAAAAAAAAAAAAGAAAAAAAAAAAGAATACTATTTTTTAATTTAGAGTTTGCACTACTTATTTACATATTATTATTTTTATATTAAACAATAGTAATATGAATAATTTTATTTTTTACTACAAATTAATATTTAAAAATTTACTTGAAAAAACAAATAATGCTAAGGAAGTATCAGATTTGATGCATACAATTTTGTCAATACAAAATTCAACAAAATATTCATGACACAACTGTAATATTACAATTATGCAAAAAGTAAAATTATTTTATTACATAAATATACTATCCAATTAATGCAAAAAAATAAAAATAAATCTAAACCATGGTTACTTGAGGCAACCTTTTTTTGCAAAGCAGGTCATGTGCACTAAAGTTTTTGTCCCATAACAAAACTAACCCATAGTAAGGGGAGACAACCTTAATGCCACGTCACATGCCACCACACTGTGTGTCCGAAGTGAAATACCAAGAATGCCCCTGCTGGCGGTGTGGACCCGCGGGTGACGCTATCACGACCCACCATAGAGAAGAGAAAACCAACAAAGAGCCCAGATTTGGAAAATTCCAAAACCCGATAGTAACAGTCAACTCAGTGCCCTTTTCAGTGCAGTCACCGTCCGCCGTTGGGTGCCTCCGCGGGTGAGATTATCATTGCTCTTTAAACCCTGCCCGTCCTGCCCGTCCTGCCCGACTCGGCAATCGGTTGGGAGTAGTACCCCGAAGTACAACTCCACAGCACAACCGGGGTCGCCTTTTGCCGTCTGACGAGACGAGTCCCACACGACGTCGTTTTCATTTTTTAGTTTTTTAGTTTTCATTTTATTTTATTTCTTTTTATTTTTCTTTTTATTTTTTTCACTCACCTATACATACAGCGGCTTGTCTCTATATCTCACCACTTTCTCTCTCTTTCTTTCTCTCTCTATCCCTCTGGTATCTCCCCGATGTTCTCTCCGTTGCCAAATCGAAAAAAATCCGCAGGTCAAGCCTTCGATATCTCTATTTTTCTGCCCTCTCTCTCTACTTATCTGCATCTCTGTCTGTGTATCTGTGTTTTTGTGCAGGTGGATACTTGTTTGTGTGTTCACACTTGTTTTTTTTATTTGTTAATCGCTTTTGGTCGGAACCTTTCGTTTCGTTGTTGTATATGTGTTTGTAACTGTTTTGGTTGTTCGATTGGTGTTGTTTGATTTTCGATCTGAAAGTTTTGAACTGGAATTTGATAGGTTTTAGATCGGGGAAATCGAAGCCCTAGAATGTGGTGAAGTAGGGTAAGTTAGGGTTTCGTTGTAATTGGAGCGATCTAGGGTTTATTCGGTGGCTGGTTTCGAAATTCCTGTTGGATTACGGCGAATTGAATAGATTTTGGTTTTTTGGGGGTTAACCTAATCGGGTTACCGCAAGCGTGAGGATTTGGGTGAAGTGAGATATCAGTTTGGGGACGAATTGAGGGTTTTTGTGGTGGAGATTGAGGGCGAATTGAAGGATTTGATATTTGAAGTTGGGAATTGGGAATTGGGAATAGTTGGGAAAATGCAAAAGAGCAAATTTTATTATGCGTGGGAGGGTTCAGCGGGAGGTTTGGAGCTGTAGGAATTTGAGGACTAGTAGTCAGCACATGCATTCGGCCCTTCCCTTGGTGACTTCCGAGAATAGCGTAGCTGTATCGAGCAACAATCAATCTGTTCCTGCTTCCATCACAAGAGTTTCGAGTGATTCCTTCTTCAAGGTATTGACTTGGTGGGTTGTTTAACTTATTCTTTAAGTGTTAATGCTTTAATTGGTTGTATTGGCTGTTTATTTGGTTATTATGATTTGGCTGACGCACGATGTCTTCGTATTACATGCGAGTATGATGATGATGTGGGTGTATGAGATGACTATGAAGTGATGTTTGTTGTGTTGTCGTAATTGTTGATTTTAATGTTCGACGTGCCTGCTTGAAGTTCTCGAATAATGTTAGCGTCTTTGTTGAAAGGGTGCTTGCTTACACTGTTGAAATGATGATATGCTTGCGCTTTGACAGGGTTATTGTTTGATGAGTTTTCATGATCATTCTTCCATATGCTTTCTATGTCGTAGCGTATTGTCCTTTCAGTGACGCATCTGTTGCTGCCATTTCACGCAATACGTAAAGAGAAATGTGATATGATTGTCGTGTTTTAAGTTGCTGACGACATAATATATTTAGTATGGTCAATTGATTTTTCTTCTTTCCTGTGTGGAGAATCTTAAATGTGTTTGAAAAGGGCTGATGTTAATGAGTTTTGTTCGTTCTGTTGGTAATGTTGGTGACAAAATCAATGGTTATGGGTGTGTATTTATTTCAGTATATCGCACTTTCTTGAATATTTCTTCATTTGAGTATATATGTTCATTCAATGGTCCTGACCGCTTCTTCACTGAATTTATATGAAGCGCCTATTGGTTGCGCAAGGCCGAAATTTATTTGCGAATGTGATGTCAGCGTAATCATGTGCAATTACCCTAAACAAAGCGCTCCGGTGGTGGCGAAAATGGAATTTTATTTGCCAAAATGAAAGTAAATACAATCTCTTGGTGCATACAACCTAATTAAGAATTCATTCTCCACCTCAGTCACCCTTTCTTTCAATGTTTCCTTATGCATTTGCGTGTTGGTTACGGAGTCTTCATTTCCAACATCTTAATCATTGTTCTATTGTTTTTTAATGCTAATTTCATTACAGTGAAAGTGTATTTGAACTTAGGCGATTAAGAAAATTATAGTGAATCTATGTTTTTTGCCCTCTATGCATTAGCAAGCTAGCTTTCTTTGAAATATTGAGTATGTGCAACATCCTTAATCATCTGTATACTTACTTTCTATACCATGTTTTTATTTTACAGGCACATATTTCATGGAGAATTAATTGTTCTTCCACTTCTTGCAGGACGGTCGGAAGATTAGTGTTGGAGATTGTGCACTTTTTGAACCCCCGCAAGATTCCCCCCCGTTCATTGGTCTGATTCGTCGGTTTGCAGAAAGCAAGGATAATAATTTGCTGTTAAGTGTTAATTGGCTTTATCGACCTGCTGAAATAAAGCTTGGTAAAGGCTTTGTTGTAGAAGGTGCACCAAACGAGATATTCTATTCATTTCATAGGGACGAGATTCCTGCTGCATCTCTACTTCATCCGTGTAAAGTTGCATTTCTTCCTAAAGGTGTAGGACTTCCTGCTGGGACAGCATCTTTTGTTTGCCGAAGAGTTTATGATATCACGAACAAGCGTTTATGGTGGCTGACAGACCAGGATTATATTAATGTTAGTTGACATTCTTCTTTATCAAATATTTCCCATATTTCTATGAAGTGAGTGCGTGAATTGGGTTGGTGGCAAGTAGGGTGTTTTTTAGGATTTCTGTGCCTTTGGAATATAATTTTTTAGTACGACTTACACTTACTGATAATAGCATCCTTTACCAATCTTACAGGAACGACAAGAAGAAGTAGACCAGCTTCTGCACAAAACAAGGGAAGAAATGCATGCTACATTGCAACCTGATGGCCGTTCTCCAAAGCAAGTACATGGTCCAACATCGACCTCACAACTGAAGCCTGCATCTGATAGCGGTCAGAACAGTGGTGCCTCTTCACATTCTCAAGTAAAGGGGAAAAAGAGGGAAAGAGGGGATCATGCGGAACCTGTCAAACGAGACCGCAATCTAAGGAGTGATGATGGTGACTCTTTTTCGAATAAAATTGATAATCTGAAATCGGAGATCACAAAAATAACAGAAAAAGGAGGACTTGTGGAGTTGGAAGGTGTTGAGAAGCTTGTCCAATTGATGCAGCCGGATAGAACTGAGAAAAAGTTGGATTTGGGAAGCCGTTCCATTCTTGCTGGTGTAATAGCTGCAACTGATAATGTTGATTGCCTAAATTGGTTTGTGCAGCTTAGGGGTTTACCTGTATTGGATGAGTGGCTGCAAGATGTTCATAAGGGAAAGATTGGAGATGGGAATGGTTTGAAGGTTTCAGATAAATCTGTGGAGGAATTTCTTGTAGTGTTACTCCGGGCACTGGATAAAGTTCCAGTTAATCTTCAAGCTCTTCAAACGTGTAACATTGGCAGATCAGTTAATCATTTAAGATCACACAAGAACTTGGAAATTCAGAAGAAGGCAAGAAGTTTAGTGGACACATGGAAGAAACGCGTTGAAGCTGAAATGATTAGTATCGATGCGAAGAATACAACATCACATGGTCCTGTGTGGCCTCCAAAATCACGCATTCCAGATGCTCCTCATAGTGGAAACAGAACACCAACTGGGTCTGATCCAAGCCCAAAAGGTTTGGTTTCACAGAATTCTGCATCGAAAATTCCTTCAGCAAGGTCTCCACATGGGGACAGTAATATGAAATCTGCTACTTCATCTCCTGGACATGCGAAATCATCATCACCTTCATCTGGTAAGGAAAGCCTGCCAAGAATTTCTGTCGGTGGCACTCCTGATTCTCCTGTTGTTCGGGAGGACAGGAGTAGCAGTTCTAATCAGTCTCATAACTGTACCCATTCTGTCCCAGTGAAGGAAGAAGGAAAAAGTAGTGCCGTGGCTCCAGTGACTGGTAATAAAATGTCTGGCAGTAGCACCCGTAGTCGAAAAGCTAGTGGTTTTCCTGGGTCACCAGCAACTGGAAGTCAGAAAGAGATAACCTCCACTAGAAGTTCTTCTACACAGAAGAGCACTGCATCAGAAAAGCTGTCTCATCCTTCCTTGAGTAGTGAAAAGGAAAAGGCTCTTGAGGGGCCTCAAACTGAGGGGGCCAGTGGCAATAAGGTTATTGTTAAGATACCTTTCCGAGTACGCAGTCCTGCTCATGGAGCTGTTGGAGAGTCTCTAGAAGATTCTTCCACTGTAAACAGCCAAGTTTCCTCTCCTGTGCATCCTGATAAACAGGAGCAGTTTCACCGCCCATCAGAGGACAAAAGAGAGACTCACCGCGATAATGTTGGTTCAGGCATGAATATGAATACATGGAAAAATGATGATGTAAAAGATGCTGTGACAGGATCTGCTGAAGGTGCTATATCACCTGCACCTCTTCCTGATGAAGAACAAAGTATGACCACTGAAGACTCGGTGAGGTTAAGTGAAGCACCCTCAACAAATCAAGTAAAATCTGGAAAGCTTCACCCATCGTCTTTCAGTCCCATGAATGCTTTGATTGAGAGCTGTGTTAAGTATTCTGAAGCAAATACCCCATATATCGAAGATGATGGTGGAATGGACTTACTTGCCAGTGTGGCTACTGGAGAAATGTCAAGATCGGGCTTGGTTTCACCTGCTGATTCTACTGAACAAGGTACACCTGCAGTTCAGGAAGTTGGTGATGAGGTAAAATCTAAGCCTTGCCCTGAAAATAATGCTGAAGGAGTTCAAATCCAGTTTGGAAATGATGCTGAAAGCAAAGACAAGAAGCCAGCTGTTTCAGATGGTGGTTCGTGGTCTGACAATGGATTGCATTTATCTAAAGATGCACTACCTGGTTACTCTGGCGACAGAAAATGTGCTGCATCGAAGAGTTCTGAAGAACTTGTTGGAGAGGGCAATAGGCAATTTGATTCCAGCATGGATGCGGAAGGCAAGGCTGATGTTAAGATGGAAATGAAAGAAAAGTTGAATCTGAAAACCGGTACATCTCTGGCACCCTCGGCACTTGCAGAGAAAGTGAGAGGTGGTGAACCAAATGAAGGACTTCAGGGGGTAAATGGGACTTCGTGCTCAGCTGCTAGTGATAATATTGTGAACTGCAAATCAGGTGGAGGTAATTTTATGATTAGACAGGAAAAAGCGATTGTGGATACTCTAGAGGAAGGAAAGACAGTTGCCGGAGATGTAGCGTCAGATCTATCATCTCATCGTGAACAGAAAGATGACACAAATGAAGGGCAGGAAGCGAGAAGTTTACAGCACACTATAACTTCTGAGTTTGCAGAAAGAGCTAATGATGAAAAATTGAAGTCGGTGTTGGAAGCTAGTGATCATGCCAAAGATGAAGAGCGTAATGAAAATGATTCGAAGAATAGCTTAGGGAAGTCTGACAAATTGAAGCTGGAGATGGAGGTGGATGGCAAAGCAGCTAGTGAGGTCCATAGCTCAGTTAGTTTGTGCTATTCATCAAATGAACTGAAGAATCATCAGAAGGAGGTCAGTGGAGAAAACAAGGTAGTTCTGGAGCATATTTCAGTCTCGGAGATGGTTGGTACTACTGAACGTGAAGACTTGAAGGACAAAACGAAAGGAACCAGACCTGTCAACAAGCAACCAGATGAAGCAGATGGGCATCCGTCCTCTGCCGCTGCAACAACATCAGATGTTGATGTCAAAATGAAGTTCGACTTAAATGAAGGGGTTGTTTCTGACGAAGGCAAATTTGGGGAGCCTGTTAATTTATTGTCCTCAGACACAGCAACTGTCCAAATGATTAACTCTCTGGCATTCCCTGTGAATTCCACCCCCAGCGGCCATACTGCCTCCATTACTATTGCTGCGGCAGCAAAAGGTTCCTTTGTTCCTCCAGAAGTGCTCAGAAATAAAGGGGAACTTGGATGGAAGGGATCTGCAGCTACCAGTGCATTCCGGCCTGCTGAGCCCCGCAAAGCTCTTGAAATATCATCGAGTTCAGCAAATATATCATGCCCTGAGGCTTCTAGCAGTAAAAGTGGTCGATTTCCATTAGACATTGATTTGAATGTACCAGATGAAACAGCTCTCGAGGAAATGGCTTCCCAAGATGCTGCTTTTGCTGTTGCCTCAACAACTAATTTTACTAGCAATCGAGCTCTGCTATCCAATGATGCCCCAGGTTCTTCTACAACAGTTCGAGGCTCATCAGGTGGGCTGGATCTTGATTTGAATAGAGTTGATGAAGCAAGTGATAATGGGATCTGCTCCACCAGCGGCATTTACAAAGGAGAAGCACCTGCTGTGCATGTTAAGCCTTCCGGTAGTTTGCCTTGTGGTGACACCCGGAGGGATTTTGACCTCAATGATGGGCCTGGGGTCGATGAAGCTTGTGTTGAACCATTCTCTATCAATCATCAAATCAAAGGTGTTATGCCACCTCAGTTGTCTTCGATGGGCCTTAGAATGAACACAGCGGGGCAGGGGAGTTTCTCTTCTTGGTTTCCAGCTGGGAATACTTACTCAACCATAGCAGTTCCTTCGATGTTACCTGATCGAGGGGAACATACTCTTCCAGCTTATCCACAGGCTGCAACTCAGCGACCATATGCCCCTTCCGAAGTTACTGCATTTGCTCCAGATGTTTTTCGAGGATCAGTGTTATCATCTTCTCCTGCTGTATCTTTCCCCTCAAGCTCCTTTCCATACCCTGTCTTTCCTTTTGGCACTAGTTTTCCTCTCCCTTCGGCTTCTTTTTCAGTTGGGGCAGCTCCATATCCGGATTCTTCCTCTGGCCCAAGGCTGTTTGCACCTCCCGTACATTCACAGCTTCTGGGACCTGTTGGTTCAGTTTCTTCCCAATTTCAGAGGCCTTACATGGTAAGCCTTCCTGACAGCAGCAATCATGGATTGGAGAACAACAGAAAGTGGGGCCGACAAGGCCTGGACCTGAATGCGGGACCTGGAGCTGTGGAAAGTGAAGTCAGGGAGGAGATGTTTTCTCTGTCATCAGCTCAACATTCGGCTGCCAATTCACAAGCGTTGGCTGAGGATCAGGCTAGGATATATTCAGTTACAAGTGGCGTTATGAAGAGGAAGGAGCCCGAAGGAGGGTGGGAGAACGAGAACTTCAGATACAAGCAGCCTTCTTGGCAGTAGGAGTCTGAACTTTGAAAATTCATATCCTGATGTCCTGTAAGTACTCTTCTTTCCATTCCTAAATGCTTTCTACGCTAACTGCCTGTCCTACATAAAGTTAATCCCATCAATGTCATGTCATATTATTAATACTCCATTTCATGTGTGTGGACAAACTGTTTTACTGAATTCAAATGCTGAAGAAAGTTTGCATGCTCTTACTTGCCATAAATAAGCAGCCCGACCGTGATGTTTAGTTATGATATGTCTCTAACATGGAAATCTTGGTTCCTTCCATTGTCAAGGATTGCATGATGCTCTTACTAATGTTTTCGAATGTTATTTTAGTTGTACGATGGAATTTGGTTTCTGGCACAATCTTTTCTTTGATTTTGCTAATCTTGTGATTCTCACAAGTTTAAGTGTCGTTTTGTTTTTGTATTGTTTTTCTATTCTTCTTTGGGGATAGCTTTCTTCCTGAATTTTTGTGAAATCTTTATACATCCTCTAAACCTGTTAATTTCTTTCTCAATTAGAAGTATCTATGTATATTGTAATTTGTAAATGCTTATAGAATTATTGCTAAAAGTTGTGTAAGGTTGTAACACAATAGATGAAAATTTTGAATGTGATGTTAAACATTTGTTCGTCAAGGTTTACCAACTACTTGTTCTCTAGTTTGGGAGCAAATCTGTAGACCCTTTGATGGATACCTTGGAAGGCTGAACGCTAAGTGATTCTAGTCCGATAATTGAAAATTTCTCATGTCTCTGCATATTGTCTGTTCCACCACCGTCCTCTATTTCATTTGCTGTATGTTTCAGATAGATTGACAACAGTTATTGCACTTATCTAGCGATTATATCTGATTAGTTAATGATTCTTCTGTTTTACAGACAAGTGGATTGTGAGCATGCCGTGTTCAGTTCATGCCCGCCTCTTCTGCATGTCTACCATATAATCTGCTTTCCATACTGCCCTGGCCTGTAGATATTTTCGGTGCAGAAAGAATTAACTTTCTTCTGGTGGGATAGAGGGTACTGAAGATGATTTGATGATGTGCATAAATAGTTTGTTGCAACATATCTCTCTGGCTCCTAATTATTTCTGAGGATGCTGTTTTATCTTTAGAACTGAGAAGAGCAAAAAAAAACAAAAAAAAAGTCGAAGCCCCTGTGAACTTCATATTTTTGCTTTTTCTTTTTAAACTTTTTTTCCTTTTATCCATCATTAACTTTGATACACCTCTTTTTTCATCTTAAATTAGATTTTTTAGCTTAAATTCGATACTAATCATTCTCATTATCTTTCTTTGGTTTTACATTTTATTTTGTCGTATATGCTCATCTCTCCTGGAATATTTACTTTTTATAGTGTAAGAGGTTCGAAACAACGTGCTCTGTGTTAGACAGGATAGTTTTATGCAGGTTTCGACTCTTTCTAGTCCTGAAAATGGCTCGGCTAGTGTGAGGTGGATTTGAAATTATGTCGCAATTGGTCTTGATTGGTTCCGACTTTTTCTAGTCCTAACTTACATGGCTAGCGCGAATCAAGATAAAAATTTTGTGCAAGTTTCAATTGTTTTAGTGTAATGAGTTTCTTACTCTTAAATGTTCTAGCTAGTATAGAGTGAGATTGAAATTTTTGTGTAAGTTTCGATCATTCTTTCTTGGTTTCGACCTTTTCTACACCCCTAAGTGGCTTGGCTAGTGCCAAGCAAGAGAGAAATTGTGTTAAGTTTCAGTTATTATCGGCGCTCTCTAGTTCTAAAATGGCACGGCAAGTGCGAAAGTGATGGAATTTAGGGAGAATGAAGTTTCGACTAAGCTTCATATCTTCTTGATTTTGACTTGCCCTGGCTAGTTCCAAGTGGCATTCGAATATCTTGCAAGTTAAATTGCTCTTAATTTCGGCTCAAGTTTAGGTGTCGAAAACTTGCATCTAACTTTAGACTAGAGATATATGCATAAGCTTTGTAAGGCTTTTTGGCTTCACAATCATGTGTAGGCTATCGAACCTTACACAGGGATAGCTTTCATTTGAAACACGAAGTTCTTCGCACGTATAATGCTTAAATTAAATGGCATTCGAGCGAGGTTAGTGTTCCTATGATCATGGTTCATCAGATTGGCTGAGTCAGACCTCCGGAACTGAAACGGTGAGGACGGTTCTTACTGTTCCGGTATAAAGAAAAAATCGGATTTTTTTACAAAATTCTTCTAATTCACAAATCTTATCCAACACATCACATATATGGTAAAAATAACTCTAATTTTTTTTCATTCTTACCGAGTTTTGGTGATCTCTTATCTGTTCGTCTTGCATTAATATTTGGAAAAGAGTGTTGGGAAGAAAGGTCGGAGAAGAAACGGGTTGGAAAGAATTGGATCGTGGTAATTTGGGCAATGGCTCAAATTAATTATCTTATTAGCTCAATTAATTTAAATTTTTGTAGATAATAGTATAAGATTGATTTGTTTACTTAATTTGTTAGTATAATTACAATAATCATGCAAATTATGAAATTATGTATATATATATATATATTAATTGAGTTGAAATATTATTTATTTTAAATTTTAATTTACTATAAATTAGTATAATATATTTTCTTTAATATTATATATTTTAAAACTAATTATATTATGATTTTATATATTTTAATTGATTATTATCGTTTTTTTAATAAATATACTTTATATAAACATTTGTTCACTTTCATTTTCAATAATATCTCAATATTATTTATAATATATATATCTAAAAAAAATATTACATTGCACACATTTTATCTGCAATATTAAAACATGAAAAAACATATTTTCAATTAAATTATTCTATACAACAATTATTTTCAGTCAAAACTTTCATATTCACTAAGCAACTCAATAAACTTTCAAAATATGTCCAAATGGCCGAAGCTTCTGCTGAAAATATAACGTTGTACTATTGTATTAGGGTGGAGATTTAAATTTGATTTAAATAGTATTTTGATATAATATTTTATGAAAAAAAAATTTAATATATTTTTTATTAGTATTTTCTTTTTTTGAAATAAAAAATAAACACACCCTAAATAAACCTATGTCTAGATAAATTTTTGAATATATTAAAATTTTAAAAAAATTAAAATAATAAAAATTAATTTTTAATGTGATATTTTTAAAAAGTTAAATGTAAACTATACTTGCTATGATATTTTTTCTTTTTTCAGCAATTAAGTTTATTGGGCTTTTCAATAAGCCAAAAAATTAATTTCCTCTTTGGATTTAATTAAAAATTTTAATATTAAAATAATATTTTATTTTTTTAATATATATATATATTTTATTAGTTCATTCTATATGTTAACGTATATATTTAATTATAATTTTACTACTTTACATAAATATTTTTCTTTTATCATGGTTTGATTATTTTTATAAAATATAAGAATAAAGTTATTTTTATATTATTTTAATTATTTATTTTAATTAAAATATTATTACTATATCTTAAACTTGCGCCAAAAATATACATTAGTGCGGCAAGAAGGAAGTATACAAGGCGTGTTATCTTTATTATTATTATTTTTATATGTTTTTAAAAATACTAATATATCTAGTAGTAATCATTCAAATTATTTCACAAAATAAATTTAATAATATTTTAAATATAAGAAAATATACTTTCTTCGTTCTGTTGTTAATTTTATTTTTGTCAAATATTTTTATATTTTTCACTATAATTAATTATAATATTAATATTTAAATAATAGAATTTGGTAGTTTTCACCTATACAAATTCATTACTTCTGTTACAAAAAGTAAATAGTATCTCAACTTTGATTTAATATTTATTCAAAACATTTATTACCGACAACAGAAACGATACGTCGTCGTTTTGAAGAAAGCTTTGTTCTATTATAAACCCTCGCCTCTACGCCTTATTCAATTTTTTCCCTCCGTTCTTCGCATCTCCGTCCCTCCAGCGATGTCCGGCGGGACCCAATTGAAGCGCAAGCGCGGCCGCCGGCCAAAGAACTCGTCGCCGGAGCCTGCCGTGATCGAGAACAACAAAAATCCAGCGACGAACGCCGCCGCTTCTGCGGCGGAAACCGACGTTGGCGGCAGCGCGGAGCACGCCAGCCCCGCCGTGCAGCCGTCGTCTTCCGGCCAAGACGGGCGGCGCCGCGGCCGGCCGCGTAAGAACCCCAAGGTTGAGCCGTCCGTCAGCACCACAAATGCCAAAACCCTAGCCTTGGCGGTGCCGCCTATGGCGAACGGCGCTCTTCCTAACTCGATCGCTAGCGTCGATAATGCGGTGGCTAGGGTTGTCCCCGCCATGGACGCCGTCGTGAAGGTTTTTTGTGTTCATACCGAGCCGAATTTCTCGCTGCCGTGGCAGAGAAAACGGCAATACAGCTCGAGCAGCAGTGGCTTTGTTATTAAAGGAAGGAGGGTTTTGACAAATGCACATTCTGTGGAACATTATACGCAGGTTAAATTAAAGAAGAGGGGTTCGGATACTAAATATTTAGCCACTGTGCTGGCAATTGGGACAGAATGTGATATTGGTGAGTTTTATTTCCATTTTAATTTTCAAGTTTGTTTGCTAATAAATCTTTTGCATGTTTATGGATCCAATTTTTTCATTGCATAGATCATTTAGATGAAAAATGGGTTTTTATGTGAAGTTGTGATAAGCAAGTAAATCACATTTTGCATAAGCCTTATTGCCATCATTTAGATATGTGTTTGTTTGGGCTTTTGGATTTCAAGTTTGTGTCTTGAATTGGAATATTCTTTGTATGTGATATAAGTAGCGATAATGTGATGTTTGAATGCAAAATTGACTTCTAGTATACTATAAAAATATTGATTTAATATTTTTGGAGTGAAAATTTTGGAGCTCAAACAAGCACACCCTAAGTTTCACTTTCAGACGTGTAAGAGGAAGTGTTATAATGAGGCTTCTCTTCCAAGATTAGAGGCAATAACTTTCTAGAACTACAACTTCACATATATGTTTTGTAAGCATCTTGATTTTAGATGCGCATCATTTTTTATTTTATTTTATTTGGAAGTGAAAATAATTTATTGTATTAGTTTGATCATTTTTGCAGAAGGAAGAACCATAATTTTAGCGGTACAGCTATAGACAAATAGAGATCACGTCACTACCATGTTCACTTATTTTAGCAAAAGTATATGCTCATTAGTGCTCCATGGAATATATTGGTTGATACCAAATCAGTAAATGTGGCCCTATCTGAGATATGATGCAATTGTTGTTGACAAGTGTGCTCGGTCTATTAGTGATTATTACTCTTATTCCTTCTAGGGAATTGTATAAGTTATCTAGACATCTCAGTGGAGACGACATAAAAATATTGCAATCAGGTCAACCTTTTTTTTAAAAATAATTGCACAACTGAAGTGCTTGCGTCATGAAACATTTGGACATTCTTTAGCTGGTACCTATTTTTATACTAGTTTCTTGTTATTTTGTATATGGTTGGTTCCGTGACGTAACATTTCTGTTTATTATAATGATTTCAAATATATATGCTGTGATGAAGAATCAAAATGATGCATACAAATGCATTTAATATAATATTGTGCAAGCTAATACAGTTTCCGGAAGTAAGAACTATAATCTAGGGTAAGTGGTGAACAATGTTCACTAAAGGTAAAGCGTGTTCTGAGATAGAAAAGTGTAAGATTTGTTTGACTTATTTGGATTCTGAATAATGGTGGCATTGCTTTATAATAAAGCTCTTCCATTGCTCATCGTTAGAGTTATAGATTCTTCTTTTTGTTGCTTCCATTTTCTTGTAATTGTACTATTAGAATTTGAATAGGGATTCCTATTTGATTGGTCATGTGCTTTTTGCTCTCAGATAAATGCAACATAATTAAAGCATGTATTTAACTTTGATGCTATATACATACCTCAAAACATGTTGAAAGATTTTAATAGGGAGGACAATGAAGAAAGTTATCCTTGGTGGATGCTGATGTAAAGTAGTTGATGGAATGGCATTCCATTTCCAGTTGGTCCTCATGTTAAATATTTAAGATTTCTCAAGTACTTTACTGAAAGTTTTCTTCATAGGTTTAGAGCTCTTAGAAACACGGTAAGATGCTCTTATAAAAAGAGTCTATGTTCCAAAAGAAGATCCTTCAGCCAGGGATTGGATGATGCCTTGTGTTTAGCTGAGTTGGAAGACTATGATATGTAATATAATGATGCATATCCCTACAAACTTTTTGATGATATGGTCATTTAACTTGGTATCAGAGTATAGGACGTGTGTGCATGTCTAATTCTCCCACCGTCCTCCGTAAAAATTGTCTTCATGCAAGATTCATGTGTGGCGTAAATCTACCTTGCGCATGAGGGAACATGTTGGGAGACTATAGTATGTAATCTAATGATTAATATCCCTGTAAGTTTTAGGTTTTTAGGTGACATGGTTGTTTAACAAGCTTTTTTTTTTTTTAAATTCAATTTTTGAGGCTAAACTGAATGCGTTATGTGGTGTTGCAGCTTTGCTTACAGTGGATGATGATGAATTCTGGAAAGGAGTGTCACCTGTAGAATTTGGGGATCTGCCTGCACTTCAAGATGCTGTTACTGTTGTGGGTTATCCCATTGGGGGTGATACAATCTCTGTAACAAGCGGGGTTGTGTCACGCATAGAAATTCTATCATATGTTCATGGATCGACTGAACTTCTCGGTCTACAGGTAGTTAATTTCTACTTCAACCCTGTTCTATCCTGATGTTATGAATAAAAATGCAATTACGTTTTGGAAATTGTTCTTTTGCAGATTGATGCTGCTATAAACTCTGGAAATTCTGGAGGTCCAGCTTTCAATGACAAGGGAAATTGTGTAGGTATTGCTTTCCAATCACTCAAGCATGAGGATGTCGAGAATATTGGTTATGTCATACCAACACCAGTGATCATGCACTTTATCCAAGACTATGAGAAGAATGAAACATATACTGGTAATAATCTCATAGCTCTTCTCTTCGTGTCGAAATCAATGTTTTGGAGTTGGTTTGAACTATGATATTCTCTTCATATGGATAGTGCCGGTGTATGATTACATAGTGGATCAATGGTGGATTTCTGAGTGGTGCAAAGTAGGAGTATCCAAAAACTAAATATTTTTAATGCAATGCTATGCACTCTACTAAATGTTGATGGTGGCTAGATTCTAGCATAAAAGGCTAGCTTGTTTAAATCTGCTCCTACGTACATATTGTATTGCTGTTTGTTTCTTCAAGTTACTGATCTCTTCCTAGTTTTGGCTTGTTTTAAGTTATTGTTTATGCATTTTAAAATTAGTTTGTGCTTAGTTTCTTATGTTGGCTTACGACATCTCAAACAATCAAGTGGTTTTGCCTTTGTACTTACAATGGGTGTTACTTATTGTAAGTTATTCACAGTTCACACATCTGCTAGTATTTTAGTTTTGGTTTCTTTTGAATCTTGGATTATGGGTGTTCAAATCAGTTCAGGTTTAGCTTGTACTGTTGGCTGACTGCATCTTATAAAAGATCAAGTTCTTTTATCCTTATGCATACAGTGGATATCTTCCATTGTAAGGTACTTACACCCCTGTTAGGTATAATGTTTCTATGGCCCCTTTTGTTTTTGTAGTGATCTGATGCATTTTGCAGTTAATGCAAATGAATTTCTGTTATTGCAGCACAAAATGCAATGTAGAATGAAAGCTTGTTTGTGCTATAAATTATCCTGTGCTTGCTTGCCATGGTTTAGCTTAAAAGTTTGTGCCTTCTATCTTTTGTGATAATATTTTTGCTCTGATGCTAGTTGTAGGAATGTAACCTTATGCACTCATTCAATAATTCAGGAAGGGGTGTATATTCATAGTGTAGATAGCCCATGTACAAGGCCATTTTTATTTTTAATAAAAAGTCCAGTGCTTTAGGTTCTTACAACATTTTAATTCGTACTTATTTAATACCTTTAGGAGTTAGGACACTAGAGTGCATATTTAGCTATGAATAAACTCTCGTTCTGAAGAAAGTTGATAATGAATATATGGGAAAGGGGTATGTGATTGATGTATTCCACTGCACTAATTTTTTCCCAACAGTCGGTACCTTTTTATTCAAGAAATGTGTCTTATTTATTTTCTTTTAATTTTTTCCAAACTCTTGTTGGTTTATCTTGTGGTTCGAATTTAAAAACATTCACCCTTCCTCAACATCATATGTATATGTGTTCATAATACTTCCTCTTGACCAGATGTTTTTTTCCCTTTCTTATATTTAGTTGTTGGTAGTTTGATGTTCATTAATTAATCAAAAAGTCCTGCCTTTTACTGTCTTCTGCTATGAATGCTGCTGTAGGTTGCTATTGCAGTAGATTTGCATGTTTAGGTAGCATGTTAGGTGCTATCAGTACCTATCTTTTCTGCTTTCTCAGACTGTTTATTGTTATATGGTAGGTTTTCCTATTCTTGGGGTTGAGTGGCAGAAGATGGAGAATCCAGACTTGCGTTTGTCCATGGGGATGAAACCTGATCAGAAGGGTGTGCGTATAAGAAGGGTTGATCCGACAGCTCCAGAATTTAGTGTTTTGAAACCATCAGACATCATTCTTAGCTTTGATGGGGTTAATATTGCTAATGATGGAACAGGTATGATTCGCATTAAAGGTTCTGTGATCACACTCATCAATGGATTTACAGCATGCATCTCTATGCACACTGACTTTTTTATGTTTGCTTGTTTCATCTGCTCTTATTATTATATTCAACTTGTATATATATATATATATATTGTAAAACTAATTTAACATAAAGACCTTGGTCTGTATGCTACGTAACAAAAATGTTCCATTCTTTTGGAAAATTTTGACTATTGAATGAGTTGATGAGATATCATAGTACTCAGGCAAGGGAGATATAAGGTCATCTACATGGCATACCGGAAAGTTCAATACGAAACATTAAAGTTATTTCATGCGCCCTATATGGGCTTTAGACACTGGACAATTTTTCCTGCTTAAATGGCAATTTTTTTTAGGACAACTCATTTCATGTTGTTCTAAACTCTTAATGAACCTGTATGCATACAAGTGCTATCCTTGATTTTCTTCTTAAAAATAGTTTAGCATTGAATGTGCTGGTGGTTTTTTATATTATAACTTATCCAATGATTATTTGCTTCATCTATTATTAACAATGCTTAGCTAGTTTGTGCAAACTGTAAACTCTCAAGCATGAATGGGTGTTGAATAAAATTACATGGACCAAATTCTGAGCAAAAAAAATAAACAATTCTATTCTTATGGCATCAGCATTTCTAGCACTCCTCGAGTTGGGGAATAGAGGCTGTAGACAGTCACGCACCTTGTTACATGTACAATCGGTTCTATGACCTCCTAAGTGATTTATTCATATATATAAGAATTGCATTTAATTTGAGAACTTTGCAACAAGATACCTATCTTGAATATTCTCTTAGATTGAATGACAATCCACATCAACATGTTTGGTCCGCTCATGAAAGATTTGGATTCAAGTGATGTTCATTGGTGCAATTGCCATAGAGACCAATATCATTCTAGAAATAAATCCAATCTTTTTATACCATGTAAAATCAAAGGGTCGGAATGAATCACAATGAGAAATGCTACTGGAGTCTGGAAATGATCAAGTTAACTGTAACGCACTGAACTGTTTGTTGACATATATACATTAATCTGGCAATGGAAGTTCCAACATATCTTTTTATGATTGAAAACTTCTGTAACCAATAATCGTTGCAATAGATGCTTTTTAGAAGCACATAATGGTCCTAAACAGATTCTCAGACTTGTAATCTTAATGTTCTTTTCATGCAGTTCCATTCAGGCACGGAGAGCGCATAGGTTTCAGCTATCTTGTCTCCCAAAAGTATACTGGAGATAAAGCTGGTATTGAAGTTCTTCGTAATTCTTCAATACTTAAGTTCAATGTTAGACTTGGCACACACAGAAGACTCATTCCAGCTCACAACAAGGGAAGACCTCCCTCATATTATATTGTTGCGGGATTTGTTTTTACTACTGTTTCTGTCCCATATCTCCGGTCTGAGGTAAGTTGTGCCTTTTAACATTTATGTAGATTTAATTGGAAATATATTGACAATTTATATCAAAATGATTACTCTATGTATTTGTAGTATGGAAAAGATTACGAGTATGAAGCTCCAGTCAAGCTGTTGGACAAACTCCTGCATGAAATGCCTCAATCACCCGACGAGCAAATTGTTGTCGTTTCCCAGGTCAATCCTTGCACTTCTCTAATTCTTATTTTGCCATATTTTAATTGGAGGCTACCGCTCAATCTGTTGTTAAAACCATTTTTCTTGTGAAATTAATTACAGGTTCTTGTGGCAGACATTAACATTGGTTATGAGGAAATTGTGAACACTCAGGTTAATCTCTCACTTTCGTTCAAACTGGATAATGCTTTTACTGCAAGTTCTTACCTTCTCTTCCATCACTTCCATGCACTTAGGTCCACGCCTTCAATGGTCAGCCCGTGAAGAATCTGAAGAACCTGGCTAACTTGGTGGAGAAATGCAAAGACGAATATTTGAAATTTGATCTGGAATACCAGCAAGTAGGATCTTAATATAGAAATTTTCACCTATTCTACAGTCATTCGGCCACTTACTTTCCTAATTTTTGTCAAATGTAGATTGTAGTCCTTCAGACAAAGACAGCAAAAGCAGCGACCTTGGACATCCTTGCTACCCATTGTATTCCCTCAGCCATGTCCGATGATCTCAAGGCATAAGACGTAGCATCACTTGGGGTACGTCATTTATCTTTTTGCTATCGATTGGAGATCTTTCTACCTGCTTACTAGCTTATAGCAATACTTAATAGAAAAAAAATTCAATTTCCAGCAAATTCAGTTAGTTGCCTGGAAAATTGGCCCTAAATTACACCTATTGGAGCTGTTCTTGACTGGTATTATCCTTCGGCTTCTATCTCGGATCATTTGGAGTATTTTGAATAATCATGTTTTTATACTGAAATTTTGATGTGAGAATTGATTATTACTTGGTTTGGGAATTTGAAGGAACATAATGCACAAAGCCATTAGTTTCTTATTATTAAACATAAATGTCTGTTTTGAATTATGGGATGTGATATTATTTGTCACATTATTTGATTTGATTGTGTCAAGGCTTTGCTTAATGCTTGATGATATGATGGAAATTTTTTTGACAATTTGATTGTTTCATTTTAGAGAAACTATTGTATTTTTATTGGATGTCGGTTAGAGTTCTGATTTGACTCAATCAATATATATGATTAAGCATATGTATTGTGCAATTTTATTTTTGTACTGTGGTTAGAGTTAAACAAATTGAGTAGCTCGTGAGCCAAGTTCAATTCGAGTTCGAGCCTTACAAGCCGAGTTCTTGCTTGAATTTGCGCCTAACAAACCGAGCTTGAGTCACTATTTTCGTTCAAATTTTACAAATGGAGCCGAGTTTGTACCGTTAACAAGTTCGAGTCGAGCTGGAACAACCAATACTTAAGCTCGCTCGAACAACCAATATTCAAGCTCGTTCGGCTCGTTTAAAAGCTCTGTCTTCTATATTATGTGGAATTATATTATGTGCGATTCTATAATCTACCATGCCTCCATTTAATTATAAATGGTATAGTATTTGATTTATCCAATCTTATTTTGAATGATAAAAGAATGAGTCCTTATTTTTTTTTTCCAAAATATTACATTGAATATCTATTTATATTGTGGTAAAAATTTGTCTCAACAATTTTACTATTTTGGCCAATTATTTTCTGATTAAAGAATATCATTTAGTTGTTTCTAGTAATTAGAAGATTCTCTATGAACAAAAATGGTTTTCTTTGCAGCAATATTAAGTTCATCTACATTGTAGGATATTTCATATTGTCATTTCAAGATTATGTGCAACAAAAATAAGTATAACAAGATATATAAATAAATATAAATAGGTGTTCTTCTAAAATTTGATTTTACTTTTGTCTTGATTTGTTATTTGAATAATGATTTTGTTGTGATGCATTGTGAAATTAAATATTTTATCTGTCTTTTAAAATGATATTATCCGTTAAATATGTGTTTATTTTATTTATTAATAAATAATTTTATTCATCTATGATTTTACTATTTTAGGTTAACAAATAATTAATTTATTATTATTATTATTATTATTATTATTATTTTTTAAACTTATTCTACTTTTTTTTATATCAATTTTTAAATAATTTTTTAAATACTCTCAATATATTTATTTATTATTATTATTATTCCATCTCTATACAAATTTAGATAAATTTACCGAAATGAATGAGTAATATTTTTTTATAGAAAATTTATAATGATTGCACAGTAACTACAATTTTAAAAGTAAAACTAAATTTAAAGGGAGCAAAAAACAAGAAACGCAACTCCATTGGAACATTAATTTTCATGGGAAATATGAAGTTTTTATTAAAATATGTATACAAATATTGCATCAATTTTGCAATAGTGAAACCCCACTTAGATAACATTTTATTTTGTGTTGTGGTCGTGCTTCTTTATATTATCTTCTCTTTATTTGTTGATAATATTTTTAAGTACAATTTTAGCCTTCCATTATATGTTAAAATTTCATTTCACTTTTGATTGTGACCCATCACAAAAGCACCTTTTATCATTTTAATTGAGAATATTCCCTCCGCTCCGATAAAAAGGATTTCATTTTTCATTTTTATTCGTTTCAAAATAAAGATACAATTTTTTAATTTAGTCATTGTATTACCTACCTAATATAATAAATATCATTCTAACTGCCTTTATATTACACAAATGTTACTATCTTTATATTACGTTGGGGTGCAAACTCAAGTTGTGAAGAAAATTTTTCACTTTATAAGTTTCAAGTGAACTTCACTGGTACGCAGAATATCCAAAAACAAATTCGTGCGGGCTCAGCCCAAAGCGGACAATATCATATCAGTGTTGAATTGACCCAGTGACATTAGACATTGATTGACCTGCGAATGTGCCTTGTGTCTTGGGTCGGTCCCGATTGAGGTGTATAGGGAATCTTATAAGTCCCAAGAATTTTATTAGTACGAAGTCTTTTGGAGAATATAAAAAACAAATCCACATTCCCAACAGTATTAATAAATAGTATTAATAAGGATATTTTTGCTCCAATATAATACTAATATTTAAAATTCTATGTAAAAAAAAAAAATTACTCTTGATATGGAATGGAGGAAATATATAAAACTTTATGATAAAAATTATCAAGAAAAACTATATATATAGTTTATCTGGCATTGATTTCAATTGAAATCATCATTATTCATGTCCACTCAGCATTTATCTGTCACTCATCTAATGACACTTTTTTTAAAAGAATTATGTATCTTATTTACATTTTAAGTTTTTTAATTTATAATTTTTTTTTATATTTTAATTAGAATAATTATTTCTTTTAATTTTAATCCGTCACACACATCTAACGACACTTTTTTTTATAAAGAATTATAAATCTTATTCACATTTTAAATTTTTTAATTTATAATTTTCTTTATATTTTAATTGGAATAATTATTATGTTTTTAAAAATTTAAAATTATAATTATTGTTACTAATATATTTTTAAGTATTTATTAAGTATATTCTTTGTAAATTTTAATTTTTGAGTCTTCAATAACTAACTGTAACACTATACATGGAACAAAAAAAAAAAAAAAAAAAAAAAAAAAAAACACTATACATGGAACAAAGGAAATATCAATTTTCTATACAGAATATTAAATGCAATCACGGATTCACTTGAAAAAAATATAACAAAATTCAGAACCTTTGAATTTTCAACCGTAAAAATTTTTAAATTTAAGTAATTATTTAATTTAATATTAATATAATATTTGAAATATAAAATTAATTTATAGTACTGCCATATAAAAAATTAAAAATACGAATTTTAATTTGATTGAAACTATTGACTAAGAGTGAAAGTCTTAAGAAAAGACCAACTAAACACAACCTAACATACAAATCCTTTTAACTTTTGTTCATGAAATATTGACAAAACAAATAATAATAATAATAATAATAATAATAATAATAATAATGCTATATAAATATTTCATAAATAAAAATAATAATGCTACTTACAATATCTAAAGCCAATTTGATATTGAAACCTTATTGCATTTTGGTAAGTAAATACAAATCATCAAATTCAAAGGCCCCAAGAAAAAAAAAAAAAAAGAAAAAGAAAAAAGACAATTTTTTTTTAAGAAAAAAATAAAACCAAAACTTACACACATTAATATTTAATTTGTAAAATTTTTCTTACATATTTCATAAGTCACTCACCACACTACTCAATTAATTACATTATTAATAATCACACGAAAAAATAAAATAAAATAAAACTCCAATCAAACTTACAGCGAAAACCGACCAGCAAAATCCCATCCGTCCACCGCGATCCGACGGACGGTCCAGATTAAACTGCCGCAGGACCTTCTTCTTTCCCGAGGTCCATGGACCCTCTGGCGTACCTGGACGAGAAGTTCCGAGAACCGTAGAAGTACTCATCATCCGCTCCCTCCTCGAAATGACCGTTTTGCCCCGGCCCTTCGTCGAAATTCATGGCGTAACTCAAGGGGTCGTAATGTAAATTCACGTTCCTCCGCCCGCTCCGGTTGAACCGCCGGATAAACGTCTTCCACCGCGGTCCGGCGACCAGTTCCGACCACTCACGGATCTTCTTCAACGCGCCGACGCCGCGCCGCCACAGGGCGGTGCCTCCGCCGCCCCCTCCGTCGACGTTCGCCGTGCGCAGCCGATCCAGACAGGGATAGAAGCAGGAGCAGCACCACCGCCGGCGACTGTGGAACAGCGATTCCGACGGCTCGTCGGCCGGATCCGTCTCCATCCTGAATTAAAACAGACGAATCTCTGGAATATTCCGGCGAGGAGGATTCCGATCGGCGGAGGAAGAATATCTTCGGGAGGATTTTTGCGCTTTGGGGATTTATTATTATTATTATTATTATTTATTAATTTATTTTATTTTGGGTGTGAAAGAAGGTAGCGTAGATGAGGCAATGGCTTGCAGAGACTGGCCAAATATATTGTTGTGATAGGTCGTAAATGCCCCTCAAATTGGATAGTATTTTGGCAAGTTGTGAGGATGGAATGGTAACTTCAGTTTGTCAGTTAACGCTCGAACCAAACATGGTAACGCCGCAATATGGGTGATTACGTGGCAGAGGATAGGGTTGAGCTACCTACCAAAATTTTTAATTATTAGAATATTTTAATTAATGGAAAATAAATATGTATATATACTTACATCACGTCTATATCTATTCTTAGTTTCGGCTGTCTCTAAATGTTTCATTTATTTTTATTAAATAATTATATCAAAATATAATATAAATTAAAAATATATATAAATATTTTTATTAATAAATTATAATATTAATAAAAAAATATTTATAAAAAAATTATATAAATATAAAAATATTTTAAATTTTAAATACCGATAAATGCGATCCTTAAACGCGAATAGAGTATTACTTCTCCTCTATCATCGAAAATACAGGGTATGTTTCTTCCGGTCCGGTTTGGGAGAAAACACTCTGCAAACACTGTTTGCATATTATTTTCTCCCAAACCGGCCCAGCTCCCCCATTACCGAGATTGGCTACCAAATGTATTTTAAATTTTTTTTTTCAAATTTTATATTTATTTAATATTTATAATAATTATATGATAAAAAAATATATATATGTCATTTTGTAGAGAATAATTTTTTTGATGATACGAATAAATAAAAATTTAAATATATATGTTTGGTATAATATAAATTTATAATCAAATCATACAATATAAATTTTATCAATTAAATTTAATACACATTTATATTATTTTATTAATTATCCATCGAATCAATACCCATCAAAACTCTCAAAACTCTAATCAAACCCAAACAAAAACAATAAAATTCAAATCCATCCCAAAATTCAAATAAAAACCAAATTCAAACCCCTCTAAAGAAACATACCCACAATTTTTATCAAAATAGTTTTTAATTTTATAAAAATTATAAATTTATTACTAAATATACAATTAATTTATGCATATAATATAAAAAAAAAAAATCTAAATGATCATATATATTCTTTAATTAACTAATAAATATTATTATTTTTTAATTTAATATAAAAACATAAAAAACTATTTTGAGGTAGGACAAAGATAATTTATTTTTATTTTTTAATTTAAAATATTATATTTAAATCATTATTCAAACTTTACAAAATAAAACAAAAAAGTATGTTTTGTATTTGAAGTGTGTTTTTATTTCTTATTATTTTTTTATTGAGTATAAATATGTTTGTAAAAGTAGATTTCATTATGTCATTACTTTTACAAAAATAATTTTGCAATAGTATAATGTAAATATTAACGAATAATACTTTGTTTTTTATGGAAAAGACTTTGAAAAGTATGTTACTATCAAAGAATAAAACAAATACACGGTTTTGTATATACCAACTGACGTGTTTAAATTAAATTTTTATTTAAATAATAATTCAATGCTTTCTCCGTCCATTTATAATTGTTTTAAAGTATATTTTGTATATTTTTAAATAATTGTCATTTTAGTATGAATTGACAAATTTATTATTTATGATAAGTTAGAGATTAAAAATATAAATAAATTAAGGGTAAAAAAATAAAATTTGTGTTTAAAAAAAAAAAAATATGACAATAGTTATTGGATGTTTTAAATAGAAAAATATGACATTAGTTTGTGGACGGTGGAGAGGGTGTATTATATTTTGTTTTTTTTAGAAAAAAGAATGAATATTGTCAAAATGTTTTTGAAATTAAAAACAAACAAATTCTTTTATTTCTAATTTCACCGTACAATTAAAGTAAAATACATTTTTCTTTTACAATCCTATTTTCATATAAAAAATTCATTTCAAATAAAAAACAAAAATAAAAAATAAAAATAAAAATATAATAAAAACATTCCCCAAAAACACAGCACAATTGCTTTCGGTTCCCTAACTGCCAAGAAAACTCCTTATTTAGGCACTAACACAAAACCTTCGTTCAACCAGAACGCGACACGTCATCACCACGCCAATAAACCAGCTCCTTAACACCGCCCTAATTTCCCGAATCTCACCCGCCCTATTATAAATACCTCATTCCTCTTTCTTCTTCTCCCACGCTTTCCGCATTTTCTTCAATTCTCTTAGCTCTGCATTTCGCGCTATAGCCGTTCGCCATGGACACTTCTTCCGCCAGTAACGACTCCACCGTCACCTCCGACGGTCACGACTCCGGCAAAGCGCCGACCGCCGATCCTAACGCCACGCTCGGCCGCCACGTGGCGAGGCGTCTGGTCCAGATCGGCGTCGAGGATGTGTTCTCTGTACCTGGGGATTTTAATTTAACTCTTCTCGATCATTTGATTGCGGAGCCTGGGTTGAACAATATCGGTTGTTGTAATGAACTGAATGCTGGTTACGCTGCGGACGGTTACGCCAGGGCGAGAGGCGTGGGTGCGTGCGTGGTGACGTTTACTGTTGGGGGATTGAGCGTTTTGAATGCGATTGCTGGGGCGTATAGTGAGAATCTGCCGGTGATCTGTGTTGTAGGAGGACCGAACACGAATGATTATGGTACGAACCGGATTTTGCATCATACTATCGGTTTGCCGGATTTCAGCCAGGAACTGCGTTGTTTCCAGACGGTGACGTGTTATCAGGTAACTGTAATTGCTAGCGAAGTCTAGAATGTTCTCGATTTATCATTTTTCGCTGCCATAGATATCAGTATAAGGCCACTGTGAGTAATGTATATGAAAACTGCGTGAAATGTATATATATATATGTCTGTGGATAATTATTAGGTGGAACTTTGTTGTTTCCGGACGGTGATGTATTATCAAGTAACTGTAACTGCTAGAGAATTCTAGAATGTTATGGATGATTTATCATTTTTAGCGCCATTGATATCAGTATAAGGTTACTGTAAGGAATGTATATGAAAACTGCGTGAAATGTAATATATATATATATCTTTGGATAATTACTACGATGAACTATTTGTTGCTTTGTTTGACTGATTTATTTGTCGAAATTTACTGAATAAAGTGAAGAATCATCATGATTTCTTGTTTCCATATTCATCAGGATTGATGATTTTTGTCCAAGCAAAATTGTTTCGTCATGCTTATAATTTAATGCACACTAATTTTCTCTTGTTACTGCTGCGACGGTCACATTTTGCAGGCTGTGGTGAATAACTTGGACGACGCACATGACCAAATCGATACGGCCATTTCCACAGCTCTGAAGGAGAGCAAGCCAGTGTATATAAGCATCAGTTGCAATTTGGCAGCAATTCCTCACCCAACTTTCATAAGAGAGCCAATCCCCTTCTCCATTACACCACGGTATACTTCAACTTGAGAATTTTTTTATGAACGTTCATTACATCAATATTGTTAAGGGTATCATGATCCGAAAACACAATCCGTTTGATCTCACAATTTTTATTTTGAGTTTTTAAGAAATCAGGTCCACTAGCTCAAATCCAAATCCAATATGATTTTCAATAATAATTAATAGTTTATTTTTACTTCATTTCAAATTAAATTATATTAATAAATAAAAAATAGTATTAAAATATAATTAATAGTGTTTTTTTTACCAATTTTACCAATTTTGTCTGCTTGGTTAACGTTTACTAAAATTACGAAGGGAATATTATATTGTTAAGTAAATTTTGTAATAAAAATATATAAACTAAAGTTATTATTATCCATTCATTTATTTTTTTGTCATATTCCTTTTTATCTATATCTTTTTATTTGGTAACTTTTCCTTCAACTTATGTGAGTATATAATTTTTAAAAATATATATATTTTCAATTTTTCATTTTTTTTTTAGATGTTGTAGGGTCTATTTTATTTTACTATTTCGGCTAATCGGTGATCCAAAATAAAATTATATTGACTTGAAAAATGGCGTTCTTGTTGTGTTCGGATTTGTAGATTTTTTGTCTCACCCATTGCTTAACATAGAAAACATCCTACAGATTGAGCAACAAACGCGGGCTGGAGGCAGCAGTGGAAGCAGCAGCAGCCTTCTTAAACAAAGCAGTTAAGCCAGTCCTGATAGGAGGACCAAAGCTCCGCGTCGCCAAAGCTTCTTCCGCCTTTGTGGAGCTAGCCGACGCCTGCGGCTATCCATTGGCCGTCATGCCGTCGGCCAAAGGCCTTGTCTCCGAGGAACACCCTCACTTCATGGGCACATATTGGGGCGCCGTCGGCACCGCCTTCTGCGGCGAGATCGTAGAATCAGCCGACGCCTACCTCTTCGCCGGCCCCATCTTCAACGACTACAGCTCCGTGGGCTACTCTCTCCTCCTCAAAAAGGAGAAGGCCATCATCGTCCAACCCGACCGTGTCGTCGTCGCCAATGGTCCTGCATTCGGCTGCATTCTCATGAAGGATTTCCTGCAGGAACTTGCCAAGAAGGTGAACAAAAACACCACAGCTTACGAGAATTACAGGTAAAAAGCTTTTAAATATACCAAACTGTTCGTGAACTTGGTTCAGTCTGGTTCGATTTAAGCTCGTTAATGAACGTAAACTTGCCAAATCGAATAACATAAATAGACTCATTTTGTTAATGAACGAGACTGAGCTCTGTTTATGAATATCCGTTAAATTGACATATTTTTAATATATATATATATATATGAAATTATAAACTAAATGAGCTTTAATCGAGTTGAATACAAACATGAGCTAAATGAGCTTTAACGAGTTGAATACAAACATGAGCTTGAATACTACAAACAAGCTCGAGTGTTTAACTAACAACCACGAACTTCATTTGTTAAACTTAACGAACGAACACTAACATTTCAAATTCCATTCGATTGGGATAGCTAACGGCTCTAATTACAGGAGAATCTTCATCCCGGATGGGGTGCCTCCTAAAAGTGAGCCTAAAGAGCCATTGAGAGTCAATGTGCTCTTCCAGCATATACAAAAGATGCTGACAGGCAACTCTGCAGTTATTGCTGAGACAGGGGACTCTTGGTTTAACTGCCAAAAGCTTAAATTGCCCAGCGGATGCGGGTAAGTCTTGCACCTCTACTCTTTAGCATTTGCAACAATTATGAATGATTCAGTACGGTATACCGAAAATATAATATTACATATTGTTAGATCAGATCAAATGTGGTGTTTGCAGGTATGAATTCCAGATGCAGTATGGATCGATCGGATGGTCTGTCGGCGCAACGCTCGGCTACGCTCAGTCTGTCCCGAATAAACGTGTAATCGCTTGCATTGGCGATGGAAGCTTTCAGGTCTCAGAATTTTGGCAAATAGCAAATGCTTCACATTGTTTTTTGATTGAGAAATTGTAGTAGTAGTAGTAGAACTGATGCTGATCCTACCTCAGGTTACTTGTCAAGACATCTCGACGATGATCCGGTGCGGGCAGAAGACCATCATTTTCTTGATAAACAACGGCGGATACACCATCGAAGTCGAGATCCACGACGGCCCTTACAACGTGATCAAGAACTGGAACTACACTGCATTCGTCGATGCCATCTGCAACGGCGAAGGGAAATGCTGGACTACAAAAGTACGTTCACATTACTTCAAATCCCCTCCCCCGCCCTAACATGACATCTATAATATACGAGACCGATTAGAATGCTGATTCGGAAAAATCAACATTATGTCCCAATCATCACATGAAAAACTAACAAACAACAAATATTTACAAATAACACGGCGCGTTATTTGCAAATATGTGTTGTTTGTTCATATTTATAAAATGTGTTATATGTATATATATTATACGCTGAAATCAATAGTAATATGTGATGTGTAGACTATTATGGTTAGTTCATGTGCTACATTTATATTATATTATGCAATGTCTCTCTGTCATATTATATTTTTCTATCATAATCTGATGTATTATTAACTCTGTGTTTAATTATATAATTAAATATGATAACTGCAGTCATATAGTAATATATATGGATATATATAGAGAGAGAGAGATAGAGAGCTATTACTTAGCTAATTTGAGAAGAGGATTCTATTTTATCTACTATTTGGTAAATATATAGCATATATTATTTAACCATATTGTAAAGTTCAGTTACCTTACTTTCAATGTATTGTGTTTTTTTCTATATTGATCAATTACTTTTCGTCATGTGTATTTTTAAAACAAAAAGAATTAGTAGAATAAAAAGTTTAAATACAAATGATGAAAAGTGATTGATTAGTATAGAAGTGACACAATACATTGGGGGTAGGGTAAGTGAACCCGACGATTATTAAGTTGAGATTACTCTTGACAAAAGTTTTGGTAAGTATGTTTTCAAGTTCAAATTCAACTAGGCATACTTGGGGGTGGGTATACGTATGTATGTAGTGATAGTTTTGAGAGCAATTTGGCACGTGACATGCAGGTGTACTGCGAGGAGGATCTAGTGCCCGCCATCGAAACGGCGAGTGGAGAGAAACAGGACTGCCTGTGCTTCATAGAGGTGATTGTTCACAAGGATGATACAAGCAAAGAGCTTCTGGAGTGGGGGTCCCGGGTCTGCTCAGCCAACAGTCGACCCCCCAACCCTCAGTAGGAAGATCTATCTCTGCATTTTCCTGGTAAACAATACTACTACTTTCTCATGCATTATTATTATTATTGTTAATAATAATATCGTTATTATTACAAATTTTTTTGGGCTACACCCCAATGCATCTCTTCCCACTTCTTGTTAGCTTAGCCCAATTGATTATAGGCTTGAGAGAGAGAAAGGCTTTGTATGAAAATTAGAGAAGATAAACTTTTTTAAATAAAATTTTGGGGAAAGGTTTGTTTGGCTATTTATACTTTTTTTTAAAATAAAAAAAACGTGAGAAATGGGAATCTGTAGCGGCTATATTTTTTTGTTATATGATCTCCGAATATATAGAAAAAGGTTAGAATGCTAATTAGAACGAATTAAGATCATATTTCTGAATTATTAGCTCTAATCAGCCTATGATAATACAACACAAATAGATTATTTCTCTGTATTGTATTAATATACTTATGTGCTAAAATCAATTATAATATATATATATATATATCGTAGATTGGTTGTATAACAACAACCTATTGGTATAATTTATTATTAATATGATTATTATTTTATTTTTTTTTTTTAAAAAAAAGAAAACTAGCAGTTTATTGTAGAATTAGCTTTGAAAATAATTTTGAGACAACCAAATATACCCCTTGAATTATTGTTAAATAAAATAATCACTTTTAATTCTACAGATTTGATCTGATCAATAATTGAAATTTCTAGAAGAGTAATTAGAAGAATTAGCCTCTAAAGCGTTCACTATATATTATTTATCTGTTATTAGGTGATTAATGATTAAGCATAATACTTACAAGAATGAGATTTACATCTACTAAGCTTGTGTAGTAAATCTTCTACTTAAGAAAATGTTAAATTATAGAGATAGCCCAGTAAAGTCTATTTTCATGTCAGACAAAAAAAAGTTAATATGTCCTAATCAATAATTTGGATTTACTTGATCATTCTTCCTAATAAAGATATGACTCAGAATTATTTGTCAATATACGTTTCATCAAATAATCTGTCCCTAATTTGTTTTTTTATATTAATAATTAGAATGGTAGAACAAGGTACACATCATTGACTGCCCACCTGTGATGCTTACTTGCATTAGGAATTTGGTTAAGTTTGAGAGAGTTCACACTCAATGATTGAATTATTAGAGCATTTTTAAATATAAGTATTATTTATATGTGTGTCTAAATATCTTACGTACGTGTTCATAGCTATCTAAGTGATTGTCACAATCCTCATCTATACAACTTGTTTATGTTAACATCAACACTATTTATTGCATTTTGGACACCTTCTCGATTCTTCTATTCATGTCTTAATATTACTATTATAAGTTTTATTGACTTTGTTTTTCCTTTTCCTTTTCCTTTTCTTAATATTATAGTATAATATACTATATTATTTAGTAGAAAAATAAAATATAACGAAAATCTTTTAGCTAATGGTACAAATGGCCACAAGTAGACTTTGTGCGAGTATATAATAGTTACAAATTTACTTAGGTATACTTCAAGATACTATTTAATTGATTTTAGATTAAATGCTAAATCACAATACTCAGTATTATTTGCATATATTTCAATAATGTCCTATATTAGTAAATTAGTTACACCGTTTAATATACTTTCATTAAGCATACAAGTATATATAATTCAATTATTTTTTTTTTCAGCTTTATTCCTATTAAAATTGAAAATATTAATGTAGCCAAAGAAACAGGCAATATTCTTATATTGCATAAACCTGTAACCAGAGAATTATGTGAATTTCATGATTTCACCTCATTTTTTTCCTCTTCACATCATCGATTCCTGACTCTACCAATTCTGAATTCAAACAAAAGAAAAAATGAAAATAGTTATCATAAAAAATGCATTCTCTTGTAATTCATGATATCACTCAAGATCAAAATGAGGTGGAGTGTATATGTGTATTTGTGCACCCATACTATTATCACACTACATATGCATAACAATCGATCAAAACCTCCAAAACAATGACAAGAATAGTAGGCAACATTAAATAACTTGAACCCTTTTCATGTGTTTCTTCCTCATTTGCTTGCATTTAGCAATTTTTTCCCCCTAAAATAAATACATTTAATTCTAAACTTTTTATGGCAAACTATAATCACGTCACATATATGTCAAATAATAGAGCTCTTTTTACTAAGAGAATGAAAATGAAATAAATTTAAATGACATAACACAACCTTGATGGATTTCAAACTCTTGGTCATCTTCAAATATATCAACCTTCAATTCCTCAACGCCGGCCTTTGCTTGCCATTCCAATCTTCACAAAATACATAAACACAACAATTACAAAAAAACCCCAAAAAAATCAAACATTAAAAAATAAAAAGTACACGAGAGTCATGTGCAATAAACAAACAGAAATTCAAAATCAGAGCGTAAGAACATACTTACATTAGTTCCCCAATCCTTGTCCCGCTATTGGTAGTTGATACCTCCAAAAACGACGTCGTCTAGAGAACATTTCGCAATTCAGTCCCTACACAAAATGAAAACCACACTTCCCTCCCCAACAAGGGAGCAGCAAATAAAGAATATCCAAAATCACAATAATAATAATACTAAAAAAAAAAGAATCACAAAGAAATACACCATTTACTGTCCCAAACAGGTATTCACCTCACCAAAAAACTCGAGCAAATACCATCAATGGCGTCAAAAATCAACCCTAAAATTATACACAAAACTATATATATATATATATGTGTGTGTGTAGATATAGAAAAAACCTTCACCGAATCACCGGACATTGATGGACTCTTCCAGCCTCCTCATCTCCTTCACCACGCCAGACGAACTCGTCTCGCAGAACTTCTGCAGAACCTTAATCAACGACCTCGCTTTCTTACCGGCGTGCGACGTGCCGTCGGTAATTAGCGAGTACAGCCCCGACATCAGCGTCGCATCCTTCGCCATCACCGGAACAACCTCAGCTTCGCAGCTCTGGGAAAGAGAAAGAAGGATCGACACACAATACTCCTGTCCGGCAGGACTGTTGATCGTCTGCAATAACCGTAGAATCAGCTGCAAACCAGACGGATAATCCCTAATTTCGATCGACGCTTCCGAGCTATCCGAAGTTAATGTCGATAGAACTGCCAGAGCGTCCGTCTTCAGCTCGGATTTCTCCGGTGAGTTTAACAAGTCTAGAAGAACTTTCACTGCGCCGGCGGTTATGGCGCGGCGGCGGTTTCTGTGGTTGAAAATTAGAGCGAAGATCGCCATTACTGAATTCTTCTTACCGCAGGGAGTTCCGTCTCTGATTAAGGATAACAACGCCGGAATTGCGTCGGAGAATTCTCCGATCATTTTCCGGTGAGACTTCGCCGCTGCAATGTAGAAGATCGTCGCAGCTGCGAGCTGCTTCGATTCTAATTTCAATCCGTTTTTCAAGACGGCGAGGATCGGATGCAGACCTCTGTTTTGGATTATCGCTTTCTGCCCTTTCGTCTGCTTCGATAGCTTCGATAACGCCGAGATTGCGTTCTCTTGAGTCGCCGCATCGGAGGAGATGATCAGTTTAATCAGCGCCGGAATGACGCTGCCGATGTCGATCAAGCAAGACCGATTGAATAAACTCGACTTCGATAATAAACGAACTTCATATGCAGCTTTCGTTTTCTGCGAATCCGATCCGTAGGCTAATCGTAGCGCGAGGAATTCCGATAGAAGATTGATAGCTTTCTCGTTTGCGGCGCTTCCTGGTAGGATTGTTCGGGAAATGTCGCGGTTGTTGTTCACGGAGCTCGTAAATGAAATGCCGTACTCTGCGCAGTATTGTTCAATGAGCTTTCGAAGGCTTGTGTTAGGGACTAATTCTGTAGTTGTGAGCTTCTCCCCTGTTTTTGGACAGACTAGATTCCCCGATTTCAGCCATTTTTCAATCGAAGATCTGTCGTAGGTCTGTCCGGTAGAGATCGTCACCGGATCGGTCATTAATTCGAGGGATATCGGACAGCGGAAATCCTCGGGATTCAGACGACTGATCGATGAAAAACTGCTGGCTCTCTCTGCTGAATATTGTTCGGAAACTACGTTTTCCCAATCTGTAAACAGAGTTCCTCTGCAGTAGCTTAATAGACCGACTAAACTGCTCAGCAATGGAACTTCTCGATCGTTCTTCTCTGAATACACAATTGTAAGTTCTTCGTCTAGGAATAGAATCTCTTTGTGACATTCTGCGTGGCTGTTGATCTTCAAATGGCTGAGGATTTTCCGAATCATGAACGGATCAGGTTCGAGTTTATTCTCGAACTGATTTAAAACTACGATTACTCTTTTCATTGCGATTTCATCTTCTTCGGAAACCTCCATTTTCGACCTCCGAGATTGGTTATACACCATTTGAATAAGCTCTTTAACCTCCTCCGAAACTTCGATCTGATTCAGAGGTAGAAGAACATCGAGCGTGGTTGCGATAACGTTGATTAAGTTCTGGAATTGAGTCGATACGAAATAGGATTTCATGAGAGTTAGAAGCTTAGCGTCTTCGCGAGTGCAGTCTTCTAGAAGGAATAGAAGCTTCTGGAAGGCGACGTGGAGCTCCGATAAGCAGAGAATGGACGATTCCGGCAACGTCGGGAGGTTATTGAGAAATTCTTCTAGAAGAATCGAGAGAATTGATACTTGCCTTATTGTTTCGCGAGCGTTCCGTCGTTGCGAAGGGAAGAAATTGGAGCTGTAGCTGCAGATGGCGGTGGAGGTGGTGATGAGAGACTGCAGCAACGTCGCCGGAGATATGCCTTCGCAGGGACGGACCGCCGGAAATTTGAAGATCCGGCGAGCGCTGTTGCTGCTCCGGTGGTCGGAGTTTCTGGTCATTTTTTTTAGGCTGATCTTTTGCTAACTGAAAATGAAAGCATTTGAAATTCTATTTTTTTGGAGGATATTTATGTAGGGTTTAGCCTCAGGGCAAGAGACACGTGGCAGAAATCTAACGGTAGATTGGAAGATACCTGGAAGTGAAGACACAAAACCTTCTATGGACACGTGTGAGAATCGTATTCGCTTATGGTGGTTCTTAGATTATGCCGTGTTTGGTTGGTATAAATAAAATAAACTTATAATAAAAATTTTCTTTTCAATATTATAGTATTAAATCATTTTTTTAATTAATAATATTATCTTTCCATGATACTATTTACATTACTATTTTTAAAAAAATAAATTAAATATATATTTTTTATTTTATAATATTTTTATTCGGATCTAAGGTCTCATTTATTTTTTATTTATAGATTTTTAAATATTAGTTATTATATCAAATTATAGTACAAATTAAAAAAAAAAATTACAAAAATTATTTTCATTAGTGTCTTATATACTAATAAAATGATATTTGTACAAAAATTTATAGAAATATAAAAATATTTGTAATGTTAAATGCAAAAGATAAATGTAACTCTTAGAGAGAGACACGATAAGTAATATTCCCTCCGTTTATATCTATCTATCCGTTTGTTTTTATAAATGTTAATGTTATATTGTGATATAATAAAAATAAAAGTAAAAAAATTAAATTAATCTTATTAGTATTGCATAATATAAAAATTATGACATTTGTGTAATATGTTATAAATTAAAAAAATATTTATAATGTAAAATAGATAATATAATTATTAAAAAAATTTAATATTTTAAGAATGAAACATACTTTAAAAAAAATTGAATAATTTATTAAAAAACGAAAAAGAAAGTATTGAATTTTTTTTATTATTATTATTCAAAATCTTAGCCCAAAATTTAAAATTTCAATAAAGTATTACATTCTAAAATTTTAGAAGATAAACATTATTATTATTAGAAAATAAATAAATGTGACAAGACCTCTATTGATCTCCACCATGCAAACAGGTGTACACGTGTCAAATGCATAGAGTAGCTGTAATACAAGGAAAGTTGTTACCTTAAGACCAGCCACCGAAAGTGACTACTTATTAATTAAAATTAGGCAAATTAATCCTTTATTTGTTTTATTTTTTATTTCATTATTCTTATTTTAAAATTTGGTTAGAATCTAAGTTTTTTTTTTCTTTTTTCAAATATGGCATTTTATTGAAAAATATAAAATATATAAGTTGTATTTTACAGAATATATTGAGTTATTTTGATAAACTTTTATAAGTTTAATTAAATTTACTATATAAATTACATTTATAAGTTTATGTTATTTAATAAATATAAGTTTTGAATTTTATAAAAATTTATATATTTTAATATTTTATCTTAAATAATCAAATTAGATGTTTTTCTCTATATTTGATTTTTTTATTATTATTTTTATATTTTTTTAGTTCTAAAATATTTGCTAAATTATTATAATTATTTTATTATTTTATCAAAGACTTTATCATAAATATAGAGATGAGCATTCGGGGACTTTCGATTATTCAAATCCATCAATTTAAAATTTTGATTTTATTTGGAAAAATTAACTCAAATCGAAATAATCGAAATTAAAAAATAAAATAAAATTGTGAAATATTATTTGCGATTGCTCGGATATCGAATGAGAATAAAATAAATAAAGTAGATGGACACGACTTCAATGGATTTTAAAAAAAATTTGTGTCACCGGTCTATATAATATATGATTTATAATAATTTTTATTTTTTATTTATAAATTTATTTTATATTTAAATAGTTTGTAGATATCATCTTTTATCGAATCAAATTATACATACATATATATTTTTTTTGTAATGAAATATAGAAAAACTTAAGTAAACACAAGTAAAAACTCAAAAACTCTAGAAATAATTTAAAAAGTGGTTGTATTATTTTTAAAATAAATAAATAAAATAAATTATGTGATTTACAAATAAGCTCTACATCCCTATTTATATACAACACATTCGTAATCATTTCAATTTGATGGCTACTATCGATTCTCTAAAATATTTTGGACTATGTCGTATTCTAGATATGATTTTATAGTGTTATAGTAGCCCCTCCGTCTCCTATATTTTAGGCGCGTTAATGTAGATACATGAATTTAGGTAAAATATAATTAATAAGTAATTAAAAAGTATATTTAGTAAAAATAATTATAGATTAAGATTAAGATAGATAAATAGTTTAATTAATATTAAAAAATTATAAAATTTAAAATGTGATAAAAATGGATAATCATATTTTCAAAAAAAAAGCACAAGTTATATGAAACAGACAGAAAATATAAAATAGGGACAAATATTAATATTTTTTAATATTAATATTATATGCGGCAACTAGAGTGCTGACTTGATTAATGGTGAAAAAATTTGAAAATAAAATTAAAGATAAAATTAGGCGTAGAATTTTCAAGATTAAACCATTTAATATCTCTTCAACTAGGCGTTGCAATTTAAGGGGTCGAAAGGTAGAGATATGAAATCACGTGCAAAGAGAAAATGGAATATGATAAAACATTGATTCGGTTTTCATCTAATCAACACATATATAATAAGACAATAACGTATAATTGACAGTATGTAATAATATTTTCTAGCACATATATAATAAGACAATAATACATATTTGACGGTATTTAATAATATATTCTAACAACACATAATATAATTATATATGTACATTATATTATTGATTTTAGTATAATAAATATATTTACACTTAACAATACAATATATAAAGTATAAACTATTCGGCACATGCTTTTATACATAGAACATATACATTGTCCGCCTCTATTTTATGTGCCGATCGGGTCTAATTGCCCGTTGATAGAACATAGCAACACACGCAAACAATTACGAGAGACAATGGTGGCGGCGCACAATCAAACAACGATGATCCGTAGTAAACCTGTACACAAATATAGGGTATGTTCGTTTGGTAGATTTTTTTAGAATTTTTATTATTCATTAATTTTTTTTTTCAAAAATATCAAATTAAAAATACTTATTTTCTATTTTTATACTCCCTTTATCTCAATACAATAGTCTTATTTACCATTTTTGTTCATTTCAAAACAATAGTTTCATTTCCATAAATAACCATATCACTATAAAACTACAATTACTTTTTCATTATTATTACACAATTGTTATTACTTTTTACACTAATATACTCACAAGGACAAAAAAACTTTTTATCCATACTTTTTATCAACTACCAATATAAGATCAATATTTCTTAAATCTCGTGTCAAATACAACCCAAACTATAATTTTGAGATGGAGGGAGAATTATACTAAAAATAAATATCAATAAAAATATATTATTTACACTATTTTTTTTTAAAAAAAAAATACAAAATACATCCAACATTTTATACAACTTTTCTTTATTTACAAATATACTTTTCTCATATTACTATTCCAAATCCAATTTATAAAACTATTTGAAATAAAACTAAACATAATATTGACGATAGAATTCGTAATATTGCAATAATAATAATAATAATAATAATAATAATAATAATAATAAGCATGTCGGCAAAATTGTAAGGAAAAGTAGTATGAATCTTTGCTCTTACGCAATATTATAGTTGTAGATTTATTGTAACATATATAAATAATTAAATTATTAGACAATACAATAATATATAATTGCATAAAAAAATAAAAAAATAAATTAATAGAGATGAATGCAATGTTGACAATAATTAATGTTGAATTACGTAAACATGGCATTGTGGGAACGATTGTATGGATGTAAGTGGACCAATCACCCCTCACCACACGCGCCTATTATTATTATTATTATTATTATTATTAATGAATTCCCAAATTATTGAATGATTGCGTTTTAGAGATATTTTGAAAATTTTATAATAAATATACTTCAATATGTTATTTAGTGTAGAAAATAAATTTTTTAATATAATATTTTAAAAATTATTTAAATACTACTCCCTCAGTCCTATAAATATATTCTTAATTGGATTGGGCACGTGATTTAAGGAATATTGATATTATATTAGTAATGGGTAAAAAGTATGGATAAAAAATTTTTTTGTCCATGTTGTATTAGTGTAAAAAGTAGTGGCAATTGTGTAACAAAAATGAAAAAAAAATATGGATAGTTTTATGATGATACGATTATTTATGAAAATAAGACTATTGTTTTAGGATGAACAAAAATGATAAATAAAACTATTGTGTTGAGATGGAGAGGATATAATACTAAATATATATATATATATATATAAATGACATGATTACGAACTAAATTTTAAATTCATTACACTGCTGAATAGTTAACTATATGACAATAGAAAACACATTTTTTATATTAATATAATAAAATTATATATGATGTGATATTTTGAAGAAAAAAATTCAAAAAAATGCAGAATTCAAACAGTAGAAATTTAAAGTTTAAGGTATAAAAAAACACATCAAATAATCTGGAGTCGAGATGTGCAAGTGGGCCAATTCGACTACGCCTAGGCCCAAAATTAATTGTCGCTATTCAATAATGTGTCAAAAATATTAATTAGTTGGCATGTATTAGCTCATAGTGATTTTTTCGATGGGCCGATCCTGGGTCAAGTTGTCGATATTCTTTTATTTTAATCTCATTAACGAGTTTAGAATGAGATCAGGCCTGTTTCAATACAAATAGATCCAGAGGCCCAATGGAGACAATTAAGCCCAAATTTAAAACAAGAACAATAAAATTTATCTTAGAATTTGTTTGATTCTTGTTTAAACTTTTTTTTTTTTTTTGGTTTAATATAATTTAAATTTAAGGGGTATTTTAATACTATTTTTTATAATAAAAAATAATATATTTTGATAGAAAAATAATGTACAAAAATAATTTGAAGTTCAAATCATTTGGTTTTCAAAACATACAAGGCTATGTGCCACTCAATGATTTTTAGAGACTTTTTTATTTGATTATGTTGATATAATATTTCGTAAAATGATTTTTCTTTTTTTGATAAAAAAATTAAAAAGAAATTGAATGTTAAATTTCTCCTTAGTGGAAAGAGTAATATAATTTAAATTTGAACCATAATTATAAAAATTATAATCCACCACTAAAAATAAAAATAACACATAATTTTAAACATATATCTGAATAGTTAAAAAAAATTCCCACAAAATTAATAATGAATTAAAAATGAATAGCCCAATAAATAATTCAAAATAAATATTAGCCCTAATTTGCCGTGAGCACAGTTCACCTTCTTCTCCGTCCCCCTTTTCTTCTTCAGCAAGCTTCGAGTTATACAGCGCGCAGAAAATTGTAAGTTCAGTCCTTTTCCTGCTTAAAGATAACAAGGTGTGAGAATCTTTCAATCATATGCAGCAATTTTATTTTTGTTTTTGTTTTTTCAAATTTTATTTGAAAAATTTGTATATCGGAGATGATTCTGAAGAGATCGTTACGTTTTTGCCGTTTCGGAATGTCTCCGGTGTAAACTCGTGGAATACTGATCGATCTACACCGACTGATTCATGAAATAGTTGAATTTTTCAAGTATTGAGTCTCACGATACAGATCTGTAGTGGCCAAGTTGGCTGGCCGTGTTCAATTTGTTTTTCGATTTTGGGGGTTTTTGTTGCCTTTTTTTGTTTTGGTTTTTGGAGTTTGTTGATTTGATTTTCTTGAAATTCTTTGCGTATACAGATTGGAATGGCGACCGAGCAAGCAAAGCCTGCCGCAGAGGAATTGAAACTGGATCTATTTGAAGACGACGACGAGTTTGAGGAGTTTGAAATCGATCAAGGTCGGTGTTAATTTGTGCCGAAGTTTGATCAATTTGTGAATTCGTTCATCTATCTGAATATTTTCGTTAGTTCACTTGGATTGTGGTTTATTTGTTCATCTTTAGTATTCAAATTTTTCTGCATTCATGATTTCTTGCTGTTAGTGTATGTTTTTGGTATAGAGAATAGAATGGTAGAAAGATGATAATAGTTATAGAACAATAAAAAATTAGAATTGATTCTTCATATGTGAAAAAATGGATAATTAAACCCATAGATGTAATGTAGAAGTGAAGCAATATAGATGAATCGATCCGGAGGTAATATATATTATGTTTTAATGGAGTGAAAAAAAGAGGATGAATCAATCAGGATGAGACGATGGATTTGGTTAAGAGAAACTTTTAGATGAGTCGAAATCCGCATAGAAATACAGTGTGTTTAGATGGTTATTTTTTTGCTGGTTTTGTTTTTTGATTTGAATAGTAATTTGAATGAAATATTTTGTGAAAGAAAATAATCTAATTTTATAGATAATTGTGAAATTTGAATAGTAGAACAAACAACAAAAATTACCGAACAAACACACCCTATACTTTTGAATTTTCATTTCTATGTCTCTGTACCAAAATCGGAAAATGGTCACTGCTGTTATACATTGAGTTGAATTTATCCTCTTGGAGTTGAATAAATGTAATTTTCTACGATTTTCTGATTTTTTTCTATATCCATAAGCTTCAAGAGAATGTATTTGCACCATAAAGATTGCCGATTGCCCTGTTTCGTTCCACAATTTCAATTGATATGTTCTTGAAATTGGCAGAGTGGGATGATAAAGAAGGCAAAGAAATTTCTCAGCAATGGGAAGATGATTGGGACGATGATGATGTGAACGATGATTTCTCGCTGCAGCTCAGGCGGGAATTGGAGACCATCCCTGAGAAGAATGATGCTAAGTCCACATAAATCTCCTCTTGTTGTTATGCAATATGAGTAAGAACGCTTAAATGTTTCTTCTACATGATCGATACTTTCAGCTTTAACCTACTAATATTTGGAGAAACTTTTTTTTCGGATTTGTAGTATATTAAAAATCGATTCTGAATATGGAGTTTTTCAGGGATGTTTGTTAAACTGCAGCTTTTTCTCGTATGTGTTTATTTGGCTTATCTTTGGATTGCTTCAAATATATTTTTTTAAATAGTTTTGGATCGGAAGAGTTTTTATGTTTTTTTTTTTGGCCGTAGATTACTTTCTTTCGTAGAAGTCAAATGGGAATCTCTTATGAGAGGAAATGAAAGTTTAATTCCATCGAAATGGGACAAAATTTTAATCAATTTAGTATTATATTAATATAAATTATGTATTGTCAGTTTATATACTGGATTTGTATTATGCTAATATAATAAATCATGTTGGATATATTTGGTGTGCTATTATCACTATGCCGAAAGTGATGATTCAACATCAAACAATAGCCTTGTAGATGGGATTTCTTGATAACCAAGGATTTTAGGGAGGAAAGAATCGAAACTCGTAGGAGCGATAATTTGATAGTGAAACAACGTAAGTGGTACTTACACTTGCTTACATTGTTCTTGTAATTATTTATAGATTACGTGTTGATCGAATGATGTGATATGATATACATATACGACTAGCCCGTGCTAGACTGCTAGTTGTTTTTATAGGATGCTTGATTCTCGGAGATGAATAAGTTTGATCTCCGGTGATGGTCGAACATTTGAAATCTAGATTTACATGTCCTTTTCTTTTTATTGGGAAAGAGATATTTGATATGCATCGCGTGTTTGAGCTACAATCCACATGTAAATTACGGCAAAACAAGGGGGAATGGGTTAATGTACTTGTGTAGCTTCAACATAGCTCGATTGAATCCGAAATCCGTGGTACTCTTTTGTATTATAACCGTAGTTTATCATCTCTTTTAGGGCTTTGACAATGTGTCGATTCGTGTCGGGTTCATATTAATCCGTTTATTATTTGTCGGATTTGTTTTGACCCGTGTATATAATTAAATCAAAATTCTTGATTCAAATTATATTATTTTGTCATGTTTTCGTGTTATTCTAATTTTTGTTGGTTCTAATGTAATGTGTATAATGAATTAGGTTAAATTATTTAAAATTGAACTTAGTTTAAAGGATAGATAGACTTATATTGATTAATACTGATATATTATAATCGGGTGATTGTGTCGGATTCGAGTTGACTCGATCAGTCTATTATCGTGTATTGGGTTGTATCATATCTCGATACTTAATTCAATGTCAATTTTATTATCACACTTGAAAATAAAAAATTTCTTCAAAATATAGACACCAATTAGAAGAACACTACATAGAAATAATAAATTTACTATGACTAATTATTTGTCATCGTATTTGTCATTAGTGCATGTCTCTCAACCAAATTAATATTTAATACTTCTTTCTAGGATGATTATGTTTATTTGGTTGGGAATGAACATTATTTTAATATAAAAGTAAGATAAATAAAAAATAATGTAAGAATATTATATTATAAAAATTATTAAATAATTAATTAAAAATAATAGGGTAGATTGAATAATTGGTAGTAAATTGATTATTATTTATTAAAATATAAGTACTAAATTCTAGGTGAATATTTATTTATAAAAAATATATTATGCACACAAATCTAGTGATAATTCAAAAAATATTGACATAGTATTGTAATTATAGTTTATAGTAAAACATAATGTAAAAATAATTTTGTTCATATATATATATATGTATATATTTTTAATGTAAAATAATGATTCGATTGTAGTTAGTATTTGTATAAAAATTGAAGCCTATAGTTATTAAAGAAAAATTTAATTGAATAATCTAACATAAAAATATATATATTTTATAAATATATATTTTTAAGTACAGCCGACATCGAAATATATAAATAATCTAAGTTATTATTATTATTATTTTTTTTTATTTATATTTCTTTTATTATTATTATTTGACTGATGATAACGTTGTCTATGATAGGGGCAGCCATATCTGCAAGACTGCAATATGTCAATGGTCGTATTTATTATATACCCCCTCCATTCCAAACAAACGTCTTATTGAGAATTGATACGCGGATCAAAGAATAATAGTATTTAATTGAAAGTAGGTATAAAATAAAATTTAAAAGACTAAGTATCTTTATTTTTTGAAAGATTTTAAAAAGTAGGTTAGAGTAATAATTAGGGATAGTTTGGAAAAATATGAATAATTTTGTTATAAAGTGGGAACCACGATTACTAAATAAGAAAACAAAACAATTGTTTTAGTACAAACGAAAATGAAAAAACAAGACATCAATTAAAGTGGGAACCACGATTACTAAATAAGAAAACAAAACAATTGTTTTAGTACAAACGAAAATGAAAAAACAAGACATCTCACAACTCTTTTGGGATGGAGGAAGTACTTTATATATATAATATTAAATTTAATAATTATTTTATTTCAAAACATAAATTATAAAATTAGATACAAAGTAAATACACTATAAATTATTTAACTAAAATTTATTGATAAAATAATTATAAATTAAGTTTTGTTCTACTATGATTTTAAATTAAAATAATACTATTTATTTTTTTTACTATCTTTTAATAAGAATATAGTATTATTTTCTTTACTGAGCAATATAATATTATTTTAACAAAAACAAATAAATAGTGTATTTTATATTAATTTTAAATTACAATAAAATAAATTCTAAATATGTTTATGTTTCAGAATTTCACATATGAGTTTTTTCGATTTGATTTTCTTTTTCTACTTTTTGTTTAATTAATATTTTGAATATGATATTTTCTTAATGCATCTCCAACCCAGCGCTGGATTGACTTTTTTGACGTGAGTTGTCTCCAACTCACGCCAAGTCCAACGCCAAAAATTGGCGTTGTTTTATTTTTTTATTTTTAAAAATTTTTTATTTTAAATTATAAAAATAAAAAGTTATTTAAAATAATAGAAAAAATTAAATATTAAATATTTGAAGAATAATAGTGAAAAATGGAGTTATGATTGGAGTAAAATTACTATAGTAATCGCATATTTGGAGTTAAAAACTTAGATGAGTTAGAGATAGCCTTAGTAACTAAATAATGTATTTTTTATAATAATTATAATACTTAGGTAGACAAAAAAAAAAAAAAAAAAAAGAACCAAACTCCAAATTACAAAATATCTCATTTGTTTCAACTATTTATGTAAATGTGTATGTGTGTATATATATATATAAATATAACAATTAATAATAATTATTATTATTAGTCAACCTACAAAAATGTCGTTGACCGCTGGACTTGTCTACTTGGGGGCGGCGGGGCTTGTGCCTGAGAAGCCGCCTTATAATAATAATAATAATTAATATATTAATTAATTATTATTATTATTAATGGGGAAACGGTCGCCGGCATTCACCATCAGTGGTAACGTCCTTAAGAAAATGAAAAATCAACAAATAGTCTTGTTCAAAAATTGAATGGATCAAAATGAGTTTTTATTTATCGACTAAATAATTGTCCTTTCGTGGAATTTTTATAAGATTTTTATTGTTTATTTGTTTTTTTAAAAAATATCAAGTTAAATAATTAATTTTTATTTTTTACTATATTATATTATAAATTAATTTTATATTCCAAATATTACAGTATCTATTTATATTACATCAAATGTCTGTTTGTTTAGTAATTTGATTTAAATTTCTTTATCCTACCTATGTTATAACTATTGAATTAGTCTATAATCCAATGAATTAAAATTAATCAATATGGTGCTAGTTAAGAGTAAAATAGAACAATACATATAAGGTAGATATATAGTATAATTTTATTTTTTAAAATTCATATAAAAATATTACTCCATCCGTCCGCAAATTTAATAACAATCCTTTTGTAAATTATAAAAGAAATATTACTAATTTTGGAGAAAATATATCAAGTGGATGTAGGAAGTATTTGTTAAGATTTTTGTTACAACTAATGCTGATAGCATATAAACAAACAATAAAATTATTTTATTCGTTCAAACTCAAAGTATTATTTTTATAATTTTCGTCTATCCTACTTTAAAGTATTATTTTCTATTTTGCTAAAAGTTTTCATACACTAATACTGACGCATTCTTAACTTTTACTCAAATTACAAACATACTATGACATATACAATTATTTTATATATAAAATGAAATGACAAAAATATTAAAATCTTTTACCTACTTTCACTGACCAATAAAATACTGATATTTTTTAATTTCTTATTTCATTTATTAAATATAAATTTACGGAGTGAATATTTTATTTTAATTTTTTGGTGATGTGATAATTCTCACCCTTAACTATTTGCATTGAGTAAATTCATGAACAGAATAATCTACAAATTAAGCTAGTAAAATAAAATGTATTAGACAAATATTAATATAGTTTGTTTAATTTTGATATAATATATTTGGGAACGATTACGATGCTGGATTGATTAATAAAAATATGTATTATTTATTTATAATTACAGATATATTATATATATTATGTTATGTGTTGAAATAAATTTTTGGGTGTACCGTATAATATTATAGCATGTCTTGTTAATTCATGAGCTGAGCTGGATTTGGTTTATATAAACTTACAGTGTCTGTTTACCATGGTGTCCTGTTAACACACAGTAACCACCGGTAATATTTTTATAACAAAATAAATATAACAAAATGAATAAAAGATACACTGAGATAGCTTTTAATATCTATAAAACCCTACATGCATTTATACTTCTTATTACATTACAAAACTCCTCTCTCTCTCTATCTCTCTCTCACTCTCTCTCTAAAAAACCTTAATATCCACAAATGGGATCTCTCCCACCACCCCACGGCGGCGATAATGGCGGCCGTCACCACTTCGTGATTTTCCCCTTCATGTCCCAAGGCCACACCATCCCCCTCCTCCACCTCTCCCGCCTCCTCCACACCCGCCGCTCCGCCGCCGTCACCCTCATCACCACCCCCGGCAACGCCGCCGCCATCCGCGCCGCCCTCCACGACCTCCCCGCCATCTCCGTCGTCGTCCTCCCTTTTCCCGACGACATTTCCGGCGTCCCCGCCGGCGTCGAAAACACCCACAACCTCCCCTCCATGGCCGCCTTCCTCCCCTTCGCCAAATCCACCAAATTCATGTCCGCCGCCTTCGAAACCGCCCTGGATAACCTCCGGCCGCCGCCCTCCGCCGTCGTCTCCGATGCCTTTTTGTCGTGGACCTTGCCGGCGGCGGAGCGCCGCCGCATCCCCCGCCTCGCGTTTTTTGGCATGGGAGCTTTTTCGACGCTTATGCATCAAATTTTGGGCAGAGAAAAACCCCACAGATTTGTTAAATCGTTAGACGAACCGTTTTCCATGCCGGGATTTGATCATTTGAAGTTCACCGGAAATGACTTCGAGCCGCCGTTCAACGCCGTTGACCCCGCTGGAGAATACTTCGACTTCATGTCGGAAAATTTAATTTCGGTGGCGCAAAGCTTCGGAGTGATTAAGAATACTTTCTACGAATTCGAAAAAGATTTTGTCGATTGTTGGAATGAAAAAATCGGGCCCAAAGCGTTTTGCATCGGGCCGCTGTGTCTGGCGGCGCCGCCGCAGGAGAAGACACAATTGGCGGGGGCGGAGACGGCGGCGACGGCGGCGGCGATTGAATTTTTGGATGGGAAATTGGGGGAAGGGGTTAGGGTTTTGTACGTTTCGTTCGGGACTCAGGCGGAGGTTTCCGGCGAGCAGGCGGCGGCAATCGCCGCCGGATTGGAGGCGGCGGGGGTGAGTTTTTTGTGGGTGGTGAGGGAAAATTGGACGTCGGAATTTTTCGGGGGGTTTAAGGAGAGGACGAGGGGTAGGGGGGTGGTGGTGGAGGGGTGGGTGGATCAGGTGAGGGTTTTGAACCACGGCGGCGTCGGGTGGTTTTTGAGCCACGGCGGGTGGAATTCGGTGACGGAGAGCGTGGCGGCGGCGGTTCCGGTGGTGGCGATGCCGGTGATGGCGGATCAGCACGCGAACGCGCGGTTTGTGGCGGAGGTGGCCGCCGTGGGGGTGCGGGTGATGGCGGAGGGGGGGTCGGTGAGGGGGTTTGTGTCGGCGGCGGAGGTGGAGAGGGCGGTGCGCGAGGTGATGGAGGGTGGGGCGGCGGTGAGGGGGAGGGTGGCAGAGTGGGGGGCGGCGGCGCGTGGGGCTATGGAAGAAGGGGGGTCGGCTATACGCGCGTTGGATAGGTTGATTGAGGAAGTCGGGAGATACAATAAATGCTAAGGTCGTGTAATACTAGTCTATTAAATAATAATCAATTATTATTAAAATATATGTGGCATAGTTTGACTTTGAAAATCAAAATAGAAATTTTTAGGGTGTGTTTGTTTGGGGAATTAGATTGAATTTACACTTTTTATCCAATTTTTTTTTCCTAAATAAATCAAATTAAACACCTATTTTTTATTTTTTATATTATATTAAAAATTAATTTTACATTCAAAATATCACATCAACATCTATTTATATCACATCGTACAACTATTCAAATTCAAAATTTTTACTATTCAAATCCCAACCTAAAATCCAAACCCCCAAACAAACACATCCTTAGTATTTTTTTTATAAATATTTATACTTTATCCAATATGTACGAATTATATTAATGGAGTTTACATGTATTTTATAAAGTGTAGATTTTCTTTCTAAAAAATATTTGAATTCACAATCAACAGACAATTATCACATCATTATTTTTAGATAAGAGTGATCACACCTATAAAAAATATAAAATGTCAAAGAATAAAATTTTTGATTATTTTGAATTTTTGGGTGGTTCGGATATTTTAAATTGAATTTTCGAATTTTAAATTTTAGTTATTTTATTTTGGGTGGGATCGATTTCTTCAAAAAAAAATCCAAAATTTTGAATCGGTATTGAAAATTCGAATGGTCACTTCTAAATTTATTTACATATAATAATATTGTTGCTATTTATTTATAATATTTTCTAGTAAATTAAATATTTATATTTAAACTTTCTAGACTCTCTTTTTACAAATTTAAAAATTAAATTTTATTTATTTATTTATTTTTTAAAGATAAAACATGCTGCACGTTTTGATGAAAATTTTTGTAACAAACGTCTTTTTTTTTTTGACATCTTTCTGTACACGATTCACGAAGCTTCCTATTATTAAGATTGCAGGAAAAATAAAAAAAACAAAAATAAAAATTGCGGATTAAAATCATTTAAAACCATTGCTTCCTTATCTCCAACTATTTTAGATTGTACATATTTTTTAAAAGAAATAGCATATATGTCAAGTTAATATAATATGTTGTGATTTCAGTTCAATAAATTTATTATATAATACAGTATATAATCTACACAATAAATATTAATATAATATGTAATACATATTTTAAAAGTACATTATATAATTTCATATAGTACAATATATTACAATTTTAATATAATAAACAACTTATACAACATAACGTAATATATAATCCTCATTCACAATACATAATTTTATATAACACATCATATATTTTTTCTTTGCGATAAAAATACTAATTGCTTCAAATTGATATATTAACTTTATCAAATTAACTCGATGGTGAATAAAGTCGGTACCCTAACCGCCGCCCGTCTCGTATAACATGTTTTCAACTAATGTTCATTTATTACAAATTTTTTCTTAGAATGTAAATTATAAATTCGCACCATATGAAAAACATTAGCAACTATACGATGTTTTGTGAAGTTCAAATAGGAACTAGGAAGATACCATAAATTTAGCCTCTTGAGCATCAATCCGTACAAGAGGTGTGCCCCCGAAAGAAAATTTTGGTCGTCAGTACAATTTATTGGACCGTATGATAAAGTTTTGACCTATATTTTTATATATACTTGTGTTTGTTTGGGGATTGGATTGGATGTACACTATTTATTCAATTTTTTTTTCCAAAAATATTAAATCAAACATCTTTTTTTTATTTTTATATTATACTAAAAATCAATTTTACATTCAAAACATCCCATCAATACCTATTTATATCAGATCATACAACTATCCAAACCCCCAAACAAACACACCCTAATATATTCTCTATAATACATATCCAAAATTATTAATAATAATATTTGGCTTGATCGCTCAGACGTAGATTATTCTTTGGATCAACAAATTTTGTGTTCTTTCATGCTTTCTTGATCATTCTTGATTACCTCATTTCCACAACATTATGTATAAACTAATCCATCAAAAACTCAATTTACCTAGGTAAAATTTGAAGTCTTGAGTAGTATAAAATGACTTTTTGACCAATTTTAAACTTCTTTTTTAGAGTTGTTAGGTCATAAAATATTTTACTCTTTTATTTGTAAATTATAAAATTTTGTATGCAGCATTTCAAATCTCCTTCTATTTTTGCGGTTGCAATTTTCTATGACTCTCTACTTTTTTTCAAATTCATATTGCATTTTTTTACTATTCAAAATATTTAATATTCGATTTTAATTGGAAAATGACATTAGTTTCTAAACACCAATCAATCCAGAGATATCTTCATGAGTATTTTTATATACAGTACGATGTGCCCACAAAGCATCTTTCAATCGCGAATATCAATTTTATTTTTTTTAATTTTTAATACAATCTCACCATATTTTCCAAATCGACTTAATTTCTCTATTAGAGACCTCGGCTTGTGCATTCATTCGTGGATGGTAAAACATGAAAATTGTGTAAAACACCGTACTTTGGAAAAGTGCTTCCATAGATCTATTGCAAAAATTAGAACCTTTATCACTTACAGTGACCCTTGGCATCCCAAATCAAAAGAATATGCAAGATTTTAACAAAAATGATCATAGGAGTTTGGAAATTTTGACTTTGGGGCAAATATATTTTCCATTTTTTTTACATTAATCACATGATCTACAAAATGAATGAACATCCTTAAGAAATGTAGGCCAATATAGTTTTGTATTTGAGTACCTTATGCTCTGTAACGGTTAATTTTCTTTCACACACTGAAGTATGATAAAAGGGCGCGGACTAGGTATTGATCCAATCAAATTAGCATGTTGATTTGATCGGGTTAGCATATCGCATAAAGATATATAATATATATTTTTGCATAACATAACATACATTGCATTATAAGATATCATATGTTAAGTCATAACATAACATATGTTGTATTATAAATATGTTATGATAGCATATAATATATGTTGATTATCTTTATATGACATGCTGACTCGACCAAATCAGCACCATACTGATTTGATTGAGTCAGCACCAGATCCGCAGTCATGATTAGAAAGTAAAAATGTTTATGATATTTGTCTTGGTCAACACCCTATAGGATTATTTGATCGACACAATATTTCCATAAATATGGATCAATCCAAATATAGTACTCCCCTTGTCCCGGTCCAAAGGGCCCTTTGGAGTTTTGTAATAGATTAAGAAATAATAGTATTTTATTAGTTAGTAGAAGAGTGTAAAAGATTTTGACATTTTTGCACTTTGACTTTATATAAAACGTAATTGTACGTGTAATGGTATGTTTGTAATCTAGGTAAAAGTTAAAGATATTTTAGTATTGATGTATGATTACTTTTACTAAAATAAAAAAAAATAGGACGGACTATAATGGTAAAATTGATACTTTGAGTTGAGTAGGAAAAATAATTTGGTATCACTATTTGTTTTTCTTCAAATTGGGCTAACTTGAACGAAATTCATTAGTAACGCAAATATTAGTGAGAATCCAATGCCCAAAGATCCGAAGTCAAAGAGATTTTGATACTTTTTATATACTCCATTCGTCGTAGACACGATTTTTATTTTTGTCTATCCTATAACAATTGATACATGGTAAAAAATATTAAACCAAAATATTTTTAACAAATATAAATCAACTTAATTAACTACATAACATACAACATCATAAATGACATAAGACCCACTCAAAACCCCTTTATTTCTACCTCTTTTCTAAAAAAATAAATATTTTTATCTATATTTAAAACTACACGTCTTTTATAAAATTGATTTATATTAATTATAAATAAATAAAAATATTTTTTTATTTACTTGTATAGAAAATTTTATTCTCTACAAAATGATATTCATATTGCATATATTTTTTAATTGCTATATAATTTTTAAATATTTAAACATATATTTTAATTTTTTTAATCATATATATTAAATATACTTTAAAACTATAAATATTATTAATTATATAAACATAATATAATAATATTATAACTAATTAAACATTTTCACCTTAAATACGTGTCCTTAATCAAATGGTTTAATTTCGATGGGATTGAGAGAGTAATAAATAATTGAATAAAAATAAATATTATTATAATAACCGTATCTTTTTGCCTCTAGTTACTTAATAATTAATTAAGTAATCACTTGCTAATATAAATAATTTAAATGTATAACTAATAATTTATATTTCGTTATAAAAATTGTGCCACGTGATGTGAAAATTATTGAAATAAATAATTTATCAGGCAGTTGACTTATTCCATGCTTCTTTTCCTAGAGAAATATTTTATTTTCAAAATATATATATATATATATATATTTAAGGACTGGCTACTTGTTGCTAGTCTGTCTATATATTAATGGTGTATTTGTCTCTCTGGAGTTTGAATTTTGAGTTGAGATTTCAATAGAAAAAAATTTGAATTTGAATAGTTGTATGATGTGATATAAATAGGTGTTGATGTGATGTTTTGAATGTAAAATTAATTTTTAATATAATATAAAAAATAAAAAATAGGTGTTTGATTTAATACTTTTTTGGGCGAAAAATTGAATGAACAGTGAATTGAAAATCCAATCCCCAAACAAACACACCCTTATTAAAAAATATATATATCTATATTAATTGTTACACATTTCGAGATCCAACCGTCTATCTATTATTGCAAAATAATTAGGATCTACATAAAATATGTAATATCTCTCTCCCACATTAATGATTCACTTTATATTTTAGACACTAAGTTTTTATTATTGAATAATTAATAAAGAATTAAAAAATATATTAGTAAATATAATTATAATTTAATAAAAATAATTATATGACTAGATAATTTAATTATAAAGAAAAAATAAATTATAAATTTTAAAATATGATTGAAATATATAATTATATTTTCAAAAAAGAAAAAGATAGACACGTCAGACTAGACGAATCATGTGTAGCAAATGACCTGAAGCGTCGAGACCATGACCTCACGATTACAAATCCAACCCTCACACGACACCCGGCCATCCTTTATGAGATCGCTACTATCTATCTTTTGTTTACTATAAATATGGATTTTAAGTTAAAAAATATTTATTATTCAATTTTATACTGTTCTCAATTATTGGAAATTTCAAAATCATAGATTCTGTTTACATAGACCAGCTTTTGAAAGTTTAAATAATATACATACGAGAATAGTTTTTATAAAAAATATCGAATCAAATATATATTTTTTTTAATAAAATATAATGTTGAGTACTCAATTTTCGTTTTTTCTTTTTAATTTTAAAATGTGCAAAAATGAAAGTAACTACTACAACTACCAATAATATAATGTGTGGGCTCAAGCATCATAGGTATGAAAGTCCGATTAAATTTGCTCTTGGGCTTTAGCAATTTTTATAATGGGCCTACTTAAAGCCCAATAATGGGATCTTGGATATATGTTTTTTTTTTTTTTAATATATATATTTTATAAATTTTTACTATTGATCAATCATATCAAATATTACATCAAACAAAAACTAAGATGTCCTTAAACCTTCACCTTTTTTCGTAAAATTTTATTAAAATATTTTAGAATGTGTAAATTTGTGCACATTTTCAATGTTACAATAGTAAGAAATTCAAGTCTATAATATGACTATAATTTATATATAATATAATATATGATAAAACATTATATGTTTTATTTATCGCTAATATTTTGTAACAACTAGGCTTCGTTTTTTCTTATGATCATAATTATTTACAAAAGTAATGTGTTATTTACTTATAATCTATAACATGATTCAATATTTATGACATATGTCATAGTATATTATAATAATATCACATTTTTAAACTTATCGTCTATAAAAAGGATACTTTCGTATTATAATTAAAAATAGCTTTTTATTACTCCATAGATAATGATTGATTGTATTCTTTTATTTAATGTATCGAGTATCAAAATTATATATATATATATTTAGTATCAAAATAATTTGTTGTGCCGTGTACGCTACAAGAAAATATTATTTTTTTAACGAGATTTTTTTGTAATTAAATTCACTTTTTTCCGTTACTAATGATATTAGAGACGGAATTAATGATGGAATTACGTTAGCTACGTGATTTTTAGTGACAGAATTCCGTTACAAATATACTATTTTTTTTGTAGTGGTATTAGCGAATTGCAACGGTAAGACTCGATTATCATCGACAAGTTCTAATTACATTGGTCGATTCTTGAATTTTTTATTGTTGTTTTTATCATTGATGATATTTTATCTACTCTAAAGTTCTCTTTGATATATAAAAACACGATTATAAATTTATTTATAGATGCATTATTTGATTATGATTAATTATTGCTATGATTAAAAATACAAAGTTATATCAAACGGTTAAAAAAAAAAGAAAAAGAAAAAGGAGGAAGAGGAAAAGTATATATCTTTATAAATAATATGAATAATATAAAAATTATTTTTAAATATATATATATATTTTTAATTTTCTTGTTTCTTTTACAAATAATAATACTATTTTTTAAATAGAATATCATATTAAACATTCTATCGAACACTATAAACAAGATTTATTTATAATAAAATGTAACCAAATAAGTTAGATTAAGTGAGTTAGTGTGTTTTAAAATTATTATTATTTTTTTATTTTTTATATTCAAAACATTTTATATTACATAAAAGATTCTTTAAATTATATTTTATATTACTATTTATGTACAAAACATCAAACTTACTTCCTTTACACCAAAACATATAAATTATTCAAATTAATTACAAATGTGACAGCTACTTTTGTAAGTATACGTTCTTATTTTTAATTGGATTTGGATTAATTAAGATGACATAGGATGCTTCCAAAAATTGAATTCACATTGACAAAATTGTGATCATAACTTTTGAATATTATATATTAATTCGGAATTATTGAACAAAGAAAAAAATAAAATTGTCAACTCAAAATTTATTTATTGGTTCCAATATTAATTTTGAAAATATAATATTTAAAATATCTACTTCATTATATTTTATATCTGACTCAATATAGGAGTATAAAAATTTTAATAATAAATTTTTATCAAGATTAAATATTTTTGGTTCAACATTATATTTTAAAAAATTAAATATTATTTAATCATCTTTTATATTATTCAGTAATCTTTTTCTTTATATTATTGATTGTTTAATTTCTTGTTCAATAATTGTGGCAATAATAAAATGGTTCCATCTATTAATTCCCCTATAAAAATATTTATTTTATACTTCTATATATATTCTCATATTATTTAAACATTTTTGAATAAAATAAATATTCTTCTAAAATTGACTTCCCAATGAATTAAATCAAATTATATATATAATAAAAAAAATCATTAATATAACATTTACATTCCACTCTACCCTTACCATAATCTCTACTGTTCCTTTTCCTGCAATCTGTACAATTCCTTCAAGAACTCATTCCATGGCCGCCTTGAAATGACCAAAATATCCTCAAACTCAGCAGCCAAAGGAATATTTTGATATTTTCCCAAAATTTCATCACAAACAAGAATCCAAACCATCAATATATATATATATATATAATTAAACTCTTAAGAAATAAAAAAAAAAAGGTTCCATGTTGATTAGTCGATCCCAATCGTCGGAAAAGATCCAACAGATATAGTACAATAAAAGTAACGATACAATAGTGAAAAATAGTGGCAAAAATTATATACAAACTATACTTAATATATATATATATGAATGAGTTGATCTTAAGAGTCGATACAAACCTGAAAAGAAAATAGAGAAAATATTCAAATAAAAAATTTTTGAAGGCGAAGAAGTAAAAGGTTCCATATGAACAATATGAATTAGTCGATCTTAAAGATCGGAAAAGATCCAACAAATTGTACAATAAGAGCAACCGGTGTAGATTTTTATGGTAGTAGAAAATAATGGCGAAACTTTCATTAGACTTAAACTTAAAAACTATGGATGAATCGATCTTAAAAATCAAAAGAAATTAAACCCGACAAAATAATAAGTCAAATATATATATTCAAATGAAAAAATTTGAAGGCCAAAGGAAAAAAAAAAAAAGTTCCAAATGAACAGTACTTACAGATCGATTAGTCAATCCTAAGAGTTAGAGAAAACTCGAAAGAATTAATGATTAATTCCTACACCATATCACGACCCTCTTCTTGTCTGAATTGGGCAACACTCGTCCTACAAACCGGACAAGCGCCGGTCTTCATAAGCCAAGAGTCGATGCATTCGATATGAAAGCAATGGCCACAAACAGGCAAGATTCTGCACCTATCACCAACCCTAAAATTTTCCAGGCACACTGAACACTCCACAGTTAAAGTTCCTACAGTGCTCTCACTGTGATCGAACCATGGCAGGTTCTTGACGGCCTCCGGAGCCATGGCCGGAGCCCTGTCACCCTCGCCGGAGACAGAATCTGTCCTGGAATCTTCCCGGAAAGCCCGGCCCACGACGCAGACATGGATGATGAGCAAAACACCTATCCCTACAAAGAGAAGAACCACTGATATCACTATTTCCATGGCCATACCCATGGCCAGCGCTGGATTTTTTTTTTTTTGGATCAAGAAAATTATGCCCTTTGATTAAAAGGGATGTGTTGTTTTTGGGAGTTTAATCTCATTTGGAGAAATGGGACAATAAAGATTTGGATTGGGGAAAAAAAAAAGGTTTTGGAATGGAGTTAGGGTTTGGTTTATTGAATTGGGAGAAGGTTAGAAATCAATTTGGGTTACTTATATATATATATATATATTATTAAGTTATGACAATTGGGAATTATTTTGGTTTACATAATATATATATATATATATATATGTAGGTTTGTGTAATGATCAACTTGGTGTGGGTTTAAGTATATTGGAAAATAACATGATTCAGCAATGATTAAGACATTGATAATGTATAGTGTTTAATTAATTAGTTTGAGTGATTGGGAAGTTCTTTGAGAATTATTTTTTGTTTCTAGTGGGAAGTTGGATTTTAATTTTGTCAATACATATCTTAATTTGTACATAATTTATAAATTAAATCAAATGGGAAATTACATCTCTAATAACTATAGCATTTGTTTTATTTTTATTTTATTTTTATTTTTATCATTTTAAATTTAAATTAATACTATTCACTCTACATCATGTTTAATATAAATATATTCTTTTTGTTTCGGATAAATTGTTCACGTCATAATTTAATGAGTAAATAATTAAAAAATGTATTAGTAAAAGTAATTATAAATTAAAATTAAGATAATTACAGAAGATGAACCGAAATAGAAAAAGTCAATATTTTATTTAGGACAAAATGAGTATTATTTTTTCTTATAAAATATCAAATCAAAATATTATTTAAATAAAATATAAATCTAATTGCTCCACTGCAAATTCAATTCCAAACCACAACAATTTTTTTTTTAACAATTTATTCCATAAATCAATAATATGTTATCATAAATGAAGTATATTATACCTCTATATGTACATAAATTCCTAAAAGAAGATGGTTTTATTATTATTATTATTATTATTATTATTATTATTATTATTATTATTATTATCAGAAATTTTGAAATATTGGTTTGCAAAACATTAATTTGAAGATTATGAAGTAAAGGTTGACTTATTTAATCGGTTGACCATAGTTGTGACTCAGAAAAATCCCAGAAACTGTTTAACGAATTTTTTATTTTTATTTTTCTAACATGCTTTATTTGACCAATAACAATATAGTCCAAGAGAGACTCAAAATTATTCACTAGAGAAGTCCTCGTTAAAGAGAAAATTTACTAATTATTAGAAAAATAAAAAGAAGATCCAATATATATCACTACAAAAAAAATATATATATATATTTGTAACGGAATTTCGTCCATGAAGTTCACGTAACTAACATAATTCTATCACTAATTCCGTCTCTAATATCATTAGTAACGAAATTTGTAGATTGATATTTTCTTGTAGTGATATATATATATACACATATTTAGATTTGTTTTTCAACTCTGAGTTGAGTATTTTATTTTTTGAATTCAACATGATTTCTAGCTTAATCAAACTTGATTTTCCTTAAGTAAATACATAAGCTAAATTCATTAGTTTTTTTATTATTTTTTTATTTTATTTTATTTTTTTACGATATTAAAACATTATACAAAAACTGAAAATTTATCATCTAATTGACCTTATATGACTGAAAAACTATTCAAATAATTTTTTAAAGCTCGAGTTCGAGCTCGAATTTTCTTGATTCTTAACTAGCTTTCTATCGGCTCGACTTTATAATAACTCTAATACATACACAAATTTTGGTTGGCTGTTAATAAAAAAATTGAATTTATTTTGGGAAGTTAAAAGATTGGTGTTTCAAGATCTAAATCAATTATTAATTTGAAAGACAAAATTAAAGAATCAATTATGTTATGGTTTGTTGAGAAGATAGGTGATAAATCATCATCATTTTATAAATTTAATAACCCCTTTTATTTGTCTTCTTTCAAACATATATATAATTTATCTAATAATTTATGTAATATAATATTTGTGACTAAACAATGAATTAATGATGTGTTCATAGAAAAGCATGTTATGGGACATCTCAACTATTGTAATTATTTTATCATATAATTTTTAAATTCTTTAATCACATAGATAATATAATATTGGATAATTGGACTTTACGTTAGTATTATTATGACAGAACTTGAAATTTTAATTATAAATTATATATATAATGCCAGATTCCAAATTCTTGAGTCAATCAAAATAATGAGATTAAATCAATTTTAATTGAATAAATTTTAATTATGTTTATTTTCTTGAATTTTATTTTTCATTATGAATTGGATATGTCATAGAGTCAAAAATATGGTGCTGTGGGTCGTGATTGATGAATATTATTAATTGTTGGACAAATATATCATAAATTTAATTATAATGCAACTATGCATAAAATAAAATAAAACAATTTGTTCTACTATACATATTAACTCAAAATTTACCTAATATAATAAAATATTTTATATAAGGAATTACTATGGTTGCATTGTACAAAAACAAATCTAAATTAATTTTTTTATATAAAAAAAATAAAATCAGAACTTCTCAAATATAATTTTAGGGAAAAAATCATTTTTATCCCGATATAACCAAAATTTATGGTTCAAATATAAAAATCTTATCAATTTTGCTCGCAATATAATCAAAACTCATCATTCTTGGTCTCAATATAAATTTTTTATCAATTTCAGTATAATATAATAAAAACTCATAATTTTTTGTTCCAATATAATCAAACCTTATTTTTTTTTATCCCATCATCAACAAACCGACAGAAAACGTGGACTTGCAAGATTGTGCAGTTTCTTCAAATATAAATATAAGGTTTGATTTCTTTTTACGTCAGCATTTTCCGTCGGTTTGTTAACGGTGGGACCAAAAAAAATAAGGTTTGATTATATTGGGACAAAAAATGATGAGTTTTTGTTATATTGGGACTAAAATTGATAAAAATTATATATTGAGACAAAAAATGATGAGGTTTGGTTATGTTATGACCAAAATTGATAAAATTTTTATATTTTGATCAAAATTGATAAATTTTAATTATATTAAGACTAAAAATGATTTTTTCCCATAATTTTATTATTACCAAGTCTTTTTGGGGGGTTGAGTGTTTCAAGACAGCCACAGATCACTCTATTTTCATGCCTTAAAAATTAATCTTAATATCTTCACACTTTAATCTTCAAAATTTATTATCCATACATTGAAATCCAAATCCCAAATTAAAACAGAACACATTCTATTTTCATCCAAATGTGTTCATATAAATATATTGGTTCAGCAAAACACAACACACTGAAATAATCTGTACAAAGTTATAACACACATAAAAACTCACAAACATTAATGTTGTATGTCTTAATTTGTTAAGTTTGATTTGATTTAATTTTGTGTTTTTCTTTTTTCTTTTTTCTTGGTGGTTTTAGAGCAAGGCCTTGTTGCAAGAAAACCCTAATTTTTTATGTACACATTGCGTCGTTGCTAGACGTCGTATTTTGTTTTCATAAGTCATTCTATCCGTATAATTTTTCTTCTTCTTCTTCCTCTAAAGTTTAAGAATGAAATCGTCCGAAGTGAGGACCATAGTCGGGATCTTAGGTTTGTCATTTTTCATGCAAGTTTTGGCAAATGCGCATGTCCTAACACACATTATTATTATTGTTATTATTATTATTATTATTATTATTATTATTATTAATTAATTAATTAATTAATAATTAATTAATTAATTATATTTTTTGGGCAGGAAATGTGATCTCATGCTTCCTCTTCCTTTCCCCAGTGTAAGTTTACATTTGAATTTGCATTTCCTTTCTCTAAAAAAATTTTCAAATCCCATCTATAATTTTGTATGATTGTATTTTGATTTTGTAAGCTATAGAATATCACTTTTTACATTTTTAAACTCACATAAGATTCATGTGATATTTCAAATTTAGGACAATAAATAAATAAAATTCTCTAATTTACATAGATCAAAATACAATCAAACAAAATTACAAGTAAAATTTGATGAATAGGCACATATACGATCAAAATTAAAATTCGTTATATATGTATACATTCTTACAAAGTATTCGTACGAATGTAGGCCAACCTTCGTGAACATATGGAGGGCAAAATCGGTGCAGGCGTTCAAGCCAGATGTATACATTGCGACAATACTCAATTGCGCCGTGTGGGTGCTTTATGGTCTGCCCTTTGTGCATCCCGATAGTGTCCTTGTCATTACAATTAACGCCATCGGATTAGTCATTGAATCTACATATCTCATCATTTTCTTCATCTACTCCGACATGCCAAAACGTGTAAGTATACACACACATATATATATACATACACGAGAAAGATATAATTTAATTCTATAAATAGTACTCATACAAAAACAGTCTTGTAGTACCATATAAAAGTTATTCTATAAATACTATGTTAAGTTAGTGTCAATTTTTGTACATTGACATGTGACATAATTTTAATAGACACAAAAAAAAAAAAAAAAAATCGTGTCAATATATTAAAATTAAGACCAATGTCTTTCACAACAAATAACTTTTATAGAGTACCATGTATCTTTTAGTTCTATTTATGCACATGACACTCGTGTGCATTTTTGAAAATTGTTCCAAAATCATGTGCGCATTGTTACATATACAATTAGAACCATTAGAGTGGAAATTGATAAATTATACGATCTTTTCAACATATGGTTTACTTGGAACAAATAATAAGGATACTATTTATATGATCATATTGCAAATTTGGTTTCATATATTGTTCGCAATTTCATTAATTCGCCAATCAATTCATATAAATCATTGATTTTTTTCATGTTTTCAGAGGAAGATTGTTATCGCGCTCATAATTGAGTTGATATTTGTGGCTGCCATAGCCGTGATAACGATGCTTTGCCTTCACACGACAAAAAATAGGTCTATGCTGGTTGGAATTTTGTGCATCATTTTAAACGTCGTGATGTATGTTTCGCCTCTCACAGTCATGGTAAGTTTATTTAAATTGTCTAGAAGAACATTATATATCGGGCAAATTATATATATTTGTATTTTAATATTATGTGTACATTTTATTATATAATTTACATTCGTATTAGCAGAATATTCACAAAATTTTTAGTTTTTATTTTTAAAAATGTCACAAGTGAAAATCTAAAAATTGTTCTATATACTTTTTCGTGATTTTGAGTAAAAAGTAAAATGCTTATATTGAAATTTTGATTTTTGTTTGTTTGTTTGTTTTTCTTACTACGATCTTAGCGCAATATTCTAGTAGTATTTGTCATGTTTTAATTGTATTGATAATATATATATATTTTTTCAGAAACGAGTTATCAAGACAAAAAGCGTGAAATACATGCCATTTTATTTGTCACTCGCCAATCTCCTAAATGGCATTGTTTGGACCATTTACGCCTTCCTCAAGTTCGATCCTTTCATCCTGGTAAATACGCACACATGCATTCTTATCATGTATATATGTATATACATATATATATATATGATTATTAGCGAATTGAAATACCAATTGGTAAGCGAGAAAGAAATAATAAAAGATATATATGTCAGTCGCGAATTGATAATCCAGTCCAGGAATATTTATTTAGTGGGATCGTTAACTAATTTTTTTTGGTAACACAAATTTATTTTCTAAGACTTATTTAGTAAACTTTTTTGGTCAAGAACTTGTTTTCGCGAGAAATTTATCTCACGATTTACCAAGATTATATTACGGTCCTACAAGTTCAAGGCTTTGATCTAATTATATGTTACACAAGCTTCACACAAACTTACTTTTTCATACATTGTTTTGCCTAATGTAGTTACAGTTGGATTCATGGTTTTCTTAAAAAATAATACATTAAATTCGGGTTATTAATTCAAAACATCTCATTTAAACACCTATAATTCTTTCTAAATATCACATCTTCAATCTCAAAAGTTATTTTTCATTATAAACATCTCAAATAAAATACACAAAACAAATATATATGTATTATTCTGTATCTATTTATCGCATTAAAATTACTATTCAAATAAAAAAACAAACTATAAAATGCATGTTCTCTTTTTGTTGAAGATTTTGAATTTTGTTATTTTTAGGTGAAATAGTTATTGAATATGAAGTATTTATTATATAAAAAAAGTATATATTTTTATGGAAAATTGTAAAATAAACACTGTATTTATTTGTAGTTTAATTAAACTTGAGTTGTGTGGATGCATTGCAGGTTCCAAATGGTTTGGGAACCATTTCTGGATTAGTACAATTGGTGCTCTATGGAATTTATTACAAGACAACAAAATGGGACGACGACAGATCCAGCACTCAGTCGAGTGTCGAACTCCAACCCTAATTTCTCAAAAAAAAAAAAAAAAAAAAAACTACAAATACATATATATATGCACCATATATATTATCTATGATGAATGTCCCATACAAATACATGTTGTTCATCGGGCCATTCTATCACATGCCGCGAATCGTAGTTTGATTTGCTCAATAATGGCGGAAATTGAGAATCGCCGCTTGAAAAAGCTAGCTCCGGAATAATTATATAGAGTTCGATTTGGGGCTTTTAGACAAGTTTGAATCTTTTATTGTATATGTTCGTGCAATAAAATTATAGCACGGCGTGGCGTGCATGCTTGTACTCGGGAGAAAAAAAGAATAAAATATGAGCGCGAAATGGATGTAACGATTTTCCTTTTTTGAGGGGTTATCGATGTATTAGCTGAACTATTAATTCATTCGATCGTTTCTTTGAATGTAATAAGTTGAGGCTTGTTTTTTTAAGGTAACTTTTGTGGAAATTGAAGAGATTGTTTGTCTTTTTCGATTGATACTTGTTTAGTTTAAAACTACTATGATATTATTATATATTAAAATACTTATTATTTTATTTAGGCATAATTACTTATAATTTGCCTATAGTTTGAAGAATTTGTAAAATTATCTCTTATGATTTAGAAACTATGCTTTCAGTTGTTTAAAAGACATTGCACAATATTATTTAAAATGCCAGAAATACACACAAGGTTGCAGCAATTTGTACTTTCCAAATAAACTTAATTTTTAATAAATTTTCGATCATAACATGAATGTTTTATTTGTTCACCGATATTATAAGAAATAGTTGAGATGAATCACTTTTTTTTTTTTTTTTTTTTTTTTGAGATTTTTACAGTTTGTTTGCTATTCAATCCACACAATCCCGAACAAAACATTAATCACAAACACAAACCAAACGGGCTGAAATCATTAGGTTGTTTAGCATTTTTCATTATCTACTCGAAAAATAACATGACGTTGAATTATGGATACACAAAATATAACCACGAAACAAAAGTACAAATACAAACTAAACAAGTCCCGTAAGATGCTCCGGTGGTATGTTATAAACTCGTGACCGTATCGGATTTGTAGACAATTAGATTCAGTCGGAAGTTTATCCAAAACATATTAAAAAAATAGAAGCAGCAAGTTTCTGCTTCAAAAAAAAAAAAACTGAAAAAAATAAAAATAAAAACATAATCCTTCACAGTCTAGAATACCATTTAAGTTAGCAGGGGCGAGGGTAAATTAATAATTGAGTATAAAAAATTGGGTAAAAAATATTAAAATAATGAATATGTATAATGTATTAATTTTTTTTTAAAAGCATAATAGAGAGAACAAAGCCGAGAAACCTAAATAGCAAGTAAACTAATATCAATGAAACAGAAGGAATAAATGAAATCTATGAAAAGTGAATAAAATGAATTATTCTAAAAGCTTTAATTACAACATACAAAAGATCAGATCATTATTCATCAGCCTTTGTAAAAATCAGACACAAATAAGTTCGATCTTGCTGAGGAATTCATGTTGTTTTTTCTTGGCACCCTTTCCATTTTCATTCGATTTTCTTTTTTTATCGGAAAAAGTATTCGACAACACTATACATAGAAAATCTACTCATCCGTCGAGCTAAGGACCAAAATACTTGCCGAAGCAGAGACAACCTTGTTGCTGGTCGAGGGGGATCATCCCGCTTCCTTTAGAGGGATCGATAGCTTCTAACATCACAACAACCTCGTCCATTTCTGGCCTCTTGTCTGGATTTGCGTCCCAACATCGCTTCATCACGTTGGCGAGCGCACTCGGGCAGCATCTTGGTATTTCCGGCCTCAAATTCTGCAGACATTTTGCCAATCAAAGCATAAATAATATTTCAAAGCTCATCGTTATCCTTTTCAATTTGAATTCGATTTGTAATAACCACGCAAAAAAAAAAGTTGAAACAATAATCCTTAAAAACTCATTTACGACACCTTTATTACTTCCTTTGTCGTCCAATTGTGTTATCATATTTTTGGACATATGTGAGCATTTATTTTATTACTTTTTTCCTTTTATAGTAAAAGAAATATAAAAAGTATTACGGCTTTTTACTTCAAAAAAAAAAAGGGAAGATCTTTTATGACATCTCAAAAAGAAAAAGAAGAATAAAATTGGATGATAAATGGAATATGAGTTATTAACACTGTCGTTGTTATGTTCGGAACTACTAATTTAAGTTGCAAAAGATCGATTTAATTTTTCAAAAAAAATTAATATAACAGGATTTAGTCATAATAAACTTAACACTTCAGCTCGGGATGAAGGTTTAGTTTAGGCTACGAGGAATGTTACCTGCCGGACAACTGCTGATGTCACCTCAGAGAAGCTAAGGTCGGGATACGGCATGTCGCAGCAGTATATCTCCCACAAACAGATTCCGAAGCTGTAGACATCACATTTTCGGTTGTACGGTTGTCCGTTGAGAACCTACAGTTCAATGTTCATACACACAATTGAGATGATCACTTTCTTTCGCCGAATCCTTCTTCAATATGTCTGATTTTAGCAGCAAAAATTACAAATTTAATCCTCACATGCTATGCCATACAAAAATCATTTTTCTTGTCTCCGAGGCTCTGTTTTCATACACTTTTGACACTTTCGTTACTGTTCATCAACGGTATCTTTTTTTAAATAAATACCACATCAAATACTCTTTTTGTCACATACCAGACAATATTTCCAAAATAGAAAATAATTAACTACATTTTATCTCATCACATCACTCAAATAAAAAAATAAATATACACTTCCCTTTCATCACATTACCTAATTCATATTATATTCTACTTAATATTACCCATTTAAATACCCGTGCCGGAAACTAAATTTTGCATCATATTTGGGATGGAGATAGTACTTTTTTCTTAAAAAATATTAGTTCAAATATCAACTTACTATTTCAGAATTATCTAAAACTTTCAAAACTTTTGTCGAAACGGAAATATTTTGCAAAGTATGAGACCAAAACACAACAAAGAAAATATAAGGAACAAAAGTGATAATCGATCTTAGGTACGACTAAAATGACATTTTTCCGAATTAATCACAAATGGTAAAATAAAAGGAGGAGACGGGAGTCATTTCATACCTCGGGAGCCATATAGCCGAGGGTTCCTGTTTCCCCAGTCATATCATGTGGATTTGAGGCTTCAACACGGGCAACTCCGAAATCGGCTATTTTGACCGTACGTGACCTGTCTAACAACATGTTTTCGGTCTTGACGTCTCGGTGGACGATCTTTTGAGAGTGAAGGTAGCTTAATCTACAGAGCAAGAAAAGCTTCTCTTAAATTCCATAGATGACGATGAAAGTAATATGAAAATTTTTGAAGAATTTGGAACCAATAAAGGTACCCTCGAGCGAGATCAAGCGCCATTTGCATGACAACTTTCAATGCAAGCTTCCTTCTCCGGTTCTTTATGAGGTACGATTTCAAGGCTCCGCCAGGAAGATATTCGACAACAACACAACATATATTACTAGGCATCCCGATTTGGCCATTCTCGGTTTGAATGTTGAGATCCGAAGAGCCCATTGTTGCCCCGATAAACTGGTTGGATGAAGACAACATTAGCAGCAACAATGATGTAAGAAATTCTTGGAGCCGTCATAAAATTTCAAGGGATCAACAGAAATAAAATGGACTCCACATTACAATATATGAAACCCAGAAAGCTGGAAATAAAGATTTCAACCTTTGTTACGTTAGGATGGTCGAGCTTATGCCAAACCGCGACTTCTTGAATAAAAGCCGCTCTTAAGGAAGCTATCTCAGCATCTGTTCTGTGGCCCTCTTCCCCCCAGTCGAGCAGTTTAACTGGAGAAAATATAAAGACACTGAACTGTTAATGAGGACTATTTACATACAGCAACAAAGAACATAGGCAGCCAAAACCTTGTAGCAAATAAACGCCAACCTTGTAACCTCAATTTCCACAAATGCCAAGAGGATTACCGTTTGACAAACATTGTAACGATATAGAAGGCTTCACTTTGGGCCGCGCACAAATAATTCATGTGCACAAATCCATTCTTACCCATTTTTGGCAACTTTTTCATGTTAAACATTAACGGATAACAAACCTCAGCCAATTTATCTCTACTTCCTACTCGACCAAATCAAATGATATGAAATAAACTAACCAACACTATAATTCATCGTAGCCGAACAAACACATAGTGCCAATCCATTCGTATCCGTAAAATTTTTCTTTACACCTAAGGAAAAAAATTTTACCAATAAGAATGGATTAATTTGACTTTAGTTCCTTCTCGAGCAAATTTATTAATATGCAATTAATGAACAAACACTATAATTCGTCATAGCCGAACAAACACACACTATACATAAAATATTCAAACTTGACTCTTCACAACAACAAAATTTTAGAATCTAACTTATGTTATCTCATGCCCGAACAATTGCTTTCCAGTTAGCCTCACATCTATTTTTTTTTTCCTTTCAAAATTCATTTTCGAATGCTCTAAAAAGGCAAAAGCAACCGTCAAATTAATCCCTTATCACATTTATTAAACATCTTACTATCCAAACATATCCAGAACATTAAAAATAAACAAAATCTAACTTTCTATTAAAAAAATTTCGAATTGAAAACACCACAAATCACATGAAAGTAGATAAACAGCAGAGCATGGTGTGATTGTGTCCCCCCCACACCCACCCACCCCCCAAATTCAATCCAAACCCGTGTCCCAAGTCACGGATTTCACAAGAATGCATTCATTGTACTTTCCCTAATAAATATGTAATCAAAATAAAAAAGAAAAATCAATAAGAGCATCTTCACATAAAAGAAATGATCAAAACTAACATAATCACTTCTTATCACATTATGATCATCTTCTTCACTTACTCTCATGATTTCGACAACAAAGAAATAAATTTTAATTGTCTTATCTGTTCATAAAATCATTAATCATAACTAGACGGAAGATGACAAAAAAGTTACTGTAATAATAAAAAAAAAAAAAAAAACTTGAATTAAATAAAATATATAATGAAAAATAAATAGTATTGAAGGAGACGGCGGCGACTGACCGGCGACGTCGAGGCCGTCGTAGACGCCACGGTGGACGGTACCGAAGGTGCCACGTGCGAGGACGCTTTTGATAATTAACTTCGAGGGATCAATTTCCCATTCCTGCCTCTGTTTCTGCCTCCTGAGAGGATTCCCTGCGGCGGCGGCGGTAGCGGGGACGGCGGCGGAATTAGTATCTTCATCGTCTTGATTCTTCTTATTGTTCTTCTCCATCGTCAGCGCTCGATTCAAGTGACGCTCGAGCTGCTCGTCCAAGCTCTTCAAATCGATCTGATCTGCCCTAACGAATCCGTTCCCGTTCTTCTCCATTTCTGAGGTCTTGCTCCGGCGGCTGCTCAAACGGTGCCGATCGATTTGTTTGTGTGAGAAAATTGGGACATGAATCGGCGCTGTAGGGCTTCGATTTCGCTGAAATTGGAACTAATTTGGGGTTTTTCTTGGGAGGGTTAGGAGTTAGGGTAGAGAGTTATTGGGGAAGAACAGAGTTGAGAGTGTTATGGGAATGGGAGTGAGCGTCGCCATGTGGGCAAATGGAGTTGCCTGATAGTGTATGAGACGTTAATTGTTTGTCACTCCTGGGATCTTAGATCCCGAATGGCCATGACTTCTTGTTTGTCGCTATCGGGTGTTCGAAGTCCCGGCACTCGGAAAGAATTCATACCCTACCAATTATTTCATGTGAAGATTAGGGCTTAGCTTTAATTAAAAAATATTAATAATATACATACATATAGATATAGTAACACATAACTAAAATTAAAATAGTTATTGGGTTGATTATTATTATTAGTTTTTTCAATCACTTGATAATCTACAATTGCTATCAGCGGATTAAACTTTCGGCCGAATCTAATTTATAGTAAATTAAGTTCAATAAGATAAATCATACTATGTAATTTATCTAAAATAAGTTCATTTAATTTTGATGTAAAATTTCATGCTATATATATTTGTTGAAAAAGAAAACAATTTTATTTTTTATAAATAAAAAAGTGATTATATTCCATGAAAAAAAGAATATTAACATACAATCTTATGTTGATATGGTGTATATGGTATGTATTTTTACACTGATCCACCATTCTAATCTATCCACTTTCTTTCATATACTATATCAACCCCAAATTCCAATTTATTTTATTTTATTATATATATAATATATATATATATATATATTTACTTTTGATACAATTATTTTAAGTAGTATAATATAGTAATCTTTTATCATTTTTTTTCTTAAAATAATATACTTAGAAAGATAGAAAAAAAATATAAACAAAAGAATATTGCAAAAAATTAAATATTATAATAATAGAAGATAATTCGAAGCAATAAACATTAAATTATATTGGCTCCACTTAATAGAAAAATAATATTTGAAGTAATATTTTAAATAAAGATACATATATTTTTAAATAATATATTATCTTAAAATATATATATATATATATATAATAAAATTTTTAGAGTAGCACGAGCTGTATTTTATGTTGGATTGCTCTCCATAGCTCGGCCAAGTAGCTTAATTCCGTTCCTCGATTAAATATGAATCATCCCATTATTCCACCAATTTCTTCTTCTCTCATCAAGTAAGATTGACGTTTCGTCTATTTATTGATTTCAAACAAGACAAAAACAAATATTTCAATTTTGGTTCTAGAAATTACTATATCATTGTAAAAAAAAAAAATCCACGGCTTTACAAGGAAATTATTGCAAAGACAACATATTTCCTCGTAAAATTTGTTTGCAAGAGAAATTGTGAGGATTCTACAATTCCTCACAAATTGTGAGTGGTAAAAGATACGACCCGGACGTATGTCCCTCACAAATTATATGACAAGGGTACTATCATAAGTCCACTTAATGAGTTTGTGAGGGAATACTTTCCTCACAAATTCGGTCATAGAAAAATATTTCCTAACCTTCCCAAATTATTTTTTGATTTTTTTAAAAATGTCTCAAATAATTGCAAGTTTACAACACATGTCACACAATATTACCAATCCATATAGTACTCATTACAACCATAAGTTTAGTAATCCTAACGGCGTCGTAAAATTGTATCAAGTCAATAGAACAAATAAGTACAAATATAAGTAGGTCGAAACTTACATCATGCGACAGGAAGAGCCCTTGCATCATCATCGGGTTCATAGTGGTCCAATCGAGCATGGATCCTATTCAGCTGCTCCGTAATGGTCATATTCTGATAAATGAGCATTTGTTGGTACTGCTTCATGCTCATCATTCTTTCGTCGATGTAGTGAATTTAATCATCGACCAGCTGAAACAGAGTATTAATATTATCTTGGTGCTAATTTACATTAGCTCTGGAGAGGCCACGGTTGAGCTATTTTTATACATAGTTTATTAAACGGATCAAAATACATTTATCCTTATAAAATAAAAGAAAAAAAAACATCTGTATACATTTAATAATTATAAAAATGTGTATATATTTTTTTAATTTTGTTAATATTATCACATGTGTTTGTAAAATAATTGCTTAGAAATAATATAACCTGAACACAAACCATAAGAAATTTAACTTTTAAATATGAGCTATTAATCCCTAAAACTTTTAACCAAATCAACATAAAAAAGGGTTATAAATACAAACACAGGATGTACGAAATTAAAACTTTCAACCACATCTATATATATATTAGTTAATAATTTTTTCAAATCTTCATTCAACACTTATTACCAAATTAAATCCCGGAACTAATAAGACAAAAATAAATACATAAGTAAACTATAAGTACAAAAAGTGCCTTAGATATACATACCATAATCTTCATCATCATCTTTGTCTGTGTCTGTGTCTGTGTCTACACCTTCGCTCTCAGACTCATCTTCATCTTCATCTTTGTCGGTGTCTACATCTTAGCTCTCAGCCTCGTCATCTTCATCTGTATCATCAAAGTCAGAGTCTTCTTCAGAGACATCAATCTTGAGGATATCATTTCCCATGCTCTGTTGTTCCTCTAATATTTGGCATGCCGAATCCACGGCAGACTCGCTGCAATTTTGCAAAGTTATTTCACGCAGTGTCGGTATATCTCCAACACCCGAAGGGATTTCTTCCAATGAAGGTAAGTTAAACAATGCAAGAGTCTCGAGCCTCGGATAATGGTGTTGATCAGCTCTCCATTGTACTACATCACTACCCCAAATAAACAAAACTTTTAGTCAAAGAAATTCCCCTTCAGCTGGATTCCACTCAGAGCCGTCTGCGGCATTCAACAAAATGAGAGTTTCAAGATTGGGTAATGAACCAACCATTGACATACAGCTCCAAGGAATTCGGCATCTCTTTGGCCTCTTACTTACTGTGTACGTGTTCCAGCTCACGTCTTTCCTCGTTAACCCAACACATATTAATATTTCTTTTTATTTATTTATTTTTAATAACGTTGTAATCCAACAACCAACATAGACACTATATAAATGATCCACAACCACTAACCGGAAGTAAGCACTGGGTAAAGATAAAGTGCCAACAACCAAAATATGCAGAGGAAAAATATTTATCACTATTGTTAGATTGCAACATTTCTCATCACTGCATATTATTATTGAATCACTTCTGGAAATCTTCCTTCAACACTTGAATTCTTATTTCCGAAATTAAAGCATGAAACCAATTTAGCAAGTTAGAAGACACAAAAAATTATAATAAGTCACTAAAAGTACCTTAGATATACATACCATCATCATCATCTTAATCTTCATCTTCATCTTCGTCTTCGAATTCATAGTCAGAATTATCAGAGACATCAATCTCAAGGATATCATTTCCCACGCTCCGTTGTTCCTCAAGTATTAGGCATGCTGAATCCACAGCAGACTTGCTGCAATTTCGCAAAATAATTTTATGCAGTGTTGCTATATCTCCAACACCTGACGGGATTTCTTCCAATGAAGGTAAGTTAGACAGTACAAGATTCTCAAGCACAGGATAGTGGTCTTGATCAGCTCCCCAATGTTCTAAATCACTACCAGCAATCGCCAATAATCTTAATCGAAGAAATTCCCCTTCAGTTGGATTCCACTCAGAGCCTTCTGCAGTATCCCACAACACAAGAATTTCGAGATTGGGTAACGAACCAACCATTGACATACCACTCCAAGGAATTCGACATTTCCTCAGAGCCAACCTTTTGAGTGAATTTGGATAGCCAATGTTTTGCAATGTGTTTTTGACTGATAGAACTTCAAGTTTCTGTAATTGGGAAAGATTATTCAAACAAGAATCCGACTCTCTCATATGCTTATCATACTTTATCCATAGTTCCTTCAAATTTGGGATTCCATCGAGAATCTCACAGGTGAACTCAAGATTCTTAGCACAGCCAAGGAGTTGCAGATTCTTCAGAATAAAGAAATCTTTCTCTTCGACATGAGCATTAGGAGGCTTTGGAAAAACCACATAATTGCATTCAATAACTCTAAGTTGCGGCAGCTCCCAGATTTCGGATGGTAAAACTACCACCTCTGACTTCTTAAATTTCATACTCTGAAGGTTCCATAGCAAATGTAGCGTCGAAGGAGATATGAACTTTGGAGGGTTATGCATGGAAACATAAACGTAGCGTAATTTAGTGTGCTGCACAAGTGAATCATGAGCTACACCATCTTTATCCATGACCTTGACGAATCGAAGTCCCTTCATATGTGAATAAGTCATTTTACAATGACCACAGACAGGAGGACTACAATGCGAAGCTGATGGAGGAATGACGTCAAGTGCAAGGAAATTTCTCGTTTCTGTCACTGAAACGCTACATAGGAAACACACTCTTTCCTCAGATTGTGGACTGATCTCTTGTTCTCTTGGAGTACACAAAAAGTTCTCTTTTTTAGACTCACTAATGCATAGGTCTCGTAGAAGATCATGGATGCCGCATGATAGAATTTCCTCAGTGCCAAACTCTCGGTCACGCACAAAAAGTAGATTTCTATCGAGAAGATCATTCACATATTCCTTTGCAAGTTCTTCCAAACTTTTATCTTCTTTTATTGTTATGAAACCTTGATCAACCCATACTCGGATTAGATAGGAGACATCAATTTCAGCATCTTCGCGGAAAGATCTCATATAGAGGAAACATGGCTTGAGATATATAGGCAGATTATTATAACTCAAAAGTAATATATTCAAACAATGCTCGCCATCACTTGAATTGCCAAAGGAACTTACATTTTCAGCAACCGATTCCCAATATTCTGTCGTCATGCAAGACTTTGCAAGTAGTCCTCCTATAACGGCAATTTGTAAAGGAAGCCCTCTACAGTTCTTGACAATCACCCTTCCGATTTGCTCCAATTCTGGATGTGAACAATTTTCTTCTCCAAATACAGTTTGGCAAAATAAACTCCAACTTGTATTTGTGTCAAGAAATGTCATTGGATAGGGGTCGTGAGAGCCTAATGAACCAGCCACTTGTGATAGCCTAGTGGTCACAATAATTCGACTTCCATTCCCGTTATCCGGAAAGAACCTCCTTAAATCATCCCAAGCTTGAAGAGTCCATATGTCATCCATAACAATTAAGTATCTTCTGCCGTATAGCTTCTTACGCAACATCTCCCCAGGTCCATCTGAATTTCCACAATGTCTTTCAACTTTTCCATTGTTTATAAGACCTTGGAGGATCTCATTGACACTATACTCCTGGGAAATTGTAATCCAAATGCGCACATCAAAGCGGTCGACAGCATATTTATCTTCATAAACTTTTTTGGCAAGAGTTGTTTTTCCAATACCCCCCATGCCAACAATTGGGATGATTTGGAGATTGCCATTATCTCTAGCTAGCTCACCCTTAATCTTGGTCACATGTTCCTCAAGGCCGACAATAATATTCTTTCCAACGGAGGATGCAGCTGTTGAAGAGCCAGCAGCAGGAACAGAAGCTCTGCTTCCAACCACGACCTCTTCCACCATTGATAGCTCTCGCTTGATGCGGTCAACCTTTTGGATCATAGTGTCTAAATCTTCACCGAATGATCTCGCGCCCATATCACTACTTTCTCCCTGAGAATCCTTCCGAAGTTGACTCACAACATGTAAGTCAAAAATTTCTTCGATCTCAAAATTAACTTCAGATATTTGTTTCCAAAGATCTTCAGCCTTCTGGCTTTGACTTCTATGGTTCTTTTCAAGGAACTCCAACAAGAAATTGACAGCTTCTTGGAGAGATTCAATCTGTTTTATGTCCACATGAAGGCGACGAAGCTGAGCCCGGTAGTGGATGTTGTCGAGGACATGAGTAAGAGAAACCAATGATGCATAAGCAGCTACAGCCATCTTTTACACTGAAGAAATAAAAAGCGGCAGCTAATATGGATATATTTTTTCACCAATATTGAAGAAACAATCTCTGCTTCAGTTTTCTTTGGATGAACAGATTCAAACTGAACTTTTTTATGACAATTAGATCATGAAACAATAAGAACAATCTTTTTAATTCCACTAGCTTCAAAAGCAGCTTTCATTTTTAAAGATTGAAATATATATTTTATTGGTTAGGTATGTGAAATGGAATCATAGCTACAAGATTCCTAGCTAACAAATTTATTGTGTTTGTCAGTTGGTGTGGTTTTTGATTTTTAGTTTCTGGTAGAAAAATATGTTTTTTTATATAAAAATTTTGAAATATAATTATTAGATATAATATTTTAAATAAAAAAATAGGTTTACAATAAAAATTAATTTTTAGTTGATTTTTGTTATATTTCCTTTTATGAGTAAAAAGTATTTTGTGGTATAGGTTTCATTAAAGAACCTTAACTTCCAAAATCTAAGATTATTAGTCAAACTAGGCCTCAATCCACTAATTCGAAGGTAAATACGATATTTGGTTTCATTTTAATGTTAATTATTCGTAGACTATGCATTATATATTCCTTTGAATAGTTGTTTGATATAATATAAATAATCTTAATACGATGTTTTGAATGTAAAATAAATTTATAGTATAACTAAAAAAGAAAAAAAATGTAATTATTTGATTTGATATTTTTTGAGGAAAAAAAAAAGAATTTGAATAATAAAAATTTGTACTAAAAACCACAAAAGAACACAAGCTAAAACTTTTGACTTCATTACATCATCATCATCATCTTCTTCTTCTTCTTCTTCTCCTACTTAAGGCCGTCAGACAGACTCATAATCTTCATCTTCGTCTTCATCTTCAGAATCATCTGAGACATGAATCTTGAGGATATCATTTCCCATGCTCTTTTGTTCCTCTAATATTAGGTATGCCGAATCCACAACAGACTCACTGCAATTGCTCAAAAGAATTGTACACAGTGTCGGAATATCTCCAACACCTAAAGGGATTTCTTCCAATGAAGGTAAGTTAGACAGTCCAAGAATCTCAAGAACAGGATAGTGGTATTGATCAGCTCTCCAATCTACTAAATCACTACCATGTATAAACAATCTTTTTAATCGAAGAAATTCTCCTTCAGTTGGATTCCACTCAGAGCCCTTTGCAGTATACCACAGCATAAGAACTTCAAGATTCGGTAATGAACCAACCATTGACATTCCACTCCAAGGAATTCTGCAGCTCATCAGAAACAAGAATTTGAGTGAATTTGGAAAGCCAATGTTCTGCAATGTCATTACGACAGTTAGTCTTTCAAGTTTGTGTAATCGGGAAAGATTACACAAATTAGTATTCCACTCTTTCATACTCTTGTCATACTTTATCCGTATTTCCTTCAAATTAGGGATTCTACCAAGAATCTCATCCGTGAGCTCGAAATTCCTTGCAGTGGTAAGGCTTTGAAGATTTTTCAGAATGAAGAAATCTTTCCCTTCGTCGCGAACATTAGGAGGCTTAGGCAACACCACATCCTTGAAGTCAATAATTCTAAGTTGCGGCAGCTTCCAGATTTCAGTTGGTAAAACTACCGAAGGTAAATGTGGGAATAACAAAGTCTGAAGGTTCCATAACAAATGTAGCGTCGAAGAAAACATGAACATTGGAGGCTTGTACATGGGAAGAGAGACGCAGCGTAATTTAGTGTGCTGCACAAGTGAATCATGAGCTACACCAACTTCATCGATGACTTTCACCAATCTTAGTCCCTTCATATGTGAATAAGTCACTTTATTGTCGCAACAAACCGGAGGATTACCATGTGAAGCTGACGGAGTAATAACACCAAGTGTAAAGGGATTTGTCCTTTCTCCTTCTTTTACTAAACTGATGTTTTGGATTCTGGTAGAACACAAAAAATTCTCTTTTTTAGATACACTAATGCATAGATCTCGCAAAAGATCATGGATGCTGTATGTTTCTATTTTCCCGGTAACGGCATAATGTTTATGAAGACAAAGTAGATTTCTATCAACAAGATCCTTCAAGTATTCCATTGCAAGTTCTTCCAAACTTTTATCTTCTTTTGTTGTTATGAAACCTTCATCGACCCAAAATCTGATTAGAGTTGCGACATGAATTTCAGAATCTTCAGGGAAGGCTCTCATGTAGAGAAAACATGGCTTGAGATATATAGGCAGATTATTATAACTCAAAAGTAATATATTCAGGCAATGCTCGTCATTACTTGCATTGCCAAAAGAACTTACATTTTCGGCAACTGATTCCCAATATTCTTTCTTCATATCCGACTTTGCAAGTAGTCCTCCTATAACAGTAATTTGTAAAGGAAGCCCTCTGCAATTTCTGACAATAACCCTTCCGATTTGCTCCAATTCTCGATGTGAACAATTTTCTTCGTCAAATACGATTTGACAAAATAAACTCCAACTTGTATTTGCGTCTAGAAATGTCATTGGATAGGGGTCATGCGAGCCTAAAGAGCCAGCTACGTGTGATAGCCTAGTAGTCATGATAATCCGACTTCCATTCCCGTTATCCGGAAAGAACCTCCTTAAATCATCCCAAGCTTGAAGAGTCCATATGTCATCCATAACAATCAAATATCTTCTGCCGTATAGCTTCTTGCGCAATATTTCCCCGAGCCCATCTGAATTTTTACCATGTCTTTCTACTTTTCCGTCATTGATAAGACCTTGGAGGATCTCATCGACACTATACTCCTGAGAAATAGTAAGCCAAATGCGCACATCAAAGCGTTCGATGACATATTTATCTTCATAAACTCTTTTAGCAAGAGTAGTTTTGCCAATACCCCCCATCCCGACAATTGGGATGATTTGGAGCTTGTCTTCATATCTAGCTAGCTCACCCGTAATCTTGATCACGTGTTCCTCAAGTCCCACAATAATATTCTTTCCAACAGCGGATGCAGCAGTTGAAGAACCACCAGCAGGAACAGAAGCTCTGGTTTGTTGTCCAACCACGACCTCTTCAACCATCGATAGCTCTCGCTTGATGCAGTCAACCTTTTGGATCATAGTGTCTAAATCTTCATCAAATGATCTCGCGCCCAGATCACTACTTTCTCCCTGAGATTCCTTCTGAAGTTGACTCACAACATGTGAGTCAAAAATTTCTTCGATCTCCAAATTAACTTCAGATATTTGCCTCCAAAGATTTTCAGCCTTCTGGCTTTTACTTCTATGGTTCACTTCAAGAATATCCAACAAGGAATTGACACCTTCTTGGAGAGATTCAATCAGTTTTATGTCCACATGAAGGCGACGAAGCTGAGCACGGTAATGAACGTTGTCAAGGACATGAGTAAGAGAAACCAATGATGCATAGGCAGCTACAGCCATCTCTTACAGGCTGCTGAAGATAATAAAAATCAGCAGCTAATATGGATATATTTTTGCACCAATATAGAAGAAACAAACTCTGCTTCAGTTTTCTTTGGATGAACAGATTCAAACTGAACTTTTTAATGACAATTAGATCATGAAACAGTAAGAATAATCTTTTAATGCCACTAGCTTCAAAAGCAGCTTTCATTTTTAAAGACTGAAATATATATTTTATTGGTTAGGTAATAGGTATGTGTTAAATGGAATCAGAGCTAGAAGATTCCCATCTGGCAAATTTACTGTGTTTGTCAGTTAGGTATATATTTATTTAATGTCGATCGTGGTTTCTTTGCAAATACCATTCCCATCAATCATTCTTTTTTTAGCTCATGATTTAATGAAGTAGCTTTGTAATTTTTCCTTTTTAGGGTGTTATGCATAAATCATGGTAACTTGGTTAGTAGAAAGAAGTTTCCAACATCAATTTTGCATAAATTCAGAAGAGATTACTCCAAAGATTTTTTTTTTTTTTTTCTTGAATATACTCTAGCTACATATTTGAACTGTCGTAGACAAGAAAATAGAACACATTCGACTCACCAAAAAAAAAGTCCAACCCTAGAAAATAACACATTTTTTCACTATGCAACACACAGATTTCTATAGTATTTTTTCGTGCAAAACATGATATCAAATAATTATTTTACCCAAACAATCAAAACAAAATAAGGTACCAATTTAATTAGGCGGTAATTTAGTTGGTGATATTTTCTATTTTGGTTTTTTATTCGAATATTAATTTGAATGTAATATTTTGTAGAAACACAAATAATATTCCCTCCGTCCGCGTCTGAGATCACATTTATCTTTTGCATCTTTATACTTAATATTAAAAATATCTTTATATTCGTATAATGTTTTTATACATATATCCTTCTATTAGTATTATAAGACATTTATGAAATTATTTTTGCAATTTTTTTTTATTTGTACTATATTTTGATGTAATAATTAATATTTAAAGATTAAGACGTAAAGTAAATGGGACTTTAGAGTCGGACCGAGTTAGTATATGTTTCATAGAAAATTGTAAGAGTTGAATATTAGAAAGAAAAAAATACCAAATGAACTCACTATGTATTTTGGATTTTTATTTCTATAGATTTTTTTGTACATTGAAGAAAAATGAAAATAAAGAATGAAAATTCATTCACTTTATAGAGAAGGAGAAACTGTTGAATATGATCCAAAGTGTTGCTGAATACTTTAAGCATTAAAGTTGGTTATTTAGAAAAGGCAGAAGTCCACTTAATTGGTGGGGAGAATATTAATAATTTCTTCATGAATTTTTTTTTTTTTTTAAAAAAAAGAAGTTGATCCCCAATAATTCTGTTCAATTATTGCTACAAACTCTTCCTTCCTTAGGCTGTTCATGTTTCTTCTTCTTTTATCCTTCACCAGGCTTATTCTGTTAAAATCGAAAATTCAGTCATTCCATTTTATTGGCTGTTCATGTTTTATCCTCTCCTTCAACTTCTTCTTATTTTATCATCACCAGGCTTCGACTTCTAGAATTATTCATCTATACTGATCCCGATTAAGGTAAAGTTCAAATATAAAAATAGAACTTAATGTTACTTCATTGTTGCTATTTATCAATTATTTAATTGTTATTTTTGAGCTAAACTTAGGTGTCTGAATTTAGTTACTTTCAATTTTAGTTTATACAATAGATTTTTAAGGCTGGAATCTTCAACCAGTCCCCCTTTAAACAAATGAAATAAACTCATCATAGCTGTGGACTCATGTCTTCAGGTGCCTGTGGCTAAGAGTTTAGATTTCAGAGCATTCGAGAGATGGCTGTTGCTGCTTACGCATTGCTGGTTTCTCTTACTCATGTCCTCGACGACGTCCACTACCGGGCTCAGCTTCGTCGCCTTCATGTGGATATAAAACGGATTGAATCTCTCCAGGAAGGGGTCAATTTCTTGTTAGAATTTCTTGAAGTTAATCACAGAAGTAAAAGCAAAAAGGTTGGAAATCTTTGGAGGCAAATATCTGAAGTTAGTTTGGAGGTCGAAGAAATTTTTGACTTCCATGTTGTGAGTCAACTTCAGAAGGATTCCCAGGAAGAAAGTAGTGATATGGGCGCAGGATCATTTAATGAAGATTTGGACACTATGATCCAAAAGATTAACAATATCAAGAGTGAGCTATCGACGGTTGAGGAGGTTGTGGAGGATATTCCGGTTGGAAAACAAACCAGAGCTTCTGTTCCTGCTGGTGGCACTTCAACTGCTGTGTCCTCGGTTGGAAAGAATGCTATAGTGGGACTTGAGGAACACGTGATCAAGATTAAGGGTGAGCTAGCTAGATATGATGGCAATCTCCAAATCATCCCAATTGTCGGCATGGGGGGTATTGGAAAAACAACTCTTGCCAAAAAAGTTTACGAAGATAAATATGCTGTCGACCGCTTTGATGTGCGCATTTGGATTACAATTTCCCAAGAGTATAGTGTCAATGAGATCCTCCAAGGTCTTATAAACGATGGAAAAGTTGAAAGACATTGTGGAAATTCAGATGGACCTGGGGAGGTGTTGCGTAAGAAGCTATACGGCAGAAGATACTTAATTGTTATGGATGACATATGGACTGTTCAAGCTTGGGATGATTTAAGGAGGTTCTTTCCAGATAACGGGAATGGAAGTCGAATTATTGTGACCACTAGGCTATCACAAGTGGCTGATTCATTAGGCTCTCACGACCCCTATCCAATGATATTTCTAGATCCAAATACAAGTTGGAGTTTATTTTGTCAAACCGTATTTGCAGAAGAAGATTGTCCACATCAAGAGTTGGAGCAAAGTGGAAGGAAGATTGTCAAGAATTGCAGAGGGCTTCCTTTACAAATTGCTGTTATAGGAGGACTACTTGCAAAGTCTGGCATGACGACAGAATATTGGGAATCAGTTGCTGAAAATGTGAGTGCCTTTGGCAATGCAAGTGATGGCGAGCATTGCCTGAATATATTACTTTTGAGTTATAATAATCTGCCTATATATCTCAAGCCATGTTTCCTCTACATGAGATCTTTCCGCGAAGATGCTAAAATTGATGTCTCCTATCTAATCCGAGTTTGGGTTGATCAAGGTTTCATAACAATAAAAGAAGATAAAAGTTTGGAAGAACTTGCAAAGGAATATGTGAATGATCTTCTCGATAGAAATCTACTTTTTGTGCGTGACCGAGATCTTGGCACTGAGGAAATTCTATCATGCGGCATCCATGATCTTCTACGAGACCTATGCATTAGTGAGTCTAAAAAAGAGAACTTTTTGTGTACTCCAAGAGAACAAGAGATCAGACCACAATCTGAGGAAAGAGTGTGTTTCCTATGTAGCGTTTCAGTGACAGAAACGAGAAATTTCCTTGCACTTGACGTCATTCCTCCATCAGCTTGGCATTGTAATCCTCCTGTTTGTGGTCATTGTAAAGTGACTTATTCGCATATAAAGGGACTTCGATTCGTCAAGGTCATGGATAAAGATGGTGTAGCTCATGATTCACTTGTGCAGCACACTAAATTATGCTACGTCTCTGTTTCCATGCATAACCCTCCAAAGTTTATATCTCCTTCGACGCTACATTTGCTATGGAACCTTCAGAGTCTGATATTTAAGGAGTCAGAGATGGTAGTTTTACCATCTGAAATCTGGGAGCTGCCGCAACTTAGAGTTATTGAATGCAAATGTGTGGTGTTTCCGAAGCCTCCTCATGCTCATGTCAAAGAGAAAGATTGCTTTGTTCTGAGGAATCTACAACACCTTACCTGGGCAAGAAATTTTGAGCTCACTGGTGAGATTCTCAATGGAGTCCCTAATTTGAAGGAACTACAAATAAAGTATGATAAGCGTATGAGAGAGTCGGATACTTGTTTGTGTAATCTTGCCAGATTACAGAAACTTGAAACTCTATCAGTCAAAAATACACTGCAGAACATTGGCTTTCCAAATTCACTCAAATTGTTGGCTCTGATGAGATGCAGAATTCCTTGGAGTGGTATGTCAATGGTTGGTTCGTTACCCAATCTCGAATTTCTCGGGTTGTTTAATACTGCAGAAGGCTCTGAGTGGAATCCAGCTGAAGGGGAATTTCTTCGATTAAGATTATTGGCGATTGTTGGTAGTGATTTAGTACATTGGGGAGCTGATCAAGACCACTATCCTGTGCTTGAGAATCTTTTACTGTTGAACTTACCTTCATTGGAAGAAATCCCGTCAGGTGTTGGAGATATAGCAACACTGCATAAAATTGTTTTGCGAAATTGCAGTAAGTCTGCTGTGGATTCAGCATGCCTAATACTTGAGGAACAACGGAGCGTGGGAAATGATATCCTTGAGATTGATGTCTCTGATAATTCTGACTATGAAGTCGAAGACTTTGATGAAGATGAAGATGAAGATTAAGGTGATGAAGATGGTGGTATGTATAGCTAAGGTACTTTTAGTGACTTATTATAATTGTTTTGTGTCTTCTAACTTGCTAAATTGGTTTCAGGCTTTAATTTCGGAATAAGAATTCAAGTTGAAGGAAGATTTCCAGAAGTGATTCAGTAATAATATGCAGTGCGGAGAAATGTTGGAATGTAACAATAGTGATAAATATTTTTCCTCTTCTTATTTTGGTTGTTGGCACTTTATCTTTACCCAGTGTTTACTTTCGGTTAGCAGTTGTGGATTACAACCTTATAAAAATAAATAAATAAAAAGACATTATTGTAATATGTGTGGATGATTTATTCAATGTCTATGTTGGTTTCATTGCAATTACCTTTGCATCTATCATCCTTTAATTTTTTAGGTCTATGATTTAATTAAGTAGCTTAGTAATATTTGGATGAAGATGAAGATGAAGACATAGACACAGACATAGATGAAGATGACGAGTCTGAAGTTGAAGACACATGTTGATATATATATTGTATATATATTGTATATATTTATATATATATATCCTACCTAATATATCTCTTGTATAAATATAATATTGTACCATAATTATGATTCAACGAAAATAGAGTTTATTCCATAAATCGTAACATGGTATCAGAGCCATGCTTTTTCCCGACCAAATCGAAACAACCCACGCATTCCATATAGCATATTTCCGACCACTTCCGACCGTCACCGCCACCACCATCGTCTTCGCCGTCACGAGACCGGCCGGACACCGGAACAGTTCGGCGAACGGCGGCGCGTGAGCCTCACACGCGCCTGACGAGTTTTCCGGCCGGACGCCTCGCCGGCGCGTGGAGGCGCGTGCGGCGGCCGTTGGCGGCGATCTTTGCACCGTCATGTTCGGAATTTGATTTCCTCCGTGATGGTATCTTCACTTCTTCCGTTTGAGCAGTTTTTTGTATCCGGTTGACTTTTTTTGTTTCGGGTTTGATTCGGTTTTTGTCGTTTCGGCTTTCGGCTTGAGGTTTGAGATATTGTTTTCTCTTGAGTTTCTACGGAAAAGATGGATGTACATATTCCGATCAATGTTGTTCTGTCCGGAGATAATTACAGTTTGTGGGCACAATCAATGAAAAGTTTTTTGATAGGTCGGAAATTGTGGCGAATTGTTACGGGAGATATAATTGCCCCAATTGCTCCGGTTTCTATAGGAGAAGTTACGCCTACCGCCACAGTTATTGAATCTTATATTGAAAAATTAGAGGATTGGGATAGTAAGAACCATCAAATTCTCACTTGGTTGCGCAATACTTCCACTCTGGCGATCCATGTTCAGCTTGCCCAATTTGACACTGCCAAGGCAGCGTGGGATTTCTTGGCAGTCCGCTTCCGTGCTACTGGTTTGGCACACTATTATCAGTTATTGAGCACTCTCCACGATCTAAAACAGGAACCAGGACAATCTATCAACGACTTCCTTGCCCAAGTGCAACCCCTTTGGCATCGGTTGGATCAAGCAGAGATCAGTCCTGATCATCTTCGCCTCATTTAGGTCTTGATGGCTTTGCGTCCAGAGTATGAGGCAGTTCGTGCCTCTTTGTTACATCGGCATCCACTTCCTACCTTGGATGCAGCTATTCAGGAGATTCTGTTTGAGGAAACTCGTCTCCACCTAGCTAAGGCACCTCAGCTTGATTCTGCTCTTGCGGTCACTGCCCGAACTCCTACTCAGAGTCGTTCTCATCGTTGCAAAAGATGTCAGTCTTCTGATCATGACTTCGGTCATTGCCCAAAGGTGGAGTGTCACTACTGTCATGTTTTAGGCCATACCATACAGTATTGCCCCACTAGGCCGTCTTGCTCTGGCAGTAGTAACTACAAGCCTCGGCATTCTTGTGGACCTCAGTCTGGTACTTCCTTTGTCACAGCCTCTGCCACGCCTGCGCCTGCGCCTCCTACGATTCAGGACCTGGAAGCTCTTCTTAAACAGGTTCTATCTTCCAATACCGCCATGTCTACCACATCAGGTAACTCTCCTTGGTATTTTGATTCTGCTTGCAGTAATCATATGACCTCTGATATACGCCTGCCTTATGACCTCCACATCCATCGCACCATCCTTACCTCCTATCCTTACTGCCAATGGTACCCATATGTGCATCACCCATACCGGACATACATCCACCTCATCCTTATCTCTCCCCGACACATACTGTATCCCTCAATTAACCTTAAATCTTATTTATGTTGGTCAATTAGTTGATCAAGGTCTCACCGTGATATTTTCTTCTACTGGTGTGCAGGTTCATGACGCGCAAACCGGGCGGACTCTTGGGAAGGGCCGGAAGACGGGCCGCTTATTTGAACTTACGTCACTCCAGGTCCCTCGTCCCTCTATCTCGGCTGCCACCACCTCTACACCATCCTGCCTTCAGTAGCATCATCGTCTCAGTCATGCGTCTTCCAATAAAGTCAGGTCTTTGATTAGTCAGGGTAGTTTGGATTCTGTTAAGTTTGAGTCTTTTCATTGTGTGGATTGTTCGTTGGGAAAACAACCTGCCTTGTCGTTTCCTCATAGTACTTCCATTGCGGATACACCGTTTTCCTTAGTTCACTCGGATATTTGGGGACCTTCGCCCGCTGTGTCTATGAATGGTTCTCGTTATTTTGTGATTTTTATTGATGACTATTCTCGTTTTACATGGATTTACTTTCTGCGGCATCGTTCTGAACTTCCATCTATTTATATGACCTTTGCTAAAATGATACATACCCAATTTTCCTCTACCATAAAAACTCTCCGCACAGATAATGCTATTGAGTGTACTGATTCATCATTTCTTAGTTTCTTATCTGATCAAGGTACTGTTGTCCAACGCTCTTGCCCATACACCTCTCCACAAAATGGTCGCGCCGAACGTAAATACCGACATATCCTCGATACAGTCCGCACCCTTCTCTTATCTGCCTCTTGTCCGGATCGCTTTTGGGGGGAAGCCGCACTCACCGCTGTCCACACTATAAATCGTGTCCCTTCCTCTGTCCTGGGTAATGTCAGTCCTTTTGAAAGACTATTTAATCGTACCCCTGATTATAGTCTTCTCCGTTCTTTCGGTTGTGTCAGTTTTGTCCTCCTCTCTCCTCATGAGCGCACTAAGTTAGAACCTCGCGCGCGTCTGTGTTGCTTCCTGGGATACGGGTTAGAGCATAAGGGTTATCGTTGTTGGGATCCCATTTTGGGAGGATACCAAATTCTCTTCCTTGTCCCACTTCCGAGTCCCCTTTGATCGTTCGTCTCTGTTCTTTGCCTTGTCCTCTCCACCTCTATTCCCCTCCGGTGACACGGCTCCGTCTCCGTCTCCCGCTCCTGACGCTATCCCGGTTGCGCCTCCTGAACCGCCGCTGATCCCCGAGCCTACTCCTACTCTCCACTCCGATACATCACCACCACCAGAGCCTGACACGACTTCGATCTCAGCCCCTGATCCTGGCCCTCGTCGTTCCACTCGGGTTAGTCACCTTCCTACTCACTTACTTGATTATCACTGCTTCTCTGCCACCTTGTCCCATCATGAGCCCAGGTCCTTTCGTGAGGCGTATGCGGATCCGTTGTGGCGGCAGGCTATGTCTGAGGAGTTACAGGCTTTGGAGAAAACCCATACGTGGGATATGGTTGATCTTCCCCTTGGCAAGAAACCTATTTGGCTGCAAGTGGGTATTCAGAATCAAAACTCACTCTGATAGATCCATCGAGCGCTACAAGGCGCGTTTGGTAGCCAAAGGCTACACCCAGCAGTATGGTATCGACTATGAGGAGACATTTTGCCCGGTTGCTCGTCTCACCTCTGTCCGCTGTCTTATCGCCATCGCTGCCGCTCGTCGGTGGCCCCTGCATCAGCTTGATGTCAAGAATGCGTTCTTGTATGGTGATTTATCCGAGGACATCTACATATCTCCTCCTGTTGGTTTTCCTACATCTTCCAAGGTATGCAAACTTCGCCGTGCCCTATATGGTTTGAAACAGGCACCTCGAGCTTGGTTTTCGAAATTTAGCTCTGCTCTACTCCAGTTTGGCTTTACTTCTAGCGATCATGATTCGGCTCTCTTCCTTCGACGTGGGTCAGGTGGAATTACTGTTTTATTGCTTTATGTGGATGACATGATCATTACGGGAGATGATGCATCAGGTATCTCCGAGTTGCAGGCTCATCTACACCGCCACTTCGAGATGAAGAGTTTAGGGCCTCTTCGGTACTTCCTAGGACTTGAGATCTCCGACACCTCCGACGGATATTATCTCTCTCAAGCCAAGTATGCCTCCGACCTCCTATCTAGTGCCGGTCTCACTGACTCCAAGACTGCTCCTACACCTCTTGATTCTGACTGTCGTCTTACTCCGATGGACGGCGTTCCCCTTGATGATCAGACTTTGTATCGTCAGCTGGTGGGAAGTCTGATCTACCTGACTGTCACTCGACCGGATATTGCTTATGCCGTCCATATCGTCAGTCAGTTTATGTCTGCTCCTCGGACGACTCATCATTCTGCTGTCCTACGGATTCTCCGGTACGTCAAAGGTACCCTTCTTCATGGGCTTCATTATTCCACTCATTCCTCCTTAGTTTTGACCGGGTATTCTGACGTTGATTGGGCGGGAGATCCCTCTGATCGCTGCTCGACCACCGGGTTTTGCTTCTTCCTTGGCGACTCGCTTATTTCATGGCGCAGCAAGAAACAGACGGTTGTCTCCCGGTCCAGTGCAGAGTCCGAATATAGAGCCCTTGCCGATACCGCTGCCGAACTTCTATATCTTCGCCGGCTGATCTTGGAGTGCCTCAGCCCTCTGCCACTATTATCCATTTATTGCGACAGTCAGAGCGCCATGAAGATTTCGACGAATGATGTCTTCCACGAGCGTACAAAGCACATTGAGATCGACTGTCACCTTGTACGTCATCACGTTGCTCATGGAAGCATCTCCTTGTCTCCTATTTCCTCTGCTGATCAGACGGCCGACGGATTCACCAAACCTCACCTTCCCGGCCGTTTTCAGTCATTTTTGAGCAAACTCAAGTTAGATTCCACCGTTCCACTTTAAGTTTGAGGGGGGATGTTTGATATATATATATTGTATATATATTGTATATATTTATATATATATTCTACCTAATATATCTCTTGTTTAAATATAATATTGTACCCTAATTGTGATTCAACGAAAATAGAGTTTATTCCATAAATCGTAACAACACATACGGAGATGAAGATGACGAATCTAAAGGTGACGACAAAGATGAAAACAAAGATGACAAGTCTGAAGGCAAAGATGAAGATGATGAGTCTGTCTGATGGCCCTAGGTATGTATGTATGTCTAAGCTACTTTTGACTACTTTTTATCATAATTGTTTGGGTAAATCATATAACACCCCATTGTGTTTTAGTAAAAATGCACAAATCATCCTGCATGAAACCTATTTGTCCAAAACTGATATTTGATTGTAAATAAAGACTTTAATTATTGCAATTTTTGTACAAATAAAAAAACGTAAAATATCTTAAATAATTTTTTTTAATAAAATGTCAGTTTTGGACCAGAATGGTATTTATTTACATTAACACAAGAAAATTTTACCCAATAAATAAAACACAAGCTGTTTTTTTGTTTTTAGTTGTTATATAATTTACCCTAATTGTTTTGAGTCTTCTAACTTGCTAAATTTGTTTCAGGCTTTAATTTAGGAAATAAGAATCAAGTGTCGAAGGAAGATTTCAAGAAATTATTCGATAATATGCAGCCGAAAATTTTAGAAGTTTCCAAGAGGAGGAGAAATGTTGCTTCTTTGCTTGGAACCATTTGCAATGTAATATATAATAGTAATAAATCACTTTACTTATTTTAGCTGTTGGAAGTTTGTTTTTAGCTAAACAAAACATATTATTTAATATACTATCGGCCATAAATCCTTCTTGATCACGCCCATAACTGCTTTTATAGTCTTGCCTTGATTAACACCTCTAATATCTTCTGAGTTTGAACCAGCGATAAAATTGATTTTAGAATGAAAATGTCCACTTAATCATGCACATGACTAAACCTGTTGTCTGCTTTTAGACAAAAGAAAATATGTCTGCGAATTCAACAAAGAAAATCAAAACAGCTCATGGAATTGAAATAAAATAATAAAAAAATGAATTAATCGAAGACTAAAAGAAATAAGTAAGTGAACTTATATTGCTTTAATTTGTAGGGACTCGAAGACTTCTCTTGTAGAAGTTGAATGCTCTTTCTCTCCTTTGTCAAAACTACGTACATCATTTGTATTAGAATATGAAAATAAAATTCTCTAAACATTATTTGAATTTGAAGGGATGTTGGAGATATTTCATATTCTTAATTTATATGGTTTAAATTATGTAATATTATTATTTGAGTATGTCCATTTTGTATCTCGTCTACCTATAATATTAATAATAAACAATTTTGAAGTTCTACAAAAACATCACAATATGTATCTATGTGCAGCATGTCATCAATGCATGTTAAGCCGTGTTCATCAAGAACGTGAAAGTAATCGACGCTTCCTATTATTATTAGCAATACAAGAAATCCTTTCGCATAAAATTATTCGCACATGTTTGTTGACTCCTGTAAAATATAAATAAATAAATAAACGAGGTGTATTCTATAAGCTTACGCTTTTATGTGAGATTGTTATTTACTTTTTTTTTCAAATTATTTAAAAAAAATACATCAAGTATATATAGAAATTTAAGTGAAAATCACGATCCAATAAAATATAAGGACGGCCAAAAAACTTTTCTCGAAAAGCTAAATGTATAGTACCTCTCAGGCTCCAACTTGAACTTCAAAATAGAACAACTTTCTCCCTTAAATTTATTTTGAAATTTCATATTTTGATTCTAATATCTAATACTCCAAAATGATAAATTAGTATAATACTCTCGACTTTTTATTTCAAAATTTTAAAATTAAAATTAAAATATATAATTTTTTTTAAATAAAATAAAATATAAGACTGAAATGATGACACCATACCTAGAACAAAGAAAATATTTGATAATGTTATATATTATTTTTTTTACGTATTAATTTTTAAATATTAATTATTATATCAAAATATAGTATAAATTAAAAAAAAATTACAAAAATACTTCAATTAGTTTTTATAATACTGACACATATATTTTTAATGTTAATACAATGACGCAAAATTAATAATTATTTTTTAATTAGATTAATAATTATTGTCGATATCAGCTGTGGTAAAGATCATTCTACGATTCTCAAAGAAAGAGAGACTATTAACAAGTCAACTACACAGGTCTCCCAAAGTCAAAAACAAGAACTCACGTGCCAGTCACGTGGCATGAACAACAGAGATTCGAATTTCCAACCACCAGAAAACGGCCATGGATAATTCCCATTTCCCCGACCACTCAAAAGATGCTCTCCACGGCATCCTCTGCTGCCCCAAATCCAAATCCGACGGACAGAATCCCATCATCTCCGAACCCTAAATCCGCCAAACTCGCGGCGGCAATCGATCGCCGCCGCCTTCTGCAGTCGGTGGCCGTCGCCGCCGCGATTCCGTTCCTGGCGCCGCCGCAAATTATCAATCCCGCCGCCCGTTATGCGGCGGAGCTCTTCTCTTTGCCGGTCTCCGATGCCCGTGGCCTCTTCCAAATGCCTCCGCTTCGCCTCGTCAACAGGTGATTTTTTAATTTCTTTTTTTTTTTTTTTTTTTTCTGCACATGACCTGTTCGATCAAATGCCTGTCTTGATTGTGATACTCCCTAGTGAGGAATAATTTATATAATTCATTTATAATAAAATAATTAACAAATTTGTCACAATTTTTCTATTTATCCTATGTTTTATTAATTAATTTAATAAATACTTCCTAATTATACTTTACCTAAATTCTTGTATTTACAGTAAAATGCCCATATTATACGGGACGGAGGGAATATAAAATATCGGACACAAACATTTGTATTCGAATAAGTTTTATCTCGCCAATTGGTAAAAAAAATCAAAATGGGTTGTTTGTGTCTCCATTTTTACGCTTGAAGATTGTTGAAAACTTGTGAGGTGGGTTTCGGGTGCAGGTACTATCTGGTGAGAGCAGGGGAGTCTGAGTACGAGAGCTCGGGCATAATCAACACAAATCCGGTGGCGAAAACATCTGTCGACAACGGTTTGTCCGAAAAGGGGAAAAAACAGACGGTGAAGGCCGCGTTCAAGTTGAAATCGATGGGCGCGTGCGATAGTAATTGTTGGATATGGCCTTCCATCACTCAGAGGGCTTATCAGGCTGCCGAGATCATTGCTGCCGTTAGTGGGATAAATCGAAGGTATTTGACTTTCGCCATTTGTTCGAGGTTTTACTTTTTGAAGTTTATAGCCCATCTTTGCCGTGCAGTCATATTGTGCCGGAATACAGCTTTTTGGATGCTCGGGGATTGGGAGCGTACGAAGGGAAGTCTCTCGATTCTATTTCCGAGGTAATTCTTTTTCGAAGTGTCGCAACTCTTTAAAAATGCATCGAAATTTTGAGAAAAAAATGAGCTTTTCTAAATTGATCGATATAAAGGATTAAAGTAGTAAGTCTTTGTTTTCATGGATACTTTTAAAACTTTTGGCATTATTCATAAAGGTAATTTTTTAAATAATATGATATATTTTCTAGCAAAATATTATACTATCTCTGTCCACTGTCAATCTATTCATTTGCACGTTGTCATTTTTTTTAATATTAAAAATATTTTTGTTTTTTTTTTTACAAATGTCATTACATACTAATAAAAATATTTTTATTATTTTCTATAATTGTACAATATTTTTATATAATAATTAATATTAAAAAATTAACGTGCAGAAAGTGGATGGAGCTAGTACTAAATACTAATTTTTTACTATTTTTAAAATTTTTCAGAATGTCAAAACCTTTAAAACTTCTATTCTCCTAAAATAGTCGGGAAGTCGTCATCAAATAACGTCATGCATCACCGCAACTCTTCAAAAATGCATCGAAATTTTTGGGAAAAAATGTGCTTTTCTAGATTGATCTATATAATGGATTGAAGTAGTAAGACTTTGTTTACATAGATACTTTTGAAAATTTTGACATAAAACTTTTGAAAATTTTGACGAAAAAAAAAATCAATAGAAAATGTCACAGAATTATTTTTTTCTCACAAAATATTATACTATCAAGTACCAACTTTTTATTATTTTTAAAATTTTTCAAAACTTCTACTGTTCTGAGATAGTCGAGAAGTAGTCATTAAATATCGTCAATGCATCACGGCGCAAACTTTATCGTATAGTTGCATAGTTCCTAAGATATTTTTATTTCAAATGACGATGAATCCGATAGGACGTTCAAGAACACTAGTAACCGTATTCAGGTCTACGCCTCGGACAGCCTTTCTCCGGCGACCAAGCCGCCCCCGATAGGCGACGGGACGCCAAACGAGAGCATCCAGGACGTGTTCGTCCGCGTAACCCAACTCATGTCGATTCTCGAGACGCAATATTCTGGCGACACGGTCGTTATAGTGTCGCCCGACTCTGACAATCTGACGGTGTTGCAAGCCGGTTTGGTCGGGCTTGACCTTCGAAGGCAAGCGCCTCGGCCCGACTTGTGCATTTTTTAATTATTTATTGATTTTTGACGCGCTTCTAACTATTTATGTCGAATTTTTATAGGCATATGGACCTCGCTTTCGAGCCAGGGGAGGTGCGGATGGTCGACCCGAGTAGCGTGCCGAGGTACAAGCCGCCGGCGTCGGCGGTGTACAAATGTTTTAATCCCCCGAATTGCACCTGAGTTTCTTCGATGCTCTTGTGTATGATCGATATCGAAATTAAAATCGGAAAAATTATGTATAGGTGAAATTGTAAAGTTCTCTATAATTTTGATCAATAAAATGATGAACGTTTCAAAAAATTGGAAAAATTAAGGGTTTGTTCACTTACAAATTTTATCATTTTCAGCGGGGCAAATTATATAAAATCTGTTTAAAAGTTGTGTTAGACTTTTTTTATATTTAATTAGCAGTGATTGTTCTATACAATTAAAAGTTTATATCAAATTATTATTTTAATTCAAAATTTTACTGGTTAAAATTAAATTTTAAAATTTAAACTTCCAAATTATTACTTTCCTCACCTCTTATATTAATTTTTTTTAATATTACATACTTCAATTATATTAATTAATTAATTATTTTAATTTTAATCGATAATTATTTATATAGTGTTGTTATTATTTTAATTCATATGTTTTTTAATTATTTATTAATTTTACTATTTATGTATATATTCACTGTTTTTACTTAAATTAAAATACACTTTTACTTAAAAAAAAATAAATAAATAAATTATTTTGATCTTATTGTAAATTGCAATAATCAATTTTAATTTTATTAAAAAAATAAATAAATTGATTAATTTTGATTTTATTTACACTAAAATTAATTAATATTAAATTAGACCAAAATTAATCAAAAAAAATTAACAAGACTAAAATTAATTATTGTGATTTAGAATATCATTTTCTCCTTTAAAATACATACTTTGTACCGTTACTATTAAAATTTTAAAATATCAATATTAATTAAATTTCAGGTCAAAAAATATGTACAATATAGTACATCCATTATTATTTCTTTTAAAATTTTAATTTTTTTATCTCAAGAAAGAAAAATAAAAATTCTTTTTCATTTCCACCCACAGAGACAGATTAAGAAGAAAATCAAAAAGGCCAAAATATGCCTGCAGCTGAGTATCTGTATCTTTCCTTTCTCTGCAAATCTTTCTTCCAGAAGATCTCTGTTCTTTGCCTCTTCTCCATTACTGTAATTACTCTTTCCATCAACATTCTTGCAGCAGGGTTCCTTCACTTCATCCTCCCCCACCGCTTTTCTTCAATTCTTGGCGGCCTGAGAGTGATTTCGATCGGCAGCGGTAACTAGTTGGAATGAGAATCGAATCTCGGATTCAGAGTTGAGGCTTTAGAATGGCGATCAAAGGCGTTGATTTCAAGTGGTGAGTTGGACTTAACTTTGCGAATTTGGATTTTAAAGAAATGGAATTATTTAACTGTTGATTTTGACAGTTATGGATTGGGGAGTGAAGTTTGTAGAAATTGTTAGGGTTTATGATTTTAGGGTTTTGATGGAGGTAATTGTTGTCTTGATTTTGGGGTTTCTTGCAGGTACGATGGATTCTTCCTGTCTATGCTTGCTACGAGCATGTATCCTTTCGATTGTGTTCATCTTCATCTTCTTCGATGTTTTTGGATTCCAATTTGTTGTAGGTTCGGGATGATTTCTTGACTGATTTTGTTAGAATCATTGTGGCAATCAATTGGGATAGATACCATTTGTGCACGTATCCATTGCACATATGGATTGTGGTAAGCTAAGCATTCAATCATTGTTATCGATTCGATTATATTTTCGAATGGATTTTTGGATTGCATATGATCGTGCTGTTTTTGGACTTTGTAGGTTGACTATACCACAGTGTTTATTTTCCGGCTCTTGATGTTCGTGGACAACGGATTAGCTTCGGGAATGGGATTGTGAGGACTCCGTAACTTTAACAATTTATTTTCATTGCTCTTATGATCGAATGTAGTATGTCGAAACTTGTTTTAACATCTGTCTCAAGCATTTTACTAGCGTGCCGACAATGATGATGTAACGCTGCGCGGTTTCTTGGCATTTTAAAGCTATTTGTATGATTTATCATCTTTAGTATAACCTTGGTGTTTAATTCTTGATTTTTTTTTTACGTGGTGTAAGGGATCTCGGCTCGCAGCAGAGATACGCGCGATTTTGTGGAAGGGTTGTTGTATTGTCCGTTCTTGTTGTGTTGCTTTATCCGTTCCTTTGGGCCTGGACGGTCATCGGTACTCTCTGGTTCACTAGTGCCAGAAGTTGCGTAAGATTCTTTTTCTTCGCGATTTTTCCTTGTGTATTGGTTATGCGGCAGTTTGGAATTTATGGTTACAAGTTTTAAATTCGTATCAGCTGCCCGAAGATGGTCAGAAATGGGGCTTCTTAATTTGGCTGCTTTTCAGCTACTGCGGACTTGTGTGCATCGCTTGCATTTGTTTGGGAAAGGTTAGTGGTGGTTTAATTCAATTATACTCGACTTTAGCGTTCACTCATTTTATTAATCCTCGAGATCTTCCAATTTTATGTAGTGGTTAACGAGGCGGCAAGCGCATCAGCTCCGCGCACAACAAGGGATTCCTGTGTCCGAATACGGAGTAAGCACGCTTTGTGAATTTATTTTAATATCGATTTGATGCTCCTTCAAGTTCGAAGATGTTTTACATAAATCCGTTTATTACATCTATCGGTTGACTTCTCCTTTTAGGTCTTGGTTGACTTGGTCAGAGTTCCCGATTGGGCAATTGAAGCGGCCGGACAAGAACTGAGGGTGATGGGTCAAGATGCGGCGACGTACCATCCGGGACTTTACTTAACCCCTGCTCAGGTAACAATGAACGGATATTTGCACTAATATTTGCGTTATATATTTCAAAATTTTCACTAAATGGTTTCTGTTTTAAACTTCAGAGAGAAGCAGTGGAAGCACTAATCCAAGAACTTCCGAAGTTTAGGATGAAAGCGGTCCCAACCGATTGCAGCGAGTGTCCTATATGTCTTGAAGAGTTTCATGTCGGGAATGAGGTAAACACCTTACCGCCTTATCAATTCAATGATTTGCGTATGAAAACGAAAAAATACTTAATGTTGCCCTCTCCAAGCCTAATTTGCAATTATGTCGAGCTTTACTTATTTGACCCTCTTAGTTTATTACTCCACCGTAGCGCAAGCTCGCTAAAATGGTGTTTGATTGACCTTAGGTTGTGAGATTAAATTGTCAGTTCAAATTCAATCGCAGCTCTTTTAAGCTAAACCATTTCGAACGAGCAAATTCGCACTATTAAAACTATCAAATGATGAGTAAGATTAACCCGACCATACAACCCAACCGAGCGTTTGCAAACAAGTTGAGTAGCGCTCATCAAATAGCCAAGTTTTGTGATTGAATTGTTCGTTTATTTTTTCGAACAAGCTTAACCGAGTTTTGTTTACAAATCGTTTAGGTTTTGAAGCTCAACATAGAATATAGTTGTAGACTCCGCTCAGATAGAAACTTTTTGAAATTCGGAAATTTTTAAGAAATAGTAAAAGATTAGTATTTGATACAATGTTTTAGAGAAAATTGTAAAAAATATCCCACATATATACGTCATTATCACTTTTATCCTGTATTTATCTCGCTGGCAAAATATATTCTACATATTTGCAAAATTCGCTATTTATATCCTTTCTGAATGTCACCCGCGGCTAAAGGACATAAATAGCGATTTTTGCAAATATATAGGATATATTTTGCCAACGAGATAAATAGAGGACAAAAAGCGATAATAGAGTATATATGAGGGATGTTTTTTGCAATTTTCTCCAATTCTTTATACCGTTGATGAATAGTGTCAAAAAACTCCAAAAGTTGCGTAAATGGCAATATTTCTATTACAGGTTCGCGGGCTCCCCTGTGCGCACAATTTCCACGTGGACTGCATCGACCAGTGGCTTCGCCTAAACATAAAATGCCCAAGATGCCGATGCTCGGTATTCCCCAACCTTGATCTGAGCGCGCTATCGAACATCCACACGGATTCAGAGCGCACGTCGTCAAATCTTTTATCGGCTACTCCCTACGTTCGAAACCAGTCTCCGACTCAGAGCTACCTGCTGCGGCTGCAAGGATTGCTCCGTCCCGTTCGGTCCGAGAGCACCGGTTCAACCACCAGCACGAGCAGCGGCAGCAGCGAAACGGAAAGTGCGGAATCGCCTGCGGATCGCAGCCCCGAAAATGTGGACTCCGTTGAAGTGGTGGTCGAAGGTACTCCTCGTCGCTTTTGAGCCCCGCCGCTCGCCATTTTTTTTTTTACTTTTTTCGATGTTTTTGATGGTTTGTTCTAACTTGTTTGGAGGATCTGATCTGGTAACGATAGCATCATCACCCCTAATATGAGTTCTTGTGGTTTTTTTGGTCTGACAAAATTTGGAACTAATGTGATGAAATTTGTTTTTTTGGGGGATGGATGTCTATGTTATGTGTATAGGGTTAGGCTCTTTTGTTTCTTTGCTATGAAATACAATTTTAAAAATTGAATGGGAAAATACAATTGTATTATATGACCAGAGCAGTTAACAGAGTCGAGTCGAGTCAGAACAAAATTTTAAGGATTTGTATTTGTTTTTAATGTTTGCGAGTAAGACTTGTGTTTGTTGGTTAAGTTTTCGAGCTCTTTTGTAATGTTCGAATTTGGCTTGTTAAAAATTTTTATTGTTTGAACTTGTATTTCGTGTTCGGCTTGATAGATTCAATTAAGTTAGTTCAACCTCGTTTGTCTCATTTTTTTTTAGTTTATATATAAATTAAATTGAAATTTTGAAACTATTTTATTTATTATTTTAAATTGATATTTTATTTATTTATAACATATAATTTTATATGTATATAATAATATTTATAATAAATATATTCCCTCCCTCAAGTTTAGGTTTCTTCGTTAATATTGGCGAACTTTTAACAAATCGAACCAAACGGAGTCAAGTTTACAAATGACTTGATTAGTTTAAGGGCTCTAATTATATCAATTGAATGTGTCACACCTAATCCATAATTTCTTAGATAATTCTTGATCAATATTATACTCCCTCCGTCGCAGATACCGTGTTTGCTAGGCACAGTATTTTAGGAAGGGTATAATTAGTAGAAGGGTATAATTAGTAGATAATTAAGATTGTATTAGTGAAAATAATTATCCTATAATATAAATAATTATAAATTAAGATTAAGATAACTAATTAATTTAATTAAAATTAAAAAAAATTAAAATTTAAAATGAAATTAAAATGTGTAATGATTTTTTTTAAAAAAAATGACATGGTATGTGGACGGACAGAAAACGTGAACATGGTATCTGAGATGGGACGAAGAGAGTAAATAATATTTTTTATATTTAATATAAAAATATATAATAAACTTAAAAATAAACGCGCTATTTTGTTACTCCGTGAAATTGCAAAATTTTAATAGAATTTTGAGAAAAAAACAGTTAATAATAAATCAAAGAAAATTATATAAAAATAAACACGTATTTTGCTTGTTATGTGTTCGGGATTCTATTCCAAAATTACTATTTATCAATTTTTTTCTTAAAAAACATCAAATTACACTTATTTTTTATCTTTTATATTATATTAAAAATTAATTTTACATTAAAAAAAGTGAACATCTAACACCACCGATTTATATCCGCATCATACCACTATTTCAATTCAAAATTTTTATTATTCAAATTTTGTATTCTATTTTAATGAAAAATTTGTGATTTTTTTTTTCTCAAAAAGTATATATATAATAATTATTTTGAGCAATTGGATAAAAGATAGCCAATAAAATGGGTTGGTGTGTTATGTGTGTACACAAAGTGATTAGGCGGCGGCCATAGACAGTTCGACGAAGGACACAGCTTTGCTTTGGGATGAGCAACGAAATTCACCCAACCATCATCCGCTTTTCATCATCTTGGAGGTACCTCTTTCTCAAAATTTCGATTAATTGCCCGTATTAATCGATGTAAAGAACCGCCTCTGTTGTCGAATTTCAGTCGATAAGAACTGGAACTGAAGATTTGTGGCTATGGCTACTCCGCCTGATGGTCCGCCGAATTCCAACGACGGGAACCCCCAAAACACAGGTTTTTTTGTTTTTTCATTTATTTTGTGTGGTTTTACCTATATTATTGTTTTCGTTTCTTAGATTTGTGCTTGGGTGGAGGAAGTTAAGTTAAAGATTCAGTTATCTAGCTTAGATTGATGCATATTCGCCGAATTTGGTTTCTGTTCTTTCTAATTTGTAGGTTTCGCTGGTTTTTCCAATTATGATTTCTTGCTTTTCCCCATAGCAGAGTGATGAACAGCTCCATATGTGGTGGTGTTTTTGTGCTTTAAGATCGATCAGCCTTTAAAAGTGTTGTTTGTCATGTTGTGGGTAATATATTGATTCATTGTGATTTTGAGAAAGTTTGGATTTAAGTTTGTGGTTTGGGAATATTAAAAATTAGAATGGATGTTTGAAGTCATACATAAGTGTTTCTTTTTCGGTCGGGATTGGGTTTGAAGTTTTAAATTTTAAGTATTTTATTTAAATAATTTTTGATACGATATTTTGTGAGAACAGAGAGTGCATTCACTTTTGTGGGTTTTTATATGTATGTGTTTTTTTATGTTAAGGTACGGTGAAATGTCTCGGCAATATATAATATTTTGTATTGAATTATTATTTTCTGTAAGTGATAGAGTATATTTATTATATATATTGTGTGAGGATGTATATATTTTATTTTTCGGTAATATTGTCATGTTAAAAAAAATTGTTGGGTTAAGACACCTTGTATTTTTTTCGAGAAACGAATTTCAAATATTAAAAATAAGGATAAAAACTCTAAAGATACACGTGATATTTCGAAAGAAAATTTAATGTTTTTTGTCATATATGACGTGAACATTTGGTGTTTGATTAGATAGTTTCGGTAAGAAAATTTTGAAGAATAGTGATAGTCAAAAACCAGACCTTAAAGAAATAGACATCCTAGTTGAAAATAGACAACTCCATTCAATATATATGTCCATAACTTAGCTATTTTTGATGTTTTGATGTATGCTAAAGGTTCGCCGGCAATACAACCGCCTAATGTTGATAAGCAAGTAGAGCCTGCGAAGGATAGCGCTCCCACGTCAGTATTTGTGAACTCAGAGCCCATTCGAGAAGATCAGGTACAGAATGCGGTCAAGTTTCTTTCGCATCCTAAAGTTAGGGGGTCGCCTGTTATGTATAGAAGGTCATTTTTAGAGAGGAAGGGTCTCACTAAGGAAGAAATCGATGCAGCCTTTCAACGTGTTCCTGTAAGTCGTATACCTCTACCGTTCTTGAATAGAAATGATGAAAAATATGTTAGTTCTTGAAAAACCAATTGTGAATTATAGACTGTGAGTGTGTATTTGTACTGGTTTAAATGTTTACAGGATCCGACCCCAGCAGCTGCAACAACGCCGGCAGTTGCCACAAATCAAGGTGATTGATTCTATAAATTTTTGTTGGCGTTTGCGCTCTTTTATCGTGGTGATTCGAGACTCGGCCTATTTCAGTTGTTTAGGGTGTGTTTGTTTGAAGATTTGAATTTTGAGTTTGGATTTTTTAATAGTAAAATTTTGAATTTGAATAATTATTTGATATTATATAAATAAGTGTTAATTGATTTGAGTATAATATAAAAAAAATAAAGAATAAATGCTTGGTTCGATGTTTTTGTAAGGAAAAAAATTAATTGAACAGCGAAACATCTTGAAAATTCCACAAAATAATGCAACCTTAGAGTGCTAATTGTTATGAATTGTCTCTCTATTTCTCGTGCATATAAAGACGGTCAGGGAAGATCTTCTGCAAATGTTCAACAGCAACATTCGACACAAGTGCAGCAGTCTATGTTGCCGGCAGGCAGCGATTCTAAAGTTGGAATGTTCTCTCGTTTCCGCTGGTATCATGCTCTTCTTGCCGTAGGTTTCCTGGCTGCATCTGGGGCTGGTTCTGCTCTACTTTTCAAGGTAAATGTTGAATTGGGATGCATCTCTGCCGTCATTGCAATCTTATAGCTAAATGTGGAGTTACAAGAAATAACTTATTGTTTTAACGGTGTGCTTGCGACAGAATGCAATATTACCCAAGTTAAAGTCATGGATTCGGAATTCTGTATTGGAAGGAGATGAAGAGGATAAGCAAAAGCAAAAGAAAGCAAAACCCAGCGTTGCAGAGGAAGCTGCAGCCGCAGCAAAAGCTGCTGCAATGGCTGCTTCTGATGTAGCTCGTGCAAGCCAGGAAATGTTATCGACTAAAGCTGAAGGTTGGTATAGTCGTTGCGCTTTATTACCAGTTACATTCCCTTGCAGTTGGTTTCAATTTCAAATCGATTAGTAATTTAATATTGAATATTGCCGTTGTTTTTAGAGAAGAAGTGCCTTGAGGAGCTCATCAATGTGCTAAATGTGCAATTACGGGAAATGAGATCAATGAGCAGCGCAATACATAAGCTGGAAGGAGGTAAGTTGTCGTAGCCACAAATTCATTGTTACGAATTCATCTCTTCCCTCATTCTTTTCGACATAATGCTGATTTTGATTTTGTAGTTGTTTTTATGTGGATTCGACCATTGTTTTTGCTCTTCTAGTTGTATGCCGATTACAAATCATCTTTCGATGCGAAAGGGTACTGACAAATTACTATTTAAACTAAATTCCATTTCACATGAACCTTCCGTTTTTTGCTGTGGTATAATTACCAGGGCAAAATGTGAACGGGAGAATGTCCATGGCGGATCTCGACTACCAAAGGATGTCGGCGATGAATTCAAGGGTGAGTTACTCAATGCATATACATAAATATGCCACTGAAAATCTCTGAATTTTTGTTCTAATAACATATCTTTGTTTTCCAGCCACGATATGCCAATGGTAGAGCAGACTCTGATTCACGATCAGGTTTATCCATTGATGAATCTATCGTTTTCTCTAAATCAATCTTGTTACACTAATAATTTCAAAATGTTGGATTGTTGCACGCAGTGAGATCTTTATCCCCACCAGCGCCTGTCGAACCTTCTGTTGCTCCTCCTCAGAAATCGTACATGGAGGTATTTCTTTACCTCCATTTCTGCTCAATGTTTCTCCGAATTAAAATAGAAATAAAAAAACTGAGCTTGCTGTCGCCTGCTGCTTCACGCCTAATTGTCCAGTTTTTTATTCATAACCTGAATTGTTGCTCGACAAGAAAAGCGCTGAAAAAATCTAATTATCAGTGAAAATGCATTAGTTCGATTACCTTCATTTCTTTTTAGCTCTAAGTTCAGTCCCGACATCATTCAAATTTCGAAGAAGATAAGGTAATCTTTCTCCACCTTCTCTTACTTTCGCGGCTAATGTTTAGATTTCTTTCGCAGCTGATGGCTATGATACAAAATGGTGAAAACCCATTCAATATCAGGGTTAGTCCATTTATCTTTTCGACCAAACTCCATATGCCTTATCCATCCTTCAGTTTTTTAACGGCTGCTCTGTTGTTGTTTCAGGATACCAACGATGCGCTGCCAAATCCACATTTAGCACAAAAACCCCAGGTTTCGCAATTAAGTTTTGATTCTTCTCTCATAATCGACCATATCCTCTCGATATTTTGCTTGCTTGCAAATGTTTCTACTGTTTGCTTTTAGTGAAAATCATTATCAGAATTAGACATTGAAACTTTTCGAATAAAGTCATAGGGCGGCACACGGTAATACTACATAAAACACACATTATAAATGGGGCTCTTTGAATCTAATTTTTTTTTAATCAAGGTTTTTGAATGAAATCTAGATGTTTCAACATGATTTTATCGCTTTCTTTTTTTAAATCAAGAAATACCTAAAAACGTACCTTCTTCAATGGTGAAAATTCATTTGCAGTTTGTACATTCAGCGTTTTTAGATGAATTGATTTTTTTCTTTGTGGTATAGGGAACGATGTTGCTAATATAAAAATAATATTTTGTGACGAATAGTTGATTATGAGTAGATGATATATATTATATTAATGTGTGTGTATATTTGTATTCTTTTAATAATATTTATGGGAAATTGTTCCATTGGTATTTTCCTCGATAGAAAATTTATAATGGTAACATTTTCTTGCTTTCAGACATGGGAGGTAAGTCAAGCTCCAATTGGCGCGGCAAACACAACTCAGGCGAGTAGCAACGGCGTCACTTATGAGCTCCCGGACAACAACAATGGAGACGATGCCGTGCCCTGGTGGCAACGGAAGAACGTCAGAATCACAGAAATGGACGATCAGAAATCCGGAGGAGCGCCGATTCCAAGGTCGTCGTGGGTGCCTCCACAGCCTCCTCCGGTCGCCATGCCTGAGGCGGCAGCTGCCATTCGACAGCCAAAGAAATCTTCATATCAGACTGAACAAATGACTGACGAGCAGGTGCTCGGCCGTTCTGTCGATGGAACCGACGAGCTGCAGAGAATCACCAGAATCTCCGAATCCGGCGGCGCCTCCTTGGAGAATCACGGCGACAACTCTGGGCTCGACTCCATTGATGCTCAAAACGAGTAAGTCGAACCTAAGGTACTTTTTCGACCGTATAACTTTACAAAAAAGGAGCTTATTCGTCGCGAATGGATGGGATTTTATTACTTTTATCGATATCGTGATATATATATATATGTACGCTCTTCTGTTAATATATATTTTGCGTTTTGTCTCCTTTTTTACAAAGCGACTTATGAGGTTTAGAGGTGGATACGGTTCTGATATTTGCAAATATGCAAGTATTTGGTATTCGAATTAAATCGAACAAATACTCGAAATCGCGGTCAGTATTCAAATTGAAAATTTTGATTAATTAAAAATATTTACAAATAATTCGAACCGAATAAAAATAAATAGAAAATACATTAAAAATAAAAATATTAATTAAATAAAAATATTTGCAAATATTCCAATCCGTCGAATTGAATATAATTATTAATATAAATTTTAAGATATAATAATATAAATATATTCGATTCGGTTAATCGAACAAAAAAAATATTAAAAACCAAAATAGAGTCGAATTGAACAAATATCAAATATACAATGTGTATTTGAATCAATTTTGTTCGATTCATTGAAAATTCGATTCGATCTGGGGGATCCACCCCCAATAAGGTTTGTGTGAAATTCTAAGTTTTATTTATAGAAAATTATTTTAGGGATTCGGTAAATTTTTATTTTTTTTTTAGGAAATGAATTGGAATGAGAAAGAGTGAGAAGTTCTCTTTGATTGATTATTGTGTGAGATTGTTGGAAATCTCCTTGTATAATGCAATTCTAAATGATTTTTAGAATTTTCATGTGGTTATAACTTTGTTGAAAGAAATCTCATTGTTAAATTTATTGATCCATGTGAATATATATATATATATATGTTTATGTATTATAATTTTATTATTTCTATTTTAATAAATAAAAATTGATTTGATATTATTTTTTATTTATTTTATTGTATTTTTAGTTAATTTTTTTAATAAAATTTTCATATTATTTTTAATTATTTTATTTTATATTAAATTTCTTTTTTCATGATTAAGAAAAAAATTATAATGTTAAATAATTATTTTATCTAAAACTTAATATTTACAAGATATGCACAATTATATTTTTATTATATTAGTATAAATCATTATTTATAGTTATAATATATACCCCATCCGTTGTTCAAATTTATACTTATTTTCCTTTTTGATTTGTCATCGAAAAATATTTTCATTTTTTATTTAAGTAAAAAATCATTCCACTTTTGTATTTTTTTTACTATAAAAAAAATAACAATTATTACTCACTTTTATTAAATATTATTTATGAGCATACGATATCACTATATTATTATAAAATTCAATACAATAACAAGGTCATATATATATATATATATTATTATATTTTATTTTATTTTATTTTATCAACCTAACTAGCCCAAGAGGACTTGACTTGAATTCAATCTGATTTATGTGTATAGCGTGATTAACATGTGATTGTGATATGATTGGCCAATTTTAATTAATAAATACTACTCTCTTAATAGAATTTATAAGTAAATAATTTTTTTTTAATAAATAGTTAAAAGTAGTATAAAGATAATTATATTTTTATTTTTTTATATAAAAATAATTATGCTAATAAAAATAAATATAAAAAAATATTTATTTAATGAGATATTTTTAAATTAAAATAAAGATATTTTATGAATGGACAGAAAAAATAATAATTAAATAGGACTATAATTTTGTAAATATTTTCATTCACGCATTATATTTCCAAATGAAATTAATTAATTACTTACACATTTTTATCATTTTTCTTGTCTTGATAATTCATTTTGGTCAGCTTTGGTGGTTCAATAATTAAAATTTCTTTTTGCCCAAAAATAAAAAAGACACTAAAAAGAGGAATTAATAAATTGTTTTTCTTGCTATAACATTATTATATTTTAACTCAAAATATCCCAAATTAATCACTCAAAAACCTATTTTTATTATCCCTAACTGGTCAACTATTTGCTGCTGTTAATTATTACTAGGACGGCTAAAAAAATTATATCCAAATTTTTTATAATTTAAATATTACTTTCGTTCACCGCTGATCTATTCATTTGTATTTGGCGTCATTATTTTTAGCATTAAAAATATTTTTATATTTGTATAATTTTTTGTAGAAATATCGTTACATTAGTATTATAAGACACCAATATAATTATTTTTGTCGTTTTTTATGAATTTGTACTACATTTTAATATAATCATTAATATTTAAAGATTAACGTGTAAAAAGTAAATGGATAGATTCGCGGTGGACGGAAATAGTATTTTTTTTCTTGTAAAGTACAGTGTAAATATCCTCTCTTTTATCCCTTAAAAAATATTCAATTTTCTATTTATTTCGTCGTATAACAAAATATTCATTTTTTTTTAGTAACTATACTATCTACGTAATATTACAAATATGCTTACAATTTATAATATATTATACAAATGTCATTATCTTTATATCATATAATAATACTAAGGTTTTCGTTTAGTTTTATACTTCCTCCATCTTTTAACAATCTATCTATTTTTTTTATTTTGGTCCGTCCCATAACAAAGTATCTATTTCCTTATTTACAATATATTACGCAAATGTTATTACATTTATATCATATAATACTAATATGGTTAATTTAATCTTTTTTTACATTTATTTCTACTTTATCCCAATATAATACTAATATTTCTAAAATTTCATGAAAAAAACAAATAGATATATAGATATGGGACAGATGGAGTACTTTTATTTCTAATATATCTCGATATAATACTAATATTTTTAAATTTTATGAAAAAAAAACAAACGGATAAATAAATATGAAACGAGAATATTAAATTTAGACGATAGGAAATATATATATATATTTGAATATTATTTAAATGTGCTGAATTTAATGAATAACATAGGATCTAATTAGTAAAAATAATTCAAAACATTTATAAGCACAAGATTCCAAATCTACTATATATATATAAATATATATTTATCTTAAGATCCAATCTACAATATCAATTATTTTAATTAAATGTTTGTTTAAATTGTCTATACGTGTAAATGTTAAATAAATCTATTGCTGAAATTGCAATCATAATATTTACTTATTTAAATATAATTTAATATCTTTTGGCAATTCAAGACAATGATAATATAAATAAACCAACATGAGTGCTGCATGCACTCCTTCAATTTAATAATAATAATAATAATAATAATAATTTATTTTTAAAAAATTAAGAATATAATTGATGCAACAAATTCATTTTTTGGGCTTAATGTGACACATCGATTTTTCAAGACAGATTAATTTATTTAATTAAAAAAATAAAAAATTGGTATGACTGACAATTGATTTTATTGTATTCAGCAATATTATTAAATAGTACTGATAAATATATATAGTTGTTATAATATAATTACTATTTAAATATTTTAAAATTGTGCTCTTTTGTATTTTTTTCTCCAATTATTATTATTAAAACTATTATTTTTTTTAATAATATTTAATAAATATTTTGCATACTAATCATTAAACAATTATTTTTAAAACATAAAAAAAAAAATCAAAATAACAGTTTATTCATATTATTATAGAAGTGTAATTTTATCTATATACTCTCTCAATTTCATAACAATGTATCTATTTACTTTTTGTTATCTTTAAATATTAATTATTATATCAAATTATATTACAAATAAAAAAAAAATGATAAAAATATTTCTATTATTATCTTATAATACTAATATAATGACATTTATATAAAATTATACAAATATAATAATATTTTCAATATTAAATACAATAACACAAAAGACAAATAAATACTTATGGAATTATATATATGTGTGTTTGATGTAAACACTCAACTAATGTGAATAATAATAAAATAATAATTACTTGAAAAAAATATATTTAAATTCAAAATAAAATAAAATAAAATCCCACGCACTCCACGAGATATTCTTTGAAATCAATTATATATATGATGCAAAATTAAATAATTCCAATAATTAATTAGGCTACATATATAATATATATATATAATTAGCTAAGTCATTATCACTAATGCAAAATATAGTTGAAAAATAAATAATGATGCCTAATATTAATTCTACAAAATTTTAATTATTGCAAATATAACTAATAAAAAATAACCTAAACAAGTATAAAAAAAAATTATGGGTATTTCTATTACTATTTTTGTTTCATTTCAATATAATGACTTTTAAATTTTATTTTTTATGTATAATTATATATTAAATTTAGTATTTTTCTTAATAATAAAAAATATAGATGTATGGAAATGAAAATTTTAAAATAGTAATTCAAGAATATCTATTATTTTTTTCAAATAAATAAATTAAGAATTAACTAATATTAGGGTTTTTTTTATTTCAAACCTAAATTTATACTATTCCATCTTTTATGATTATTAATAAAATATATTATTTTTTAAAAATATTATATCAACATATTATTTAAATCAAATTTCAAAATAAAGAAACCAACCAAACTCGTAGTTTACATTATTATGTTTTTTGAATGACGTGTGAACCCGCCGCAGTCGCTACCCGAAAGTGCGCACTGGGTAAATCCTCGACCGAACCTAATATCTTGCAAATCAGGTCCAACGAAAAAGTCACATTAGGCGAACCATGTGTGGCAGGTGATCTGAGACGTGGGTTTGACCTCGTAGTTTACATTATTATATATATACTAGGTATCTCGTTAATATTTATAATTAGTTGTGTTATTATTATTATTATTACTATGTCTTCAAATTAAATAGTATTTTTTTAAAAAAATATTTAAGTAAGTAATAAATATGATATAATTCAACAAAATAGGGAAGTAAAAGTCATGTACATCCCAATTATTTTTTTCCTATAAAAAGGGACAATATTAAGTTAAGTTCAAAGTTTTACTCAAAGTCCAAATAATTCAACTTACATATAAAAAATTAGTAAAATAATTGCAATTGCAAAGTTAGTCAAAAAAAAAAAATAGATGTAGATAGTTTGATATTTTTGTAAATAAGTGTAACATTAAATTGAAAGATATAAATCAAGAAGTGTTTATAAAGTAATATTTTGAAATTATGATATTATTAATTGATTGTAATTTTTATCATTTATAAATTTTTTAAAAAACTTCTTTTTAGAATCTTTTTTATTTAATGTAGAGTAATTCTTCTTAAAAAATCATTTAATAAAATAAATGAATCCTTTTTATTCCATTAAAAAAAATAAGATAAAATAAAATACACACAGTCCCAAGTGGTGAAGCAAAGACAAAACCAACTCAGCAAGGATCAGACTGACTGTTTATTTATTTATTTATAACCTCAAGAAGCAAACCACAATTGAATTCAATTTAATTTAATTCAATAAATTATAAATCAGAAATTGGAATTTGGAAATTGGAAATTGGGCAAAACCTGAACTTCCCATTTCCTATAATACACAGACTTCTTCTTTGACCCCATTATTATTATTATTATTATTTATTTATTTATTTTTCAATCACCCAAAATATTAAAATCTCCCACTTTCTCTTCTCTTCGCTATCCCTACGCCCTTTCTCACTCCTCTCTCTCTCTCTCTTCTCCAGAACTAAAATCTTTGGGTGAAAAAGGATAGAAAGAAAAGCAATTTTTTGTGTTTCAATTTTCAATTTTGGAGTTTAATTTGAATCAATGGCTCTGAATTTGTTGCCTCCTGGAGAAATCAAGAAACTTTTTTTCTCACAATCCAACTGCAATTTCAGCCTTGTCAAGAACAAAGGTAATATATACATACACATATACACATATATATATATATTTATTTATTTATTTATTTTCGTGTTTGAATTTGAGTTATGAGAGCTTCAAGATTATATATTAGGGTTTAATTTTTTATTTTGAAGAAGATTTTGATGAATTTTTGTTTATTTGTATAGTGGGGCTGCTGAATTTTTAATATTTTAAATTAAAAATGAGTATTTGAATAATGGGATTTAAATAAAATGTGAAGAAAGAGGATTATAGATTAGTATGATCAATTTCAAGATTTGGGGAATTTTTTCTTGTTTTACTTTTGGAGATTTCAATGGCTGAGAATTGATGCAGATGTTTTGTTTGTGCAATAAATATTTTGTTTGTTCACTGCAAAAAGATCCCTTTTTTTTTGGTTTATTTGTTTAATTTGTTTTACATTTCTCTGTTTCTTGTGCTAATAAGATTCCGAGCTTTTGTTTACTATACAATTTTCGCCATTTTTTTATTAAAAAAATATATTATTTTATCTCATAAAATATCACGTGAACACATTTGAAAAGACTTTTTTTGGATTTCTTTGTTCCATTTTTTTTTTACATTTATGTTGTTTACTATAGAATTTTTGTTATTTTCTATATAAACGAATATATATTATTTCATTTCGTAAAATATTGTATTGAAAACACTTGAAAAGATCCATTTTTTGGATTTCTTTGTTCTATCTTTTTACATATATGTTGTTTTTTGTGCTAATAAAATTTCGAGCTTTTGTTTACTATGCAATGTTCACGATTCTCTGATTAGAAAATATATTATTTTATCTCATATTGCATCGAATAAATTTGAAAAGATCCCTTTTTTGGATTTCTTTATTCCATTTTTGTACATTTATGTTGTTTTTTGTGCTTATAAGATTTCGAGCTACTATTTACCATGCAATTTTCATGATTTTTTTGAAAAAAAACAATATATTATTTAATTTTATAAAACGTCGTATTGAACACACTTGGAAAGATCCATTTTTGGATTTCTTTGTTCCATTGTTTTTACATATATGATGCTTTTGTGCTTATAAGATTTGGAGCTTCTGTCTACTATGCAATTTTCACGATTCTCTGTAGAAAAAAAAAAAACATTTTATTTAATAAAAAGACATATCGAACAGTTGAAAAGATCTTTCTTTTGGATGTTTTTGTTCCATTTTTTTTACATGTATGTTGTTTCTTGTGCTGATAAGATTCCGAATTTCTGTTTACTATGCAATTTTTTATGATTTTCTATAAAAAAAAATTATATATTTCATTTTATAAAATATCATATTATATCGAACATACTTGAATTAAGTTAAATTTTCTTAAGGTGGATTTGCTTTGAAGAGGAATGAGAGCATATTCACTGCTGCAAAGAAAATCCGGTGCTCGGCGCAGCCGCAGCCGCCTCCGGCCTGGCCAGGCCGAGCTGAAGTCGAGCCCGGCCGCAAGACATGGGATGGCCCGAAGCCAATTTCGGTTATTGGATCCACCGGCTCGATCGGAACACAGGTGCCGAGTTCAATCAAATTTTATGATGGTACGATGTTTGTAATGAAACCTCGTTTAGGACTACTTATGGATTGAGGTTGTCTTTGTGTAGACGCTCGATATAGTCGCAGAGAATCCGGATAAGTTTAGAGTCGTCGCGCTTGCAGCTGGTTCGAACATCAGCCTCCTCGCCGATCAGGTGATTCTGCGCCCATAATTTTATACATTCGATATAACTTACTATATTTGTCGAAGTCGAAAAGTGAAGGTTCTGTTTACACAATATTTTTGGAAATTTTTATTTTCGGTAATTTTTTTCAAAAATATTAAAACTCCAAAAGTCTCTGTCTAAAGGAAGTTGAATATGTTGAATATTTGCGCTTAGAATGCCGATTTAAAGTACAATATGGTGATACAGATACGTTCCGATAATACCTGTGATATATTCGTATAACTATTTTGTACTTATGCTTAAAATAATTCGATGGACAGGTGAAGACGTTTAAACCGCGTTTGGTTTCTGTCCGAAACGCTGCTTTAGTCGACGAGCTTAAAGAGGCTCTGGCCGATGTCAAGGACAAGCCGGAAATCATTCCTGGAGAAGAGGGAATTGTCGAGGTTCGATCTCTTTTATACGATCCTTCCCGGTCTTACAAACAACGGCTAGTTTTCAACACCTGGTAATGGAATTAAATTCTCGTCCAGGTCGCGCGCCATCCCGATGCTGTCACTGTCGTCACAGGAATCGTCGGCTGCGCAGGTTTGAAGGTAATAAACAATCTTGCCGGATTAACCTATTGTCCTGAATTTCTCGACGCCAAATGATTAAAAAAACATAAAAATCGACTTTCTGCAGCCTACGGTAGCAGCGATCGAAGCTGGAAAAGACATTGCGTTGGCTAACAAAGAGACACTAATCGCCGGGGGGCCGTTCGTCCTCCCTCTCGCTCACAAGCATAACGTCAAGATTCTTCCGGCAGATTCCGAGCATTCTGCCATATTTCAGGTAACAATACGTAGATTTGTTAAACGAATCGAATAGCTCGTGAATCTAGCTCGACTCGGCTCATTAACAGATCAATTTGACATGTTTATAGAGATAAGTTAGCTAAATTCGAGCTCAGGAATTAATATTTTTGTAAATGAATCGCCTTCGAGCTTATTTTGCGAGCAGCTCGACTGAGCTTGTTAGCGATGCTATATTTCTATAATTTTATATATTAATATATATATAATTTTTAATATGATGTTACTTTTTTACTCGAATTCTAATCAACAAATACTTGAGCTTGCTCGGCTTGTTAAACAGTTCTAATAGTACACAGTCGAGAAAATATTGTCGATTTTTACTCATAGTTGACGTCGAGCATATAAAATTTTTTTTCTTACAGTGCATTCAAGGCTTGCCGGAAGGTGCATTGCGGCGCATAATTTTGACTGCGTCGGGAGGCGCTTTCAGGTACAGACTGCAATTAGACATATCGAAAAAATTACGATTGATCGCTATTTGGGTATTCGAACATTTTTTTTCTACGACTGATCTTAATGTGAAGATAATCCGATGGCAGGGATTTGCCGGTCGAGAAGTTGAAAGAAGTTAAGGTAGCGGATGCATTGAAGCATCCGAATTGGAATATGGGGAAAAAGATTACCGTAGACTCCGCGACACTCTTCAATAAGGTGATTTTAACGCTAAACCACAGTAAAGTTGGATATGCAAATAATCTAATGAAAACGTCGCGAAAAATTAGCCGTGGTTTTCCATATTGCAGGGTTTAGAAGTAATTGAAGCGCACTATTTGTTCGGAGCTGAATACGATGACGTTGAGATCGTCATTCATCCCCAATCGATTATACACTCAATGATCGAGACACATGTATCTAATCCTCATTAATTTTTAAGACGAATTTTTTTTTTTTTTTTATCAGGTTAAACTTTTAGGTGAATTGATCGTTTCGAAGCTACTTTGATACCTCATCTCATACGTTGGATTCATCTTCTTGTTAGGATTCATCCGTGTTGGCGCAATTGGGGTGGCCGGATATGCGTTTGCCTATTCTATACACGATGTCTTGGCCGGAGCGAATTTATTGCTCTGAGGTCACTTGGCCTCGTCTCGATCTTTGCAAGTAAAAATACTATGCTCAAACCGTCGACTATATGAGCACTTAATTAAATTCTCCGAGCGCATCGATTGTTAAAAAATAATGTTTTTTTTTTTTTGTTCGTCTAGGCTTGGCTCGCTTACGTTTAAGGCTCCCGACAATGTGAAGTATCCGTCGATGGATCTTGCCTATGCCGCCGGTCGAGCTGGTGGCACCATGACCGGCGTTCTTAGCGCTGCCAATGAGAAAGCTGTTGAAATGTTCATCAATGAGCAGTGAGTACTTTTCTTGATCTTTCTCTTTAAATATATTGTCGATAAATAATTTTTCGTCGCTCGTGACTTTATAAAAAATGCTACATATACATGAAGAACATGATAACTACGCTCGATCTAACTTAGCTAAGTTATACGATAAAGAAAAAAATATATACTCCCTCCGTTCGAAATAATTATACTTTGTTGAGGTTGGGTACGAAGATTAAGAAAAAAAATAGTATTTTAACGTAGACATTAAACTTATGTTGTGTGTTAAAGTAAGAGTAATATTTAAATATAAGTTTGGCGAACAGACTTAAATGGAAAGTGTACATAAGTTTTGCGGACTAATTTTGATATTGTAAATAGTAATTTCTATGATTTCTATGATTTTGATCTTTTACGTCGACTATTTATGAAAGTTGTATATTTCTAACTCGTCATCTAAATCTTAACTTGTGACGCGCTTTTTTTAGTTTAGAACGACGACAAGTGAGATGAAAACTATTTATATATAAGATTCGCCTAAAAATTCAAAAAATAAAATGTGTAATTTACATGACCAATTTTTATTTATTTTGGTTTCCGGCGACAAATCACATGTTTGATCTTGCAGAATCGGGTACCTAGACATATTCAAAGTGGTGGAATTGACGTGCGCCAAGCACCGGGAAGAGCTTGTTGTGTCGCCGACCCTAGAGGAGATTGTTCACTACGACCAGTGGGCGCGGGACTACGCTGCCAGCTTGCAGCCGTCGGTGGCGGCGGCCGGAGTCAGCCCTGCACTTGTATGAGAAAAAGCAACCATTGAAGCTGCAGAGATGATGATCATAGAATAAATATGAATGATTGTTGTTGTCGCCATAGCCATTTTCAAATGAAGGTTTTGATGATCTTTGTTTAAACAAGTTCTAATAAATATCCAAATTTCATCATATTCTTGTTCTTTTCTTCTTCTTTTTTTTTAAAAAAATAAAATAAAATAAAACAAAATAAAAATTAAATTTTTTGGTGCTTATAATATATATAATTTGGTGTTGATTAATCAATACATAATAATAGTTTACAAAACATAAGTCGGAATTGAAGTCACCATAAAATATATATTAATATAACATAATTGGTAAAGTGTTCATTTTTTTTAAATATAATTATACACTTAATTTTTTAATTTTAATTAATTTATTTAGTTATTTAATTTTAATTTATAATTATTTTTATTATACTATTAATACGTAATTACTTACTAATTATATTGTACCTAATTTTTCGTATACAACGTGGATACTTTTAGCTGGACGGAGGGCGTAAAATATATTACACTTAATTTTATATAACATAAATATATAATAGTTGACCATTTAATCTATTGAATGATATATGTATATATATCAATTTCAAAAATCGAGTGAAATCACATATGAATTTTATTAAATCCATAATTACGCGGTATAAATCGACTAAGTTTGATCCCTTAGATGATTGAAATGATCGTTTCACTTAAAAATTTGAATGATTAGATATACGTATCGTTAATATTTTTCTAACATACATAATTCCTAACACATAATTTAGTAAAATATTTTTTCCTTAACGAAAAACACACCCATAAATTTTCAATTAAAATCAATTAACATAACACAAGGTGTAAAAATAATGGTTGAATTAGGCACTTGTCATGTCCCCTTATTGAGGGACAAATGGGCAAAATTAGAAATTATTCCAAACATACCAATAATTTGCCCTTAATCACCAAATTGTGCGAAATAATATTATGTGTTTAATTTAAAATAAGATCTTTATTATTGTCTTATATGTTCATTTACTTTCACATTAATATAATATTTAAAATTAATATTTCATTAAAACATGTAATCAAGACATGATTTTTATGAATGTTTTCTTTATATTATGTATATATATATATTATATATGATAATTTTATCGTTAATATAAAAATAGTAATATTTCAATGGTATAAAAATCGTCTCATGAGTGATTTTTCTTTTTTTGCACAATTGATCCTCTAATGTCGGAAATGTGCACGTAACATTTGTCTGGCATGCCAGAGCACACGTGTCCGCCGGGTATGCGTCACCGGGCGGACACGTAGAATTTTTTTTTTAAATCTCGTAACTGACTCTTTTATCATTTTAGTCTCGTAATGAATTTTTTTTACGTTTACCTGGCGGACACATGTGTTCCGATATGCTAGGTGGGTGATATGTGCGCATCTTTGGACCGGAGGACTAATTGTGTAAAAAAAATTAATTTACGGGATAATTTTTATAAAAATTCTAATTATAAAACTAAAATGATAAATACATCAGGTAGAGTACCGAAAAACGGTTTATATATATATATTCATATATGTATATATAAGTATGAAAACATGACATGTAATAAAAGAATGCCTTTGTATAAGTGTAGTGTTAGTTGTGTTGGTTCCACATACACTTTATAGGAATAAGTGTCCGAAAATCATGCCATTGCTTTTGCTTATTTCTTCGACTTCATACATTTTAGATATGATTTTTGAAATTTTTCAAATTTTAAAAATGAAAAAAAAAATAAAAAAATAGGAAAAGGGTTTTAAAATTATGAAGATGATATATATATATATATATATATAGTAAAAGGGTAAATATCTTATGTGATGATTGTTTTAAAAAAAATATGTATTCATGTAATAGTTTTTTAAAATATTATTATAGATAGATAGTGATAAATTGATTTTTTTTATTATTATTAGACAGAACATTCATTTATTGTTTTAGATCCCTTTTGATTTTATAAAAATTGGATACCAAATTACAAATTAGGATTCGATATAATGAAATATAACCTAATATTGTCATAAATGACATGATGATGAGCAAATTAAAGTGATAATCATTATATATATATATATATATTTGATGTACTCCATCCGTCTCAAACACTCTGCAATATTTTCTTTTTTGTACGTCCCAAACACCCTGCAACATTTCTAAAATATTAAATAATTAATTATATTTAATTTCTACTCTACACTTTATCCCTTCACATCATCCAAATAAAAAAATAAAATATATATTTCTCTCTCCATCACATCACATTATTTCTGAATTATCTTACTTAATACTACTCATCTAAAAACTCGTGCCTAAAGTAAATGTTGTACTTTGTTTGAGACGGAGGGAGTATTTTTTATGTTACGATTCTCAAAATTATTTGGTAAACCCCAAAAGTAGATGATCAAAGTGGATCAACAAATCTTTGTATTCTTTTATGTTTTTTTATTGTACTTGATTTTCTAATTTTTGTGACAAAGCAAATTAAATTGACAATCATATGTTTTTTTTTTCTTTATATTGATGATATTAATTTTTTTAAATTGTACATTTGGAGTTTGAAAGTATAAAAAAAAAATTAAATCTATCATAGTGTTATTGTAGATAATATGCCAAAACTATGCCCTCTTTCGAACACTTTCCCTTTCTAATATATATACTCGTTCCGTCTAAAAAGTAAGTACATATTTGTTTTTTGCAAGTAGTTTTAGAAATATTAGTATTATATTACAATATAGTAGGAATAAAGTAGAAATGACCAAAATAACCTTATTAGTATGTGTGATATAAAGGTAATGACATTTCTGTAATATATTGTAAGTCGTAAGGGTATTTGTAAAGTTAGGTAAATAGTACAGTTACTAAAAAAAAATGAAATTGATATTTTATTATGGGACGGACTAAAGTGAAAAAATGAATACTTTGTTATGGGACGGAGGAAGTATTAAAAGTATTTTATTTTATTTTTTAAATATTTCAATTAAATTATGATACATAGTGAATTAGTGATGAATATTATATTAATTAGAAAAGGGATTCTTGTGGGTTTTCCCATTTTCCAAAGGACTTTTTGGCTTTTTTAAAATTTGTCATTGAAATTGATTGACACCAAAAACATGTTATGAATTTTGGTTATTATTATTTAATTTGCACCTTAGTTTAGTTTGTCTACTTTTATTTATTTATATTTTTAGTTGACTTCATTGACTCAATTTGAATTTTTGTGGGGAAATTTTGTGTTTTGAATTAGACTTTTACTTAAGGGTATCTTTGATTTTTTTTTATTTTTTTTTCCAATTTCGTTATTGTACAATCTTATTATTTTTTATAAAAATATCTTATTTTATCTTATAAAATGTGATTTCAAAATATTTAAATACAAAATACAAATACAAATATTTTCTCCATCCAAGAAATTGAAATGTATTTTCAATTAGTAATGAAAAATAAAATTTTAAATAGAATTTTTTTTTTTTAAAAAAAAAAGGTTTTAAATAATGTATTAATATGATATTAATCAATATTTTATCAAGGTTGTGTTAGTATTAATTTAGAAATTTTAATATTTTTGTTAGCTATTGTAAACTATAAAAATGCTATTAAAATATTTGTTTTTATTTTATTATTTTTAGACTTTGTAAAAGAAAATAGAGTATTGTTTTTATTAAAATTCATGTGTGATAAAGATTGAACCCAAAAATGTTTTGAATAATATGAATTAAAGTGGAAAACAAAATTAAATAAATTCTAAATAATAATAATAATAATAATAATAATAATAATGATAAGTGCATGACTTGAAAATGACAAGCAAAGAAATAGTATTAATTACTTGAACTAGAAATTTTTTATATTAAAATGATATATAATATTTGATGAATTTATTTAAAAATAGATTATCCAAAGTGGGAGTAGTTCACATAGTCATATTCCAATTCCAAATCTTTATTGACATTTAATAGAATAAAAAGAACATTCCACCCTTAGCTATGAGACTATATAATAATTTGTAGCTACAGTAAGTTAAATAAAATATTATTATTATTATTATTATTATTATTATTATTATTATACAATTAACAAAGTTGTTGTAGGTATACTTACCACAAGAAAATTGTTCAATTACAATCAAACTTGCAGCTAATATCACTATTTTTTTTAGCCACATACCACATCACATAAGTAAATATCCATTTGTTTTTTCACGTAATTTTAGAAATATTAGTATTATATTAGAATATAGTAGGAATAAAGTAGAAATGATTAAAATAACCTTATTAGTATGTGTAATATAAAGATAATGACATTTGTGTAATATATTGTAAGTTGTAAGGGTATTTGTGATGTTAGGGTAGATAGTACAGTTACTAAAAAAAAAAAAAGAAATAGATACTTTGTTATGAGACAGATTAAAATGAAAAAATGAATACTTTGTTATGGGACGGAAATAGTATAAAAAATAGTGTATTTTTATTAAAATATTCATAAATGTTTGTATTATAAATTGTAGAAATAATAACCGGATTGAGTTTTGAAAAGTTTGAAGAAAAAGCAAAAACCACAAATAAAAAATATTAAGGTTCACTTGATCAATAATTTTTATTGATACAATTCTCAATTAATATTAATAAAAAAAAACTGCAATAGATATATCTACATAATATAAATAATACATATTTTATTTTTTTCACAAAAAATTAATAATTCAATACAAATATTATTCTTTTATATTATTATCACAATTTTTCATATTTCACATGGAAAAAAAAAAGATATATTCATACATTTTAAACTTAAAACACTAAACAAATATACCCTAAATATCTAATATAGTATTTATTTATTTTTTTAATAATAATATTTGATGTGACTTTATAAAAAAAAATAAAAAAATGTAACACTTCTTTACATATGTAGATTATTTATTTTGAACTTTAGAGTTTTATTGTTGCTAAATAAGTAATAACTTAAGAATATTATTTACATAGGTTTGTCTGGTTTTGATTTGAGCTGATATATATTTCGAGACTGTAAAATTTATAAATAAATTATTTTTAGAAAAAATATATATTATTTTTTATATCATTTAAATGTATATCTATTTTTTAGGACTGTTATATAAAAATAATAATAATAATAATAATAAAATATTTTTTTAATAAAAATATATTATCTTCGTTCGGTTCAAATGGTCTCATTTAATTTTTGTGTGTTGATATTTAAATATTAATTATTATATCAAAACGTAGTAAAAATTAAGAAAAATTTACAAAAATACTTTAATTAGTGTCTTATAATTTTAATTAGTGTCTTATAATATTAATAGAAAGACTTTGTAAAAAAAAATATACAAATATAAAGATATTTTTAATGTTAAATACTAAAAAGTAAATGTGATCTTGACAGAGGGAAGAAATATTATTTTTATAATTTTCTAGTATAAAAAAAGTAATATTATTAAAATTAATGTCAAACTAAATTGACATTTTTATTATGCAGGAAAGAATAGTATATATATAATATAAATGATTTTGTTATATTGCAAAAAGAAATATTAATAACACTTTGATAAATATTAATAGGGTGTGTTTACAATGTTTAATTTAATTGATTGTTGTATAAAATTATTAATATTTTGTAATTATATATTATAAAATTAATATTAAATAAGCTACAAATGAAAAAAAATGAAATAGTATTTTAATATTAATATTAATATTATTTTAGTATTATTTAATCTCATTATAAGAAAAAGAATTAATAATTCTTTTACTTTATTTTGGATTATAACAATACCTAATAATTATATGATTATATTGGATAAATAATATTATCAATTCTAATTATCTAAAATAAACATAGAACATTGATTATTTTCAAATTTAACAAATAAAATGTTAAATTATATAGCTTAAATATATTAAATTATATTATCACATTTATTAAGGTTGTATTCTTACAATACTTTTTAAAATTTTTATAATTAGTTACTGAAAATATATGAAATGTTAATAAGATATTAATTTTTAAAATTTTATGATAAAAATAATATACTTTTATTTAATATAAGATATAATATATTATAAAAATGAACAAACACATATCTATATGATTCAACAATTCAATTGACTTTTTTATAACTAAAATTAAATATCTTTAAAAAAATTTCTTTAAAAAAAAAAAAAGAAAAAAAAACATTAGTGTATGTTATGTAATTTTTGCGTTCTTTCAAAAAATGTTAAATAAATCACCATGCAAACATAATATACTAATATATAAAATAATATATTTTACTTTTTTTTTTTATTATTTTATAGGTATACTGAAAAAATCAATGTGTATACATCACTATGTAAATATACGCAAATATATATTAAAGCAAATTTGTCGCATTTGCGTCGAACTTGATAGAATCGAGGCGAGATAGCTTTCGAAACTATCTTTTTTTAGAGCGGCAAGTTCTGAATCCTACCGAACTTGTTCTGAATCCCGTTGTCGTCATCCCTATTAATACTACTTTTCTCACAATATTATTGCTTTTTTAAGAGAGGAAAAAAATGCGTGTTTAGTTTGTATTCGTATTTTGCATTTAAATAATATATATATATACACACAAGAATCTTTTAAAAAATATTTATATTATTTTTTTTTCAAATTTTTTTAATATAAATTTTAAAGCTATAACTTTTACTCTTTTATTATTATTTATATATTTTATTACTTCCTCCCAAATAAATTATGTCATTTTTTTTTATCATTCGTTAAATGTATAATTTATTTATAATAAATAATTTAATTATTTTTTACTTTAATGGAAGTAATGACCAATTTGCTATTATTTTTTAATCAATTATTTAATAAATCTCATATAGTATTCACATTTTATTTTTTATCTATCTCACTTCAAATTCATATAATTTGATGCGATGAAAATAGTAGTTTATAAAAGCATTTCAAATAATAATAATAATAATATATTTATAAACTAGTTAAATCATCATTTAAAAGTACCAAAACAAAAAGTTAAAATTTATGAAACCAAAATAGTATGTTACTCTCTCCATATTGTATAACTTTATTTTACTATTTTAATTTGTCTATTGAAAAATATATATCAAATTTAATGATTATTATACAATTAATTTTTAAATATTTTATCCATTGATTTTCTATTTATATATACCTTATTGCTACTTATGATCTCATATAATTTTTCACGTTGATCGAAAAATTATACTCAATAATTAATGACTATATAAAATATAAAAGTTTCAATTCTATATTTGTAAAAATGTGTCTAAAAATTTTAAGAATATTTTTACAAAAATGAGAGTATTTGCGAAGGTGTATATATATATATATATAGATTTCAATCTTTCTAAATGTTATAGTAATATTTAAAATTAATATAAAGACAAATATAATTAATTTAAAATACAAACATTATAAATATAGAATCATTCAAACCACCATAAATTTATCCGCATTTAGTATAATTTCTTCCACACACGAAATGGAATAAAAATAAGCAAATAATATCCACACAATTTATTTAATTTTATTTAACACCACATATATATATATATATATATTCACATACAAATACATTGAAAATAAATAAAAAAATAAAATATAATTATACAGGTCTTTTTCTCTACTTTTTTTTATTTATTTTTTCTAAAAATACTAAATTCAAAATTTTCAAAAAAGTAAAAATAAAATATCTCAAAATGGCTGCAAATTTTTACCCAAAGCATTTACATTGCCGAAAATCCCAGCCAAATCCGGCTTGTACGGGAAGTACGAGCGCCGCCTCTCTCCACCGTCACTCGGCGGCGGCGCCGCCGCCGGAACCTCCGTCGGTTTCACATTTCCGATGGCCGGAGAACTTGCTTTAACTTTTTCTTCATTGTGCGCCTTCTTTCTCCCGCTATTGCTAGAACTGAAAATTCCGACATTATCCTTACCGCCGTCAAGCGGCGGAGCTTCCGTCGGCTTCACTTTTCCGGTCACCGGAGAAGTTTCCTTAACTTTTTCCTCATTGTGCGCCTTCTTTCTCCCGCTATTGCCAGGACTGAAAAATACGAAACCATCCTTACCGCCGTCGCTATGGCTTCTGTGCAGAAAGTTTTTGAGCTTCCACCGCCTAGAATTCGAACCGCCGGCGCCGGAGCTTTTGCTTTTTTTGCACCGTCCTTCCGCCGCCTCCTTCGGCTGCCAGACGCAGTAACTGTCCGCCGGAACTCCTTCCAGCTCATCCGCCTCCGACGAAGAGCTCGACGACATCGTATTCGTCACAGTCGTTTCCCTTTCCTCAATGAATAGCTTCTTCAACGGAAGCCTAATCGCCTCCACCTTCTCGCCGGAGCTCTCATTTCCGATCTCCTTCCGATTGTCCTTGTGAACCAAATCTCTGTTGAGAACAGGGTAAACAGGTCGGATCTGGCCGTTGTGGAAGATCTCATCCGCGGAAATCGGAGAAGACAGTTCAGAACCTCTCATCACAACAGCAAACTCAAATTCCTTCTCCTCCTCCTCCTCATTCTCTCCTTCCTCCACAACGCCACCGCTTCCTCGCTCTTCCTCCTCATTCTTCTCGAAGTAAAACTCGTCGTAATACTCCTCCGAACCGAATTCCTCCACAACTCGCGCTGCAATCTCCTCAACCTCACTGTTCGAATACCTGCTAAAACTCCTCGGCGGCGCCGAAATCGCCGAACTCCCCTGCATCATAACAAAATCAAAACAAACCACGAACTGATCAATTCATCAAAATCAAATCCTCTTCAAAACCGCCGCGATCGTTCCAATTCCGATCCTCGCAGAGTGAGAGAAGAAATTGTGATTTGTGAGAGTCGGTTGGGAGGGCGGAAAGCATGGAGCCGATGACCATTACATATATATATATATAAGAGTGGAATTTATAGCTGTGAATAAATGTGAATAAACATGAACTAAGGAACGAAAAGGCAAACGCGCCACGGGGAGGGTGTGATCGGGTGAGGTACGGTGCAGAGTAAGATGCAGACACGTGGTCAGCCATTTTCCTTAAATTACATTTCGACCCTTGATTTCTTGAATTATAGCATATTCCAACCCCGAAAGTTACCCTCCTTTTCATTTTCCTTGTTTCACACGTCTCATGCACTTCCACACTGTTCACACGCTGTTAGGGTGTGTTTGTTTGGGGGTTTGGATTTTGAGTTGGGATTTGAATAGTAAAAATTTTGAATTTGAATAGTTGTATGATGTGATATAAATAGGGTTTGATGTGATGTTTTGAATGTAAAATTGATTTTTAGTATAATATAAAAAATGAAAAATAGGTGTTTGATTTGATGTTTTTGGGGGAAAAAAATTGGATGAATAGTGAGATTTTGTCCAAATCTCTCAACCGAACACACCCTTAATATACATTTAACTATGTTTACATTTTGAATTTTTTATATTAATTTTTTTAAAAATTACATCTAAAACTTTTTTTTTTTAAATAAAATATTTATTTTCAAAAATTTCTATTTAAATAAAATCTTAGCATGGGTTGTATTGTGAATTTTTATATTTTAAGGTAAAATTATTTTCATTTGTATGGGTTTGTTTGCTTCCTGAAAATTTTTCGAACATATTTTTTTTGAAAATTAATATATTATATATATTTATTATTTTTTTAATTATATGTATAATTTTTTATATTTTATATCAAAATTTCTTTTTTTAAACGAAAACACAAAACAAATAAATCTTATATTTTGCCTAAAAATAATTTTACATGTTACTTGGTTTTATGTTTTTTTTTAAAAAAAAATTAACATATGATATTTCTTTTATTCCAATTCACTGTATATTTTTTATTTTTTTTATTTTTTTCACTAAAAAAAATATGTTCTCTTTATAATAATAATAATAATAACAATTTATATATAATTATAAAAATAGTTCTAGTTTTTATAAAAATATTTATTTCTGTAGTACTTACAAAGGTAAAATTATATCAAATTTATCTTAAATAGTTGCTAGATAAAATATTTTATATAAAAAAATACTTGTTATACTTGATATATTTTTAGAATAAAATTAAAATATTAAGTAATAAAAATAAAAAAAAAAAATTGTTTTAATACAAACAAACTTTAAAGTCGAAACTCTGGATCTGTGCATAAAAATTAAATAGTGTTGCGAAAGCTTCATAAACAAACAAATAAAAAGACAAAAAACTCGGAACACCAGCTCTGATCCGCTCTCGTATATATTCTATATATATACATATCGTACGTAAAATATTAATAAAAGATATTTTATATAAATTTTATTACGCAGACAATTCATATTAACAAAAAATATACGTAAAATCTTTTATACATCGAGATATTTTGCACTATATAGTAATTTTATTCACTATATTTGCTAATAAAATAAAGAGCTATTCTATAAATTCTATAAGTATATATATTTTATATATTTACATTAAAATTAAAATGAGTATGTGAATTTAGTAAAATAAATGAGTACAATTTTTTTTTTAATTTAATTTTATATTTAGAAATATATTATTTATCTTTACAAACTTGTTAGGTTGAATCTATCTTTAAAAAATAAAATGAAATAAAATTAATAAATAAATTCTACATATTATTATAATTAATAAAATTAAATTAAATCAAAATTAGTTTGTTCAATAATTTTATTATTATTTTTAAAAGTACATATATCATGAATATAATTTACTTTTTGTTTCGTACATAAATATTAAATGCCACATATATTTTTGAGAAAATACATTATAAACTAAGTAATGAAAAAATAAAAATAATTGTACTTGTCTATTTTTATTGAAAAATTTAATGCCATTATATTTAAAATATTATTGATTTTAATAATTGACTTTGTTCACTCAAATAATTTTTATATTACTTCTCAATATATATATATATAATATTCTATTTTTTCATAAATATTATTTTTTATATTATCAATATAATTTATCACAAATTATATAAAATAATTATTTTAAACTTAAACACTCTATAATAATAAAAATAATAATAATAATATCACCATGCATACCCTAATAACACAATAATAGTCAAATTAATGTGACTGGTTTGTATTTTATTTTATTTTATTTTTGTCTTGGGCAATAATTAATAGGTCAATAGAAATTATGTAGACAATATTTTCTTCTTATCTAATTTTCCAATTGTTTCTAGAAAAAAAAAATAAAAATAGAATGATGAGTTGCAAAAAAATCATTTTTGTAACAAAATATTTTTGTATCTAAATCTACTTTTTCCGTTACTAATAACACTAGAGACAAAATTAGGAATGAAATTACGTTTACTACGTGAACTTTAGGGACGAAATTCCGTTACAAATATATTATTATTATTTTTTTAGTAAACAAGCAAATAATATTAAATAAGACCATTGAAATAAGATTGCTATATTATATATATTTGGAAGTACAATATAAAATTGTTTTTGTTGATATTCGTAAAATTTCTATGAAACATATCTTTTTATTATTATTATTATTATTATTTTATTTTTTTATGATGTCTGTAGTCGTTATTCAAAATGTATTTTGATTTATTGTGTGATTGTTCGATTTAGTGACCATAAGATATTTATGAATCACTTTAAAATTTTATGATAAGATTTCAATAATCCCATATAAGAATTAACAAATTATAATTGATTTCCATGTGAACTTTTTAAATGTGTATAAAAATATTTGTTTATAAAAAATATATAAAATAATATTTAAAAATTAGATTGAAAGTATAATGCCAATTGAAATCCAACCTTCGACTAAAGAAACTTTTTATTATTCAATTAAAATACATCTTCTCTTATTTAGGAATAATTCTCTCACTTTGAGAATAATATGAAAAATAAGAAATAATAGTAATTTAATATAATAATGATATTGGTAAAAATTAAAATAAATGTATTGAAAAAAAAAAGTTATAAATTAATAATAAAATAATAAAATAAGTAACTTTTTTTTTTTACAAAATAGTTATTTTTAAAATACTATTATAATAATCATTATCATCTACATCCAATAATATTTGGAAAATTAATTTTGAAGCAGAGAAGAGAAGCCATGAGATCTTATCGGGCTCTAAATATAAGTTAGAAAATTGATTTGAAACCCACAAAATCTGCTCACCAGGCCCTCCAATTCCAATTCACGTTCGCCATTGACGCCCACCCGCCTTTGCTCCCTTCTTCCCTTTTTCGCATCCCTTCTCTTCATTCATTCGCTCATTGCATTCATTTTTTTCTTCTTTAGACGGGAGCAATAAATTAACCGGCAACAGGGTAAGTTTTTTCTTCTTTTGCTTGGACGATTTTGGGTTCGGTAATTGCTGCCCTTATTGTTGGATTTCCGGCCGATTATTAAGCTGAAGTTAGTGCGAATTCGAATTGGGTTAAGTTATTGTTGTTTTTTGATTTTTTCGTTTGCATATAGATTGGTTTATGGATACAATCTGTTAGGGTTAGTTGTATGTTTGTTTTGTTGGCATGGTTGGGGAAATTGGGTTTCTTTGTTGTTTGTCTGCTTGTTTTTTGTTCGATGAGATGTGTTCGAGCGTAAATTGTGCTTGAATTGTGGTTTTATGCTTGTTGTTTGGGGAAAGTTGCAGTTTTTTTTATTGTTGATTGTTTATTGTGATTTGCATTGCTGGAAAAGAGGTTTACAATGTATGCTTAATGAATGATTGAATCTATGATTATATATATTATTAGGGTTGTTTATATGTTTAGTTTTGGTTAGTATAGATATGTATATTGTGTGTATGTGTGAATATATATATATATATATATATAGGGTGCCTTTGAATTTCATGTTATGTTCTGGTTTATATATTCAAATTGGTGCTGTAAATTCGAACCTGGAAATTGGTAGAACTAATGTTCGATGGAGGGTTTGGATCTTTGAATATTAAAATTTTAAATTTGAATAGTTGTTTGATTTGATATAAATAGGTGTTGATGTGATGTTTTGTATGTAAAATTGATTTCTAGTATTAAAAAATAAAGAATAAGTGTTTTATTTGATAGTTGTTTTTTTTTTTTTTGGGGGGGGGGGGGGTGTGCTGGAATTAATTGATTTGAAATGAGAGTGTTGATTTGAACTTTTGTTTAAATGATGTTTTGTGAGAGGAAATATTGTATTTTTATTGAAAATTGTACAAGATAAATGTTAGTGATTTCCAGCAAAATCATAACCAAACACACCCTAAAAATTCACAAAAGAACACATATTTATATTCAATGGATTTTGTGGTTTATCAGTTGTAGGTGTTCTCAAATGATAGAAGACATAAATGTGTCAATTTGTGTAAATTAAGAATTTCTGATTGAGTGGGCTTTTTGCAACAGGTCTACGATCTCGTGTTATCTATTTCCAATGTATGTGAGGAAACTAAATTATAAACACCAAAGATGGTATTCGATGGTTCAGCATGGCAAATCCTTTTGCCTTCCCAACCGCCGTAATTATTCTGTTGAACAATGTATAAGAGCGGTGCCAAAAGCTAGTAGTTTGTTTAAGCGATACCTGTCGAATTCTTCATTTTTATTAGGTTTAGCTTCTGGGAGAACATGCACGAGATTACAATGGAGGTCGGATATTAAATGGAGAACTTGTTTGCCGAGATTATATAGTTCAGAAGGCGATGGGAGGAATGCAAGTGAGGATAAGCGGACACCGAATAAAGATGTGGCTGATATTGATAAGAAAAAGACTCACATGCAAAGTACAATTAACAGTGTGAGGCATCGCGATGCGCATACGCAACTTGGGAAGCAAGACCAAATTGAGTGGCTTAGGAATGAAAAGCTTGCGATAGAGAACAAGAAGAAGGAGTCTCCCTTTCTACCAAGACGAGAAAGATTTAAAAATGAATTTTTGCGGAGGGTTGTTCCGTGGGAGAAGATCACTGTCTCCTGGGATACATTTCCTTATTATCTACAGTATGTAATAGCTATGAGTTGATTTGGCTTACTCGTTCATTTGTGCTTCTTTTATTTTATTTTATTTTATAGATCATATATATATTGTATTTTCAGTGAACACACAAAAAACCTTTTGGTTGAATGTGCGGCCTCACATTTGAAACATAAGAAATTTACAGTAGACTACGGAGGTCGCCTGACTTCTTCGAGTGGGAGAATCCTTCTTCAAAGCATTCCAGGTCAGGTTTAAGAATCACTACCTTGACTTATCTTTGTCAGCTTTAACTTTTAGGCGCTTTTTCTGAATAAGAAGAAATACATTGTTGAAGGTACGGAGCTATACCGTGAAAGGTTGGTCAGGGCTCTTGCTCGGGATTTAAAAGTTCCACTTCTGGTGCTAGATGACAGCGTTTTAGCTCCATATGTACGTTTCATATTCTATGATGAGTTCAATTTCTTTATCTTCTCTTAATAATTATCTAGTTTTACTTGTGGTTGTTGGATCGAGATAATATTATTTATTTCTGATATGTTTCTTATACTGCTTTGCTGTTTTATTCATAGGATCTTAATGATGATGAACATGATTCAGATGAGGACACTGTTGAGTCTTCGTCCGAATCAGAAATTGATGATGAAAATGATGCTGCAAGTAACGAGGAAGATTATACCAGTAATGGTGAGGCAAGAACAGATGGTAGTGACGATGAAACTGATATCCGTATCTCATCTAAAGATTTGAGAAAGCTTCTCCCCCACGACATTGAAGATTTTGAGAAGGTGGGTGGAATCAAATTGTCTCAATGAGCATTCACTTGGATGGTTATGGGAAATTTTCTTAGTAACAATAAAGTGGATCTCAGTTTCTATCCATATTTTATCTGTTTGGCAGAGTGTTTCTGGAGAATCTGAAAGCTCCTCAACATCCTCAAAGACAGAGTCTACTCAATCTGATAAGGCTCACCGCCCACTGAAGAAAGGTATTATTGCATTTGGAGTGCTGCAAATAAAATGTTTTACTTTTTTCCTTTCAAGAATGAAATAGTTTATCAGCATGTTTTAAATAATACAATTACAGAATCTTGTTTGGCATTATATAAAAACAAAACATCTTATTCAACATTCGTTAATGTACAACATGTATCTCTGTTGCCAGGGGATCGAGTGAGGTACATAGGACCGGTTGATTCTGATGAAGAACATAATAGGTAACTTCTTTTTGCATGGAATTTATTGAGGGTTATATTTTGTTTTTTTTTTCAGAGTGATTGAAAGTCAATTTAATAGTCCTATGTAAAATCTTACATCAGGTCTAGAATTTACACATGAAGAATTGTATAAGTGTAATTTCAATTCATTCTTGTTTTGTTATGGAAATATTGGACTTCCTGCTGAGTTTCTCATCAGTTGAACCATTGAATTTGGATGTCTATATGGTGTAATATCTAGGCAGGGAGATTTTGCTTAGTGCATACGACTGATCATGTTCATTCCTGTTTTTGGTGAATATCTTGGCTTGCTCTGTGGGTCTTTGATTGCAATTTCTGTGTTTTTGAGTTATGAAGAGTTTGCTTCTTCACTTAAATCTTTGATTTTCACATGTTCAAGAACTTTGATTACTTCCAAATTATCATTAACTTTTGTTGTTAACTTGTTTTCATATGGTGTCATATTGTCAATGTTTCTTCGTTGGTTGTAGCATTGATCAATATTCATCACCCCATTTGCTTTTTATATTTCTAATTTTTTTATTGCATATGATAAACCAGATCCATTTCCGTACTAGATGCTTTACTACACCCACCCGGAGCAACTGTGTTCAAAGAAATTACTCTTAACATAGATAATCTCATTGTAAAGAATCTTTCTCTTCCAGTAGCTGAAAAAAGGAGAAACTAGATCTATTTTAGTACTCGAGAACAGGGAGGAAACAATCATGTAGATATGAAATTATTTATTGTGGGAAATTGAGATAAGGTCATTCTTCAGGACTATTTCAGTTCTGTAAACAATATTGTGAGACACTAATAGGCCTTCTCATGGAGAACACTGGTAAGCTAAGTAGCAATATATTCTAATTAAAATGAGATTCTGCCCTTCATATTACAACAAAATATGTTAAAGCAAGCCATCAGGATGAGAGATTTTATGAATCCATGCATCAAAACTTTCTGAAGTTTTCTTTTTTAGAAACATGGAATATAAATTCATAATAAATACTTCTCGGTTTTTTCCTGGCTCTGAAGTAATACTAAGCTTTCTTCTACAAAGATCTATAACATATGTTGAATGTAGTATTTACCAAGTTTCTGCTGGACATGAATACTTACTCTTTGGAATGAAGGCTGTGGTGTGAGTAAGGGTTTTGATATATTCCTGTACACCCCCAGAAGGATTAGAAGATCCATATGCATATCTTAATCGGGTTAACATAGAAATAGAAAACCAGACGTTGTTTGCACCTTAATTTCATTCTTATATATCCTACATTGGTACCGGCAGCAATGGGATATTTGTAATTAATATTATAAAACCACATGAGGGGAAAGAATTAACCTTGATCTTTGTACATTGTCATTACATAAATCATTGAAATTGAAATATCCAATTCGTCACACAGGATTATATTGGGGAAGATACCAACATCTGATGGTTCTACAAATGCTTATACTATTATTCGTGGCAGGTGGGTTGGTAAGTTGTTCACATGTGTGTGAAAAACTTGTGTCTTCTTTCATTTGTGCATGGACTCATCTTCACTTTATTCATCAAATTTCACCTTGTTTTAATTTTGTTATGCTCTTTTGTGAGGTTAGCTGGTTAAATATCTGAATGTTGCATTGTTTTCATTTGGTGTGTGCTTACTGATATAAACAGTAATTTCAGGATGCTCTGAATGTCATAAACAATCTAATAGATATATATTATTATCCATTTCAGGGGATTGTCTAATGGTCATCGGGGAGAGGTATATGAAGTTAATGGAGAACAAGTTGCTGTTATTTTTGAGAATGTCGGAAATACAAAGGAGAAGTCAAAGGATGAGAAAGGCTTGGAAACTGGGAAAACATCAGTGCGTTGGATTCATGGTACGTGTTTCTTGCAAATGACTAATGAGTTAAGTTTATATCTGCATGCTTCTAATATTGTGTTAGATTTACCCATTAACTAGTCCACAATATTTGGATATGATGAGTTTTTCACTCTAGCTAGAACAAATCTCATCTTCATTTTGATAATGGAGCTTTAGAAGCTAGATAGAAGAAACATACAGCCTCGAAGAAATTTTGTACCCTGAATAATTTTTGTACTTGTTTGACCCAATATTTTACATTGGTTGAAGCTTGAACAAACTATTTTGTTTCTTGATATGACACATATTTTGATCCCTGTTGATGCTGTTACTGAACTCCTATGTTTCTTATCTACTAGTTTCATGTGGATTTACTGTGAGCAGTTTGTTGATTGTGTTATATTTGGTACTTTTTTCCGGGAGGAGAATAGTGAAAAGTAACATGGAATACGGTTGTGATGTCAGGGTGACATTTGGTTTTTAGTTCTATATTGAAATGTAAATTGGATATGTAGTGTGGAATACAAATGATATACCGCCTTTTGTATATCTTAAACTACCACACCAACACTCAGCTGCTTTTTCTTAAATACAATTTGCAGTGAAATATGTCGAGCATGATCGTGATGCCCAATTGCATGACTGCTATGTTGCAATGGAAGTTCTTTCTGAGGTAATGATCAATAATGGAGGGACTATGTACATTCAGATCTTCGTGTGCAAGTTTCTGTAACTTCCTTTTGTCTATGATTTTTGCAGGTGTTGGACTCTCAACAACCACTTATCGTCTATTTCCCAGATTTTTCCTCGTGGTTGTCTAGGGCAGTTTCCAAATCAAATATGAAAGAGTTTGTTAGCAAGGTGGAAGAGATGTTTGACCAGCTATCAGGACCTGTAGTTTTGATTTGTGGACAAAACATTGTGGAGAGTGGGCAGAAAGAGAAAGAGAAATTTGTGAGTTCAAGTTCAATAAAAAATATTTTCATAGCATATCCTTTGCGTTCAGGAGGGGAAAATGCTTCAATTCTTCAATGAAAGAATGTTATGTTTCCATATCTCTATGCTCAGATTGATACTTACTCACATCTAACTTCCTGCTTTTGGTTTTCGGCAGACAATGATACTTCCAAATTTGGGCCGTATTGCTAAGATGGTAATGTTTTTGAGATATGGAAGTCTCTATGTTCATTCAAAAACATTGCTTTGGTTCTTTTATCTGACTTAATTGTTTGTGTATTGTAGGATGATACTTCACTTATACCTTAGTTGTTTCTGCTTAACTTTGTACTTTCGCCTGTGATGTTTTTCAACATTATTACTCCGAGTGACTATATTGCTTATGTATATTGAACTGTTTCTATTTTCAGCCTCTTCCTTTGAAGAGACTTACAGAGGGATTGAAACCCACTAAACGGTCTGAAGCTGAGGAAATACATAAACTGTTCACTAATGTGATGAGTTTACACCCCCCGAAGGCAAGTGTTTTTAATAACTATTACATTTTGTGAATTTGGAGTTCTTATTCCATGATTTGCTGCTATATTTTAATTTTTTACTGATGCTGATTCAAAGTGCATCGTATCTCCATGTCTCTGTACACAATTTGACCGACTTTGGTGTTCTATTGTAGTTAAGAAAAAAATTTCTAACTAACAACCGCAGAACCAAATGTCTAAAACCAGTGCGCTTATTTATAAATATTTTGAGATTATTAGTTAACTCATGTCACCCATTAATGCAGGAGGAAGATCACTTGAGGATATTCAATAAGCAGATCGAAGAAGACAGGAGAATAGTGATATCTCGAAGCAATTTGATTGAAATTCATAAGGTGCATCCAAAATACTATTTAGTCATGCTTATTATTTGTTCTTACCTAATGATTCAATCTCATGGCTTACACTTCGCTTCTTCATAATCATGAGTTCAGTGCACTTATTATTTTCTGCGAAAGGTTTTCTTGTACTGCTAATAATAATAAAAAATATCTATTAATTTCAGGTTCTTGAGGAACACGGCTTATCCTGCATTGACATGCTGCACATAAACACAGACAATGTGGTTTTGACAAAAGAGAGTAAGAGAATTCGACTTCTACTATAAAAACTTATACCCCTTTTTGTACTTTTTTTTACTATAAAAATTAAAGAAGTAACAAAGTACACACCTATATTAAAACCCGTGCCCACAAGTTTGAGCACATATTTTTGTGACGGAGAGTATAATTGTGTTTTCTAGCATTGTTTGATTATGCCGATACCATTACCACTATCAAGAAGTTGCCATTGACTATATTAGATCAAGTTTGGAATTGAATTCTTCTTTCTTTTTGTATAATAACAGAGAAGACTGAGTTGTCATATCTATATATTATTTTGAGCATATCCGATTTCCTTTTCCTTTTTGATGGTCACAGAAGCCGAGAAGGTTGTTGGCTGGGCAAAAAGTCACTACCTATCCACTTGTCTTGTTCCTTCTGTTAAGGGTGACCGATTGCAGCTTCCTCGGGAGAGGTAATTATCTTGATTGTGGTGTGTTACTGTTGATTTCCATTTTCTTAATGTTGATAGACGTCAATTTTCACACATAGCCTTGAAGTTGCAATATTGAGATTAAAGGAGAAGGAAATGGCCTCCAAGAAGCCTTCACAGAGTTTGAAGGTTATTCTCTAGTAATATCGAAATCTTTTTTTGCTCTTTATATCTTGCCATTCTAATGCCGACCCTACTTGCAGAATCTTGCTAAGGATGAGTACGAGTCCAACTTTGTTTCAGCAGTAGTTCCTCCGGGTGAGATTGGTGTCAAATTTGATGACGTTGGTGCCCTTGAAGACGTAAAGAAGGCATTAAATGAATTGGTGATTCTCCCAATGCGGAGGCCGGAGCTTTTCTCTCATGGAAATTTGTTGCGTGTAAGTTATACATCATATACAAAACGCTTATTTTATCAGCCCTCCGTATTGTGAGCAAAATTTTCTCGTTCAGCCCTGCAAAGGAATATTGCTTTTTGGTCCTCCCGGAACCGGAAAAACTCTTCTTGCAAAGGCTCTCGCAACTGAAGCTGGGGCGAATTTCATCAGCATTACGGGATCCACTATTACATCCAAGGTAAACAAACCTTTGAATTTGGGGATTTCTGTAATTTTATATTGTAGTCGAATTTCCATTTGGATAGAAACTCGGAAATAATTAAGAGTGAAATCGAGTACACACGCACACAATTTATTTTCATTCTTACAGATGCATATACATATTTATATCTTCAGTTCTCAAAGCATTCATTATTCAGAAATTGTAACATTCGTCGGCATTTTTTGCTTGATTCTCATGCAGTGGTTTGGTGATGCTGAAAAACTCACCAGCGCTCTGTTCTCGTTCGCTAGCAAGTTGGCTCCTGTAATCATTTTTGTCGACGAGGTTAGGACTGCTTCACTTTCTCCACCTTAATTTGCCGGCAATGTAGTGCCAAATTATTATCCTCAACATTGTGCTCCCTCCGTCCATTAAAATTAGCCTACCTACGATTGATATGGAGATGAAAAATAAATATTTTATTGACAAATGATAAAAGTAATAAAATAGTTGAGGTATTTTTGAAAATTTTTTAGTTATAAATTAAAATAAATGAAGTGAGAGAATGTAATACAGATGGTGGTATTTTTGGTATTTGTTGCAAGTAAACGTTGAATTGAGGGTAATAATTAAATATTGATTAGGAAAGTGAGAATAAATTTGGCTGACGGAGGAGTATTTTAGACAATGAAATGACGAACAATGTCAATGTCCCTCCGAGCCAAACTACATTTACAGTGATGTTCTTTTCGTGCCTAAGGTGTCGCTACTTTTTTTTTACAGGTCGACAGTTTGCTTGGTGCTCGTGGCGGTTCTTCCGAGCACGAGGCAACTAGAAGAATGCGGAATGAGTTTATGGCGGCATGGGATGGATTAAGGTCGAAAGAGGGCCAGAGGATCCTCATTCTTGGTGCCACTAATCGTCCATTTGACCTCGATGATGCTGTCATTCGACGCTTACCAAGAAGGTAATGTTTCTGCCGTCTGATTTTATGGCGAATTGGATTTCCGCAAGCAGCTGTCCTGATGTAATGTATTTGGTTGACACTAGGATCTACGTAGACCTGCCGGATGCCGGAAACCGTCTGAAAATACTCAAGATCATTCTCTCCCGAGAAAATCTTGAAACGAATTTTCCCTTTGAGCAACTTGCAAACGCCACCGAAGGTTACTCCGGAAGCGATCTAAAGGTAACGATTCATAAGGCTTACACTGTTGATTAGGGGTGAACAAAATATCTAAATACGAACATTTAATATTTTAATAACAATATAAAAATTAATAAAATTCTCAAATTTTTAAATTTTTAAATATATTATCTAATTTTGTAGTTTTTGGTTTGGTTCAGATTTTATAATTATGACTTTGAATTTTTGGATTTCTAAAAAGGATTTTGGGTTTCGGACATTTTAGTTAGGATTGATTTTTTGATTTGGTTTGGATTCGAATATCCGAATGTTTACCCTGAGACTCCTAACCAATTTCCCGAATCTTTTCTCAGAATCTTTGCATCGCCGCAGCATACAGACCCGTTCAAGAATTACTCGAAGATGAAAACAAGGTGAGCTCATCTACGATTTACCCGTAGTTTCAACACAATCTTGCATTGCGCCATTCTTTGGACACTCATACATCCAACACATATATATATATTTATATATACATATATATATCCTTGCAGCGCGACAGCCATGATGATTCTCCGCTTCTACGGCCCCTCAAGCTCGACGACTTCATTCAATCGAAAACCAAGGTAAATAATCTAAGCCCCTAAATCCTCGCGACTCGTCTTTCTTGAAAGGAATTAATCGATCACCAAACTTGTCCCTTGCGACTTGCAGGTCGGACCGTCGGTGGCATACGACGCAGCGAGCATGAACGAGTTGAGAAAATGGAATGAACAATACGGCGAAGGAGGAAGCCGGCGAAAATCGCCGTTCGGGTTTTGAGATTCCGGTAGGCATTTTATTTTATTTTATTTAAATTTATCTTTGATTACATAATCAGCTGTAGAATTGAATGAATGAGTTGATGGTTAAATGAATGTTTGGATTTCTAATACGAAAATTAGAACACAGCTTTAGCAAAAATTTATGTGACATTTCCTTAATATAATATTTATTTACTTTCCCAGCAGATTTTTGTGCTAAAACATACCTCCAAAAGTGTTTATTGCAAACAATAATATTTTGGTATGTTTTTTTTTTTTATTATTAAAATAAGACCTACGGAACTGAAGCCCTATTTTATTAGCAACTGATAATTTTCTATAACAAATAAAGTTCTTTTATTTTTATCTATCTTTTTTTAATAAATAAATACTTTGATCTATATTACATGTTTTTATTGAAATATAATTTTAAAATATTAAAATATATATTCTAAAAAAAATTTAATCATATATACTATTTTTTATTTTAAAACTATTAATAATAGTACTTTAAAATAATAATAATAATTATTATTATTATTAATTATAATTTATTATTACTAGTTAATTAAATTTTATTATTTTAAATATTGTGTTGCAAATTTTTTTTAAAAAAATTATTTGGGACAAAAAAAAAAAAGCTTATAATCTACTCCTTTCGAATTTTGAGATATTTTATAATTAGTGAAAATGATTACGATTTAATAAAAATAATTTTAAATTAAAATTAAAATGACTAAATAATTTAATTAAAATTAAAAAGATATAAATTATAAATTTTAAAATATCAACAAATTAAGTGTAGCGGAAAAATATTACTAATATTAAATCAATTTCAATTATTAGAATGAAGAAACGAAAATGTTGCCATTATAAGAATTAAAGAGCCGTACGTTACTAACGTTGTTATAATACCGTCTTTTTTTTTAAAATACAAAATACAAAATTCATAAAATTACGTAATTGCCCAAGATTTACACCTGTTGGGATCTCAGAGAGCTCCAACATCGACCGCCTGCCGGTAACCGTCTCTGCTACTCTCCACCGCTCGCCGGCGATTGATGACGATCAATCGCGACGGAGGCAAGTTACTCCTCGCCTTTACTTTTTCCCTCCTGATTTCCAATTTCCTGTATTCTACTTCTGTTTCCGCTTCGAATTCAAACTTTATTGTCCAAACTGGCGGTGAAAACGGAAGCTCCTTTAATGGAACCGTCGGAAGCAGTAATTCCGACGCCGTTTTGATGCGGAACCATCTGCGTCGGATGGAAGTGCTCGTGGAATCGATTAGAAACCTCACGCACGATGTCGCTAGGCTAGAATCGAAATTTATTCCGTATTTATCGAATTCAGACGCAATTCCTTCGTCTCGGGGTGAATTTAGGGCTTTGGCTGGAATTAATGGAGGGGAAACTCCCTCCGGCGGATTGCGCCGCCCGATTTGGTCGGAGTGGTTCCAATTTGTTGCGGCGGTGAAATTGAGCACAAACCCTAATTGTATGAACTTGCTGCCATTTAGGGATTCTGAAGGTCTGAATAGATACTTTGCTGTAGGAGATGATCATGGTAGTTTATATGTGTTTTGTAGAACAGGGGATGTTGCAATGCAGCTAAACTCGACTCCGAATTCGGAGTCGAATTCGCCGGTAACCTCCATGGTATCGTACTTGTCGATACACAAGAACGAAACCATGCTCATCTCGGGACACGAAAACGGTGTTATCACGAAACACCGTATTTACGAGGGAGAAGAATCGACTACATTGGTTGTAGATAAAATTCGGAAATTTCGAACAATAGGGTTAGAAGGATCGTCGATTAAGATGTTAAAAGTTCATTACATTGGTCAGAGAAGGTACATTTTGGCGGTAAATGATCGCGGGAAGATCATCGTGTTTAACGAGGACGGATCGTTACACGGTGTCGTATCTCCTAAAAAATGTCCGATTGTGTTCTTGAAGCAACGGCTTTTGTTTCTAACGGAAACGGGAGCCGGATCGTTGGATTTGAGGACCATGAAGTTGAAGGAGTTGGATTGCGACGGGGCTAACGGTACCGTTGCGGTGAGATACGTCTTCGACATTGCGGATAGGACGAACGCGTACGGGTTTACATCCGATGGTGAATTTATCCACACGGTGTTGTTTGGCGACGCGACGAGCTTTAAATGCCGATTTAGGTTTAAGACAAGGTTGGGTGTGGATAAGCCTTTGGATTTAGTTGCAATAAGGGGATATGTAATGACGGTCGACGAAGACGAGGTTTACGTGTACAATGTTTCGACGCAGCCTTATGTAAGAATTGGCATGGTTCGGTTTTTGTTGTCCGCTCGTCTTGACGAGATTGCGCCGTCGTTTTTTAATCGGGAAGTCGTTGGGAAACGCGGGACGCGACCGTTGATCGTTAGTGACTACGAGAAGGACGTTGTCGTTAGTTTCAGGAACGGTTACATCGCAATTTACCGTTCGAAGCTTCCGGTGATCGAATACGAGTTTAATAGTGTTTGGTGGACGGTCCCGGTTTTGTTCTTCACGGTTTTTATATTCGTCGCATGGCATTATTTGGCGAATAACGGCGATCCGCTTACCTCGTTCGGCTCGACGACGGGGGATAGGTTGTTAGAAGATTCTTCTAGAAGCAATAGGTTCTTACTAGATCCTTCTAGAAGCTTCTATGGATCTTCGAGATATGGTTGTCAAGGTGTGGCGACGAGTTTCTACAAGTCGTGTGCTGATGTGGCACCGGTCGACCACCATTTTGTCCCGAGCTTTGGGATGAAATTTAGAAGCAGGTTTAATGCCCAGGTGGGAGGTATGTCGAGAAACTTTGTTGACGACAACCGTTGATTGCCTCCGAGTTTCGGCATTTTTCGATTGTAAGAAAAATGCAGCCTTTGGAGATGTGGAAAGATCAAATGTTGTCTTCTTGTAGAGTTTTTGTTAGAACTTTTGTGCTCGACTTCAGGTAATAGATCCCGACAACATTAGACGTGTTCAACCGATCAAAAAATTACACACGATATTACAATAAATACACATACTTATGTAATATAAGTTAAACGATCAACACACTTAAAAATTTAAACTAACAGAGATATGTTATATAGCCTTTCAATGTATATATTGTTGGGACTGGGTCAACTCAACCCTAGTATGATATTGTCCGTTTTGAGTTGAGTCCGCACGAATTTGTTTTTGGATATTCGAATTTGTTTTTGGATATTCTCCAAAAGACCTTGTACTAGTGGAGTTCATTTGAGACTTATAAGGTATGTAATTTTCTTCACAGCTTCCGATGTGAGACTTGAGTTTGCATCCCAATATATATGTAAGATGGATTTACGAATTTTTTTGGGCCCTGAATTTTGGAATATGTCTAATTAACTACATATTATATAATTTCTTAATGATTATAGAAAAATATAATATTTACGAATATTCACACTATTTATGTTTTCTTTACTATTGTTATTTACACTATTTAATTTAATGACAAAGTAAAATATATTTTGATAAAATATACATTTAAAAATTTGTTTTAATTATAAAAAGGAATTTAGATTCAAATAAATAATGTCACATATTGCCAAATATCATACGTGTAACTAATTAGTGTGTCATAATCAATCAATTCGATTGTCTGTTAGTTAATTACGATAAAATATTACTAGTATAATTACTTTAATTCAGTGCTTTTCATTTTCTACATAAAATATGATTCGAGGTTCAAATCATTATTTTTATTTTTATTTTTTTAAAAATATTATATTTAATTATTTCATGACTGTAGACAATATGTCTGTTTTTACTAAGACAAATAAAGATCATGCAAATCGATATTTCAATACCGACAAAGAAATGTCCAAATCACAATTAAATTATTCACATTTCCACACCCGACCACACCTATTTTATGAAAATTACATTTTTATTTTTATTTTTATATTATATTCAAAATAAAATTTATATTCAAAATATCGTATAAATATCTATTTATATGGCATCATATAATTATTTTAGTTCAAAATTTTCTATCGAAAGCAACAGAAGTAGCTACTTAGTAAAATAATTGGAAAGAAAATAAACATCAGTCTTATAATTTTGGTGTTATATACTTCCTCCATTAAGCAATAAAGTATACATTTTATTTTATTTTTTTATTTTGAATTGGTAATTGATATTTAATTAAATGAAAATAAATATTTAAATATGAAAATATATTGAATATAATATCTTTAAGAAAAATGTATTTCAAGTAACACTCCTTCCGTTTTGTCTTAGTCAAGTTGTTGGATGGCAATAATTATTTTGGGACAAGAAAATCGACGGCTGGTCGGGTTGTACGTCGTGCATTGTAACATGCACGTCGCGGATCCATCTCATTTCCTACATTAATATACTCCAAATTTTGACTTAGTGCATGCATGCATGCTATATTATTTATTATTTATTTATTTATTATTATTATTATTATTATTATTATTATTATTATTATTATTATTTGATATATTAATATTATTATTATTATTATTATTATTATTTGATATATTAATATTATTATTATTATTATTAAATGTGCGCGTGCATGCATGCCGGCCCTATACTTAACTCCAATTTGTCTTCATTCCCATTAATTATTTTTAATTTTTATTTATATATAAATAAAAACGTGGTGGTATCTAATCAAAGAGTATCTAAGTTGAAAACTAATGTTTTGTTTTGATAGGGATTTTTGGAATTTAAATTAAAAAAAAAATAAAAATATTTAAGTATTTAATATAATATCTTTTAGTTCATTCGAGTTATCGGGTGATCCGAAAGAAAATCAAATTAATCTGAACCTAACAAACATGAAAAGAATTACTATATTGTTTTCTGATTTAGAATTTCGGGTTCAAGTCGTGCTCGGGTTGTCAGATCTTTTATTATACTCACAACTCAATCCAATACGAATACAATCCAAAAATACGAATTAACACCTCTACTATTCGCCATTTTTTGTTTTTTTTTTATTTACTCAATTTTCATTATTTTTTATAATATATCTTTATAACAAAATGTTTTAAATGAAAATCTAAATTCAAACAAGAAATGCAGTTTTTTATATAATATCAAAATTCAATTATTATTTTTAATAACAAATTAAACTAATATTATTAACTAGACATAATTTTCAGTAAAAATATAATAAAATTAATTTATACAAAATATCTATCAAAATACTATTTATAAAAAAATTCAAACTAGCATCCAATTACAAATTACAAACAAACCAACTTAATAAAATATATATAATGTTGAGATAATTTCTAACATATAATAATAATTTTAATGAAAATACAATAAATTGTTTATTTTGTAAAATAATTTTAAAAAATATTTTTTTTAGATAAAATATTTAATATAAAAATGATAAATATATATATATAATATATTAATTTTGTTTTTAAATTGTTAAAAATCTCTAAACATTGTATTTTTTTTTATTTTTCACAAATAAACAAATTCAATATTGGTAGAAAGAGTATGTGTTGGGTTAGTGGGGCCCGCAAATGATTACGTCATCATCATCGTTGGATCAATTTGACTGCACGGATCTCAATGTCTAATATCCTTACACATATAATATATATATATATATAAATATATTATTTTATTTTTAAATTATAATTGTGAATCACGACTAGAAGTATAGAAGTTTTTAAGGGCGTGTTTGGCGGGCAAATTATATTAAACCTATAAATTCAATGAGTGGGAAAATATTTGAGTGAAAAAATCTTATTATCCAAACTCAATTTAGAAAGAAACACATTTTTAAAGTAAAAAAATTATTAAAATTAATAATAATAATAATAATCAATTAAGGGTATGCTCATCTAATATATTTTGGATAAAATTTTCGATTAATATTATAAAAAATACAATATATAGAATAAATACTTATATATTATCACTACAAGAAATTATCAATTTTGTAACGAGGTTTTTTCGTTCCTAAATTCACTTTTTCCGTTACTAATGATATTAGAGACGGAATTAGAGATGAAATTACGTTAGCTATGTGAACTTTAGGAACGAAATTCTGTTACAAATATACTATTTTTTTTTTTACTTTTTTTTTTTTTTTTGTAGTGTATGCACTATTAAAATCAATTCTTCAAAGCAAAGTATTTTTATATTATTGATATAATTTATTGTAAACTTCTTGGAGTGAGTGCAATCAAATTTGTACTCTTTTTTTTTTTTTGCCTATGTTGTAAAAGACAACCTTGCATGAGAAGAAAGGTACCCTAATTTATTATTTATTTTTTTTCTTATAAATTAAATTTCAAGAAAAAATAAAACATAAATTACTTTTGATTGTTAATTTCAGATCATGAATTTATCAAAAGAAACTAAAAGGGGTGCCTAAAAATTTTCAAAAATCTAATTAAAAAATATATATGCAAATTAATTAATTAACTAATTAATATAAATATATATATAGATAGATAGCTTCAATCTCAAGATGGATCCCTTCTTTTTGTTTCATCTTCTTTTAACATTAGGAATATCGAATCTCTCTCTTATCTTCCTTTTATTTCGAAAATTTGAATTGCTTTCGTTTTCGAAATTCCTTCCATTTTTCATTTTTCTTAAAAAGTTTCGATTTTGATCATAATCTTGTAGTAACAACAATAATTATTAGTTACATGTATTCTATGTCCGAGCACATTAACCTTGCATATCGAAAATATACGGCACAAAAAAAGAAAAAAAAAAACTAGAATTTAAATTTATTTAAAATAAAATGTGCTTAGTTATGAAGTTATTGTTGATAGTTTTGTTTTTCATGTACATTTCTTGGATTCCTTATTGGAGTGAATAGTCCAATAATTATTTTATTTTAAATAAAAATATTCTGTAATTGTTAATAAAACTATTATACGAACTTAAAGTATTTTACATGTACAAAATCAAACCAAACAATAATAAAATTAAAGCATGTTCATATACGTATACACAGTTAGTAATTACATAATCTAAATAATACTCCATCCATCCCGATATAATAGTCTTGTTTACTATTTATTTTTTCTTTAGTATTACACAATTGTCACTATTTTTTACACTAATACAATCACAAGGGCAAAAAAGTCTTTTACACTATAGTTTTGAGATGGGGATCCAGGGTTCCAACTTAAAACCAATTGGTTGTAAGTGGAGCAGCCCTTCACCCCTTGTAAGGTAGGAAAATCCCAATATTATATCCAATGTGGAATATTCAATAATTATACAAATATAAAAATATTTTTAATATTAAATAAATGATACATAAGGTAAATGTGACTCTCGAAGGCGGAAGAATCGATTAAATTTTATCCAAAAATAAAAAATTAAAAACAAACAGGACATAGGATAGGGTAAGTGGCATCATCATGTGTTTCTCAGTCAGTCAGTCAGGTGATTGAGCACGAGACACGTGGCGGGCACACAGAATCTATACTTTGCTTGCGGGTGGAGTCCGAATGGGTCCCACCTGTCCTTTTTGGGGCCCAACCCTATATTGTAAGAATGTGCTTTCGGCTTCTATTACACTAATTTTAATTTTCATTTTTCAAAAAAATAAATAAATAAATAAATTTTTGATTTTTGATTTCCTTCTTCTTCTTCTCTCTTTATCGTCCCCCCAAAAATTCTCTCTCTATTTTCTCTCTCCTAGTCACACTCTATCATAGACTTCTACGAACCCTACCCTCCCCCCTGCCGTGATTTTTGACGATCCAGATTCATCTATCCTACGACCCTACGCACAATCTCCGCCGTTGAATTTCTCGGGCGGGTGGGGTCCCCGGACCTCTGCGCCTGTCGGCGTGATGGATGGTGTGGATTGTTGCGGGAGTTGGAGTCCCGGGAGTTGGGGCCGAGCGGATGGGGGAGTCCCCACCATGTCCACTTTTTCTTCCTTCTTATTCACAATGCACCTCACCCCTTTGTTTCATCATTCCCACAATCTCCTCTCTCACTCTACCCATTTCTTTCTCTCTCTCTATAACAAATTTCTTTCTCTCTCATCATCTTCATCATTCCTAAATCAAATTGGGGAAGAGGGTTCTAGGGTTTCAACATTTTCTTGGAATTCTTGCCTCATTACTTTTGTGTGTTGGGTAATTCATCAATGGGCATTACTTCTCTTCAAGTTTGCATGGATTCCTCAGACTGGCTTCAGGTATATATATACATATAGATTCATATATATACACATATATATATATGTGTGTGTAAGTGTGTGGATTCAAGAATTACATGCATGCAATAATGTAGGTGTAAATTTCTTTTAGGGTTTTTTGGAGTGGCTAAGTGCTTTAGAAAGAAACATTATACAAAACCCTTTTCTTGAATTTAGTATCTTTTCTACTTATGATTTGTTTATGGGGAGATTAGAGAGTTGAGTTTTTTTTTTTTTTCAAGTTTTATTTTAAGTTGTGGAAAAATGTATTCCTAAATGATGCACTATAGGACCAAATGTAGCATATTATTACAATGTGTGTAAACACTTTTGTTTTCTTGCCAATTCTTGGCCCTACTCTTCTCTTATAGTTTTATAGCCACCCCCAAATTTAGAACTCCTTATTCACACATTGTCACAACTATTTACATTAAATAAATAAAAACAACAAAAATACAAAAGCCCCCCTTCACACCTTGTCACATTTTTTTCCTCAAAACATTCACACATGTACTTAGTTGTACATATCCATTGAATCATAAACAGTAATGTCACTCCACATTCTTCCAAACTCCTGGGATCCCAACTCCCGCGACACATTTTACACCTCAAATTTATAAATACACGCCCTCAATTAGCGATAAAATGCGAGTCGACACAAATATACGCGATAAAAATCCAATCTTGGAACATTACAGAAAAAAATTCGATCAATCCCCGATTCGGGACTTCAAATCCAGGGACCCTTCAACAATTTGGAACATCAAGTGTGTTTATTATGCATAAGAACTATGTCCATAATATGAAAAAAATAAAATTTTACGTTAAATATACAGATACATTCTATTTTTTGCAATACTAATCGAAAACCCTATTATATTTCAGGGCACGATTTCCGATGAAGTTCCGGGCATGGACGCGTCGTCGTCGCCGGCCGGCGACGACAACATTAGCCTCACCTGCAGCAGGCCATTGATGGAAAGAAGGCTTAGGCCTCAGCATGAGAATTCCCTAAAATGCCCTCGCTGTGAATCGACACATACCAAATTCTGCTACTACAATAACTACAGCCTTTCTCAGCCACGATACTTCTGCAAAACCTGCCGCCGCTACTGGACCAAGGGCGGAACCCTACGCAACATTCCGGTGGGTGGGGGCTGCCGGAAAAACAAGAAAGTCTCGAAAAAGCAGCACCAGTCGTCGTCCTCGTCGATTTCCGACCACCACGCGCCGTCACCGCCGCAGCAGATCCACCCGGGACACATCCATACCGGCGCCGGAATCTCGCCGCCGATGGTCTGCTACGACGGCGGCGCCAATTCCTCCACCGACCTCCAGCTCGCCTTCCCGGAGCAGCTCCAATTTTCCGGCATGTTCGCCGCCGCCGGCGGGAATGGGAACCCTAATTTTCCGATCGATTACATCGATAACAAATACGAGTCCCTGATTTTGGGCGGCGCCGGCGAGGGTTTGGTCGCCGGAGTCCACCACGGCGGAGGTGAATTTAATGGTAATTTCAGTAATTTCCATGGCTTCTGCCCTCAGTTAGGGTTTTCTTCTTTCGACCACCATGGGAGCTATCCTTCGTCCTCCGGCGGCCTCGAAAATTGCCAGAGGCTATTACAGCCGTTCGATCATCAGAATCTGCAGGATCAGAGTGAGATCGACGTTAAGCCGGCGCCGGCGCCGCCGCAGACGGCGGCGAAGATGCTGGCGATAGAATGGCACGATCATCAGCAGGCTTGTAATTCGGATCCGGTTTACAATCTCGGATCTTGGACCGGGTTGATGAACGGATACGGATCCTCCGCAATGAATCCACTGGTTTAATTAATTAATTAACCAGGCTAATTTTATTAGTTAATTAGATTTTTACTATATATATATATATTTATGTAATTTATGTTCTTTAGGGTTTAATTATAACTCCTATTAAGGGTTTTTTTTTTTTTTTTTTTTTGAATTTAAATATTTGTCTTTTTTTTTTTTTTTTTGGATAATTTTAATGATGTTTAAATTTGAGAGTGTGAAAAGAGGTTTGTAGGAAATACTCTCTTTGAGTATGATTATGATGTCTAATTATTAAATATTATGTATTTTTAGACTTTAATCATCTTTAATTAAGTCAATTATTCTCTTAGATTGTGAATATTTTTATGTTATTTGAACTTTTCTTCATTTTTATTTTCAACATTATTTCTTTTCACATTGTGTAATTTAAACTAATTTTTTTTCAAACCAGAAAGATAATAAATTATATAAAAAAATATACATTTAATTACTACTTTTTATTTTAACAAAAAAAAAGTATAAAGAAATTGAAAACATGAAAGACATCCCAAAATAAGTGTATACTTTGCATGTTTCATTTATTTATTTAATAGTTCATTTTTTTCAAAAGAATAAATATCAATATATATATATTGTAACAACACTTCTTTTTTTTTTTTTATTTACATTTTAATAGGTGAAATGGTAACTAAATATAATATTTTGAATAAAAAAAATATTTGATCTAATTGTTAAAAGAAAAAGTGGTAAATTGAATTGTGAAAAACAGTTACCAAAATCACAAATGAACTAATCATTACTCTTGATTTTATTTTTTATTTGGTTTTATAAATTGAAATCAAATACTATTAACTTTGAAAATTTTAATAAAGTAAACTAAACTATTTGTCTTTTTCATAAAATATTATTTAAAAACAAATTTTAAATTAACAAATAATTGTAAATCAATTTCAAATCACAACCAAACCAATCTTATATATTTCATAGTTATTTCACTTTTAAAAAGTTAATAAAATATATAAAAGTCAACAAAAACATACAAAATATTATTTTTTATAAAAGTGTTTGTTTCTAAGTTTGGATTTCGAGTTTAGGTTTTCAATATTAAAATTTTTAATTCGAATCGTCCGCATAATTTTTTTTTATCTTTCGAAAAATACTTAAATCATATTTAATTTTTCTTAATTTTAATTAAATTATTTTAATTATCTTAATTTTAATATATAATAACTATTTATATTATACCATCATTAGTTTTACTAAAATACATTTTAATTACTTATTAATTATAATCTTCTTGAATATTTGTAACTATATTAATATGAACACTTTACCAAAAGGAAAGAAAATATTATGTGATATAAATAAATTTATATAATAATAATAAAAATAATAATTATTACTCCCTCCGTCCTAGAAAATATGAGACTATTACCGTAGATACGGGGATTTAGGTAAAATATAATTAGTAAATAATTAAGAAGTATATTAGTAAAAATAATTATTATTTAGTAAAAATAATTATAAATTAAGATTAAGATAAGTAAACAGTTTAATTAAAATTAAGAAAATTATAAAATTTAAAATTTAAAATGCGATTAAAGTGCATAATTATATTTCCAAAAATAGAAAGGACAAGTTATGTGAGACGGACGAAAATAGAAAATAGGGACAAATTACGTGGGACGAAGGGAGTATTATTATTATTTTTATTATTAGATAAAGAATTTGTTGCTAAGGTAAAAAGAATGTTCTTGGCTGATTTAGATACTTTTGATAATTAGAGTGTACTTTGATGGATGTTGTCATGTTCAATTCAGTGCTTAGGGAATTGGAAAAGTCTATGTATATATATATATATATATATAAAGTTAGCAATTTTGAATTTCCCAATTCAAATAAATTTTGGGACTTTGGAGTTTGTGCACTTCTGATATTTATTTATTTATGTTTTCTTAAGTGGCATCTTTAATTAAAATATTTGTAAATAAAAAATAAAAGTTGTTTGTTTACTGTTTACTAGGTGTCATTATATTCCATCATTTGATTTGATGATGATGTTGTTGTTATTATTATATTATTATTTTTATTTTCTGTCTGAACATTAGTATTTTATAAAAAATATACATATATATTCTCCATTCGTCTCAAAATTATAGTCTTGATTGTGTTGGATACGAGATTTAAAGAATATTGATATTATATTGATTGTGAATTAAGTATGAGTATTTTTACAGTGATATAATTATTTATGAAAATAAGACTATTATTTTGGAACGAACAAAAATAGTAAATAGGACTATTGTATCGGAACGGAGGGAGTATTATATTTTTATAGATAATTATAAAAATCAAATATTAGAAAAAAAATCAAATAAATTCATTCTATAATTTTATTCTTCAATTCTTATTTTATATACCAAACACACTCCAAAAGAAATCAAGGCCTTAAGAAAATTTTCTTTCTTCAATAAAATATACTTTTAATAATTATTCAAAAGACTTTTTAACTTTATATTTTAATTTGATTTAATTATATTAGTATAAATAAATATAAATTAAAAAAAATATATATATATTGTATTTTATATTTAGACAATAAAATTAGTGTATTTAATAATCGTATTCAAAAGTGATTGTTGCGTAGTACAAGAAAATTACTACGAATATTACAAGTGGGTAAAGGCCCAATTAAACCCAAAAAACACGTTATGGGCTTATTTGATAAAGCCCAATGGGCTTCAATAAGCCATGATTCCCCCATTCTTAAAACCCTAATTTTCTTGAAACCCTAATTTTGGAGTATATTTATACTCGCCTCCGACGCGGAATTTCTCCGCTGAAGATCGTAATTTTGGCGGCCATGGATGCGATCTTCGACGCCATTTCATAAACTTCCCTACTTTTCCTTTCAGTTCTCGTTTCTAATTAGTTTTTATTCATGTTAAATAGTTTGGTTTTACATCTGATTGTTTATTGATGTTCTCGTATAATCAATCGATGTTTGCCTGTCTTATGAAGATCTTTATTGGTTTAATCTCTGTTTTAATTTACGAAATTTGAATCCAGACGTTAGTCAGGTGTGCATTGATTATGCAATAGTGTATGCTGTTACATGTCTGGGATAGAAAAGATGGAGGAAGTGAGCGATGGATGGGGTTCCCCATTTTGTCATCTCGGTTTCTCCTGGAGGTATCCATCGTTGCTCGATAGTTTGCAGTAATTATTCGGGCTACATCTGGATCTCACATTTTGCTCGATTCTCGTATCTTTAATTCTTGAATTTTTGTTGGATTATCGACTCTCTTGATTGGCTTGTTTATGTCTTCAACTAGATTTGCCAAATTGATTCAAAATTGCATGTTTTTGTTTGTCAAAATGCTGTTTGGATAATGGCTTTTTTTTTTTTTTTTTTCAAAGTAAAAACCTATAGGAAATCCTACAACCAAATCGGTTTATGGTTTGTAAAAACATGGAATTGAAATTGAGCTTCATAAAGTTTGATTTTTGTTATGTTTCTGCATTGTTTTTGCTGAATTGTTTGGACAAGTCTATCGACAACATTGTTAGAATATCTTGTTTTGATAATTTTCTGATCTTCAACAAGGACTAGAACTGTTCTGTTTGGATATGTTTTGGTGTGGTAAGTATAGTAAAACTTTGAATTGAAATGGTTTTTTCGATGAGATGAAAATTGGAGTTTCTTGGATTAAAGATAGGTTTTTATATATATTTTGCTTGCATAAATTCATAATAGCATTGATGGATCTTGAGATGTGATCTTGACACAGTAGAGTACTGAAAAGATTTTTTTTTTTTTCTTTATCTTGATTGCAATGTGTAATATCTTAGTAGAAAATTTAATTCCATATTTGATGTGGTCTTTGTTGCACCTTTTTGTTTAAGTGTTATGGCCATTGATTTTGGTGATGAACTTAGAGTTTTGTCAATATGTAACCAAATCACATGATATGCTTGTGGAATTTGCTAATTCACACATACATATACCTTGGTGTTATTTATTTGTTTATTTTTTACAAAATTATTTATAATTTAGTTGTGATTGGAAAGATTTGCATCATTTGCCTGTGATTAATTCCCCTAAATATTGCAAGAGATTCCTTCATCTTTTCGAAAATATTGCGTAGAAACTCTTAAGAACGAGATTCTGTGCAATATTTTTAAAGCACGAGGGAGTTTTATGCGGTTTCTAATTGAGAGAAAATGATGACTTTTCAAACCACGAGTGGGATATGAGCAATTTTACTTTTTTTTTTTAATTAGTTTTTAATTTAAATAGTTATCTAGACGAAATATTTTGTGAAAGGAAATATTGTATTGTTTTTGGTCGTGATGATTGCATAGTAAAAATAATTGAAATGAGGTTTGAATTTTGAATTGGAAATTAGCTGTGAATTTTGATTTCAATTGATTTGGGCTGTGGATTTGGTTTTAGGATTGGATTTTCGACCCCTATCTGTGGGGTTTTGTGTCTGAATTTGTAGATTTGGTTGCGCCCCAAACGTACACAGACATCCACTGCTATCACTTGCGGAGATGAATATGTTGTAATGTGTCTGGCAGAGAAAATTGCGTGCTTATCATTGCTTGGTGATCGGATTATCGATGGTTGCAAGAGCTACATCTAAGCACCATATGTTGGAAAGTTTTTAGTGTAATTGGTGTTAAGATTTTTGCCAATTATTTGATTCATGAATTGCTATAATATATTTGAAGCATTTAATGTGATATAAATATAATGTTAGAAGATAAGGTCTCCCTTTACGCCATCAACTTTTACTCATATTTACGGATTTGATACTATTTATTTTTATAAAATTCTCACATCAAATATATATATATATATAATATAAAACATCAAATTAAATACTTAAATATTTTACCACTTAATCTACAAAAGTAAATCAAATTTGAGTTTTCAAGACTGAATATTGTTCATATTGGTTGGCTAAGGGTGGTGACCCCAATCACATATGTATTATCATTGGTGGATTTTGTGTTGATCTTATAAATAACTTTGTATTTATACAAAAGTAATAGTTCATTAGGGTGTGTTTGCTTGGGGTTTGGATTTTGAGTTGAGATTTGAATAGTAAAAGTTTTGAATTTGAATAGTTGTATGACTTGATATAAATAGGTGTTGATGTGATGTTTTGAATGTAAAATTGATTTTTAGTATAATCTAAAAAAAATAAAAAATAGGTGTTTGATTTGATATTTTTGGGGGAAAAAAATAGGATGAATAGTTGAAATCTAATCCAATTCCTCAAACAAACACACCCTTTAGATGGATTGATTTTTAAATTGAGTATTTGATTTTTTAACTTTTTGTAAGGAGTATTTGAAAATTTTGTACTATTTCCATCTCTAAGGTCATTTTTTAAATTTGTTTATAATAATTAATATTCAAAAAATAAATACATAAAAAGTAAATGAGATTTTTAGAGACCGACGAATATAGTATTATTTATTATTGTTTTTGAGAAATACAATAATAAAAAAAATAGTGAAAAAAGGAGCAAATATTAAATTTTTTATAATAGTAAAAAAAAGAGTGATATAAAATTGATAATAGATGTTAATAATAATAATGCAAAGAATGTAGCATGTTTTAACAATAATCATATGTTATGTATAAAATTATAAAGTTAATGAGCATCAAATGGCCAAACCCTATCCGCATTGGTCTCCATTTTTTATAGGAAAAAATGAGCGGAAAAGGTGAGTTTGAATATTAAAAATAAATAGGAAAAAAAAAAGAGTGAACAAACCTAAGAATACATCAAATTTAAAAGAGTTTGTAATCAAATACATTTTTTTAAAAGTTATTTTTTAAAAAAAAATAAAATACCAATATATTTTCATAAATAATATTTATAGTATATCCTTTTCTCTCGTGTTTTTCTTTTTACAAATACACCGCTACTTATCAACTTTAAAAAGAATTAACAAAAAATAATAAAAAAAGAGTAAATTATTATAAATAGATTATACATAAATTTATCAAAAAAAATATATATATATTTAATATAATTAACAGTGTTTGCTATCTAACGATATTTATTTATCAAATAATATATTATATATTTGAAATAAAACTTCTACAATATATCTTTTTATTACTATGAGACATATACTTTCAATTCGAGCTCGAACCACTAATGTTTTTCGTGTCCCTCGTTGCGTATTGTCGAGAAATAAGACCTACACAAATAAAAGTAATATGCTTGTCCTTTTTGTTGCTACAAATTATTACGATGAAACCTAACTTTTTTGTTTTACTAAATGCTTTTTATTTATTTATTTATTGAGCTTTTGATCCTAATACTAAGATAATAATGATTTTCATTACAAAATTTACAAGTGATGAAATTTAGACCATTGAATGATGGAAAATAAACAACACCTATATATATATATATATATTTTTTTTTTTTTTTTTTTTCTAATGATTAAAGAATAGTGAATTGACTAATGTGACTAAATATACAAAAGCCAACATTTTATGTACAATCATCCATCATTTATGGGCTCTTTTATTATTTCTTTTATACAATGTACTTTTTTATTATTATTATTGAAATAAATAAATAAATGTCTTTGCATAAAGACAAAATGAGAATGATTCATAAGTTTTGATTATGTTTTAATTTATTTAATTTTTTTGTGTGAATTATTGAGGAAAAAGAATCACAAGACATCATCATAACATGAGTTTGCAATATTTCTTGTCACAAAGTTGACCTTTAAATAGTGTGATGTTATTTATTTTTTAACAATTGGTAATTGAATAATAGTGATTATTACAATCTTTAGTTACTAGTTACAAAAAAATTTTAGATCTAAAAAAAAAAAAGAAAGAAAAATACTTTTGTGGGTATATTTTATGTTGAGTTTTGATTTTGTGATGTGTTTTTGGATGAAATAATTATTTTAATTGTGATATTTATAGAAAAATTGATATGTTTTTATATAGAACTGTAGAATTATATATAGTAAATCAATTTTATTTTTTATTTTTTTTTATAAAAGAAAAAAAAACTTAAAATGAGCTAACCCTTATTAAAATGTGTTTAGCATATTGTTGAACACATTTTATTTTTTGTTAAAAACCACCAAAGATGAATGAAATTTAAAAACTAAATAGACTTTCATTAGTTAATTTAATTCTACTTATAGTAAATGGATGTTTTCAATTACTTATAAGCATCTATCCATAGTTGGAAAATTTACATTTTCTTTTGATATAAAGTTTTATTAGAAAAATAATACATTTATTATATTTAATGTTTTTGAGAATAGCATAGCAGAAAATGAAATAGTTTTGACTTACAAACCAAATATATATGGCTGTATTTTGGTCTTATAAATTGTATATTTTAGTTATTTTTCTTACTAAAATATTACATGATAGTCATACAATATTTAAATTTCAAGAACAAATGAAATAATTAAATATAATAATTTACAAAATACCCGAGTACAGTCATATAAAGTTATATAAAAAATGACAATCGAACACATAAAATACGAAAACTTTAATGTTTCCGGCATGATTGTATTATTCATTTCTTGCACTCAAACAAAGCCAACTTATTCAAAAATGAAGAAACATGATCTTGTGGCACACCATAAATGTTATGACATACAAAAATGAAATGACCTAACCAAGAATTAGGGTTACATCATAGGATGTCTTCCACATTAATTCTTTTCACCTCTTACTCTTGGATTCTTTTGATTAATTCACAATATTCTTCGCAATATTTATCACATTTGGTTTCATATGTTTGAAATTATGCAATGTTCAAATATTCTATTGTACTTATTCGGGATTTTGTAAGAAAAAAACGGGATTTTACATAATGAAATTACAATGCTACCATTTCGAGTATTAACGCATTATTGTAATTAATATTATCCTCCCATATGATCCAAAATCAATACCTTTATACGAACCCTTCTACGATTTATATAGCATTTTTTATTTATCTTTTTTTATAGTTGATAGCGCGGAATTTTGTGGCTAAATCAGATTAAATTGGTTTCAGACAATAAGTTGGAATATTTTCAAGTATTGATTTTTTTTTTCTAAACAACAAATTCGAATTTCCAACCACAACATAAAATGATAACAAAACATAACTATTTGACTATATTTTGTTAATTAGGGTTTTCTATAGTTTTGAGTAATTAGGTTTAAATTATAGTACTATATATTTTTCAACCAATCAATTGCTTAATTCATTCAACAAATACACAGTGTATATATATATATATATATATTCCAAAAAATAAGAATAAAAATAAAAATAAAATTAAAAGAATGTACACATGTGTCATTACAACGCAAATTCATTAGACAAAGCCCCAATTTATATAAAGTTATTGCGTACACGGAAATTATTCTAAAATATTATTGTCTTTTAGTTGATCAAAAATTATATATATATATATATAAATTAAATTAATATATACTTTTAAAAAATAATAAATACATAAAAAAAAAAAAAAAAATGTGAGTGGTGAGAAAGTGTGTAGGGCATTACATAATTTTATATTGGCTAGAACATGCTCCACGCACACACACATATATATAAATTAATAAATACATATTTAATTCGATTTAGATCTTAATTAGAAATAAATAATTACGATTCAATCTTTTATTACTATATATATATATTATTTAATTTATAAACATTCGATATGATTTTAATTAATATGATTCTTATTATTTTTTAATAGATTTACACTTCTAGTTCAACAGTTTTTTGTACTTTAATTTATAAATTTTAGCAAATTTATAATATGATTCAATATACTTATATTAATAATTTACACCATACTTCAATAATTGAACACTTCAATGATATTCGAAATAGTTCAATAATAATAATAATAATAATTTATTTAATTTTTATTGCATAATTTAACCTTGTGTTACCCAAAATTGTGTAGAGCCTCTATATTAATTTGTGCACAAAATATCATAAAATAGGAGTTTTTGCATGCATATAATATTTCGATAAATTACAATATTTATTTATGTTAATATATATATATTATATAAATTACATTAAAATAAATTATTATGTATGAATCCAAACACATATAAATCTAAAAATATATATATTATATTAAGTCCATGCATGCATATTGTCCGTACAGCTAATATTGTCTGTATTATCATTGAAAATATATATATTTATATATATATATATTTATATTTATATGTGTAGTGGTTAATATATATTTCTTCTTTTTTTTTTTTTTTTTAATGTTATATGGTTATAGAGAGCTTTAGATTAATTAGTAAAAAGTGTCTCTCAAAGAAAATATATAGAAACCAAGTGACGAATTCGAGTTTGTTTGGTCGGGATTTAAAATTTATTTGAATTTTTTTTTTAAATAGTTGTTGATGTAATTTTTCAACAAAAATAAAGTAAAATTCAAAGATATAGAAAATATCCTTAAACTTGATTAATTAGTGCCTGAGATTAGGAATCTCTAAACACTGTATGGTACCGAAAATAAACTGGAAAATAAAAGACTGAAATTTAAAGTGGTAATCCCCAAATCTGACTTTGCTTTGTTGAAGTTGATTGAAGATGCCTTGTCAAATGATGATCCAAATCCTTAAATATTCTTTGAAGAAAACGTTCAGAACCGTCGCACTGTTTCACCAACCGTTCCCACCAGTTACAGAACTCAGAACTGCCTCTTTCATTGACACATGTCTTTAACCGCCT